CCCTGGTATCTACTGATATATGACTTACAGGTTTCAGTAATCTCGAAAGTCACTATTACTACATACTCCACCACCCTCCCATTCACCCATTCACCATCACCCATGCGAGGAAGCAGGGCCGCCCGCGATCTACGCAATTAATAGATGACAGCTAGAGTATACCCAGCACCACATCGAAAGGTATACTTCCGGGTACCTAAGCTGTTGTGTGCCTAGATTCGATATTCGAAAGCAATCAATAAATACTAATCTCCCCGCAAAAAGCACCAAACTGCCAGATGACAGACCCGACTTATGCAAGCACGATCGTTCGTTTATTAATCCCCCGATAAGGCCCATCGGCACCTCTCCTACGTAGGCACTCTATCTCGTCAGGCCTTGCGCCTAGCTGCGTCGAGTATATGGTCTACCTCTGTATCCGTAGGTAGAGAGCACTCTATGCACCCAACCGGTTGATCCCGACAAAGGCAAAACGTACCTACATGTCAGCTGGAAGGTGTTATTGGATGGCAACAACGACACCCACCATCACTAAGCTCGAATACGGGTCCTGGGGGTAAGTATGTTCTGTCATGTGTTTTTGTTTGGTTGCTGGTACTCGGGAGGCGAGAAAGTGTAGTTTGCTAGGTTGCGGATGAGTGCATGATAGATTCAAGTAAGCTATGATCGATATCGTCATGATCTCTGGAGCTACGAGATACAGTTGTATCTGTTGCCTGCTAGGGAAGTGAGCAGTAGATTAGTAGTCGTACAGAGAGCTATAGAGAGCTACGAAAAGCCTAACCTAAAGACCAACGGCGGAGGGCGGAGGAGCTCTGACATATACCCTCCATAGCTACCTACATACAATGCCGTAAAGCTTTTTCGTCTACTTACATGAGACAAAGAGCTGTCAGCGATACTCTTCGAGTTTGCCCCCGCATATGTATGCGTCAGCGGTAAACGCGCGGGGGATTCACAAGCCACTAGAAAACCTCCCCACAGAAGCGCTGGTAAGGTGATCTTCAACGAGACCGAGTTTGGAATACAGTTAAGTAGGCGAATACGGATTCCACACCGCTTACATACATGAGACCGAGGTGTTTATAAACAAATCGCTCGCGCGGCGAGTCCTGTCTTGGAGAAACAAACATTTGTTTCAGGTCGAACCATCCTTCAGGACCTACGTTTGTCTCAAACACTACCAGTGATCTTCAACGCATTAACCCATTAAAAGTTTGTTCACAGGGATATCTGATCACAGGGAAGCCGGAGAGACAACTCAGAATCAAATCATTAGAAACCAGAAATTTCGGTTTTGACTACGAGTCCATCTAGGTACTTTACATATGGCGCGAGAAGGCATAGGGGGTGGGTGTGTCAACTTCAGAGGAACTTTTTTTGTATGGGAATTAGAGAAAATTTCACCGTCAGGCTAGGTGCTAGTACCATCATAGGGGTAGATCTCCCAATTCCTATAGATTGATTGGCTGCAAATGCCGAAGTTTACACAACTACCCACCATAGCTTCTCGAGCCATATTCCTCCTGGAGCCCGGATACCCCACACAGCACCCCACAAAGCCACGGTCACGTGAAGGTTTATGCACTGACAGTAGCTGGCCCTATTGCACATTTATGCAGTCTTTAACATAGGATTCTAAATATGTATTTGCTTTGACATTTCAATCTCTTCACAGCCGGAGTTCGGAACCCGGGCCTGTAGGTAGGTTGTGTTGTCTGAAGTCATCCTCCCACTCTTGATGCGTATGTATGTAGGTACACGCATGAGTTAAACTCATTAGGCCCCTTCAGCTGGGAAATAAAAGAACTATGTAGGTACATACACGTACCTATGTAGGCACTCGTGGTTAGAGTAGAGACAAATAGGTAGAGTATTGTATGGTTGTGTCGACGGCCTCCATTCCATAACTAGTACAATGCCGCGCCGGCGACGTCGGCAATATCGCCTTTACCGAAAGCCACGCGCAACGGTACGGCGGTAGCGAACTGTCTAGAGAGTATCCGTAAACAGAATCCACCATTAAAATTTGCATCCTGCAGCCCAAATAGAAAAAAAAAAAATTCTTTTCGGTAGGGATCGGGTCGATTTAGACTTGAACACATTTGTGCCTGAGCAAGCGTCGGGTTAGTACTTAGAAGTGGTTATTTGGCCCTATGTAGGTACAGGCTCCTCCACTACTCCAGTTCAGTAATAGGGTTGTCGTTGATAGGTGGAGTAGAGTAGGCTCATTCATGCAAGCTCCCATCGCGGTGCGGTGATGATTTGAAAAGTTGGTAGGCTAGTTGCTCTACTCTACTCTACTCTACCTGCTCTACAGATATTGCTGTCATATCCCTTCCTGCACGCTGCCGCCGCAGCTGGCTTTAAGCTTCTAGGGCCCGACCGATCGGGCAAACAGAGAACACGCACTGTAACGCGCATACATGGTGTAATTTCTAATAACGAAGTTCCATGCGGTGTATGAGGTGTAAGTTAGCATCAATGGGAAGTAGGGACAGCAACAAACCTTTTCCTAAGTTTACCAGCACTACCTTAGAGTGCTTTACGCGTTTTGAAGACGGACCAGAAATATAGGGCAGGCAGGACGGGTCCGACGGGAGCAGCGGGGAGACTAGAGTCAATGATAATTTCACCGACTGGCGCAGTGTCCAGGTGAAATCTAGACCCTGAACCAAAGCGAACCGTACCGTACCTGGCCTGGTCGGTTGCCATAGCAACAGTCCGCAAGTCCATCAGGGATCTAGGGCCACAAGGCACGAGACCAAAAAGAGCTCCAAAAATACATATTTTCGAAACCAAAACCATTTTCCTGGTTTCAGCTCCAAGACCGCGCAAAGTGCATGTAGGTACTCCTCTACACACAGACGAAAAAGACCACGAGTTGTCAAATTTGAAGATCTACAACCTGCAGCACAGCACGGTGGTGATGAAAATTTTCCCATAGCAATCAGGAATCAAGGGGAGATCGCGAAAAAATTTTCCCCAACAGGTGGTTTTCCGGTATGTTCCGTGGAGAAAGAGCTGGGTAGAGAGTATCGAAAAGAAAAGTATGGGGTGCTTTCTGCGGTCGATGGATGGATGGTACTAGGCGCTCTAAAGAGGATAGAGTAGAGTTTGATGAATTTGAAATTTTCCTGTTGATGGGGTTTTCTTGCCTGACCACTGACCAACGGGCGAGCGTGGGTTCAAATCGCTCACATATCGCTGGCCGGAGAAGCGCAGTGCAGGAACGGCTGCATCTCTGATCTTCAATTCTGTTTCGTGCACTCGGTTTCGTGTTTGTTTGCGCCTTTACAAATCCCATCGTTTCCTACTCGATCTGACTGTCTGCTTGCCATCCCACTCTATTTTTACAGCTACTCTACTCTAGAGTAGGTACTGCTGCTTGCCTCTGCGCTTGATCCGGGTATGAGTACTGTAACATGGTGGAGGTGGTCCATGGGCGGAGCCCGAGAATGGATGAGGCGGCTGTAGTGTAGTGGGCTGTGGTTGGGAAACTTGGCTGTTACCTCGACGATTTCGAGGGTTTACGTTTCCTTTTTACAACGACTTCTTATCTGAACCTTAGTAAGCACTACCCCAAATTCAACTAGGAACCTTCCCCCTATCAGCCTACCGAAAATACCAAGTTTCGTTTCGAGAACGTCTGGGGTCGGGTTGAACCGGTCTCTTTAATTGCCGGTACAGAATTTTTCCGTCCCAGTCGTTCGAACCTTGCTTGTGTCGCATGTTTTTTCTCTCAATCCCTCTCCTTCACACGACGGCGAAATAGAGATGTTTCAACTTGCAGGGAATACTGAATCATAATTGATCTGTGCGTCTTTTCCCTGTGTAGCTGCTAGCTGAGAAACTTAGATGTCAGTAGAGTAGTGGCTGGGAATAAATAATCTAGCGGAAGAATTCGATATCCAAGAAATTAATCACCTGTAATGAGTGTAAATACGGAATCACCGAGTCTTGTGCTCTGCCAAATGTCTTATGTCCGAAGCTGTAGAGCCTCAGAATACCGACATCAGAAAAATGGTATTGGTATTATTGTAGTTATTCGGAATGGAGGAACCAAGGCTTGTGTAGGTACTTATGTAGATTTCTTCACTATCAATTCAGGTATCTCGACAATCGATTTTTGTTTACTTTTCTTTCCACGATAGATAAAGGGAAAAGCTGCAGTCCCATCATCCGAAATAAGGTTTTCCAGATCTTCCTCTGATCTACTTTTCCTCTTTCTTGCTTACTTGATGCTCGCTCGTCAGTTACCGAATGACGAAAACCACACGTACATACGTCTTGCCTACGAAAATCAACGCTTTTTTTTCTTCTTTCTGTGCTCGGCGCTTTAAATACATCACCGTCTGGCCTTGACAACCGAATGAGATTTGCCCCGAGCTTTACTGGGTGAAACAACCCAGTGCCATAGAGTGCCGTGATGATACTTTAGTAGTAGTAGTAGTAGTAGTAGTAGTAGTACCTAGTAAAGGTTGTTCATCCGGGGATATGTAGGTGTAGGGTTGTAAGGAGGTTGAGAAGAGATCCGCATATGTATCATACCCATGTTATTGGAAGTAGATAAGGAACACGAAAAAAAAAGTGTAAAATAAAAACGTGAGCGCGCGACGGCGACCCCCACCACCCTAGGGGTACGATTCGATCTTGCGTGGCTGCATGCAAGTGTGCCGGGGGGGCCAGACCAGGATTGATTAGGGTATGGCGCTGGAGCAAATCGTCGGGACGGCCGCGCGCGACGGGGAAGCTGGAATGGACGGACAGGGAGTGAAGGTTAAACGGTAACAACAACCACATGTTGATTGGCATGCACACCACTACCACTACACTACTCACACAAAACGTATCATCTACACACATACTCAAACCTAATGGGTTTAATGTTGTGGGAGCTCCAGTAGAGTGAGTGCCAGATGTTCCACGGTAGTTTTTCTATGGGGTCAGCCACAAGCCAAATTAAGGCCTTTGTTCTTTATCTCTCTGACCACAACAGCATGGAGACAAAAGCCACAGCCGCAATTGAAATTGGGCAAGTGGTTATTTTCAAGACTTGGCCACTATCGGTTCTTTTGCGCTTTCTAGGCGAAATGGATGTTTCAGAGATAAGACCTAGAGATGCCTTAATTAATACGACTTTGATGTTGGCACTGACGTTGCAAGCGTTCACAAGGCTGCAGCAAGGCGGCGGCTGTCTCTACTCTAGTGAGTTGAAGTGTAAGTAAGTACTCAACTCTACTGTGGGTCGCAGTAAAGTGAGCAGACTCTGAGCAGGTGTTGTAGTGTGTGACCCGGGCCAGTATCACCACAGAGGGTGATACAGAGCATTGAAGTGCAACTGGATCCCCACGCCAAGGGACGAAACGAGAGAGCTGGCCTGATAGGTAATTCGTTGTAATTATCCAGTTATCAAACAAGGATGTCGCTGTATATCCAGTGGAGAATAGCATGCTGTTGGCGAGTGTCGACAAGAGATTTGAAAGCTCTGAGTGATGACCGAATGTCATGAATATGTAGGCACATATTGTTGATCAAATTAGCCCACCCTCTTCACACACATAACACACGTTGAGTACGCACACCCTGGCCTGACCAATCCCAAGCCAGTCAAACACCCTGCCATGCAAAGGCACCCCACAGAAACTGGCATCAAACAATCTGTGGAGAAGTTGGGTTAGTAGGTACATACTCATGGGCAAACAATCAGCACTGGTACTAGGGAAGACATAATTATGGGCTGGATATCAATTAGGAGTAAGTCTCAGGACTAATTCAAATAGCGATAAGTGATCATCGTTTGGGGGCGGTAGAGTACCTATCCTATCCCTATTGCCGAGATAGAGGTTTACTCTACCAGTAGAGTTACAGTACCGTAATTATGAGTTACCAGATGTAGTAGTCCGCGAGCTACTCTAACTAGAGTGTACATTTTCCTCATCCGCCGTTCGTACCGGGTACAAACACAGTCTAGAGCAAGAGAGCGTATAACTTCTAGCCACATAGGGGTATATACTACCACTAACCTAGCCCGCTCCGCACCAATTCTTTATCTCTACCCACTGCCATCTGGTAGATAGGTACTTAGGCCTACATGTATCTACAACCCTAATGAATGATATGCGCCGTGAATGATTTAGCGTGTCCACTCAATGCATGTCTGTCCACCCATGCATCATCCCCATTCAAGAAAATGATCCCTATCCAAATCTCCATCTACGATGTCATGTCTGGCATCCTTGAGTTACGAACTTTCTGCCTTCCTAGCCCCCTACCTGTTCGTCCCCCCCTCTCCTCAATTGTTCCCTCTTCTCCCCGATCTCACTTCCGGCTCTCGCCTCACATGCTTCGAGAAACGGCCTTTTAACGTCCCCTTCCTCCCCACCCTCTCAGATCTCCATCATCACTTCCAACAACAACACGGGTTCAGTTTACCCATTGATCCCACTTTAAATCAGAAACGAAGTCGTTAAATCAGACACCAATTTCTGATCTTAGTGATTTTCTACAACAACACATAAAGGCAACAGTATCCTCTTGGAATAAGATACTGTTTACCACAGAGAACACACATCGATTTCGATTTCGATTCCCTTCAACTGCTGAAGCAACAACTACAATAAGATCACAGCAATAATGTCGTACTCGTGGGTCGGTGCCCCGGCCGTTTTCAATGGAACAAACGCCGAGACTGGTGGTAATTCTGGTTCGTCTCCCACAACTACTACTATCAACCGGTTTCAGGAATTATTCAACTGACTAAACCTTATTTCAAAACAGCCGTGGAAAACTTGAACCAATGGTACCAATCCGGAGATCAGGCTTACATCTTGATTTGTGCCGCAATGGTAATGATCATGATTCCTGGACTGGGTTTTCTCTATTCTGGATTGGCTCGTAGAAAGTCTGCTTTGTCTTTGATCTGGGCGTGTGTTGGATCATCACTTGTGATTACTTTCCAGTGGTACTTTTGGGGTTACTCGCTCGCTTTCTCGAAAACTGCCACCAATGGGTTTATTGGAAATTTGAAGCATTTTGCGTTGTTGGATATGTTGGCTGCGCCGAGTCCTGGGTCACCGCTGGTTCCGGAGCTTTTGTACTCGTTCTATCAGGTAGGTCTCGCTTTCTATGAGCGAGCGAAAGTCCCTTGGCTGACCAGACGCTGTAGATGCAATTTGCCGCTGTTACAGTCGCTATCGTTATGGGTTCTATTGCTGAGCGTGGGAGAGTACTGCCTGCGATGGTTTTCTCTTTCTTATGGGCAACGATCGTCTACTGTCCTGTTGCGTGCTGGGTGTGGAATGTCAACGGATGGGCATTCAACTATGGCGTCTTGGATTACGCAGGTAAATCTTACATAACAGAAACACTTCAAAACCAGGGGAATCATGTCAAACTAACAAAATGTTCGTGCACACATAGGTGGTGGACCTGTCGAGATTGCTTCTGGTGTCAGTGCCCTCGCTTATTCTCTCGTGCTCGGGAAGCGCCAAGAGAAGATGCTTCTCAACTTCCGACCTCACAACGTCTCACTCATCACGCTTGGTACAATTCTTCTATGGTTTGGATGGCTCGGGTTCAACGGCGGTTCTGCCTTCGGTGCTAACCTCCGTGCTGTGATGGCTTGCTGGAACTCTAACCTTACTGCCGCTTTCTCTGGAATTACTTGGACCTTGCTCGACTTTAGACTTGCAAAGAAGTGGTCAATGGTTGGTCTTTGCTCAGGAGTTATTTCGGGACTTGTTGCTGCTACTCCTGCATCTGGATTCCTCTCGCCCCATGCAAGCATCCTATTGGGAGTTGTGACTGGTGTCGTCTGCAATTATGCTACAAAGAGTACGCTCCTCCCAACTCTATCATTGAGTAGAATTTTATACTGATATCCACACAGTTAAATACTATGTCCGCATTGACGATGCTATGGATGTCTTCGCTGAGCACGGTGTCGCTGGAATGATTGGTCTTATCTTTAATGGTCTTCTCGGTGCTGACTACATTATCGGCCTCGATGGTGTCAACAATATTCAAGGTGGATTCCCCAACAAGAACTGGAAGCAACTTTACATCCAGATCGCCTATATTCTCGCTGTCACCTTGTACTCCTTCGTTGTCACCCTCGTTCTCTGTCTCGCCATCAATGCAGTTCCTGGTCTGCAGCTCCGTGCCACAGAGCAGGCTGAGCTCCTGGGTATGGATGATGATCAATTGGGCGAATTTGCGTACGATTACGTTGAGGTTCGCCGCGATTACCTCGCATGGACTCCTGCTAAGGAGCACTTCCACGGAGGAGCACCTGTGGCCGCCGGTGACAGGCACGGGATTGCTGCTCACAGTGAGATGATTGAAGGTCGTCAGCCAGCTGAGCTAGGAATTAGCCCCGCCCCGAGCACAGAAGTCAAGTCGAAAGAACACTAGTTCTTTCCTTCTCCTAAGACTCGTTTTTGTTTATTTGATTTCAGAATTTTGTTGTATTTTGGGACCTTTGGATAGTTGGTTTTTATTCTCGTTTTTCTACCATTTTTTACTTTCTGTTCGTGTCTCGCGATTACTATTGCCATTTATTTGTTGGGAAATTCAGCGCTGGGTATATTTGGGTTTTTCTTTCTTGGTCGGTCGGTTGTTTGGCATCGTTTCGTTTGGGACTTTTTATCGGGTATTTACTGGCTGGACTGGAAGGGATGGGGGAAGTTGGTGTTCATAGTCGTATAACTTATTTGTATGTATGGTATATACCATTATAAACGAACGAAATCTAATTGAGATGCAAAACTATTCCCTTTGCTTGGATTGTATTGCTTGTGTTTGTACATTTGGCTAATTATCTACAGAAGTCATCATCTATTTCGATTAGTGGTTGCCTTTCTTCGGTCGGCAGACAGCTGAATGTTTCTTTTTTCGAGAGCTAACTATGACAATTGCTTGTGACAACAATAGTTTCGCAACGACTTTCTCCCGGCTTATCAACCCTTATCAGTCACAAAGAACCTTGGCTTTGAAATCATTGACAGATTTCTAGCGCCCATCGGAATTTCTAGTGAGGACCCACTTGCGATCTCCCAGCACCCGATTAGGACTCGACTAGGACTCCAGCTTGCTTGGCTGCTTGCTTAAAATACTTGCAGGGATGACGCGCGACTAGTTGCTAGAGTATGTAGAATACTAGGAATCGTCGACAGGGAGACCATATCCTATCTTCTCTTTAAGTTTGCCACTGTTCAAAATCGGAGGAATTCGGAGCCGGAGTTTTGTGTGGGGAGTTGAATTTCAGGGACTCGTTCCTGATGGTTGCTGCGCCTTCAGCATCTTGCAGTCCGGATAGAGTACGCTATGTATGAGTAGCTTTGGACGGATTGAGGTTTTTATTACGTTTATTTGGATGTGTTGGGAATTCTTATCTTGCACTGGGATTTGGCTTGGCTTGGCTCGCTTTGTGTTGCTGGCTGGGCAGTGACGAACTTTGGGGGCCGGCGGAAGGGGGTGAAAGGAATGATGGGAGAAATGACGTTGGAGCTTGGTATAGAAATAATGTCATTTTAAATGCGTGTCCCTGGTGAAGTTGTGGAACGAAGGTGCTTTGCTATATTTGATTCCCTCCAGACCGGCACTTGTAGTTAGTTATCCTGGATATGAAATCGGGATATCTTTCTTGGGGTTGACATCATTTCTTCTCACTCGTGGCGATCACGGATTGGGGAGTTTGAAGCTTGCTTGGTCCCTGGGGTTTGGTCGCTTTGAGCTTAGGTATCCGTCTATCTGTGGGGCGCGCAGTTGATAACCTAGATTTAGAGATCCACGGCAAATATTCGTTGATGATGTGGGAGGCGGATTAATTCCAGTGATATATATACCGGTCTATCACTTGCTAGCTAGCACTTGCTAGCTAGCACTTTGAAGTGGAAGGTGTCGTGCATATGGCCAAACGGTTGCCAAGAGAATTATTTCTTGCAGGTATCCAGGTACTCTATGTACCTAGCTAACTATATATCCCATTGTGCTATGATGTTTACCGTTTGTGCTCCGTAGAAGCCGCCTCCCATAGCGGACATGGTTTTCCGCCCTGTGCTCCACAAGCCACGATACTTGGCAGCCGTGTTCTAGAATGATATGCGGGAATCAAGGTCAAGAGCGCTCCGTGTAGCCGCGTAAAAACTAGCATCGTGAATTATCACTCGGTATCATGGGTGGTCACTCGACTCTTCTTTTTAAAGGGGGGGTTTTTTTTTTAAAGGGGGTTCTTTTTTTTTTTTTTTTTTTTTTTTTTAAAGGGGTGAGTAGTGATGATAGATTTTCCATATAAAGATCGCTTCTATCGCATATTACTGACCATCATGCTAGGAATATGGGTGAGTAATAATCGAATCCTGGCAAGCACCGGTACCGATATATATTCCATAATCACCGTATTGTTTATGAGTCTCATAGCCAGAGTAAAATACCGTCTATCGTGTTTACTCTTTCCTCAAAATAATACATTGCTACAGTATCTGTTACTCTTTCACCCTCTATTCTTTTTTCTATTTTTTTTTTTTTTTTTTTTGGGGGGGGGGGGGGGGGGGGGGGGGGGGGGGGGAGCAAACCGTAAAGTATGGCCATGGTAGGTTACGTAAACTCTTGATCTCAAATAAACATTTATAAGTTTCGCCGAATCTCTCCCGGGGTAGGTACAACAAGAAAAAGCTCATATTTAAGGTAGGCTTACATTATTTACTTAATAACCGAGAGGGGGTCTTGGAATTTCTGATATATTGTACGAAGTCCCAATACTTAAATCTATCGGGTATTTTGTTAAATAATCAATTGACCAAAAACTTACCTTATGAATATAATCTACTTTTAATCGCAAGGATGGCTGGGATTCTTTAGAGTCTTGGGGCTTTTCCGCAAAAACAGTCATTTCCAAACACAAAGAATCACTCGAATTTCTCGAGACTATCTCAGATGTATTTTCAAACTTATACTGCCATCGGCCAACCCGTGTACTGTTTTGCCTGGAAAATTTTTGATAGCTCTTCTCTTGTGCCCTGCCATCAAAATCAGCAACTAGGTATAAGAGGGAGTTGATATACCGTTAAATAAAATATCAGGAAACATACCGATTATATTTACTCTAGTCCTGACTTCTATTTATGAGTCTGCGCCATGTAGGTTCTCATAATGGAATGGACTGTTTGACTGTACATGTGTACAGGTCTGCTTTGTCCTGGTGACGGTAACTACTGGGCTGCCATTGAGAAACGACAAATGCGCATGTTCAACAACAATTAACCTAGCTTACTTAGGAGATATTGTGGAACTCGGCACACTCTCGAGAAAACATAGACAACCTTATGTCTGCTGAATCAGTACTACCAGCCTGCCCAAGGGAGCCGAGGGGTGGGGTATCCCGACTTCGAACATTAACTTGAATGAGCTCATGGCTCATAGCTAGGTGCTCCTGAGGTTCGTGCAGCGGGATTGTTTCTGGCGGCGGTGGGCAGTCATGGGATATTGACCTACCAGAAGACATGAGTTGCGCTATGTGGATAAACGTTCCTGACTCCAATGCTAGTTATGAACCCTTTGGTATAAGATTTCGTTTATAATGGCCGAGATACCCCACTCACGAATGTTTATTATGATGCTGGGAGTGTTCCTTGTTGGAGAGGCCGTACTGGGTAACCTAGGCGAACGGGCGATCCCGCTGAGCCGCAAAATCATGACGTCATCCCAACTTTTATTCGAACCACGAATACTGATGTATGCCGGTACATATTAAGGCCGCATTTGATCTTAACAACCTTTTCTCCTACAAATTCCATAATCGAGTTTGAAGGACGTCGACTCGTAAAATGCTTACATACCTTGCCGCCCTTCTTACTGAACCTGCACACTTTCTGCTTTCTCTGACGCCACTTTCACGTTTGCTCCCTAGTATTGATCACTTTGCTCCACATCCTACGGCACCTTTTGAAGGATACTATACCCGTATTGTAACACCTTCCCACGGGTCAATACTCCTTATCCTCTCTTCTGTGCGACAAGCAGAAGATAAACCCCATTATATCCACTTTTCCCACATACCATCAGTATCAGGGCCACAAGATAAAGCATTGCAAATCGATGTATTCTCAACCATCACAGACGTCCTCGGAGAACGCAAAGAAAGCGGATTCCAAGAGTTCACCAGGGTCGTTTCGGACGGAATCGGATATTGCCGTACTGCCGAAGGTGAACAGAAATATTCACTCCGTCTCCCAGATCCTGAGTCAGAGAGCGGCGACGAGAGCGTGGTGGAAGTGGAAGTAACGATCACTCAGAGGGCACCTTGGATAGAAGGGGATGTACTCAGTACTCCAGAGGGTGCATTCAGCAATTTAGTGCATCTGCTTCCGCTGCACTGGAACGTCTTCTCGCATAAAAGTATGGCAGAGTACACCGTAAAGAGAGGTGGTGAACTTTGGTTGCAGGGGACAGGAATTGCACATTCCGAAAAGAATTGGGGGGTGTCCTTTCCTGCTGGTTGGACTTGGTAGGCCTTTCCCCTAGCTTATTCATTTTAAGCACCGAGATTATTTGGGCTGGTCGTTCTCGGAACCCGCCATCAGATAGGCTGTTATTATTTGCTCCCGACTATTAGTGATTATTTCCTGAGCATATGTTAACTTTTCTTCTTTGATAGGATCCAAGGCTTCTCAGATCATAAGGACCACGCTGGAACATCAACATTTTCTCTTGCAGGTGGAAAGATCCTCGGGCAGAAGGCGTTTCTTCTCGGCTATCGTTCTCCAAAATACTCTATATCGTTTGCACCCCCAACAACGCTCTTTCCTTTCAGCATACCGACTCCCTTTTGCTATGAACAACATAATTCGAAAGCTGGAACCCTCTCATTAAGGGCCGATAACCTGATGAGGACTCGGAGAATCGTGATTAGCGTCGCTGGACCTGCTGTAAGCCTATATGCACTTTGTTATCCAATGAACAATTTATTGTGAGTGACTTTAATGGCTAATACACGATGTACAGAATCACGAGAGGTGGGTTGCCCTCAATTGTCCGCTCTCAACTGGCCATGGAAATAAGTTTGCCTACGAGACATTCGAAGCTACCTTGTTTGTTGTAATCTCAGAAAGGAGGTGGCCCTGGCAAGAATGGGTACAGGTAGAAACGGCGCAGTTTACAAACGCTGCATTAGAATTCGGGGGTGATTATAGCTTCAAGTTGAAAGATACATGAGTTGATTTGAAAGCATTTGTGTGGTCGTTTATTCTGCAATGTGTGTTAGCAGCCTTTAAATTAAGATAGATATTAGATATTATAAATCTCTACATTTCAAAACGTTTGGTCAGCGGGTTTCCCCCCTCTGGCGGAACAGCATTTGGAGCCTGGCGAAACATCTATTGAGCTGGGTATCCCATCCAACTCGGGATTTTATTGTGCCATTCTAGGAATGTGGTATTATCATGACTTTGATTAGCGAGTGGGAAAGAGTAGACAGCACAATTTTAGAAATAAGCACGGAAGGTAGAGTGAAGGGTACGAGGCTTGGTCGCTATCTTACCTTCTTGACTACAATATTATAGAGTATCCTTATATATATACCCATATAACTCTTGTTATACCGGAGTATCTAGTTGTTTTCACCATCTACATACTGTTGACGCATAATATTGACTAATAGTGATTGATAGTGACAACCATATGTCTACGGTACGCACGAAGGGATACATTCTCTTAGGCTCAGATGCACCGAGTGATGTGTCATGATTACGACACCACTAGCTAGCTTGACTGATTAATTGTATTCATCCGCCGCCACCATTAGCTGGGATTTAGAGCTATTCGGCCTTCTTGCCGTCAAATCCTGGTATTTCGAAATACACATATGCATGAACATAACATACGGTGGCTACTTGAAAAAGTTGTGGGGTTTGTAAATGTCAGATCAGTCTCAGAGAAGACAGGAGAGATTTGTGCTGGGTCTGTGGTTACATACAACTGTGGTAGGTGTTGGCTCTCTTGCATATGTTTTAGATTACGAATCACAGACATGTTTATATAGTGATTTTATATCATGACTGATCACTCGGCAGGTATAAGCAAATATGTAGGTGGCGCTCCGAAGGCATTCCACATTAAATACCATAATGAAAACATAGTCCCGTAACTATATGATCATCAAACACCAAGCCCGTGATTTCTAGCACTAAATAGACCAGATACTTCAAGGGCAGGCACGTCCATAAACATCCGATCAGACCCTTTCAGCGATGTAGACAGCAGCCTTACCTACATCATTCTGATAAGTGAAGTGCACCACACTCGGGATCGGGAACCCTTCACAGATCCGGTCCCCATCCTTACAGAAGGTTGCGACATTGTCGTTTAAAGAGCCGGGGAAGGCATCGCCATCATCTGGGTCTCCAAAGAGAACGATCGCAGCAACCTTTGAGTAGAGATCTTCGGGGATGTATCCGGCAGCCAGGTGAGTGACTTGTGCTCCTTGGCTGTATTGATGTTGAGCATTAGTATATACATGTATATATTACGTGCTTGAGTATTTAAGAGTTCTGTATAAATCTCACCTATAACCAGAAAGGACGACCTTTGACTCCGGGCATTGAGATGCTGCAAGGGAGACCATAGAAGCCATGTATTTAGCACCAGTCTTGGATCCACCGGCGAGAGCTTCGGAAATCTTTGATTTTGTAAGTAAGGTAGCCAAGAGATCTTTAGTACAGCTTGCGGAACTACTAACAGATGCAGGGTAATCATTGACTCCCTGGGTAATAATTCTGCCAGGCTCAACCTTCTCAATCGCATCAAAAAACACGGGCCCCAAAGTGATTCCAATATTCCCAGGCTCTGTCGAGCCTCGGGCAAAGATGACGATAACATCGTTACACTTGCCGTCAATTAGGTCGTTTCGGGTGACGATCGAATTCTCAGAAGACCCGCCAATATTGGCCGAAAAAGCGCCCTTATAGGCCTGGTATATTGGAGAGTTGACTATAGTCTCGGGGTCTACAGTATTGCTAGGCGCAGGCAGGGCTGCAGTCAAAGTACTGCTAAACAGGAGGGCCAAAGTGATGAAGAGCTTCATATTGAGGAGATTGGGGTCTTAAGATTTTTTCTCTGGCACTGGTAGTGAGAATAAAAGGAAGAGAAAAAAAAGTGGGGTCTTTATAGGTTGGAATATGTCCATTTATAGTAGATACTCGTGATCAATTCTGACGTTGTGTGCGCGGGTTCTCCCGCTAACTCATTGGTATAGGTTAGGTTTCCCAATTTGGGTACACTCAATTATCCCTAGCCTCCAGAGACAAATAGTCTGGCGGAAGGCTAACCATTTCTTAATAATAAAATATAATCCTCATGACAATTACAAGTATATTACCCCACAATCCAATAGGGCCTCGACCAGGAGCTATTTGGTTTCCAAACATAAACGGGTTTAGATTCATGATCATCGAGGGGTGAGGTAAATTAAATGATCGTTATAGTCCCCGAAAAACACTTGTGCTAAACCGAGGTTCATAAACTGTTGTCAATGTAGGGCGAGTTTAGAAGTAAGAGCGAGGCGTCGAGTATGTGCGGGTTATCCCTTAAGCTGTCGATGCTGACCCTTTTTTGTGGGGGTCAACAAGCCACAGCAAATTCAGGCGAGTCATTGGTAGGAGATTGACTCAGGATAAGAATTTGTTAGTAAAGCCACACTTTTAGCCCCCGCAAAAAAGGGTCAGCATGTCTCGACAGCTTAAGGGATAGTTCGTTGTAATATCACGGCCAAGAAATGATCATTTAGGGGTTTTTCTTAACATATATACTGACCTAGGGGCCACTCGAACCCTAGAGTATACTAGATTAATCATTGGCATCTTAAATAGTAAAATGTAGGTTTCTGTATAGCGAAGATAATAGTCTTGATTGGTTTGAGAAGAGGGGATGCCCTCTTCTCCTAATCATAGCTAGCTAGTGTACTGTTCTTGTCCTCTTCTTATATTAGAGTCTCGTTGTCTAGTCTTTAATCCGTTCTTTGTAACTATGTGTGTATATGTTTACTTTAACTAGCCTACATAAAAGCCCTTTAAAATGCCAATTCCGGATTTACTAAAACTTGAGTTTACCATAGCAATAGTGGAGATTTTAGCTGTCAAAACCTCGGGAAACAAGCCCATGATAATCTAGGGACTCCTCCGTAAAGTCCTAAGTAGATTTCTAAACGAAAAATTAGGTTGGGGGGCCGGCTGGGGCTTGTCTGTACCTGCGGGGTACATATAGCGCACGATCTTATGAGTTAGGATTAACTAGAGTAGGGTGTATACCTACAGATTATTTAGACTGTATAGTGGACGACTTCCCATAAGAAATAGAGCGTGTTCTATTGCAATAGCAGGTGGCTCTTAGATATGTAGATCCAGTTCCCATGAGCAAGTAAGATTTTCTATTCGCCGGACTTGTTCTATTCATTTACTAAGGCAGATAGTAAGGCATGGTAGCAGTGAGCTTTTCATAGTTAGTTCCCTGTTCTAACCGAAGAAGGAAGGTGAAAGTACTCAAAGTTCTATTCAAGCGGTTAGAAAATGTTCTATCCCATAGACCCCCACCCCCCTCGAAGATGGTGCTTATCAAACTTCTTAGATACCCGTGTTCTATTTGACAGAAAGACAAAATCAGGTTTATTGGGCGATAGAACGCGCTCTATTGCCTATGGGAAGTCATCCAGTATCATATCTACATTTCGAAGTACCGGTAAATACGTGCATCCATGCTCGTGACACTGACGGAGCGACAAATAAAAGCACTCAGCAACACATAGCCCTATCATGTAGGTACAAGTACTGCTCTACATTAATTCAAAGATAGATCTAGAAAGTGGAAATAATAACTACCGAGATATATTCTAGTAAAGAATAGGATGCGTATGGCTTACCCCACCCCCTAAAGAATATCAAGGAAGTAGCTACTAAAGAAAAAAGATGAAAAGAAGAGGGAAAGAAAAGAGAGTATGATCAAAGAAAAAAGTTTATAATAGAAATAGTTCATTAAATTAAGGGTTGGTTTAGTATTGAGTGAGTGCCTTCGGTATGATCTTAGTGACAGAAAATATCCAATTAAACATGGAAAATATCATAAACGCGTCTGAGAAACTATGCGAAATATTGCCTATCTAGTCTCTTTCTCCACCTTTGCGGCAGAAATAGTGTTCTAGAATCTACTTGAAGCTTGTGTGAATATTAGTTTTCGTGCACTTCAACCCATTATAATTACTGAAAGTAAATGTATAAATGAAGAGTGATGAACTTACTCTTTGTGCCTGCGCCATCGTCTGTATATGTATGTTGAGCAGTTTCCCTGGTACCCAATCTTATTTTGTCTTCAATATCTTCTGCCGCCTTCGTGAGTTTATTCTCACTCTTCAGATGATAGAAAGATCCCGAGGAGTTTAACTATTTTAGGGATAAATTCAAGTTTAGTTTACGTACCTAGGGCAACACATACTCATGGAAGTAACATCGGAGCCACTTTGAAGTTTCGAGGAACAGCCGGTGTTATATCCACTTGGGCAGATACCAGGACCAGGGAGGTAACCACCTCCATGGTAAGTGTCTGTCTTAAATCCAGGCGGAAAGCAGCGAGACATAAATACACCGGGGGCGCCATAATCCATTCGTAGGAATTCTCTATTGCCATTTTCATACAACAATGATGAAATTGAAAGGATCTGCCCACAGCTCGCTGCTGGTGTAAATACTGTTAAAGTGGGAATTGGCTCGTCCATTTCGAAAATATCGACCCTTTCCTATAGAACTGGGCCTAGAATTAGACGGGGGCTAATTCAAAGTATCTGAAGAATTGAGAGAATCAACGGTGTCCGAGAGCTCTAAATACCACTGGGATATGCCGCGACAAATGGTAGTAACGTGCGGTTAGATCTATAGCTTGGCGATAAGTGCTGATATTGACATCTTGAACATCTCTAGGCTACGTCAAGAGGTCTATCGCTATCAATTAAACCTAGTCTAATTGACCTTTTGAAACGGCTACTGAGGATCTAATGAGTATTAGTACATACATAGAAGAACTTGGTTCTTATGTGGGTCTTCTGTCCCGGAAACTTGAGGAATCAAAAATACTTGTACTAGTTCCACAATCCAGGCCATACATCTTTGTAAAAGGTTTGAACAGGCTCTCGACAAATCGTATTTTGATATGTGGTTGAGTAAATACGAAAATTTCCCCGCCCGCAGCCCAGCTAGTTCCTTAGCCGAATATCGAGTGATGTGTGCGTAGCCCGCCGGCCCATTACACATATCGGGGCGCCCTTAAACATTACAGCATTGTAAGATCTGTGATGCATGTAGCAGGATAGGTATTCTGGGTGCAGTGAATCAGACCGGTTCAAAATCGGTGCAACTCAAAAGATAAACTGCTCTAAAGCTCTAAAGCATGATTGGGTTCTCGTACCCTGGGATCATCTCTATCCTGCATAGCCAGCGGTTCTGGGGGTTAGAGAATTTCGTCAGCTGGGAGGGAATAGCAAAGAAGAAAAAAACTAACCAGCAGAAAAGATCAACAAGTAGAATCATGTCGCGACGATTTTTAAACTTCTAATAAATAAATAACCGTGTAGATTCAGAAAATGAATCACCAAAGAAGGACATCTTATGTGAATTAAAGAAAGGTAGAAATACACAGACGAATCATTCTATGCACATATTGACTGGTTCAGGAAAATACTGGAATTGCTGTAGATACTTCGTACGTGTGCACAGCTGCAGGTGAGGTTGAACGGGAGCTAGAGACTTGGCGGTATACTTGTACCTACATGTACTTTATTTCCGGGAAGGTGATACGTTTAATTATCCGTGCGTGCTTCTTTACCGTCAGATCATTGATCGTGCAGTATGTACCTACTTACTAGGTACGTACGTGTACTACATGGCATAGGTAAGGGCGTGAGGTACGGAGTTCTGGGAATGGGCGTTTAGAGAAGTTTCAAACTAATATTTCTAAATGGGCAATAATTTCTAGACATTCAAGTTGGAAAGAGAAGGGTAATACCGCTCGCGTTCGACCAAATTTGAGATGTCACTTTTTGGCTCAACAGCAGGAATTGGGAGCTTGAGGAAATAGGATTATTCTTTCCGGGTCTCGAATAGATTTCTAGGGCGATTACTGATCTCTATTCTCCTCATCTTCTCCTCCCCACTCCCCCACCTCCAGCACCGCCGCCAGTTCCAGCAGCCATATCGGCCATATTAACCACCTCACCAATCCCCGCTTCTTCCTGCTCGTCCTCCAACGCTCTAATCTCCTCTCTGCATGCCCACCACTTATCTTCTGCAGTCTGGAACGCGGCTTTTCGAAGCTCCTTGATCGTTTTTGACTTGTCACTAGCTGATGATTCAAGCTGTGCAATGAGAATGTCCTGCCATGCAGTCGAGGTACGCGCGAAGAATTCGCGGAGTGTTTCGAACGGACGTGGATGAGGGGTAGGATCGGGGGTTTCATCGATGGGTGCTTCCTCCTCATCCTCAACAATGGGTTCTGGAACGGCTTCAGGAACAGTTTCCTTTCCTTTCTCCTTCTTTCGCTATTGGTTGGATGAATAAATGTCAGTGAGGGTCGCCTAGCTGGGGCTTGGCTGTATCGCACCTTTGCTTTCTCTTTCCGCCTTGCTTCGATTTCTTCTTCGTCGATAACCATTTTTTCAGCTTCTTCTCCTTCATCGTCGACATCCATCTCATCTTCGTCTTCTTCTTCATCATCTTCTTCGTCGTCATCCTCGTCTTCGTCCTCGCTGTCCTCCCAGACGGTTTCGTCTTTACGAGAGAATATTGTTCTAGAATTCCAGTTGTCAGAAATGGCTGCAGAAAGCAATGATTGGGCTAGCTCTTACCGAACGCCATCAAGTCTACCTAAGTCAATAGCAAACATGTCATCCATCATGAATTCTCTATCACCCTTCTCGAATGTCCCTCCATAGCCATAGAGCACATCATCCAGTACGGCCATGGCACAATTAAACCTTTTGTGGGGTAATTCTAATGACAATTCTACGGGGGCTTTCTTTTTCTCGGACTCGTCAATATCCATTGCTACCTTTACTTCAGGTGTCTCAGAAGCCATCTTCACAGTCGCTTCCAGGGCTGCAAGATTTCGTAGAAGCTCTTCTTCGTCTTCCTTTGCCCTGTCTCTTCTACCCCCGCCTCTCTCGGCTACTCTTTTCTGCTGCGTCCGGGGCTTCCGAAGCACAAGAGGAAAGAACCGATTCCGGTCCGTACCCCATGCAAACAAGTCGTTAAAAAACTCGCTATCCAGAGCTTCCTCCGTCTCCTCCTCGTCACGGACACCACCAAAGAGGATTCCTCTCCCCTTGTGCCACGCCATAGTCACACCAACACGAGGCGGATTCGGCGGATTACCAGGCTTCTTCCGGCGCTCCCAGCGCACCTTCGACAAGTCCGGATCCATTCTAAGTAGCCATGTGTCTTGATACATGACAGGTTTATAGGTCACCGACTTACTACTCCCCTGCGCTTTTGCACCCTTCTTGCTCGCGCTGGGCAGCGCTGATGTCTTTACACGGGCATACCCACCATATATGACCGCGCCCGCCTCATGTAGCAGGAACGAAAAGCTGGACCTAGCCTCAGGGCGCTGTGCATGCGCCGGGAGCGAGATCTGGGTCCATGTATAATGGACCGTATCAAACGCCCACAGATCCGCTAGGTACTTTGGCGTCGTTGACGTATCCTGGAAGCCGCCCATCAGCAGGATAAAGTTCTTCCATGCCACCATACGATGTCCACTCCTCGCCGGCGGTGTCCCACCCCCGGCCTTACCGCTACTCTTCCCCTCCACGCGGTTCCACTCGCGTGAAGCACAGTCAAAGCGCCAGAAATCATTGTAGTGGTAGAACGTGCCCTGCTTCGGCGAGCTGAACTCTCCACCAAACAGCCATAGCGACCCGCTGCCGCCACCGTGCTGGCTCGACGCTACAAAGTGGCCGGACCGTGGTAGCGGCGAGTTTGGGGACGTAATTTGCCGCCAGTCCTCGCGGTCCGCGTTGAAGATGTACAGCTCGTTGAAGAACTTTGCGATCGACCCGTTGAACGTCTCGCCGCCAAACAGAAACAGCTCCTTCCCGTTCGGCGAGGCCGTCAGCGTCGCATTTGCGCGCACCGGCGGCGGCGCGCTCAGTGGTGTTTCGGTGACTTTGAGGAACTGCGCTTGCTAGAAGGAAAACAATTACAAATCCCACTCCGGATTTATTTTATCATCAGCTCAAGATATTCCCCAACAAGCTTTTCTGTCATATAAAAATGCCAATTCACCTGCAACGCATATTCAGCAAGGACCTGGTCAAGATCCACATCCTCAACCTCTTCGTCGGCATTGTTTTTGCCCTTCTTTGTGTTCTTCTTCTCCTTCTGTGCCGTCTTTCGGGCCGTCTTTTCGGCAACTCGTGCCTTCTTGTCGACCTTCTTCTTGTCCTTTTTGCCGGCCATCTTTTGGGGGGGTTGGAGGGGAATTATATATGCTTTTGAAACATTTTGCGGGGTGTGTGGGGTTTGGGGTGGGTTACCCTGCGGTCGGTCGGTGATGTGCAAAGTGAGCCGTTTTACTTACTGTTTAGTTTTTAAGTTATTCAAAAATAACTAAAATAATAAATTCTAATATGACTCCGTGGCGCAACGGTAGCGCGTTCGACTCCAGATCGAAAGGCTGCGTGTTCAAATCACGTCGGGGTCATTTATTCTTTTAAGTTTTCTCATCGCGTTGGCGACCTTCCTTACCAGGTAACGAACGGCTTGGTCTCCGCCACTGCCAATATGGGACGAGTGATATATGATGATCTACCACCCCCGGTCCACCGGACTGTCCCTTCCTTACATGGATTATTTTGTCTACTGGGTCAGTTTCTCGAAGGGACTTGGGTCATGGATGGATTTCGGGGTCAGACTTTCATTTTCCGTTTTCAATCGCCATCGTTAATTGCAACCCAGAAGTGTCTAAACGGTCGCACTTTTTCGGTTCAAGTCTTCATTGTGCATCGTATGAAAGCTATGGATTCTTATTTATATGATATAAACACCCTCTTTCTCCCTACATCATCGGTCCTACTATTACTACATCAGTATCTTATTACCATAAGCACCATATTACCACCAGCATCATATTATCATCATCAGCATCCTGTTATCACTATATCAGAACCATCTTATTATCTGCACAGACAGTAAGCATCCTCTATAGACCCACTAACTACATGTAGCTCCCATTATATAGCACAGAATCACCCTCACTGCCCATGTCACCACCAACCCACGACGCCCAGATCTGCGCGCAGACCTACAACCGCTGCCCCGAGGGCCTCTGCGTCCAGCGGCTGGAACTCGCCGAGATGATGTTCGCCGTTGACGAGCTTGGTAAGCAGCGGGTGCGCATTATGAAGGAACTATGTGGGGACCTTGAGGCTTTGAAGTCTGGGGGGATGTCGAGAGAGGCGATAAAGGCGCTGAAGGACGATTTAAAGGAGATGCGGAGGCTGCTGAATAAGCTTAGCGAGGATGCATTGAGGGTGGGGAGGCTGGTGGGGATGTGGGGGGAGAGAAAGGATGGGATGAGGGGTGAGAGGAGTGCGGCGGTGGATGTAATGGTGGAGGGGGATGAGGAGTTTTTGAGGGGTGAGTAAGGTAGTGTGAGTATTGGTAAGTTGGCGTTTCAGGTAGTGCGCTATTAGTGAGTGAGTGGGTGGTGTTACGAGGTATTTAAAGGATAGAGATATGAGTGTTGCGGTGCTAATAAAATGTTTTGGAAATGATATTTTTGCATTGAATTTGGGCATCGAGTGATATTCTGTGCGACTTGCGACCTGTAATGCACGTACCTACACCTCCGGTTTGCTCCCCCTCGCTTCCTTTTAGGCTTGGTTTATTATTTACTAGCTGGGGGGGGGGGGGGGGGCTAGTCACGGGTCGGGCGGGACACTACATGTACATGTAGTACTGCCAGCTGGGTGCCCAACATGGCCATGCTAGCCAGCCCTACGAGTGACACCGTGTGATCCGCATTGCCGCATAACGTGTTCTCAACCGAGAAAATACCGTGTGCACAACCATGACGTGGTGTTGTTAGGTGGACAGATTGCTTGTAGAAAAGGACGATTCTCTCTCCTGCGGTGCTATTTCTTTCTTCCCCTCTCCTCTTCTATCTTGCTTCCCCTCCTCAGCTACATGTAGCTACATGCTATTGTGCTAGCTCCTATGCTAGCCTTTTTCGTTAGAAAACCTTTCTTAAGCTGAACTGAATATTAATTTCTACGTGTAGTGATGATAAAAGTTTAATTGTATTCTGATCTAACTACTTGGCCAAATAAAGGGAAAATCTTATCTTCTACATTGACTGAGTATCTAAACATCCGTTCTCACCTTGCTCACGTCTTTCTTCTTTCCTCTAGCTAACTCGTCAACCAACCTGTCCAGCTCATCTGCCAAGCCCTTACTCGCAGTTCCAGCGCTTCTATGCGCCTCTGCAGCAGTTAACAGAGCCACGGCTGCCGCGCCGATCTGTTCGTTTCTGCCTACAACAGACTTAGCAGCTGAAACCCCCGGATCTGGCACATCTGCTAAACAATGGTCAGAGTAGGAAGGAAGAAAAATGGACTTCTCAGTCATCCACATACCAGGTCCAGACCGGCAAACATGCTTCAGTTCCTCCCTGTATAAATGCAGGTTATCCACATCCTCTAGTATCTTGCCCACCGCGCTCGGAACTGTAAATACAGCCACCGCCCCCAACACCGTGAGGATATAACAAATAAACACCTGATCATTAGCCCCCAATCTCCTGTAGGTGAGTCTACATCTTCAGGACTTACATTCCGATTCCCTATTCCCCTCCCCGCCTCTGCCCCCACTCCCCACCATCCCTTCCATGCCAGGGCCCAGTATAACCCCAGCGTCAGCACATAGCATCCAATCGAGGCACTCAATAACCATGCTGGTACCCATAACCTTGCAGCAACTGTCAGGCTCGGCACCCCCTCGACCCTGCGACTACTAGTCACCAGTCCCCTGTGGGTAAACGCTCTCCGAACCTCGTCCGCGCTCGCAAATCCCGCCAGCCAGTGGTGCAGCAAAAACGAGTAGTACACGCTCAGAAGCGAGAGCACAAGCCCGCATGTCCACAGCGCCGACACGCTCCAGTGCAGTGCAGGCGTGAACTCCTGCTGCATAGATGTGTTCGTGACTTGTGCGACAAGGGCGGCCGCGACGCCCGTCATGCTGCAGGAAGCCATGCGGCGCGCACGGTAGTCGAGCGTTGTGGTGTCCGAGGCGAGGAGAACATTATGCGTCATTATTCCGAGAGTGTCAGTTAGTGGTGAAAGCAGCGGATAGAGTACTGTGGGGAGGGCGTAGGGCTCGAGTCGCTATCCTCCGTCGAGATCCCACTGTTAGTATCCTATCGCCGCTGCCGCTGTCCCCTATGTCCTTAATGTGCCCTACCTTGATTTTGGCGACCCATCTCGCGCGCAGCAGGTCTACGGTGTCCCGCAGCGTGAGCGACGAGGAGATTACTGTTCCGGAAAGCGATATTACACCCGCGAGGACGGAGACGAGTGCTAACGGGTCCGACATATGATTTGTTGTGGGGAAAGATTTGAATGATGGTTTTTGGATAAATCTCGCATTCGCAATATACGGGGATCTCTTTCTACATATTTAATGAATGCGCTCCATGTAAGAAGCCCGAGTCTGCCCCTGTGACGATCTGATCGTCTGATCACCTGTGTGTAACCCTAACCCTAGGTGCGAGTGAGACGGTGTGGAGCGTGGTCTCAAATCTGGACGGATGATGCCGGCGCTGGAGGTGAATAATTGATATCCCGTCAGTCATTCGGTCGGGGTTGCGCACTTTTGTCTACATGCGTTGCAGACTTGTTTTGATTGTCTTGGCTTCTTCGAGCAGTACGTACTACGGGTATTAAGGTAGGTCTATTGACGGTGGTCCGTGGTTCAAACAGCTCTCACTGTGAACAGACTTACCCCGAGCCTTGTAGTATATACATGCCCTACCCTCGGGGTTGGAGTTCCTCAAAATCAGCCACTGAGAACGGAGCGCCCCAGACTCAGACTCGGACTTCAGTACTTACTCGAATATCAAATACATGTAGGCTTGCAACCGGTATTGATTTCAGTCCCGGAAGCGAATCAATTAAGCCACCAGAAGAGAGTCGATCCTCTGCCATTGGTAGATCTATAGAGATTAGTAGAGTTGTAAGGGTTGTGTATTATTTGTGGTTGGTAGGCTGCGCATGCGGGCGCAACGCGCAGATTGGCGGGGGGGGGGTGAAAATGAGGTTTCATATCGGGCTAAATGCCTGATATTAATCAGAATATTTATGAAAAAACAAGTCTACATCATTTTTAGTATACAGTAACACCTAACTACTCTACAAATCTAGATATATCTTTTTCAACTAAATAGAACTAACTTCCCTCAAACTCCTCCTCGGTTTTCAGCGCTACCTCTTCTCCCCTCACCCTCCTCCTCTCCTGCACCCAGTCCCCCAGCACCGTCCACAGCTCCCTCTTAAACTCCCAACTATACCCCGCCACCAACCCACTCGTACTCGGCACCACAAACACCCTACACCCCCACCCCTCCACCGCCTCCCCCTCCTGCCACCCCCACTCCCACCCCTTGCCCACCCCCCTCCCCGTCTTCTCCTTCACCACCGTCTCCCACACCACCTTCCCAACAAAACACACCGCCTCAGGCCCCCACCTACCAACCTTCTCCCGTAGCCCCGCCACACTAGCAACCATCTCCGCCCGCGACAGCTCCCCCGCGTCCCGCGACGGCCGCCCAACAAGGTTCGTGTGTCCCAGCCCATACCTCGCCGGCAGCTCCTGGTCCTCGCACGGCGCTACCCGCCGGTCGGGCGTACACCCGGAGCTGTGCAGCAGCCGGTAGAACAGGTTCGAGGGCGCGGCGAAAGCGTGCCCGGTCGTGGCAGAGGTGAGACCCGGGTTGATGCCGATGAAGATGACGATCAGGTTTGGCGCGAGGGCGTCGGGGATGGGCGAGAGGTGCGCGTAGGTTGAAGGCGGGGCGTAGACGGAGGGCGCGCGCCGCTTCTTCTTCTTCTTGGGCGTTTTGATATCTGCGGTGGTGTCTTCGTCTTCGTCTTTGGGTTCTGCGACGGCGGCGGCGACGGTGGCGGCCACGCCGGTTTTGGCGGGTTTAGTGAGCTTTGTGGCGACCACTCGCGCAGTGGATACTGTTCTCATGGAGCTCCGCGTTATTCTGCCGCTTCCACTATCACCGCCGCTGCCGCCGGTGGTGGAGAAAACGAATTTTGAGAGCGCGCCACCGAATGAGGGTGGCGGTTTCTGCGGTGCGTCGTGAGCTTCGCTTTGCTCTAATGATTCGGTGAGCATTCTTCGTTTTGGGGGCATGGGTTCTTGCTTTTAGGTGTTATTGCTGATATTTGGTGGGTGGTATGTAGATTGTGTATTGAGGAGGTGTCGGGGGTGCGTTGCCAATGATTGATGGAGCAGCTTATGTAGCTAGCCAGCCGGGTACATGCAGCTGCAGCTAGTCAAGCTGGTAATGACCAGTAGTACGCTAGCAGTGGTAGTGGTGGTACTGATACCATCAGTAGCTATTTCAGAAGGGATGTCTCAACACTGCTGAGGATGGTTAGGGCAATAAATAAGAAGAAAAGTATGATGATGATGATTACCTGATCAGCTGAATATGCGTGTGGTTGAATTCAAGGGATTCAATTTTTGGTTATTACGTATCACCGAGTTTGACAGCTATGCCAGGCGGACCGAATTTGTAACCTTTGGACACTGGATAGATATGTACCTGGCGACAGCAGTGTGGTGTTCTTGTTGGCTTGTATTGATGATAGGTATATATAGTTGTATTCGATGATCATGATGAAAGGAAAAAAGAAGAAGGAGAAGGAGAGCGAGTTGACAGACAGGTAAAGGAAGATGCGAAACCATAGCATCTCAAAACTAACACATATGCTCAACCGCTTACACCCACGTAGCCGTTGTAATGTAACGTCCCTATTTGGGTTCAATAGTAGCGTCACTAACCGAGTAGTTAGTTGACTACACAGCGAGTGATACAAGATGACGGAGAGCTGTCAACCAGCATTTACGCATCATGGGCATCATAGATCATCACAAATTATATATAAGGAATCAATCAAACAATAAGAAGCAAGCTTTTATCCTTTTTCCATTAATTACAACCATTACTTTCACCTACTATCTCCACCTCTATTTTTTTTTCGCCCAATGCTAAAGACGCACCTTGATCTATCCACTCATGCGCCCACCACAACGCCAAACAAGGCCAAAAGCTCAACCAAATACTCGGCCAGTCCCTGCACCGCCAACTCATCCGCCATCCCCCACTCCCGTCCTTCGTCTCTAAATTTCTCCACAACAGCCACGATATCTGGCCTGCATGTTGTTGCCTCAAAGCTGATGCTGCTATTCCTTAGCATGGCCCTAGACCGTTGTACATCAATCCACAGTTCCGAATACGGCATCCACTTAGACTTAACACCGGGGCATATCGCAATATGCGCTTTACCAACGCCTCCCCCCGCTTTACACATACACAACGGACACGCCATCGGAGCACTCGCAAGTACCTTACCAGAGACATATCCGTCAATCACGGTGTAGAAGACCGCTATGCCGAAGCGCGCCACGAGTTCATCGATATGAAGCTTGGGGATCATTTGGCGCTCTGTGTGACGGTTGTATTTTGTTATGAACGGGACGGAAAGGTTCTGTTCGCGGCTGAGGATCTTGTTGCGGAAAGCGATCCATTGGGGATATAGTACGTTGAGGTTCGTGTAGGGGCGCACGTTCGTGAGAAAAGACCCGTCATACAGGCCGACGGCTTTCGCGCGGTAAGAGGTAACGAGGGTGATGCGGTCGGTGGTGCCGCGGGCGCGGAGAGCGAGGTGGCGGACGAAGCCGCCCTGGAGAATGGTAGCAAAGCCGGCGCTAGGTTGCGAGATCTGTCGGTGTGTTAGTGTTTTGGGGGGACTATATTGGGCTGCGGTGCTTACGCCTTGGAAGGTACCGTCACCGCGCTGGATCACTGTCTCTCCTCCGATCATATCGGTAGTGTCTGAGAGCATGGCGACACAGACAAACGGATAACTATCGTAACTATCAATCCACTCTAGACATTAGTATAGATACAGAGATAACTAACTGCGTTCTAAATAGCACAAAAAACACTCACTGCCAGGGGATGATACTCCCACCGTCCCCGAAAATCTCATCCTCAATCTCTTTCTGCCCTCTCACCGCCACCCCACTCCTCCCTGAACCGGCCGCCTCTAATGCAAACTCGCCGCTAGTCAACCCCTTCGAGATGGCCTGCATGCATTTCGCATGCTCCATACCCTGATATTTTTTTAAAATCGATTTGTACATTGGCATGCCCAATCTCAACCGTCTCCATAAATACCTCTAGTTCAACCCCAGCAGCATCACTCACCGCCCTCATGACCATTGGATGGGTCCAGATTTTACGAAAAAACGCCGAATAAGCGGCAGTGTTGCGTATAATCAGCGTGCTGTTGCTATAAACACTTGCAGTTTTGTTTAAATATGCGGGGTTAAGAAGGGCCTTCCTCAGCAGTGGGATTGCGGCCGCTGCGAATAGTGGAAACGGACTTGTGGCAGCGATGGGGGATGCGGCAGTGGTAGGGCGGGGGAGTTTAAGGTCTTTGAATGTAAATCTTTGACAGGGGGGCGAGATGTTAAGGTGCTCCTATGCGAGGGGTTAGATTGAGACGAGTATTCCTCGTATTTGAGAGAGGAAAAACTTACAGTCGGGGAAAATATTAGCTCTGGCTCTTGGGTGTGAAGGGCGTTGATGTTGGAATCTTCTTTAAATTTGCTCTCTACAATCCTTTGGAGCAAATGAACTGGCCGGGGTGGGTTGATGGCGGTACCGATATCCCCGCTGACTGGCCCGCTCACTTTCGGAGAAATATTGACGATATCCATAGTGACTTCCAAGTATTAATTCAAGTGATAGATCAAGCGGCGTTAATTTGTCCAATCACGTAAGGGAAGGTTGTGGGGGAAGGAAAAAACAAATCAGCAGATGAAACAATTGTGGGAAACGTTGGTCAACAAGCCTCACTGTCGTCAAAAGAAAATTTTCACCGCCAGCCATAGCCAGACTTGGCCCCGCGGGTGCTAGCGGGCCCGGGGGGGAAGACACTGTGTCTTTACCTACGCCTTCTGCCAAAAGACTACCGTGGTGTACGTACTCTGGCCATTTGCCAGCTACTTTGCGCCAACGACTGGCTGACCTTTAACCTGTCATTTGGAATAACTGCTACATAGATGACCCCGACTCTCACATATAGCATTGAAACTCTATAGAGGATATCATGTCACCACTGGCTCAAAGACCAACGCACCTATGAAACTATAGGAATCAAAGAACGCTCTGAGTTCTACCATAACGTAGCTACATGTAATAATCAAACCTCTCCCCCCCATCCATCAAGCCCACAACCCCAAGTCCACCCACACACACACGAAAAAAACTCCACGAAAAAACCATATAAGCTCGCGATTCCCGTCACCCTCATACACCGAAGAAGAAACAAAAAAAGACCCGGAGCTCATAGCCCATCACTCGATCCTTGGCAGCCCGCATTCAACCCTATCCCTACCCCGCCGGCCTTGTTTCAACCCGCCTCTGAGGAAAAAAAGCCCGCTAGTGAGGGAAGGAATGTAGAAATGAAAACATCACCAACTACCCCGCAGCCCCACAATGTCTTTTCACCATACATGTATCATTCATCCGACTCTCCCACGCGTACCATTAATTCTCTTCCACGCACACACCCTGTACTGACCTCAAAACGAATCTTTATCGCATTGTATGTTCTTCAGCGACCATCATCCATCCAAACGAGCAGAATCCCGCCATCAACGCCCGAAACGACAAGCCAGACCGTACAACCAGAGCACACACATGATAGGGACAAGATCTGCGACACTTCTCGGCTCCAGTTCTCGTCAAGACCCCGCACCTGAAACCAACACCCCCAAAACCAACTTCCCCGGAATCCATCGCGTCTCACATCGCCCTCTATACTACCGAGACCCCCCTCAAAAAAAAAAAAAAAAAAAATCCTGTCTCAACCCACCTAGGTACTAAATATGTTGTTTTTTACCGCAAGGATACATTTTTTTTTTTTGTTTAATTCATACTCGCATGCAGACCGTAGTCTATGGCGGCGTACTACAATCTTCAGTACAAGTACAGGGCTTCACCCTTTATGCCTACTAGTCGCTTCGTTCAGCAGGATGTGGAATACCCCAACCGGCTCAAGGCCAGCACTCATACCTTAGCCACACTCCTCCGCATTTTTCTCTGCATGTCCCATTTGGGCGCCGGGTGCTGGGAAAACTCTCTCCAACCGCAAGGATACATGTCCGTGCTGCCTCCCCGTCCGATGTTTCGTTTCAGCATGGTTCAACCCTCGTCTAATTTTCTGCTTCCCGTGATGGAGAGATCTTGAAGTAGAAGTTGATTCCAATGGCGGGCGGGGTGCTTCATTCAATGCCGACGGCCATGGACTGGTTAAGGGATAACCTCCATTTTTAAAATATATAACTAATCTATACTTCTATTACTACTGCAGTACCGCCTTGATAAAGGGAATTACAATTACACACATAAATTCCCTCCTATGACAACTATATTCACATTCTGATATTCCCAGCGCGCGCTCGCGTCACGAAACAGCACTCGCAGACTAATTGAAGCGGCATTTGCGCAGAAAGGCTCAGGATTGAGGAAAGAGGCGCCCTTGGGCCTTTTGGCTATAAAGAAAAAATAAACAAAACTTTCAACAACCATCGTTCCAGCTGACCAACTTCGAAAATATTGCGCTTTATATTTGCCATATAAAATATTTTTTTCAAATAAAAAACTCAACACCCCCAAGGAAAACAAACAAGCAACAATAAAATAAAATAAAAATGTGTATTCCCCAATTCTAATAACGAATGGACCGAGCATTTACCCCCGGAAATACTCAAATCATATCACAAACCTTTGTCATGACTCCCATTACAAAGGAAAAGGCAGAAATTAAAAAAAAAAAAAAAGATTTAACCCCAGTACGCGAAGCCTGCAAAAATAAATATCATTCCGTGAAAAAAATGAAATCATAAACTTTTTCCTGATATCGACTAGAAGTATTACTTAACGCCTTGTGAAGCAGCACATAATAGACGCTCTTCCAAGAAACTATACACGCGATATTAGCAACAGTAACATACTTCATGTAATGACCGAGAATAGAGAAGCTTTGACTTACCCAAATACAACCAATGAATCGGAATAGTGACAATGCCGCTGTAGCCAAGAGAATAAATCTGAAAAACCACGCTGTTCGAATCTTGGAACTGGAACCCAACCAATCAAAATTGTCAGAAGTAAAGATAGCAACGACTGCACAATTACTGAAAATCCATGCCGTAATAAGCCTAGTTCTGAAACTCTTGTAAGAATCGTCAAGAGACTTGGTCTCAACCTCCTCTTCGGCAACAAATGGTGCGAGCGCTCTTTTAACTGTTTCCTCGAACGCCTGATCAATATCCGCCTGGGGTTTCTCTGGCTCATCGATGACTTTGGCCTTCCCTTCCGTCTTGGTTTTCGCTGACGGAAGCGCTTCGGCTTTATCGGATCCTTTAGTACCCCATGAAACGTCGTGCCAATTACAGAAAGCATAAACGTTGAGAATGTTGGTGTAGGAGGACGCCATCAATACGTATTGGGGGAAACTGTGCATCATGTGCCATGGGTCAAGGTACATGAAGGAAGCAACAAAGTAAATTCCGAATGTCGAGGCCAAGGCGAGGATGATGAGCCCAGTGTTGGATGTGAAGAATTTGCCAATGAATTCCGATACACTCGAGGATTCCAAATCACTCCATCCAGCAGAGCCCGAGAATGCCCGAGCAACGAGATAGAACGAGAGAATGAGAATGTAGCACTGTAACACCGAGAAAACGCAAAAGCTGACGATATACGTTTGCTTAGAACTATCAAAAAAGGTTACAGTCAGTAAGTATGTTTCTGGCATAGATCTTCGCAAAGGATGAGGAGACATACCCTTTGGGTCTATTACCAAGCGCAAGAATGAATTGAAGGATTACAAAACACAGATAGAGGTATTTCATCATGCTGTTAAAGATAGGTGTTGGCTTTTCACCGAACGGCCAGGCAACCTTTCCAGCTGCCTTCTCTTCATCCGTTGGGTCACCAACAAGATCCATGATAACCGAAGTAGTAAGCCAGAAACTCCCTGGGTGTAAATGTCAGCATTTGTCGCCTTAGTGGGTGTGCTGCTTTTAGGTACCTATACTGAACCAACTCATAAATGTCGCAAAAATATTGTAAATGAGTTGTACATGGAAGAAAAACATTCGAATAATATTATGCGAGCTGGAGTACATCCTCCCAAAATGCATAAGTGAATAGATACCGGCTGCAAATGAGCCATTTAGCCATCTTCTTCTCTGAGAAATAAACTCTGCTGCGCCTTCCGGGACATCGGTTTCTGCTTTTGAAGCTCTGATGTATGTCAAGTGCCATTTTGAACCCGCCTTGGCAACAAGCTCGAAACATAGGATACGATCCTCTGCCAAAAACATATTCTTCTTAAAGATATTCATCCCATCAATTCCCTTCTTACCAAATCTGGCGGAAAGCGTATGGTCACCATGGAAGTACTGTTCCAAGGGACGCCCCATAATTGCTCGAAAGCGGTAAGCCGAGAACGCACCAGGCTAAACCCAAGATAATAATTAGTCTCTTTGCTTATCTAAGTGAAGGCGGCGGAATGTCGAGTGATCTCTTGTGAATTTTACACAACCACCACCACCGCAACATAACTCCTTGACGGGACTCACCAAAACGCTGACGTAACCAAAAGCCGATTCTAGCGGCTTATCCAAAATGTTGGAAATCTTGTATTCAAAATTCTGGGTTGCTACCAGTGGATTAATCAAGTTCTTCCCACCTTTCCCCAACATGGCATGAATTTCACCACAGGCGCCTCCCAAATTTTTGTCGTTGTAAAACGCCTCCCATAGCGCAAGAATACTCTTCGGGCCCGGTTTTGTTCCAGCGTCAAGAAGAATACAGACTTCTGGATTCAGGATACGTCCAAAAGCATTAAACAACCAACGATGAGAATTGATCTTCTTAGTATTTCGCTGCTTAAGACAAAACATAAGCTGAACAGGCGGGAAGGCTTTATCATCTTCGGCACCTGTTGGGCGCATAAGTGTTTGATGCGCGGTTACAGAGATCTGTGTTGTAAATTCAAACTGTGATTCAATTGTTAGCTTGTATTCTTCTAAGCTGATTATGACTGACGGCTGCGTTGTCCGAAACCGGGAGCGGGACTCGGAAAGTGCCAAGGCTTGGCTACAGGAGTTTAAGATTACAGCCCTTCAGCCGCAGGGGCGAGAGCCATCCCATTCTATGACTTGGGGTAGGGATCATGTAATGAGGTGGGTGTTCATCATTCCATGGTTCAAACTTACAATATGGGCAGTGGTTTCTTTGCCGTCAACGTCCTTCTTCATCACACCATCCTGGAATATACCAACAGTTGCCAGCACATCCAAGGTGTTTTTGTCGCAAGGATCGATTCCGTCAAAAACTAAGCAGACAACAATTTTCTGCCAGGCAGGTCCTCCCTTCCACCAAAACTCGGATTTCTTCAAGTTTACAATGTCGCGAACGTTCTGCATGATTCCATGTAATGTACGTGCTGTCAAAACTTTGTCTTCATTGTAGTATGTTATAGCGATCAAAAGCTCTGTATGTCGATTGTACATTCTCGGTCGCAAATCGTAGCCATTCTTTAGTGTAAAGTCGTCGGGGTCACAGGTAGCAGCAGTATCTACAGACTCAGTAAACCAAATCAGAAACTCAATTTTTATATAAAGTGTGTTAATTTCAGGGGTAATATGTCCATACATCTCATGTGGGTGAATTCTGTAGTTGCTGAGTCCTCTCCAGTACCAGCCTTATATTTATCTTGAATAGCATTTGAAACCGCAGAAGGAACAGGATATTCAATGGACAAAACCTGGCCCTGTTGCAATTTGACTCTTCGCGTTGCGTATCTCCGCAGCCCGGACGGTGCTTGTCTTCGTCGCCATTCCCCGTCCAAAGAAAGCACACTTTCCCTTCCAGTAGGCCCGGGGCTAGTAGACGAAGAGAGCAATGTCGGTGTCGAGGATTCAGGAGATGATTGTAGGTAAGGTCCCTGACCGTGGGCGAACTGTGATTGTGGTGTACTCATCCTCTGTAGATGCTCTGGAGTGGATGAGCGAGAAGACGTCTCGTCAAAGGGACCTTGAAATGGATGCGGTGGTTGCATTGTGTCTGAATAGCCCCCGTTCAAGGGGACTCGCTCGTTAACACCATCGTCTTGGTGTTGGAGCGGGTAATCGTGAAGGGTGTGGGCCTCGGGATAGTCCGCAGGCTGACCGCTGCTATGAAGTCCTTGATAAGACATTCTAGCAAGTGTCTTAAATTATCAACAATGACTGTATTCAAACCCAAAAAGCTCGTATTTTGTTTTTATGAAATTCTATAAGCTTCTGTTTGTCGAGAAAGTGCAACGGAAGATTTGATAGATAGAGATTGTAAGAACTCGGGGAGAAGGATGAAGAGGAGAAGAGGAACACGGGGTTCTGTCCTCACTCCAACTAAATCGAAAAAACGGGGCACAGCTAGGAAGACTAAATTCAGAGAGATGCGGGGGGGGGGGGGGGGGTGGAGAATATGTAGGCCGATCACAGATGGTGACAGCACTAGTGGATGGTGGTTGAAAGAATGGACAGAAAAGAACAAGAAGAAGAGAGGAAGAAGAAAGGGAATCTTCAGTGGCCTTCTTCACTGGCCTATTCTACCTACATGTAGTATCTAGCAGGGCCCTTCCTTGCCTGTGCAGTGGCTTTCTATACCGCCTCCTGACCGAACAACACGCTGTTTTCCTTGAATGTTCCATCGCTGTGTGGTGTGTGTCCATTGTCCATGAAAGCTTGATGGATAAATTTAGTTCCATAGACTAAATCTGTCCGCCGCCTTAACCGTTAGAGATTTGCGGGTTCTAGTCAAGTGTCTAACCTCTGCATTCCCGCCGTTGGTTGGCCACGGTGATTTCTCGCCTGGGCAAAGATCAGTTCCTAGGTGCCAGGCTCTTGCATAGACGGCAGGTCCTCTGTCCGTTCGTCGATAGAGTAAACAAACAGACAGACATCATAACCCCACCACAATAACAACAACCCACCTCCACCGCCACTTCCTTGCTTGCCCCTGTCAATTTTTTGCACACTTCTGTTTTTTTCTATTTTTGCCCCTATGATCGGAGTGTACCAATCTCCATCCTGTCGGGACATGCGCTGTGACTAGAGTTGTCCCCTACCTGAGTCGTGACTCGTATTCCTGGCAGTGGATCCTTGGATGCGACCGTTACTTTCTCCCCGAATCCCGATGGAACACCGTACTCTAACCAGGAGCCTCAATCCGGTCTACACATAGGTACCAGCGGGACGCGTGTCAGGTTCAACCACTCTCTCCCTGTACTTACTGTTCGGATTCCACCCATGGCCAGCTTTGTGTGTTAGAAGCTCAGTTAGAGCTTCCTCCGAGCTAGATGATGCAGACCCCCAAGATCGGCAAAGAAGCGCACCAGACATAAAGATATTTCTGGATTGTGCCTACAAAAAATGTTGATCCAGAAGGTACACCGTTGCGGTTGCAGATCTCTGTGGGATGAATTAATACTATTACCCGTCTTCTCCCCCCATCATCTTCTAATAACGAATCCCTTCCGCTAGACCTGTAGAGCCTACAGCGTAAAAGCTACGATAGAAGAAGTTGAGGCCCGAGGGAAACCTACCTACAAATTGACATTGGCGGCTGCAATTACGCGCGGTAGCTAGGTGAATTGCCCCCGGCAGATAATCGTTCCTCCCGGCCAAGCCAAAGTGCGCAAGAAGATGTCTGTCTCAGCCACATTTTTGCACTTCCGTCATCGCATGCCGATCTCGACTTTTCTCAAATAAGATGGTTTAAAACTACCCTGAGACATGCAAAACCGGGCCGAAATGTTCACCTCCGTGAACTCTCGACTCCGATTCATCACCCACCACTGTGGCTCATATGCAGTGTTGGACGAAAGTGGTTGTTTATTTTCATCTTGAAGCTGTTTCTTCGGCCATAAGCACTACAGTTTCGCACGTGAAGTGTCTGTGTTTATGTACTCGTTCCGGATGACCCGGGTCAGTAGACGGCTTCTTGCCTGTTTGTTGTTTTCGGGACTCGTACTGACCCCATGTTCATCTGGAAATTAGAGCATGACCATGGGATAACCTAGAAGGTAACCTTTCTAAAAATAAATTAACATGAATCGGAAGCTCACTTTGAAGCGACGGAGAATAGATTTTAGGTTAAGCTTGGAATTTCAAATGATTATAAAGCATTTTTGCGGCTTTGGCCAATCACGTGCCTGGCCTAGGGTACACCTAACCCTCATTTCGTATTTCACGGCATTCGGGCCATCTGCCCAGCCTCATCAAAAAATCAAAGTTATCGAATGACCTACGTAAATACATAGGTACTGTAGGCTGTGTTTTCCCGCATCCAAGGCCATACAAAGTGCAATACCGGCTGTGGGTTCCTTTACAGGAAAATATCCTGCAAATGCCTCGACAACGTGGCTGGCAAATAGCAGCTATGCAATAACTTACCTAGCTTTGTGTATACTGCAAGGATATAGCTATGAGCTCGACGTATGTATGTAGGTACAAGCGTAGGTACAAGACTACATATATAATACCTACATACGTACGTAGTTTGATGGAAATCACCGATCGATATCTAATATGGACTGAAATCATAAGCACTTTCTTTTGATAGAGAGTTGTTGAGAAAAAATAATTACTGGATGTCACAAAGGCTTGACATTGATTAACTGTTTCGGCCGGATAACAATACTCGTAGTTTTTTGGCGTTTCCGGACGCAACTGTTATTGCATACACAGAAAAACTGGCCAATGCTATCTTTTGTATGGCATGCAATAGCAGTTACGTCCGGAAACGCCAAAAAACTACGAGTACATCAGACGCAGGGCTGAGGTCGGCCGATAGTTAATGATCATTTGGTCATATCGATTTTCAGGGGGGTGGATACAATTGGGTAACAGCTTGTGCATAGCCACACTACATATTGACTGTTGATTACTTACCGACTGGGCAAACAGGTCTTGGCCCTTGATGCATTCCAAGAGCTTACCTCAAATACCTATCACCCCACCTTGCGCTGAGCTGAAATAACGGTGAATATAGGTTAACTAATACGGTACTTTAGCTGAAAATGTAGTGAGATATAAATATTCCGATGATTCTCTATCATCACTATTTAATATCGCAAAACTATCATGATCAGTGATAGTAGGAGAGAAATGATACATACGGCGGATCGAAACGGCAAGGTATATTTACACTTTTAGAAAGAAGTTATAATTTTGTTGACGTTGCAATAATAGTTAGGCTTATTTGATATTGATGGTGATTGGCTGCCTTGATGTGACCCAAATAAATAACTATAAAGCAGATTCCCGTCTTTCCATTCGCTGGACCGATCAAACATTTGGTAGTGGGGTATGAGGGGATAGCTAAAGAGCACCGAATACCTTGCCTTGCACTTTGCATGCACCATCACAATCCTGAGCGCCACTCAATATGAAACAAAACAAACAAACCCCAGAAATGTCAACATGGAATCCTTACGTTGCCTCATGCTTCCGTCCATCTCAAGGCATGTGATAATTGATGCACAGCTAGCATACCAGCCCTCGAAAAATAAAGCTTATATCTGACTCGCAGATGGGTAAAAAAAAAACGATCTATGACGAGTGATTCATTGTGATGCTTGGCCGGGTGTGCACTTTCGACGCTGTAATAAGCGCGAGATGCACCGTCACAGCCGGAGAAGCCTCTTAGGTGAGATCCCCCATTGTGGAAGAGCCGATTAATTGATGAGTGCAGAAAGTCTCTCAGATCGGTCTGGCTCTTGCTGAATGGTTTGAGAATCAAGATATTCACCTGGACCCATGGATTTTTGTTGTTTAATTCATTGATCCTGGACCCATGGACCCGCTGCCTGACTATGAAGTGACTATGGTTTATGGTACCTGTCACGGTAAAACTTTAATTGTGACTATTGGCCTAGACGATGTACCGACCTGCTTGGGGCTTATTGTAGTTTTGGAGGTTGAACAATCATTCCTTCCAAGGATTATTTATGGGTAGGTTACCCTAGCCCTGAAATTTTGTGGTTGACTTTAATGCATGCAATATTTGATTGGCAGCGGCCAACCGGTAGACTTAAAATGTTTAGATCTATGGCACATACGTACCTATCACTACCTTAAGAAATATACTGGAACAGACAGTTTTCAGTCCCGGTAACTGCCTGTTTAAAAAAATACTCTACTACATCACCTCCGGCGTGGAACAGATCCGCAATTTACTACGGAGGAGCCCGAGCTCGTATATACAATTAAGGAAAGTAAGCGCACGGTAGACCCACGGCGACCGGCACCAGAGTGTACCCTTTAAAGAAAAAGGAAAAAAATATCTATAATCAGCCGCGGTGGCCTAGTCTGCGGATGACAGGTTGCGGAAAGCTACGGCGGCCGATTATCCGGACCCGAGGATTCCGGAGTTGGGCTTGTGCTCCCGGGGAACAACGGATAGGCTCTTTTAGTTACCGGTGGTCTTTGAGCTCCACTTTTTATTGGAAGGCGCGATCTGCGGTCTGGCCCTCAACTTTGAGCTGATTTTTTTTTGATAGCTTCATGGGTTATCACTCGGTTGATGAATTGGGGGGATGCGGAAAAAGAAATGGTTTTCTGTAAGCATGTAGGCACAGCGTGCTGGTTTGGGGTGAAGGTGAGCATAATTATTTAAGAATCTTTAAAAGGCTTGGGGTACCATATTGTCCTGTCAGCATGTAAATGCGGTTATGCGATTCCACGGCGACGTACATTATTGTGCTCATGCTATTTATCGATATATCGTTGACCCATAACTAAACCTCAAATTATAGGAACACGCAGACAGTTCCCATCCGTTATATCCCTTCGTGCGTTTTCATGACCGGGAGCTAGTAGGCAACTTTTACTCGGTAGTACACCTAACCCTCACTCCGTAAACCTCTTTTGCTGTAAAGTCACTTTCTGTGACCCCTCATACACTTATTCTGGTGTCTCCACAGTCTGTAGGTAGCTAGATTTTCTGAATATCACCACGCCGTCGTGGGCCTAATACAGAGTCTGGTAGAATTAATGCGAAAGTCAGCGCAAAAGAGTGGGTTTCTTGGTTTATGCTTACAGCAAAAGTCCTTTCAAGAGCCAATGGGACTATCGGGTCACGGAAAGCCCACTTTCGCAACAATCCTACCAGACTCTGTATTTCTCCCTTTTTGCTCTGACGAACGAAGGGATAGTCACAATTATATTACCAGGGTGTCAAGTCCCCTGAAATGCCCGTCCACATAAAACGTCGAGGTTGAATATAAACTGACCCAATCATGCTAGATAAGCGCAGTATATATAATTAATTGCTGAAGAAAGCCTGGTATCGAGGATGAACCAACTGGTCGTCTCTTTCCGTACCGGCAGTAACCAAGTCTTCCCCGAATTCCCCGAACTCTCCGTTAGCCGCGCGCAAAGGACCCACCATCATTAGGTAGTGCTACCTTCGAGAGCAATTTCAAAGCACTGGACCTGTACTAATATCTGAAAATTCATGGCCCGAGTTAGCTACAGTATCCGGTAGAATTATTGCAAAAGTCAGAGCTAAAGGAGTGGATTTGTTGGTCTGTGCTCGCAGCAAAAAACCTTTTAAGGGCCAATAGGACTATCGGGTCACGGAGAACCCACTTTCGCAATAATTTTACCAGATACTGTATGAATTGCCCTGTATGACCGCTGCTGTCAGCTTTATCATGACTCGTTTTGTAATTGAGGATTACCGTTTTTGTTACTTACGTAATTACTAGTACTCACTGCGTACTTATCCTGATGGCGGAGCGGCGGCCGGGGTAAAATCTTCATGCTATAAATTAGCAGTTTCCCCTTCACCACTTTTAAAACCAATAGCGCTACTTTTAGGGCTAGTTACCAGTTAGGGCTGCCCCTCAGTAGAACGACTCATCTCTCCAGAGCCGGTCGGTGAGACAACGGTTAGAGCAATTTATGGTAGGTTAGGGTTTCTTTGGTTTTATAGGTTTTTTTCCAGATAAATTTTTCAATTTTTGTATATAGATAATACATGTTTCCTGTGTATATATGTATATAGAAAACGGCGAAGTCTTGGATCTTCCTCCAAACATTGGAAGTTAATATCGGAAACTAAAAAAGAAAAGTTTCCCCAATTTGACCAATCTTGATATAGATTGACGAAGCTTTCCCCTATATGTACACTCATTTCGGTAGTTCCTCTTTATCATGTTGCCTGTAGGCCTACATCGTACCCGCTGTTCGTCTACTATTTGGATGGACCGACTTGGCATACTAGCTACAGTCATCTTTGGTCGTTGTAGTAGGACCGAATCGCAGGCAGCGTTGAGTTTTAGAAATACATGAGACTAGTTTCTCCAGCGTTTGCCTTGTGTTTTAAACAAGAGATTTAGTGATATGTGTAGATCCGACAGTGAATATATGTAGCAGCTGTAAAAGCGTTCGGAATGGGCCTCAGAGGCAGTACATTACCGTGCTTCCGTATGGTACTCGAGGAAGACTCTGCGTTTCTGCGATAGGGACACAGTTCATCTGTGCAGAGTGTAAGGTGGTCTTAGCAACGGTATCCACAGTCCAGCTTAACTAGCTAGCTAGACGTGTCAGCTTCAGCTGTATAAGTATTTAGACATGCTCTTGTCCTTTATCCTTCTCCTAACAGAATCATCTTTCCTATTATAACTACCTACCGAGTCTTTTTATAATTATATATAAGAGCCTTAGAGTTAGATTAGTGGATTAATTGTATTGCTGACGTACTTGATCAGTTGAGCTGCGAGATTGTGGCATAGTATCCGAGGATCACAGAAGATACATGTAGCTAAGTGCCTCTATCCGCTAATACAGCTTCAATTGTGTGCTCATATCATGTCCAGTATAATTCTGTCCGCGGGTGTTTGTGTGGAGCTAGCAAGCAGTGGGTTAGGGCTTGCTCACCACCCATGACTCGTGCGCTCCCCCGACTTACCCGGCTGCTGACTACACCACACGCATCCTAACCAATCACGGCCCCGGCAAAACCAATCTCGAAACCCGAAACGCCGCACACCTTATCCCCGCGATACCACCACCCCCGACACCCCTCCATCTCCGCTCACTCAAACACCTCCCACCCCCCTCCGCCGCCCTCATATACATACATAATGGCATTCAGACTACCTCTCCGACGGCTGCTGCTGGGCAGCACCGCCTCGCTGCGCAATCCCGTGGTGATGCCCGTCAAGCGGGGCATCACCTCGTCGGCCGTGAGGAAGAGCGATTCATTGAACGTGGTGAGTACCTAGCCGCCTCTCCCGCCTCCTCTTACTTCCGGAACGGAAAAAGGGGCGAAGGAGATAAAATTCAAGGAGAAAGCTCAATTGGTTGACCAAGGCCCTCGCGAGGATGATGTAGCACCGCGACACGCCGGAAAATAACCCGAGTATCCCGTTCAAGTTCAACGAGCAGAACCTGAAGCTCGTCGATGAGATCCTCAAGCGCTACCCGCCCCAGTACAGGAAGGCAGCTGTTATGCCTATTCTTGATCTCGGACAGAGGCAGCATGGGTTTGCGTCTATCAGTGTGATGAATGAGGTGGCGAGGATATGTGAGATGCCGCCCATGAGGGTTTATGGTACGTCTCTCCATATATATACATAATTAAGCTGGGTTGGCACATGTGTGGGGGCTGAGCGGGAGGGCGGCAGTATGCCGGAGCGATTTCAGAGGCACCAATTGATCTCGGGGGCAAGCGTCATAGTTTTTTCTCTTCTTGTTTGAGCTGACAATCTGCTTGGGATGCTATAGAAGTCGCAACCTTCTACACCATGTACAACCGCAACCCCATGGGAAAATACCATATCCAGGTGTGTACCACCACCCCCTGTATGCTCTGCAACTCCGACTCCGTCCTCGAAGCAGTCGAGAAGCACCTCGGTATCAAGCCCGGCCACACCACTGCCGATGGCGTCTTCACCGTCACCGAGGTGGAGTGTCTCGGCGCCTGTGTCAACGCACCCATGGTTCAGATCAACGACGACTACTACGAGGATCTCACTGCTGAGAGCGTCGTCCAGCTCCTGAACGCTCTGAAGGCTACGGCTGACCAGATGCCGGCTCAAGCGCACACTTGGGATAACCCGGCGCCCACCGGGTCAACGAGTGGGTCGGGGACCGGGGCGTTGACGGGTAAGGACAAAGGTGTCAAGTCTGGATCCGCGCTTGGTGAGTTATAAGCTTCCACGGTCTAATCCCTAACTGGCCATATGTACTGATAGAAACCCGCGCAGGAACCGCAAAGGGACGGAAAGTCGGCGGAGTTACGGTTCCGCCTGCTGGCCCGATGAGCGGAAGGGATACTTGCGAGAACTCGGCGGGGTTGACTAATTTGACGGGCAAGAAATGGAGTACTGAGGTTTTCAGGAAGGATCTGTAAATGGGGTGTTTGGGCTGTTGGTTGCAATGTTGTAGATAAAACTATATTAGTGCGCGCAGAAGCATGGAAATTAAGACTAAACTGGGGAGTTGCATCTGTTATACCTAGATACCAGTCAAGTAAGCATTGAGTTGCGGGATGATCATTGCTGTGTTGTGTGCTTACAGGAAGCTTGGGATATCCAATCTATACCACTAGCTAGAGATATTGTATATATTGTATATCCAGTTGAGTCCAGCGTTTCCTACTGCTAGCTAGGGTGGAGCCTAAGCATTTTCCTACGTCGCGTAACCGAGCAGAGGAACCTCGACTACGCAACTGCAGCCAAGAAATATCTGTATGTGAATTCTCCTGATACTCTACTTGGTTACTCTTTTTGGTGATGTTGCCGCAATATTTATTAGCCGAGAAGGGACAGCGACTCCTACTAATCTAGAGTATGGACCCAAAACCACATCGCTTATACACCGGGTGCCTAGCCCTCTCTCCAGACTGATCCCCTAGCTAGATCTCTCAGCTCTAGACACCAGCATGAGGCGAAAACATCCAAACAAGAAATTGTATCCAGCTTGCGTAGAGAAGTGGTACTCCATATACGCCCTGTCAGTATTCAAACCAGCTATCGACGCCTATCGTATGGATTTCTCCTAGGCCCTAGGCGACGGGTGTTGCCGTAGCTATAACGCGGAAATTAAGTTTCAGCCTCTGAATGTAGCACATACTAGCAGAGCTAGTATGTAGAACAATCAGAGAAGAGTAGATACTCGAGCTCTACCACCTCATGTACCGGTACTTTTGCATAACGCGATACCGATGTCAGAGGATATGGTCGCGTGCTTACTTCTTGTATGTATGTCATGCCATGTAGAGTACTCCGGGTACGGTACACGAGGGAGTCTCAGTGCGGATTTTACCCAGAGTAGAGTACTAGCGGTACTACCTACTCACTACTGCCACTACTACTGCCACTGCCATTGCTACATATCAAAATAGCTGGTACACACAATGTTTGGCGATTGATACCTGGCCCTTGCTCTGAACACGCACCAAAGATATCGTGAACAACATGTCATCACACATAAGTACCTATTCAAACTCGTACATCCCAGTGCCCTTGTTATCATGTAGATTTCCCTTTGACCCCTCTTCCCCGCCTCACCACATCACACCCTACGGAGCTCACCTACCTAGCTGGACTACCATCTCTCCCTTAGATACTGAGGCAAGATCGAATCATCTTCTACCCCTCTCACTCGAGCTTTTTAACACTTATCTTTTCTATCTTTCTCTTGATATTCTAAGCACCGCTGCATTCTATTGCTATCCACTTGGCTTATTCATTCACTCCCATACATTTCAGGATTACTCAACTTCTCGCCCCAACTCAGTTTCCTTATCACGAACGTCTCTCTCTTCTCTGACTTCTTTGTTCGCCATTCGGCTCGGAGATCTAGTTCCCGGTTTTGCCTTGCCTTGCCTGCAGATTAGTTAAGCTGCATACACACATACAATTTTTATTTGCCCGCCCAGTAACTACACCTTGTAGGTAGGTTGTTGCTTTCCTTTCCGGCCACGTCGAGTTGTTGTTTGCCTGCCCCGAACAAAGCTTTGCCGGATTTAACATCCTATCTCCTCCCGGGCCTCTGATTCGCTAATCTGTTTTTCCCGGAAGGCCTAGTTCCCGAAGTTGACTCTACCTACTATATAGTGCCTAGAGAGGGGAAGAACACTGGACGTCATAAACTATCATTTTCTAGCTTCATCCAGTTGTTTGTAGCAAGCTAGTTTGTGAGTAAATCTTCTTTTTTTTTTTGAAAATCAAGTAGAGAAACGGTAAGAAGAGCTATTCTGTTTGGTTATGTTTTGGACAAGACAAAGGCTTTCCATGGAACGGAGGGGAATTTATTCTATCGGGGTTATCCGTCGATGTCATTCCTCTTCGGACCAAAAAAAAAAAAGTGCTGAAATAATGCTTGTCATGGATCAAGAATCTCTCCAGGTTCTTGCTTACAGCACTTCACCTTCTGCATGTTCCGGGATTCATGCACCCCCCATATTCGAATTAGCAACCCTCAAGCTGACTTTCTTTCTCGGTCCGATCAGCTGTGCGTGCTTAGTTTAGTGGCACCACCACCACCCACTACCAGCTCCGACTCCCCCAGCCATGCGTCATAATTTGAAATCGCAGAATCCCATTCAGTTATTGTCTACTCTTCCCAATCCATATCAAGCTCCGCCGGCAGCACCATCACCATATTATGCCCCCTCCGTTCCCTCTGCCGGCGAATTTACCCCCTCCTCCTCCTCTTCCAATGTTACCATAACACTCCCACCATCATCACTACCATCACCACCAGCAGCACATCCCGTCGAATCAGTAGTGCTCCTCATGCTGCTCCTCACTCGCAGGTGGTTCGGGGCGTATTTCTCTCTCGGGTCCGTGGGCTGGCTATGGCACCAGAACGTTGTCAGTAGGGAGTCGCCGGATAGTTGGAGCGCGGGCGAATATGCGGGCGCAGACAAGGCGCTGAATGGATGGGATGCGGCCATCTGTAAAGGCGTGGGCCTGTGTAGGAATAAGTTTGGCTCGAGCGTGCATGTGGAGAAAGAGGAGATGCGGAAGGGGGAGATGGAGAGTACGCCGGATTTTGTGCTGGATTATGGTGAGTTTCTCTTTTTTGTGTGTTTTGGCGGGGGTGGGAGCTGGTGGCTAGGGTAGATGGTAGGTGGTAGGTGGAATGCTAATTTTCGGGGGTAAAGCTCCGTATGTGTATCTTTATAGCCAAGAGAGGTTTTTGCCGGGCGATATTGGCGAACAGTATGTCGTCCTCATATGTGCATGTCTTATGTTCCTATCACTGATTTTGTGCAGCCTCCGACACACCATACCTTATCTCAACTACTCCCCCATCACATCTTACAATAATCACCAATCGCTCAAAAACCTCGCGGAGCTAAATCAATTCGGAACCAACGTCTATCTAACCTCCGATGACGATCCTGAACATCCACCAGAATGGCTCCGTGGCGACCGCAATAAACCGATATCTCCGGGAAGCGACGACGACGACTTACTAGGGATGAGCGCAGCGCCGGGAATCATCATATGGGTAGAAAAGGGAGAAGGTATTGTCGATGCATTTTATTTCTACTTCTATAGCTTCAATCTCGGGAACAAGGTGGCGGGCTGGAGGTTCGGAAACCATGTAGGCGACTGGGAACATAACGCCGTGAGGTTTGTGAATGGGCTGCCGGAGTCGGTGTTTTATAGCGAGCACAGCGGTGGCGCGGCATACGAGTACCAAGCTGTCGAGAAAATAGGTTTAAGGGTTTGTTCTAGCCTTCCCGGGTATGTTGCGGGTGCGGTCGCTGATATTTGTGGGGAAATAGCCGGTATCGTATTCTGCGCGAGGATCGCACGCGAATTACGCAAGGCCTGGGGTGCATTATTACGCCATCCCGTTCCATCTCCTTGCCGATGTCACCGATAAGGGTACTCTGTGGGATGTGACGAAGAATTCGTATATCTATAAGTGGAACATGACGAGCGATGTCTTGACGCCGAGTATGGAGACGCCGTTGGCACCGGTAGAGTGGTTCCATTTTGAAGGAAGGTGGGGGGATCGGTTTTATCCGTTGAGTGATCGGAGGCAGTATAGAGTTGCGGGACAGTATCGTAGGTTTCTCTCCTTCTTCTGTTTGCGTTCGCGTATGCTAAATATTTCACCCTCGGTACTGCAGACTACGTCAATGGCCCTACAGGACCTAAATTCAAGAATCTCGACCGCAAGGAGGTCTGCCAGAACGAAGGCATCTGTGTTGTCCAGCCAAGCTTAACCGTGAAGTTAGAGGGCGTCAACGGGGGTAAATGGGACGAAGAGGATATCCCATGGCCAGGCGATTCGAAAGAAGAGACGGATGTTGAAGGCGCCGATGGGTATGATTTTGGGGGCGACTATGCCGGTGAAGCTGGCGCCGAAATAGATTGATATTGGGGGTTGACGATTCATATTTGCTTTTTGTTTTGGGTCTGGTGTTAGAGTTAACCGGTGTTTTTCCTTTTGCATATTTGGCGGTTTTTTTCTTTTTCTTCTTTTTCTTCTTTTTCTTCTTTTTTATCCGGGGGTGCCTCCTCTCTCCTTTTTTTTTCCTTTCTTCCTTTCTTCCTTTCATTATGACTTACAATTGCATGAGTTTACGGAGCATACGGGGTCTTTAAAACGGCTCTGGCGTCTAGGCTTTTTTTTTTTTTTTTTTTTACTTTTTTCTTTTCCTTTTCACAGATTTAAGCCGGAGCATGGGAGTGTTTCTTTTCTTTTCTTCTTTTTACTCGGCTTGCTTTGGGCTTTAAATTTACCTGAGAGGCTTGATGTATTATATGTATACCAAATTGTTCATGAGATATTCTGGAAATTGCAGTACTTCAATATCCCAACATAAGTGGAGCAGGAGTAGCAAGAGGGCCCGGAAGGCTCAGCAAATTCTATTATAAACAACTTGAATGATTTGTATTCATGTAATATAATTTGATGGTCCATCAGGTACAAATTTTGAAATTGTTTCAAGCACATGAAAGGTCAGATGATCACCGAGTGATTGTGTATGAACCAGTGTAAAGAGTGTAGTTTGGTTTATGTCAAATACTCAGCCACTATTGGGGGACATAGCTCTCCGGGTGTAGTCTTCTATATACAGTATCTTTTGATCTTCCTTGTCTTACCGTTCTAGGTTTTTGATACAATCGTAACCTCCGCGGCCCGTGGAACTCGTTACATACATACCAGGGAAACGCCAAACATAGGAACCCAATCTCTCCGATTGTATCTAATAAAAGGCAAAAACCACATTATATTTCTACCTGCTTTGCAGTAAATAGCAGTATATAATTACACAACAGCCCATATATGTATTTCTATCATGAAGCATTACCTTAATTGTATACTGGTCTTTTAAATCTTGATATAACACAGACAAAACATTGCTGCTCAAGAGTATCCGGGAGTCAACTATCCCGGACTATTAAAATGCTAGATCCCACCCCGTACGCTGCGTACCGGCGGTGCCCATACTATTTATCGCGGCCGGCCGAATACCACTAGTAGGCCGGAGACGGCCCGCTTCTTCCCAGACGAGGGTGCGCGTGACCGACGGCTCGCAGGGGAGGATGCGGGATCGGGTGTTAGTAACTGGTCGTGCTGTTAAGGTAGGCTCCATGACCGGACCGGGTGAGTCATGGAGTATCACTCGAACGTGATATCTTAAGATGGTTGTTCGAGGGCATGTGACCTGACTGGAGCAGGTGGGAGTCGGCTCTGCTGGTTGCTTGTTTGCAGGTCGGAGTGTGGGGGAGGGGCGTGGAGCGACGTGTTAGTAAAGTACGCATGGTTATGGCATTATAATTTAAACCACCGAAACTATGGTTTACTCACCTAAAACCAGATATGTACCACCAGATAAGCGGTTTATTGGTGCTCAGAATAGGTTACGTACCCAATAAATAGTTTTTTCCCTTGTTTGAACAAATAGCCGGAGAGGAATGTTAACGTCGACCGGCGCTTATCGGAGAGTGCGGGGAAAATACATTGTAGCTAATAAGCTCTTGGCGGGGCCGGCGGAGGAGGCGAGAGCTTTACTCCACCGCCCTACTACCCCGCTACCCACCGGTATCTTCTCAAGCCACAGGGCGGGGCTCCTCGAGCGGAGTCATGTTTCGTTCATCAAACTCCATAGCCAGTTGCATATGGTGGGTAGTCTAGTCTTCTAGTCTAGTCAGGAGGAATCTCTCTAGAAAAAATGGTGTAGACGACTCGACTGGACTTACTATTTCAGATATGACGGAGTAGGAGAGTTGTAGGGAGGTAAAAGAGTAGGTAGTTGGAGATATAATTAGCAAGCTAAAACGTTTGGCGCGGTGTCTTGACCCCTGGGACCCCCTAACTACTATCCACACCCCTCAGTGGCCTTTTCGAAAAGACCATGTGTCGATCCGAAACACACCAACTACCTCTTCGGGACTTGAGTCTGAGCTACTTGGCCCACTCTGTGTACATGTCATATTCCTGATCTGCGCATTCCTATGTAGCGATCCACTACTCGAACTAGTACCTCTCTCATCTTCTGAAATATCAGCTCAGCGTCGATCCATCACCGGCTACATCAACAATTAGCCTACCTACTAACCGCAAGAACCAGCTCTATCCGCTATCTCTCATCACCGATACCAGATAGACGAATGTCGGTGCATGTCCCATCCATAGATCTGGGGGACAAACCTTAAACCCACTGCAATGTTGATAGGGATGCACTCATGTGGCGCCGGCGAGCGCTGACATAGATAATAGTACATACCGACTGAGTAACTACATGTAACTACATGTAACCAGGAAACGAACGCAAACCTAAAAACCTACACCAGAAAAAAAAGGCATCGACTTTCCACCATACGCATGTACATAGCACATCAATACATAACTTTCTACGAGGCAATAGATTCAACATTCAAACGCCTTGCTCGGTAACCTTGTATACTATGATTCAAGATATACAGCTTAGCGATAAGTCGCATGGACTCCCCCCTTCATCTTTAACTAAAAAGCAGGTATACCTCAAAACTCCTAAAACCTAAATGTCACTATTTTCAGAATACATGTATACATACAAAGTTACATGTAGCTTTCCACCGAGTGATCTCCCATGACGACGTCCGCACCAACCAACACACCGGATTCGAAGAGAACCGAATTCCAATGAACACCCACACTCCCATCCATCCATCCGCTCCACCTCCGCTCCCCTCCCCACCACTTCGGCACTTCAAAGCAAGTCCCCCAAAACATCTTGCTCGGTAGAAACAACGTACGCTTCCAACTATCAGATTCAGACTCAGATTCCCCACGTTGCACGACGATATCGATAAGAACTTCCCTTTTCAGGACCATCCCCCCGCTGTCGCGGCGCCGCCGCCATGCAGTCCTCGCTACCTAACTAGCGCCGCCGCCAGATATGCAGCACAGCACAGCACATGGGATGGGATGGATGGGCCCTGCAGGAACGCGGGTAAGAGTCAAGTGGGTTAGTGGCGACACCACCCACCACCAGCCGTTAACGAGAAACAAGGCGCAGACAGGCACAGAGTCAAGATTGTTGTTGGCATACCTACATGTGCATAGACGGTAGTGGTGGTGGTGGCATGGCGTGGCATGGGGGCATGGCGTGGCATGGGGGAGATTCATGGTATGGGATTAATTTCTACCACCTACCGATTTGGCTCAGACCTGAGCTTTGTGGCATGCGCAGCGATTTGGGGTGATCGATTGGTAACGTATGTAGTAGATCTCCACTACCACCCCCATCCCCTCGGTCCGGTGGGTATTGGCGGCGGAAAAACAAATAATAATATAATAACGCCAACGACGTACAATAAACCTAGGCTATTAGACTAATCATAGCAGGCAGCTAAAAGATATCGTAAATAGATCAATAATGAAGGTTTTCTCTCCCGTACCATTGAGGAAGGTTTATATTATCGCAATAATTTGTGATGTGGTACCATTGCTTTGAAGTCTTGCTTACACGCTTGATCGCTCTTGGGGGAGAAAGCCACACTAGTAACACTCGTAAAAACATCCCAAAACCAGTAATCGATAACAAACCACCCGTACAACGAGCAATAACTCAAAAATAAAGAAACCCAACCAAAAACAAAGCCAACCCAACAAAAGGAGTACAAAATAACCAATAACAACCTCCCGCAGCAAACATATGTTTACCACTAAAAAAAAGAGAAAGAAGATGTAGAAGATAAGAAATGAAACGATCACCAATAACAAACTCAAACAAGTTACTTCCTCATCAACTCATCAACCTCTACCACACCCATTACTTCGCCGCCAACAACAACTCCCAGAACTGCGCCAGCTTGCAACATCGGATCATGCCTTTCATCCCGGGAGGCAATGATCCACTTCCGTATGTCATCAACACTTGAATCGCCGGAAACTTTAACAGTCTCGTTGGTACTGACAACAAGTGCCAGGTCCGGGTCGTACACGTCAACGTGTACATTTCCTCTGACTCTTTGTAATCTCCCAGGTGGTATGATTTCGTCGAGGGAGATCTTAACCCATCCTGATTTTGACCCCACGGCAGCAATAAGGCAGTCAACTACCCTGATAGAAAGCGGGGCAACTCTCCACTCTGTGACTTCTAGATCCGATTCCGAACTAGAGGAAGAGATTGGTGGTGAATCCAGGGCCCTTGACCCGCATGGGATAACTGGAATCTCGTCCAGTCGAGTAGCCAAGTCTGACATTCGGACGACACCTTTACCGGTTCCGAGCCCAATAGCTCCACCAGGGTGATTTCGTCTGAAAACATCGGCTGGCGTGTTGCCGTCATGATTGTGGAGTTGTCTAGCGCAGGCAACAGCAAGAGCATCACCGAGCGCGAGAGCTACCGTCGTCGATGTAGTTGGTGCAGATATTCCAAAGCTCACAGTCTCAGGCTCCGGTATAGGTGCAGGTAGTAGAATGGCACCTGGACGCCCCCGTGTAATCTGAGAAGTATGATATGACGTATGAGAAGTGAGTGCGATCAAGGGAAGGTGTTTTGGTAAATGTGGTAGTAGCGAAAGTAATTCCGGGGTGTTACCCGAAAAAGTGATGAGAAGCAGAACATCTTTCTATACGAGATGATAAATATTAGCTAAATCATAATTTCACGGTTATTATAATTATATATGAACTACCCCGCCTTGCCTGTCTCGGATCGCAGAATCGGCAAGGGCGGGTAATAGACATTCGCACATTGACAGAATCTGGGTACCACAGCATAATATATTCTGGTGAAACCACAAAACGGGAAATTGAGTGGAAGCATTAAAGAAAACGCGGAGAAGGGGATTGCGAATCCAACAACAACCTGTAATATCCCTGCATGATGCACAAAAGAGAATGGAAATAAAGGTTTACCAAAACTCACCGGCTTGACCATTCCAAGATCCCCATGAAGAGCCTCGATGGGGTGCATAAAGCTTGCTGATAAACCCAAAGAATTCATTGTTGCTACTAACTTCTCCCCAATCTTTCCGCTTTTACCAACTCCAATGATGATTGTCTTGCCGTCGTTCATGTTTGATGCAGCAATTGCCTCGACAGCCTTGACAAAACCACCACGAGATATGGGATCTGTGGCATAAAGTCGTGAGAGGTAAGACAAGGCTGTGGCCTCAGTAGATAATACGTGCACAGCTGTGGCAAGAATACGCTCCACCTCCGGATCTGCTTCCATTGCAGGTGGCGTTATTGGGAGTGCTGGTACCATCGCAGAAAGCTTTGTAGGAGAGAGTGATAAATGAGCTTCCCTATTCCGAAGATTGCGGAAGAATTCCGTATCAGATCGCAAGTTATTCATGATACCTTTGCTTCCTGATAAATTTCGCGGAGAAAAATGGCGGAAGGCAAGACCGTTAGGGCCAAATGATCGGATACTCTAAGTGCGGAAGCTAACTTTAACAAGAAAGGATTCGCAAATTAGTAAACGCCTAACGAACAGATGAAAAGCATGGAGCAATTTACTTGTAAATCGGCGCAAAGATCTGATAAGATACCGAATATTTCCCTTGGATTCAAAAAAAAAACCCAGAGGCCAGATGGCTCTCTTTATAAACTTCTCACTTCCACAGGCAAAAGGGAATAATCAACTACCCCACACTTTGATAACTCACTCAACCTACTAAACCCCTTCACTACTGGCAATGATTGACCTGAGATACCGGTGAGGGCTGAACACAAAAAGAAACTAATCTAATGTTGGTAGCCGTCCGGGCTGAAGAGGGTGTAAATGCGGAATACGTGAGCGAAACAAGGTGCGAACAGGAGGGATTGTGAGTGTGCTTGTGCAACACGATGCGGCTTATTGGCGTGTGCAAAGAGCCAACTACGGTTCATCGAACCCGGTTAGTTGTGAAACTCATGTAAGTGTGGTGGAGAAGCTGCATTATGAGCCGTCAGGTGATAATGAAAGTAATAACAAGACTGAGCATGAGTGAATAATTATTATTCTGGGAGCTAGATGCAACATGTGCCTCATTGAGGCAACGACACAACAACAGCAGCAACTGAAGCGAAAGTCGAACAGAGGGATTCCAAGCGAAAACGGATATTATTAGGTGAAGATAGATGTAGAATGAGATAGAGATAATGTGCCATATTTTACTCACCAATAGTCTAATCCAATTGGCCAACTGAAAAAGATAAAAGCCAATTGCCTTGTGGGGGCCTTATTCGGTGTTGAAGGCCAGAAACGTAGTTTCTAATGACAGTATACGATTTACACTTTTTATTTCTCTTTTGAATATACCGAGACGTCAAGTGTATGCGGGAGGGAGTTTGATAATAGTTGATGGAAAGGTAGGTTTTCTATTAATGTCTAAATTGGTTCGAGCTTGAATCCTGGAATAATTGTAAATTGGAAATGTGTGATTATTTCTGTTGGTAGAAATGATCCTGGGGTGCCGTACCAGTACTTATGGTGAGGAAAGATGCAAGTACGTGCGAGGTGTAAGTAACAGCTGCGGTGAAATCGAAATTGTTTCCTGTAGCTTCTACCCGTCTGTTCGAGTCAATATCATGTAACTTTCCATGCTAGATAAGAATCCGTTGAACTGAGAGGAAACTACCTCTTGTGCAGAAAACATTTCAGAAAATCTGACTAGTTACTCTAGACGGGGGTTGAAAAATGAGGAGCGGGCTACGGGCATTGGTACAGCATTGCCAGAGCCATGGGTGATGCCTTAATAAAGCCCCCTCTAGTATGCAGGATCAAGATAGATGGGTCCCGATCTAGAATTGGACAAGGGTTCCAGGAATCGATGGAGATTTCACAGGGTTGTGGGGTCCTGATAGATGGAAAACTCAAGCGATCAAATGATGAGCCCGAAGATGACAGTTACGCACGTTATTGAAGATGAAGATGGCCTCACATAACCGCGGCACTCGCTTGAGACATAAGCCCAGGTACGAGAGCTTGTCGCGGGTTCCGGCGATGATAAAGATTGGTCCCTGTCTGTTCTCCCCATGTTCATCCGTAGGCCTACGCAAAATCCTAGGTCTCGAGGGGTGGCGCTGATGATGATTCATTATTGATTGGAAAGTTAACCCTGGTGATCACCAAGTCCGCCCCCCCTCCCCCTCTTTGATTGCCGTTTGCGACGGGGTTCGGGACATGATTGATTCCAGTAGGTAGGTAGCTCTTCACACGTCGGGGGTGTTGTGGTGATGGACAGGGTGATAGGTAGGCCGATAGGTAGGCCGCCTATCACAAGATTATGATACTCACTGCGCATTTTGTACCCCCCGAAGTAAATACTTGCCTACAAATGTCCTCTCTACAGCGTAAAAAGAGACAAAGTGCAAACAGCCTCTCCACCGTACATCTTGTATCACGATCCGATGCATATCCTCTCGCCCCCCCTTCCCTCAATACTCCTCTACAGAACTTCTCGTTTGCCTGTCACCATACATGATTCCAAGCCAACGGGATCCCCCCGTCTTCTGCACGGATTTGCTGCAGCATGCACACATCGTCATTGCGCGTACATGCTGCATCTTGCATCTGGGCTAGGGTCCCGTGAAATATACATGGGTAAGATACTGGGAGTAAGAAACACGGTTATAAACCGGTTATAAACTCAGGTCCAGTTGAGAGGAGTAAGATACTGTGACAGGGTTAGGGTTATTCAAGCAATAACATAGGAAGAGGGCGAGAAACACAAGTCCATTCCCACTGGCACATTTGCAGACAAGGGCATATACAACTTTCTAGTGGACTGTTGAAGAGACATCCGCATTTTTTAGCTTATGTCATCCGGAATATCATGCAGTTATAAACACCAGTGATGGCGTGGGTGATGGCAATATGCGCAAGACTCCAGGTTCGGGATCGGGGCCGGCGCTTCTTTTTAGCTCGGAATAAATCGTGTGCACTGCATGAATTAATGAAAAGAAAAAGAAAAGGAAAAGGAAAAAGAAGAAGGTAAAAACGTCAAACGACCCACGGCTTACTCAACTGCCGTTCGTTGTCCAAGTCATGAGTTTAGACCTAACTCGTCGGCAGTTCTATTTTACAAGGTATACGGCCACTGACCTCTTTCTACAATTAGGCCCATATCGAGTAGCAATATGGAGAATCGTGATAAAAATGATTGATTTGAATAACACAGTGTACTTTGAGTACACATGACTGACACCTATCTCCATTTTGGATGTCATTGTACGACAACATATGAGCCTCAACCTTGAACCCCATGAGATATGCATTGTGATAACGGTAAACGGAAAGATGATCTGTCTTTAACCGGCGATTCTGTAAAACAAAGACAGTAAATATGAAAAGAATCCGATTTCATGTCTTTTGGAATAACAAGGAACCATAGCTAGCAGCTGTGTACCAATGTCATGTATGTAGCTGTCTTACACGAGAAAGTACCCCGCAGTGTAGCTGATTACAAACATCAGTATAATCTATCACTACCAACGTGACCTATGGGACAGTCCACGGTTCTAGACATGCAGCCAATCAATCAATCCAGATTCCCAGCAAGCAAGGAAATGAATTTCATATTGAGGAAGGATTATATTAAGAACAACACTCCAAACGCATCGTCAATGATGATCGGCATTTACAGTACCGAAAGTAGCGAGAAAACTACATGTACACAACCGCTATTCCAGTATAAATCTCTCTTCGATAAATGTGCTGAAAACACTGTCAAATCTAGGTAATTCTATAGGTCAAAACGTGCATCTCGATAAATATAATCTAAAGGTACACCCATTTGTAAATAAGCTTCTAATAGCTGTCCGTCCATTTAAGATAGATATAGATATAGAAGAAAACGAAGCTGTCTTTGTTATCATCTCAGTAACCATCGTAGGTAGTACACAAGTGGCAGTAAGCGTGGTATGTGCATTAGAGACTGGTTAGATAATAGGAGATAGTGGTAATTGCCTCACATTCCACCATTTCACATTTCGTTTCATTCTTTCACTTCTTTTCCCGTTCTGTACTCGCTCCTTTTGAGTCTACATTGGTAGGACGTTTTTGGCTTATTCCATCGTGATAGTTGGAGGTACATAGTTACATCAGCATCGTTTTCATTCCTAATAACTATCCTGGTCTGGATCAACTAACTCCGGTACCATATCGGGGTCCTCAAGGTCTTCCTTGTCTGAATCAATCGCCCTATCCACATTCGAAAAATTATCCTTATCTGTATCAATAAAACCTGGAATGCCGTAATCACCTATCAATTGACGGGCCTCTTCTTCTGGTATGGCACACCCACGGCATGGCCAGACGTCGTCGAATATACAGTCATCTATTAACTTAGCACATATCCAACACCACCTAGATATAACGAAAGGTAGAGGAAGATAGATAGCAACAATACCTCTCGGATTCGTCATGCAAGATTCGCAGCCTACCGCGCCGCAAAACCCACAATGATTTGTACATTCTTCGCAGATTATTCCCCCACAGCCCAGACCAAACGCAGTTTTACAAATGGAGTATTGCCAACCAGCCTCATCGATACATTCCCGGCAGGTTATCACTCCACAGTCCTTACACTTTTCATATCTCTTACGCCCTCGTCCAGGAAATAGGTCCTGATATTCTATTTGCCCGTCTTCGACCATTTTCTCCTCCGCAATAACCTCGCTTTCATCTATAAGCAAAAGATCCCCTGTGACAGTATCCAATTCAATCAAACACCTCCCATTAGGATAATGCTCGTTGCAGAAATGTTGGCCGCATTCACTGCATTCGGTCGAATATGTAAGGAAGCAGTTTTTGCAGCAGGGTCCACAGATAGGGCAGAGCAAATCCAGGTATTCACTCGAAGCATGGTGTTGGCAATAGAAGCTATCAGGTGGAAGTTAGTCCAAGTGATAAACTAAGTTGATTATATAGACCGGGAAACCGAATGATTTGCGGGGTACATGACGTGAAGGTCACACAATTATGTAGGTTTATTGGGGAAAGAGGGCATGCAGGCAGACTCCACATACTTCTGACACTTCTGACAGGTCATGTTTTCCTCACAGCTCATACACAGGGCCTTCACCTATTTTAATATTTGTCAGTAATTTTTTTTTTCGTTCCGGAAAATTATGATTTATCCTCCCGCGATCCCGCCTCCTGGACCCTGTTAAACCCCACGCAAGCCCTATGATTGAGACTTTCACTATAAAATGGCAACTAGTAATGTTAAGCGAGAAGAGGGCTTAAACTTACTATAACCACGTTGCATCCTGTCACACAGCACTTCCTCTTTATTGGTTTCTTTTCAGCTAGTACAACCAAATCGGCTAGCTGGTTGTCCCTCACATGCGGTGGAATACCCATGACACCGCCTATAGCATCAAGTATGTCTTGGGCAGCGTATGCACGTTCAATGGCTTGTAGACTGACACACTGTTGCTTCATCATACAAAGTCCAATATCGAGGCTTATCCCCACTCGACGACATAACAAAGTGAGAGAGATAGTTGCATGATTGGCCCTCCCCGAGCTCGGGGGTGCGGCCGCGGTCTCGGTGTTGATAGGCGTTGACGCATCTGAGCTACTGCCGGAAAGATCGTTTTGTGGTAGATTTATAGCACTGGCATTTAATTGATTCCCAGCAGAATTCCCAATGGCCAATGAAGGTTTAAAGGCACCCTTTGGAGACAATGTGCCGCAACCCCAAAGCTAAGATACAGTCAGTGGCGTACAAAGGTATAATCTTTATTATGAGTCTTTATCTTATAATAAAAGAGTGCATGAGAAACATACCTTCAAAACTCGCAATCCATGAATCACGTTTCTATAAAAGGCGGGTCTAAGCCATTCCAGGAGATCGACATGTTCGATTTTTGCACACTTCCTCAAACTCAACTCTTTCAACCAAGCACCACCCCATGTAGTCTTGAAGCATTCTTCCACAAAATACATATCCACATCAGTGCCATCAAGTATAAGTATAGTCAGTGGCATACTATCCGGTAATCTTCTGAGAGTTGAAAGAAGCTTAGTAGAGTCAAGACCTCTGTAATAATATTCGGTCCGGAGGCGCGCCTGCCCAAGCAAAGGATCACCCCTACAATACTCCAAATGACTGTAATAACGACAAACTTTGCAATTACATTCCCATTCATTCACGTCGATATATGGATATTTTTTAACACTATTGTCGTATTCCCAATCACGCAGCTTGTTTGTTGCGTTATGGGGCCAGAGGTTAGGAAGAGTACGGTGGTCCCCCTCTTGGCAAAAGCGGACAAAGTTAAAAACACGAAACGAGGGTGTGTGGCCGTAAATTTGTGTGCGAGCTGTCTGTGAGACATTGGTAAGGCGGAGGAGTTCCACCGTAGTCAATTGAGCGAGGAGACCATCAACAAATGGGAAATGACTTAAGACACGCTCGAATGGTGATTTCCTAGGGGGGTAAAGCTTTCAGGTTAATTGGTTCTAAATTAGCATCCAAGTGAACCAATAGCGTTGCTACAAGTGGAAACTTTACTGGATGCTCCATGTTTTATCAGTGATAAGTACTGCCAGACTTCGGCAGATTTCTGGAAATATTATAACTATCAGCTATGACATATATTCATACACAAGATCGACATAAGCTTAACTTTCAGAGATGTATGAGTTTAATGGTATCGTTTGATAAACAGCACGTACCAGACCAGTCCAGGATGTAGTTTTCGATGATTCGTAAGTAAAACGACTAAACTTCAAGCATATCCTATGATGAGCTCGAAACTTGACAGCTTGACAAGCTTATATGTACTCAAGGTGTTGGGTTTCACAACATCCCGGAGTTACCCGGGCGACATGCGTAAGCCACAGACGGACTTCACCACGCGGCCTAGAGAACCCAATGAGCATGAGGCTTTTAAATTTTACGTTGCATGAAGGTAGGAAACTCAAAAAGTGTGCAATGTTTTATTCCATGACTATGACACTATATTTCATTTAGAGATGATAGAATAAACATGCCAAGATTTTCCAGATGAAAGCTACATGTAGACGACGAGAACAGCTCTTGTGATATGCCCTACAATAAGTACATGTACTCTACATAACTGATGCTTAAAACTCAATTTGTTCCCCAGCTTGACAGAGTTGTTTGGTGTGTCGATAAACCCTGATACATAACAGCGATAGATCATGTACCAGTAAAATCAAACATTGAAAGTCCATCTAACCACTGGGAGGACCCTGTGGGTGTTCCGGGCGATATATTGGTGAACAGCCAGAATTCACTAATAGACTGTTTGCTCCATATATATGGGGCCGGACCGCAGACCGGTTCATTAACAAATGGACTGGTCAAAAGGTAGTAAAACGTATATAAGTATCTACCAACGACTTTGGGCATTAATGGAGGTTACAATTGTAGGGCCCTTCTGGGGGTTGCAAGGTCCTACTGGAGGTTGCGGGGCCCTACTAAAATTTAAAGTCGTGATGAGGAGGATGCCATGAATGTGTTATTGAGGTTGCTGGAGGTTGCTGAGCGTCGCAGAGGTGCTAATTATTGATGTGGGTAGGCTGTCCGAGCCCCCTCGGAGGCCGCAGAGACCCCCAAGACCACAGAGATTATAATTGGGGGTTGACATAAATCATTGTTAGTTGTTGGTGATGTTTTTCCATTAAAACTATATTTCGTCCGGGTTGTTCGCGAAATATAGGTTGTCCAGCCACAGATGTATGAGGCCAGACTCTATTCGCGAATAACTCAAGTCCATTCGCGAAACTATTCGCCAATCGCCCGAAACAATATTACATATGTGCGCGACTACAGTAAAGCACACAGGTACTTGAAAGTATATTTGACAGATACACCGCTCGAGTTGGGAAATACAGTACACATGTAGCCCAGCCTCGGCTCGCTACATAACTTTCAAAAGAAAAAAAAAACGTAATTTGGGCTAACACGTGTCTAATTTCATGTACCATTCCGACATGCAACGTACACTCAGTAGCTCGTGAGCTCGAATAATGCAATACTTATCTAAAAGATCGGTGTGCAGGCGCACGCATGTTAACATATAATATTGAAACCATGGTTAGATATCGAATGCATAAGCAGCTAGAGGCCCCGAGGCAAAGAATTGCCAAGTAATGTTGAATTCACAATCACAATAGATATGGTAGGAATAAATTTATTTATAATTAGAAAGCCAAAGATGGATGAAACTATTCCCTGGGTATGAATCTCGATAGTCCACTTTTTTTCCAGTTGGTCAACTAGCAGTTATTAATGCTAATTGCTATGCATTCAAGATTGCACAGAAACCCCTTTCAGTGTCGGTATATTATTTAATTATAATACTATAGACAAAATACCAGGCAATCTGATCAAAAGGCTTAGGCTTAATTGCGTCACGAATATTCGATAGATAAGATGTTCTGGAAGAGACTTTTCCCCTTAAAAAAGGTTCTCATGTTATATTACGAGAATTAACCTTATCATTATTAATTATATTGGCTAATCCAAATACAATTATCGTGAACTAAGGCTGGTACCCAAACGTACCCGCTCAACTAAACAGCACTTTTAACCAACTTCCCATTGTCAGAATTGAAAACTTCTAAGCATATGCAACCGCCAACCTATTTGATAGCGGTAGCACGGTTAGGCATTTGTGTTTCTGAATTGGAGTGGTATTATAAGGCTCTAAAACCCACGTAGCCATAGCTGGAGAAGATATATCTTACACGTACATCTTCTACATAATTGATGTAATTTTCAGAGACTTTGGTACATGCATCCGAGAGCTGCCAGAGATTTATACGTGGCTCTCAAATAGCTATATGTTGCAAAGGTTTTATACAACCCTCTTTCTGTACGCGAGCGGAGAGAAGCTATTGACGAGACTAGAACTCTATTTCACAGGTTTAGTTAATTAATAAAGTCTTCATTTCATTCATCTCAACTCACGTTCCGGCAGATATATGATTTCAAGGCGAGTTTCTGGAGAATAGGAATCAGGCGTTAATTAAAACACTGGAGCGGACAACCTACAGCCAGTCTGGCAAATGTCTGCTTTTCTTGTGTTTGTGATAGATTTTGCCTAGAGAAATATCTCGAAGCTAGCAGCCGATAAGGTGTTATGCGGACACCCTTCTGACTACATGTATGTACGTACATGTAGAGATAATTGCATACCATACAAAAAAGCGCTAAATCCACCTTTTTATATATCACACAATAACAGTCGTGTTCAGAAACGCTATGAAGCTACGGGTAGTTACTAAGCCTTAGACCTGCGGCCGGCTTCTCTCCTCAAGGTAAAAGCTCTCAAAAAAAACCCAACCCCAGCCTCCCACCATTAAAAAGTAATGCCCCGTGGAGGAATTAAACCTCTGACAATAACAATCAGGATTTCTCTCGGCCGATAAAGCGGTGATTATCGTTGCGGGCGGCGTGCTACTAAGCGCACTACCGGAGCTCATGCGTCGGATGGTGTAGTTGGTTAAGGGCTATAATGTCTATATGTATGTACTATAGAGTTAGAGTTAATTGGCCTAACTCCATTACGTTTCGGTAGAAATCTGGGCTTATTGCAAACCTCTTGCGTATATGTTCTTATCAATTATATAAATACCCTTATTGTCCGCACTCCTACTCCCCAAATCTTTCCTCAGGCAGCAGGTACACTCCGTCCCTACTTTTCCTCTCTCCTGATTGTGCAGAGAGCAAAGGTTCCTATCAATTCTTGGGCTCCATCCGAGGGATCGAGAATAATATTTTCCTTTGACTATATCTGAGCGGACTCACTCGGTCAGACCATGCATACATATGGCCGTGCGCCAACTTACCTTGCCATAGCTGCATGAAACCTGGCGTCACAGATTATCACTCGCACTATTCTTCTAAACCTAATGTAAATATTACCATTTTCTTTTCTTATGTTAACTTTAAAACTACTTAGTCTCTTGTTCTATTCTAGGACCTCGATCCTTAACATGGTTATCGGTAGGTGTTTACTTTTTATTTCTCTTACCTTGTCGTTACTCGAACCAGTAACAAGTGACAGCCGGGTAATCTCTAAGTACTATTTAGCCAATCACATGCACCGTGATATAAGCGGTGATTACCTTCTGCCGAGCAAGGCCGGGGGGCTAGATTAACAACCTCGGTACGGTTGGTTCAACATGGACGATTTTACAGATCAGCATTCGGTTTTAAAGCTCCCACAGCCTTTGCTACTTGAACTGGACCAGATTTTACCGTCAAGTGACAAGAACAACTAAAACATCAGATTTCCAAACAAAATGACCGAAGAGATGAAACAGTTCACCATCAATGATGTCGCGGCCCACAAGGACGCAGAGAAGGGGATGTACATTGTCATCGACAATGGAGTCTATGATGTAACTGGTATGTCCTGTTCATGCATACTTGTCAGTTTGCAATCTTCTGATTTGTAACCTCATTAGCGTTTGTCGATGAGCATCCGGGGGGCGCCAAAATCCTGAAGCGGGTTGCTGGAAAGGATGCTAGCAAGCAGTTCTGGAAGGTAACTTTAGCTACCGTGAATGTGTCGGATTAGACGATTGCTTACTTTTGGGGAATTAGTACCATAATGAGGGTGTGCTTAAAAAGTACAGTGAAAAATTACAGGTTGGGACTGTTAAAGAGGAGGCGAAACTTTAGAACCTGATACTCTTACTCTTTCTGGTGCGACGATTTAGTGGACTGGATACAAATGTCTACTTTTCGAGATTCCTTTCTGGACATAGCGGGTTTTCTTATAGGGTGTACCACTACATACATAGAGGCTATTCGCTCTAATAATAGGATGCGATATACGCATTTTCCTTTCTATTCTGAAAAAGGTCTTACGATTGGTTTCTGTTCAGGTCACTCGGATTAGATCAGATCTTTTGTTAGCCAAAGAGCCGGTTTGGATGTACTTGCTCCACGAAAGCGAAGTGCACTTTGGAACCTTTCTCCTTGGTTTATTCCAGAAATAATTAGGTATAAGCCTCATAGTAGACGCTTGAAAAGATTTATGCCGCAGGGAGTTTACGGTTTGGGTTTTGATGTGCGTTCGCTTGGGCTAATGCTATTAGATTATTTCCCTAGCTAGATATACCCACATGTTTGGTTCAGGACTCCCCGGTATACTACATTTCGAAATTAGCACCATAGGTGTATCAGATAAAAAAGAGTTGGAATATATTTTGGTGGGGGTTGTGCACGTACAGTGATGGGTTGTGATGCACGACCGGTGTCAATGATTCCAATGACCATAAACTGCATAACAACCGGAAAAACACCCTACCCGGGTCAGAAAAGACAGTTCTCCGCTCAGATTTATATATCGATGTATATTCTACAAATCTATTGTGATTTACTAAGTAGTTATAAAGGTCTAGATAATACATCTAAAGTGTGAATCTAAATCCGTCGTCAACACCCTCCTCTCTAGCCTTCCGATCCAGAGCATCATTCTCTTTCTTCATCCACCACGACTGCAGCGCAGTAGTCACGAACGCTAATACCAAGGACCCTAACGCCAAACTATGACCCATCACATAATCTGGTGAATCCTGTTGGCGATAGATATAAGCTGCGGCAACCCCACCTAGCTGGCCTATCGACACCTGAATCGCACTGCCCGTGGCTCTCCTTGAGTGTCCCCGAAGATTATTGCTCAGCCACGGGATATTGAGGCCGGAGGTGGTGAATATACCGATTGCGGAAAGGAAGGTTGCGAAATACTTTACGTTGAGCTTCTGATGGTCTACAGAGATCTGGATGGCATATCCAATGATACCGACGGCAGTAAATATCAGCAATGGGATACCGCGAACTTTCAGCCTATCCGACAACCATCCCACACTTATTGTGAAGAAAAATGCTACGACATATGGGGGTACAGTCATAAGTTGAGACCTTGTAGCAGTGTACCCAAGGCCGTTTATGATGGTCGGTATGAACAGCGCGAAGGAGAAGGTCGGCAATGCGATACCGACACATATAATACCGCTTGTCCATACCTTCCATTCTCCAAAGGCAGCCCGAGTTTCGGGCCATGAGAACTCCTGGCTTTCACCACTCATGTCACGTGCCAGAATCGAAGCGAGGACTTTCTTATCAGCCACTGATAGAAAGTCTGCAGATTCCGGTGAGTCCTGGATCCAGAAGTAGGCGCAGACTGCAACAACTACAGTGATAAGGCCTTCAACGATAAAAATCCATCTGTGTAATTACCCCAATATGGTTTAGCGTCTTCTGTTCCGCTTCTCGTCTAAAGAAGAGGGTGCACATACCTCCACCCTTCTAGGCCTCCAGTCCCATCAAGTTCGACAAGCCCTCTAGCTAGCAGCCCGCCAAAAGCACCAGCCAAGGTGGCCGCGCTAAAGAAGAGGCAAAAGCGGAAAACAAGGGCATGACGAGGGTACCTAAGATCATGGCGGTATTAGCCGCTGTAGCTAAATACAACTGGGCCGTGCCAAAATTTGGCAGCGGTACAACTAGAAGGGGCGTATACGTACCAGACTGTGAGAAGAAAGGTGACACCAGGCTAAAATAAGTAGAAATGAGTCTCTGTTCTACCCCACCTCGTTTCTCCGATCACCTCAGGAAAGGAAAGAAGAGCCACATACAAATAAACCAGCTTCCAAGACTCCCAAAAAGATTCTCACTGCGACCAATCCTCCAAAATTCTGAACAATACCGTGTAAAGTACAGACACTATTAAAATTTGAGTTAGTATCTATTCGCGACACAAATTTTCCTCTGATATGGACTATTAGGATTTTCGCACATTCCCCAGCCAAGACAAATAGATGGCAGCCAAACTTTTGGAGATAGTTTTTTAAGCAGAATGTTGCTCGGAATCTGTGCAGCAGTCATAGTAGTCAGCATTTGCGCATCAAGGCATAACATGTTCAATTTTGGGGGAAATCACTTACTTCGAATGATACATAGCTCATAAAAAAGATTGAGAGCGCAATATTATATTGAACCGGCTTCAGGCCCAGGTCCGCAGACAAACCGCTGATCTTCGCATTTCCAATACTGGATCGATCCAGAAAAGACATTAAGTAAAGCAATGTGATGATCGGCAAGAGATACAAATCCACCCTTCTGAGGATTCGAGCCTGTTCCGCTTTATCAACTTCGATGCTTTCACCATTGTTGCCCTGGCTTGCAAGCTCCGGCAAGACCACGAGGTTTTTGTCGTATGTTGGGATTTGTTTCTCCATACTGATTGAAACACGGCAGTCAGAATTCCCAAAACACCAGGAAAGTTTCCAATGATCGTCTTATTTATCTATCTATGTGCGTTGATACCGGGTGAGCTCTCGGACCTCTTTGAGGCCAAAATTTTCTCTTTCCTCGCATCATGCATGTCAAGCGCTTGGCGTGCATCTTGAGGTTACACGCTTGCAATTAAAGTTTTTCGCCTAGCTTATTCACACCCCTAGCCCTGTCTTGAGCAAGTCTGTTGGTGGCTTTTTCATGTAGGGAAATGATAAACGGCGGTACTTTTAGTTTTCTTCATCAAAACGAGAATGTCGAACAGCCTTGGTGTTTCTGGCCGTAAATCTTCGATCAACTGGATAATAGATATAAACCAGACAGAATGACCCTATTTATTTGGCGTTTATCTATGTGTACTTATGTATGTAGTTAACCTACAAATGTTGCAAGATGATATTTTGGCCTTTGACGGTTGTAATATAAGGGAGGGCTCATGATACGATTCGGTGAAATCGATTGATCATCCATGGCTAACGATTGCAAGGAGGGAGGAACATGCCGGGTCGAGACCTATGAAGGATTCTACCCACCCCCACCACCGAATCTCTAGATACCGTATGGCTCGAGAAGCTATGGGGGGTAGGTGTGTAAACTTCGGCGTTTTTTTAAAGAATCGGCCAATCAAACTTATAGAAATTGGCCATAATGGTACTAGCGCCTAGACTAACCCTGGCATTTTCTCAGATTCACATACAAACGAAATTCCTCTGAAGTTGACACACCCGCCCTCTAGGCCTTCTCGCGCCATACATCCTCGCCAGACCTTTCTTGGGATAAAAGCACGTACAAAAATATAGTTCAAATAATTGCATCACTCACAATATTTTCAAAATGTCCCAGTATCAGTAATGGCTGCACATATAATCACATTCTACATATCTAAATATACAGCCTGATGCCATCGACCTCATTAACTTTGAGTCTAGGATGAAGTTTCAAGTGTCCTTCACAAAAAACTATGACCTAAAGACATTAATGCTTCGACCCGGCTGGTCCGGGACCTTTGGTGATCGAGTTGGGGCGACGAGTGATCATCTATGACCCTGATTGTGCCTAAACGAGTAAATCATGCATCACGTGACTCAAAACCGTGGGTCTGGGACACGGTGGTATCTTCATAGTCTCAAAGGCAACCCAAGCTTTGCGACACGTCTCCTCAAGTCCTGTTAAATCTCCCACCATCTTGACCAACACGACCCATTCTCTCAACCTCCGACGCTGCATATAATAGTCAAAATCCAAATCGTTATTATTCTCTCACTATTGAATTTCCTAAATTGTGGGTCTCGTGAAAGCAAGCTCGTTCTAGATGAGGCTCATAACAGCTTTGCTGTTGGCACTACTGCCCCTGGTGCTTGCGCAGGATTATTATAAGGTATGCAGATAGTCCAAAGTTCGGGAAAATGTCAATTATCTAGCCTCTGGCTGGTCATTGAGATCCACGCGGATTGTGCGCGGCAGCGGATGTGCCTACAAGAAAGCTGACTGACACCTCGTTCGGGCGATTAGCTATTAGGACTAGACAAATCTGCCGACGACAGAGACATAAAACGTGCATACCGAAAACTCTCTAAAAAATTCCATCCAGACAAGAACCCGTTTGTTTCCCTTTCCCTACCTCCTAGCCAGAGTTCCCTTCCATACTAAAACCAGTCCAGAAACGATCCCGCCGCGCATCAGAAATTCGTTGAAATCGCCGAAGCCTACGAAGCACTCTCCGACAGCGACTCCCGCCGTATCTACGATCAACATGGCGCCGAAGGACTTCAACGCCACAAATCCGGCGGCGGCGGCGGGCATCATGACCCCTTTGACCTCTTTTCACGCTTTTTCGGTGGTAGTGGGCACTTTGGTGGTGGCGAGCGTGGGATGCAGAAGGGACCGAACATGGAAGTCCGTGTAGATATCCCACTTGCAGATTTCTACAAGGGCAGCGAAAAGGAGTTTTCAGTCGAGAAGCAAGTCATCTGCGAGGAATGCGACGGGTCGGGAAGCCAGGACGGGCACATGGACAGCTGCAACGAATGTGGAGGCCGTGGAGTACGGGTAGTGAAACATATGCTTGCCCCCGGTATCTTCCAGCAGGTTCAGACCAGGTGCGACCGCTGCAGTGGAAAGGGCCAGATCATTGCGCACCCGTGCAAAGTGTGCCACGGGAACCGTGTCGTCCGGAAAACAACAACACACACCCTCTCCATCGAGAAGGGATCTCCTCGTGGTATCCGAATTTCGTTTGAAAACGAGGCTGATGAATCCCCTGAATGGATCGCCGGTGATCTCATTGTGAACGTCCACGAGAAAACGGCAGACGGCAAGATCGACGAAGACGAAGCGCACGAGTACGAAGTCGGGATTCCGGATGGTACTTGGTTCCGTCGTCGCGGAAAAGACCTGTTCTGGAAAGAGGTGCTCTCGCTCCGAGAGGCACTGCTTGGGGACTGGACACGAAATCTCACTCACCTCGATGGACACGAAATCCAACTCGGGCGGAAGCATGGCCAGACTGTGCAACCAGGTTTTGTGGAAGCCGTCAAGGGCGAGGGAATGCCCATATATAGGAGTGAGGGCATGGACGAGTATGGCGACCTATTGGTGGAGTATGTAGTCGTACTGCCCGATGAGATGGAGAGCGGAATGAGGAAGGACATTGCCGCGGTATTTGAGAAATGGCGAAAAAAGAATGGTGTGTCGCTGAATCAGGGAAAGAAGGCAAAAAATGTGGAGAAGGATGAGTTGTAGCTTGTTATAGAAGACTTACTGTTTCTTTTTTTCTTTCCGGATGGGCAGTTAGATGGGTGTAATTTTACAGGATGGAATATTTGTTACCATTTTCTTTTCTTTTTGCTCTTTTGAGTTTTATTTTATCCATACCCAATTACAATGGCTTGAGGAGGATAACAAGTTTGAGTCGACGGCTGGTTGAGAAAATGAAATCGGCTACTCTGGTGAAGTTCGTGATGCTCTGTAGGATTCATTGATACTCTGACATTTCGAACATACAATTCGCCCACACGCATGACTACATGCACACGTAAGGCGGGGCTCTGCTCAAGACTTCGCCATCGGTGAACATGCGTGGGCTTCTCAAATACATTCTCCGAAATACGATGCACAATATCACCCGTTTAATTTGTCAGATACACGAGCATGTTGAATTTAGAACAATAGCTAACACCAATAACTACATATACCTTGTGAGGTCCGCCCTTCGAATTCACATATATCATTTCAAATTCCGAGCCTTTCACTTGCCAGCTTCGCGCCCTCAATTCTCGCCTTGATCTTCTTAAACGCCACATCTCTCGCAATGTCTGGTCCACCATGCTTGGGTTTCACGTCGATGCTAAACGGGCTGAACCCACAATCATCTGTGGCACCAAGCCTGTGCGGTGGAATGTATTTTGAAGCTGTCATCAAGGACTCACAGACATCCTCTGCAGTCTCGACGCGCGGCGATAGCGGATTGATCACACCAACAAAGACAACCTTGAGAATGAATGTTTAGCACTCGAGCGAGCAAAGACCTCAGGGGAGTCATCACCTGTGGAACGCCATTTGCGTCCTCTCTAGAATGTTCTCCGCACAGTTTATAGACCTTTTCCCTATCCGTCTCGCTGGCAATCTGAACCAGGAAGTAGCCCGCGTTCATCTGGAACATACTGGGCAAGCTATCTCCGGGAGAAATCATCAGTCCCGATCAAGTAATAGTTGTAATGGGTGAGAATTACAGTTCACTGTAGTCAACATCGATACTGTGAACCGAGTCACAATCCCCACCTGGACACGTGTGGACACCAATATTCTTGCGCTCCTCCGCAGAAAAGCGATCGAAAACGCGGTTGTTGAGTTTGATGAAAGATTCGAGCATATTCCGACCAGTCCAGGGATTCCTGGGATCGTTTCTCAATGCAAGACGTCCTAAAAGAATTGTAAATATAATAATCGCAACAGTGTTTATAGCGAGTGAGAAGCTATGAGTCCGCAAGGAGAATTAAAGAGGGAGAAATCTTACCTTCAGTGAAATCAACGGAAACTCTTTGAGCGCCAGCTATATGAATATTTGGTCAAAAAAATTCTAGGGCACGGACAGGGATGAAAAACCTTCGAAGCACTTCCTGATATCCTTCTCACATTCATCGACCAGGTCTGAGAGGAAATCTTCTCTAGAATAACCTGGCAAATCCTGATCAAGCGGGTACAAAAGACTTAACATGCTCGGTGCAATCACAGCTTGCTTCATGGGGTTTTTGGCATAGGCAAGCGACTTCTTTAGGTAATCCGCTGCATAGTTCTTGTAGCGGAAGGGACCCTTAACCAGTCGAGGAAGCTGACGGTGGTGCCCATCTTCAAAGATAGCACTGTGAAATAATAAGTAATTTGTGCTGGAATAAATACGCAATTATGGTTAACGCTTACAAATACTGCCCATCAGCAGCCAGAGTATCTGCAAGACCAGTGCCACCTAAGGTGTCGGTGAGAGGATATGTAGCAAAACTACTAGCACGCTGCTCTCCGTCAGTCACCATTGACTGACCGGCTGCCTCCATAAGCTCGATAGACTCTTTGCAGGCCTCATCTTGAGCCTTTTGAAGTTGCTCGATGCTTGCCTACTTCAACTTAGCATAACAGACCTAATCACAGATATAGAGGTATCTCTTACTTCTCCTTTATCACAAGCAGCGAAGACAGCTTGTAGTTTCTCTGGACGGGGAAGAGACCCTACAACTTCAGTTGGGATGGGCATTCTGAATGGTTTATTGTTGATGTGTTAGGCTTAGAGAAGAAGAAGGTACTGCTGAGATCGATTGAGAGAGATGAAGAACAACAGAGGACTTGGATGGGATTTATACTCAATAAAGAGTACACGTATGGGTATTATATAGATGTATTATGTATCCCCTCGCACTAAGTTTGCCCGAAACCTTGATATTATTAACAGCAAAAAGGAATACCCGTGCTACGAAACAGGTAAAAGATGCATGCGCAAGAGACCATCTAAGAGCTAGCCTTTTCCTTCCAATCAAGGGTGCAGAGGGTCTATTTAGGTCAATTCTGAAGTCAATTGGCCGTAGTTGATGTTGTTTCCAAATAATATATTCCTGCATTAGTACATGCACCTGACCGGCATCGTGGTGAACAGGTTTCGCCTGCCTCCGATCCACCAATCAATGTCACGACTATGCATGCAAGGTCTCAGACAAAGTCTGTCTCTCTATCAGTCCACCTCTACATATCACAGCTTTTCAGTCGCCATCAATACCAAGTGAAAAGGAAACTATGAACCTAAGGCGGATGCCCACATAAATCGAGATAACGCCAATTGAATATGATATGCATGAAAAGAACATGCTGAGCTGTTGATTTCAGCCTTCATAATTGCGTCCTGAATATTGACACAGGAAGGAAATGTGGAGATTGGGATCCTGGTCAGATACCTTCCTCCTCGGGTTTTTAATTAGAAGCAACAACTATCTACATACTTCCCTACTTATAGATTCGATCCCGTGATTCCCGGATTCTCACATAATTCAAGCGACACCTGTGATATGCAAGGTGCTACTCAATCATGCAGACCGATAAACGCACTCTGCGAAAATCTACGGGCATACATACCTTTACGAACAGAACTTCACTCCCGCCATGTCGAGTGCTTCTACGTGATGAGGCCTCGAGGGCATCTGCCGTACCACCATAAGTACGTACATATGGGCGCTTCTGGTCTCCTCCCCGATTCTTGGCAAGTGAATACATGTTTGGCAATGAAGATTTCGACTGTCTAAGACTTGGGACTTTCCGACTTTTTCCTTCAGCCCACTGAATACATAAAGAAACAATTGCCGCAGCTATTAATCCAGGACAATCATAATTGGTAGAGGATCTAACACCACCACTACGCCTGAGTCGGATTCCACGATGTATTATCTGACCAACACTATACCCTCGTTGGAACATATCCCGCAATGATAATTCTCGCTTAGGCGAGGTGAAATCTCGTCACTTGAATAACCGTCAACTGCGGGGTAAGGTTAGTTTTTCTAGGGTTTCATGCAACACGGTGGAGCGGAAATAGATGTTGGTAACTCAAGATACCTAGTAAGCATCTGATTATTTTCGGCTGCAATTCGTATTTTCTAACTGATTCAGTATTTGACATTGGCCTTTATGCCAGCGATTTCGCCAATCATGACTTTATAAGGGATAGTTTTTTTTGACAGCGGCAAATATATTTGGAAGTTTTAAAATCAACCGAGACATTGATAAGATCAGGATGCACGGAAAAGTACTACTTCCGATTCTTGGTGATATTTAGTATCTACCCAAGCTATGAGCCTGCGAATAGGTAAGTATTGGGCCGTTCCTCCCAATCTCAACTACTGTAGTAGCTGAGACATCTCTGATTGATCGACCCTTATCAGCGAATGAAGACGCGTAGACCGAAACTCAACGAAGGCGAAAACAAAATACCTTGGCAACCATGACAGATTTCAGAGACCAATCGAAACGAGTGATGGACCATGAACTCAGCACATTGCTCCAGTATCACATAAGGTGTATTGATAACTGCTTCATAACCTCAGCTTGGCATTAAGAAGGCGTCACTGTTTTAAATATCAAAAATCAAGGCCCGATTCCGGGATCGAACCGGAGACCTGTCACAGTTCAGGAGTTTTAAACCCTGGGGAATACCCGAAGCGACAATCATACCACTAGACCAACCGGGCCGTGATCTCTGAAGAATTTATCTTCTTATATAATTTATTCATATTCTGGTGAAACCAAATGCTTCCTCGAAAAAGACCGAAAATAAGATTGCCACTATGTAGTTACATGTAGGTAATGAGCCTCTGTCTTTCTATTACGTTACGTACCGCTTCACAGGGTTATTCTGTCCAGAGTGGGTAGGGCTGCACTGTAAACACCATTCTAAATTATAAATTTGAGTCTAAGGGTGCGACCTCAAAAAACGAATATATATATGTTTACTTAATTGAGATAAGCGCGGCCTTACAATTTACTTGACTTGACATCAAGAGGAGGTGGGACAGGATGACAGCGCGGAGCGGTTGGCCATCATAGGTAAACCGACATCATACATATGAATCAATATCCCTTTCCCTCGTTCCTTTCTTTTTCGAGCCCTTCAGCTAGTACAAATCTGCCCAATTAGCCAAGTCTTCCCCATCCTCCGATCTCCTATCGAACGAGGCTTCCCACCAACACGGCACCTCGCTGGGACGGGAAGCAATCGATTACTTATCGATATGCACATGTCTTGAGCGGGGGAACCATATGCCCCAGCTCAACTCTAACACTGGTATGAAACAACTAAATGACGAAGCCTGCGGAAGCCCGGCAGCGTTCCAGATTGACCAGAGGTCCAGCACAGCCACAATTTGGTGCCAAGAAACCACTTGCCAAGGCTGTGCAGAAGTGGCTGTGGCATAAATCTGATTCACTTTATTCTAGATTTATAGAATTTAGAATGTAAGAAGCATGAAGAAGCATGAAAAAGCACGGTATTGAGTGATGGGAATTGAACAGCGTCATGGGCGCTACAAGCGTCAGTTATTCCGATATGCCAGCTGCAGCTGGTGTTGGAAGAGTGGGGTCGGTGTGGTAGGTTTAGCTGAGCTCTACCAGGTGCAATGATGGAAGAAATACATCACATGTTCCAATCAAATATGGTAAAAAGTGCTGGTGTTGTTCGATCTCGCCAGTTGATACCGTACAGCATGTATGTTTGGGTCCAGGTTGGACTGCTAAAGACATTTAATTAGCCAATGACCGCGAGTGATTCTATATGACCGGGTCTATATCGGAAAACCCGAGGCATATAGAGGTTCCCCACTTAATAGTATCCCTCCTTAACTTCACAAACTTCTGGTGCACTGCTTTTAAAAATGCCTGTAGCTCTATAACCCAATAACTACTAGTATCAAGGAATAAAGTTGCAATTTGATATGTATATAACTGTCTAGGACGCCTCTTAGAGAGTTTGTGAGCGCCCAGGGCAGATTTTAACCGGAAATACTTACCTGTTGATCTGCAAGTTGCTTTTCTGCATCGTCGATGTGTATATATTAATTGCATCCCTGACGTGGGCACTTGTGAATCTCTTGCCTTTCACAGTAGTGGTTTATTGGATTCGAAGATTCGGGGCATAGGTATTGCAGCGGTAGAAATTGTGAAACGTATCTCGTGGCGCCTAGTGATCGGATGATTAGATGTTAGAAGCATGCACGTTCACGCATGACGTTGAGAAATATGTCTGGGCTAGGGTTTCTTTCGAGTGCATTTTGTATCTGTTTGTAAATGAGCACTGAGACATTATTCATCCGCGAATTATGCAACAGGCTTTATTAATAACCAAGTTATACGATAACAGTGACAATTTCCATGTTGGAAGAGGTATGTACGTACGCATGTCGACCAACATGGGATGCATTAAGGTTGCTAAGGATTCACGGGCTACAACAGATCAATGATATAGTAACCCACGTCTTACTACATCCTGTACCTCATCCACCTCCATACCCGAGTCAGGATTTGTTAACAGTAAATGTACTTAAATGTGGCCATAATTGATTGTATTCACAATGTATTAAAGCTAATTTCAAAGTTGCAAATACAGACATTAATTTCAATATAGCTCTCTCTTCCCGAAGAGTAGACCCAAAGAAACTAAGATGAGCTCCACAACAACTTGTAAGTACATAGATACACCGCCCAAAAAAACCCATAAGAAAAAACCCCCAACTCAAAGAAAACAAAACCCTTAGATAACAAAATAATGAGTGTGTGTAATGTGGTTGAATACATTTGGGTATAAAAGCTCTGCATTGTCAATCAAAGCGTGACAATAGCAAGAAAGGGTATAGTAAGTGAAATGATAAAGAGAAAATAAACCTCGAACCCGTATAAATGCAACCCCGTAAAAAACCCAAGTAACCCTCCCTTTATATCTTTATGAAAAGCAAAGGAGAACCTAACTAGTAATCCTACCTCCCACGGCAAAACTAACCAAGAAGGGCATCTATCCATTCTTGGTCTGTTTCCACCTCTCTTGTTTCTTTTTCATTCTACTTTTCTCCACCCCCCAGTCCCGATATTTAAAACGAATGTTACTCCTGTTAAAAGAAGAAAATAGACAAAAGAAATTACTCGCACTGAAGAAAAACAATAAGTAAATCAAGATAAATGGACAGGCCCCCTAAGAGGTGATTTTTCGCTAATGGGTGGAAAAATACACGCATCTAAAAAGGAATAAAATTATTAAACAAAAAATTTAGGTAGATCAAGTTGAAAAAAAATTAAGGACAAAAGGAAAGCATATCAAAAAGTGCCCTACGCTAAGCCCGTCCCATCCGAATCATTTCCATGATTATTGCGAGGTTCTCAAAACATTTTTGTAAGATAGTCCTTAATAGTTTCCCCTTGAGTGCGGTAGTTGATGCCGGTGTTCATCGTACTGCACCATGTGATCTCGGTCATGTGGCTCGCCAAAGGCTATAGGTGCTGCCGCGTTCATTAATCCCATGCCAGAAGAGCTCTGGCCACTTGCAGATCGTCCATGCAGTGTGTGTTGCGGAGCGGGTGTCATATGATGCAATGGGAAGGTGCTGCCTGGACCGCTAGCATCGTTAAAATTGAAGGAATCATGGGTTGGAGTCTGAGAGTACCGACCCTTTCCGTCAGAGGCACCACGGTATAGAGGGTCTCCAAGGAGAGAGTTGCGAGCATTGAGAGGAGTAAGATCGGCATCGCGCTGCTTCTCCATTTCCTTCCGTTTCCTGATGTGGGGGTTTTCTTTGCAAGTTACGTAGATTGCGTTGACGGCGATGCAGATAGCAAGAGCGGCTGTGAGAACAGATTGAATGACAATCAAAGCAACACCTAGAGCCATCAGTTTACGCCCCAAAATTCGACCTAGAGCGACTATACATACCAGTAACGGTTTTAGTGTCTGCAGCGATCCCTAGTTCTTCCACGAAGATAATAAGACATGCAACAGATAGTACACGAACAACAGCGATTATGGTGTTCAAAACATTTCCTGCCTTGGTGTTATAAGGACGATTCCAGAGCAACAGAATCAACAAGAACACCTCGCATCCTAGTTGACCGGCAGTTTGGATAAGGCCGTGACCGTCACCAAGCGCAATGAATGCACCCTTGGCAAAGGCGTAGATTATCAACGGCAAAAATACCCACCAGAAGCTTGACTTGAACTGGTCGTAAAACAACCCGTAGCGGCGCATATAATCCTTGTGTTCAAATAGTTTCTCATACGACGGCTTTTCCCCAGATCCATTCAAGGTCATGTTATGCATGCGTTCTGCATCAGCTGCCTTCTCTGCCCGTGCAAGCCTGAAGATCTTGACCGCAAAGAAAGCGAGAACACCAGTGAAAACGGCGAGAGTTACTCCAGCAAGTAAATGTGCACCCCAAGAGTCGCCATTTCTGAATTGATACATGCAGTACAGAGTCCACGTTCCGTAGAGAATAAGAACCTATCAGAATAGCTTGTTAGATGCTGTCTCTTATAGTAATGTCTAGTTGTGGAAAATAGACTTACAAGTCTAACAATGGTGATCGCCAAAAACTCCCAGTATCTCTTGCGGAACCCGGTCAATGCCTTCGGGAAACTTGCAAAAAACGACCAGACTTCCAAAATGACCTTGAACAGTAGAATGCAAACGGCAATTGAAGCAATAACAATGCAGAAAATCAGCAAAACTGTCATGAAAGTGTTTGCCGAAGGAATTTGTAGTTTTTCGACATAAGCTTGAATTCCATCAACATAGTGCATGACCTTGTCTTGTGCCGTCTCGGTAGTATTTGTGGTAGTTGTTGCATCAGCGCTTATGGTTGTACCGTCGACATCAATATCACTACGGCGAAGTAATTCTCCGACTGCCCATTCCAAACTACGGCGGGTGGTGGTACTGTTTGTACTGTTTGTAGCTTCGGTGCTACTGTCTGAGCTGTAAACCAAGGTGGCGTTCAATAGATAGTCGATGGACATTTTGTCCAATTTACCACCAGTGTCGGCGCGGAAAGTATCAATCGACCTTTGCATGGATTCCCAAGGAATAACTCCGGTAGACCATGCGAAATTGTTTGCGAAAGACCTGTAAACGGGGGGATAGCTAACAGACATCATGCCGTTCATAGCAATGTTTTGAAACCAAAACATGACGTCTCCAAAATTTGGTGATGGACCTGCACCAGATCCTGCTCCTGCAGCCCCAGCAGCTGAAACACCAGAGAGAACAAGAGCCGCTGCTGCGATACCTGCAGTAACATATTTTACACCAGTTTGGTCCGCTGTTTTCCCATTTTGTACCACTGATTGAAGACATGCGAGCGATGCACCATCGTCATTAGACCTCAACTCCAGCTTTGCCATACCATCAAGATCAGGAACCTGAAAAGCGATTGCTGGAATCATAGACGCGTAGCTATCTGATATAGTCATTGTATCCTGGGCAGAAAAGCTTCCCTCGGGCACTATAATAATTGGGGCGCATTATCAGCATACCATGTTTACCAAGGCAGTAACAAGTGATGCTAGTATTGGGGACTTACAAGGACATAGCTGGGTAAGATTCTTTTGACAAGGGTCAAACTCGTTTCTATAGACCTCCTTCCCATAAGCTGTGACTGTCAAAATTGCTGTCACCTCTTGCTGTCTTAGTGAAGAACCAGCCAAATCGAATGTCACAAGGTTGGTTGATCGATCGTATTTCACATTCATTCGAGTGACTGTGATGTCGGAGCCCGCAAGACAAGATGAGAAGCCATTAGTTTCCAACACGTCGCCCGCCTGGACCGGCAGTGAGCCAAATGCTGAGAAGAGTAGAGTTGCGGATATTAGTGATGATGCGGGGTTGAATGATGACGAAAAGGCAGATGTGCCTGGAAGGAGTTTTCGTAATAACATGATGGTCGTGTCTATGGGTAGCAAGAAAAAGAAAAAAGAGTAAACGGGAAAAGGGCAAAGTCCACCAAGAAGACCAAAATGTCACAAGCCCCCTTTGTATGTTGATATGTTGATATGTTGGTGTTGCACTCTGTTCAATTGAATGAATAGAATAGATTTGGGAATGAAGGTGTGGATTTAGGGCAAGACACAAATGATGGGATGGCCACACAAAAAAGCCCAGTTAACTTCAGATAACCCGAGACGATGAAAGAGAGAAGGTGTGAAGAGCGAGAGAACAAGGGAGAGAAAATGAGAGTAAGAGGGAAATAAAGCGCCTGCAAGGGAGCGGCAACGGTAGATAATACCGATAGAAGAGCAGCTAGCTAGTCTGAGAGCGAGACTCGTAGTGTCAGCGAGTGGAGTGGAGTGAGTGAATGTGGGGGTAAGGAAGGAACGATAAAAGGAAAAGACACGAAACGTACAAGAGGGCAGTCAACGAGAGAAGGGAGGGGGGGGGTTGTGAATTGGCGGTTAGGGGAGAATTGGGAAAAGGAGTCGTCGGGAAAAGAGGAAACACAAACAAGAGTGGAGCGAGCAAGCGGCAATAGAGTGGTAGAACTACTACCTCCCTTGGTGCCTGACTAACTGACCCCAATAACGCAGGGTGCAAAAGCAAGGGACGTTGCCCAGAAATCCCAGGTTAGGCAAAAATCTGCTCTTCTGGTGGGTTGGTGACCACCTCGGTCTCGATGTTTACACACTGTGAACGCGCGGTAATGTCTCTTTCTGGTGGTGACCTGCCAGGGGCAATTCAAGAAGGTGCAGATGCAGATTTTGTTATTGGTTTTGTGCAGTTGTGCCTGACAGTAAATATCGCCGTACCTGCTTGCTTGCTAGGGTCTGCAGAGCTGGAAAATTGCACTTACAACAATGGGGCCCAATAGGGAGGCACTGTCATCATCCATGATGGAAGGAAGGGACAGGGGATATTTATTTGCCTCTCAACTGCATCTCGGCAATGAGGATTTTTACCTTCCAACGTGAGCTCAATACGATAAAAGCAGCTTCGCCTCCGCCACGTCGTTCATTCGAATACTCACACACACACACACACACACTTTATATCTCTTTATCCCAAGTATCACGCACAAAACCACCTGCTTACATTATTATCTATCGCACACATGTTAGATCTTCTTTCCAAGAATTCGGTTGTTACTCCACAATGTCACGAGTATAGATTTGTGTCTGGTCGACCTAGGGGTGGTGGTTGGATTAGAGCATGAGCATTCCTCAGGCTTTCTGCCCCACGCGACTCGAGAAACACTGTGCTGTACATAAAAAAATCAGACATGATTACACCAATGCCCGGCGGCTCTAACTCATCGTGAAGTCCCCGCCGGCTTCCTACAGCTGCGATGAGCAGATGAGCAGCGCCTCGGAGGACATGCTTCTTGGACAGTCAGTGAGTAGAGTACTACCATCCGTGCATGTGTGCCTACCCAGGGACCTGAAACACTAGAGTCCGGATTCCAAACCAGTGACATCGGCCCCTTTCATCCCGTAGAGTACATTGCATACACATCGCGCCTCACCATTATCCGTTTCGATCCGAAATCTTTAAAATCGTAGATAATGAAAGTGTGATTTCAAAGAGATGTTTAACCGCATGTTTGCACAATCAAACCCCCGCAAAAAAAACAAAAAAACAATATAAATGGAAGAAATAAAACGTCAAAGGGATTTCCCTGTTACAATCTGATCTCAAACCTTGCCATTCAGCTCTCGAGAACCTGAGAACCCTTGTAAGTGCATGCTCCTGCGCCCTAGCAACCAAGGAACCGGGTTAAGCCAGCTGCCCGTTTTTGTTCCTTTCTATTTTTAAAACGACCACGGTTTCGCCAATCCCTTGGAAAACTCTTAAAAATCACTAAAAGATTAGATGAACTTGGCAGCAAGTCATTTCGCACAGAAAGACACACACACAGAGAACCTAGAGTTGGCAACACAGAAGAACGTTTCTCAGATGCCATCGCGCGCGTTATGGCACGTTGCGCGTGAGGTTGCACTAGGCAAGGTCGAAGGTCTACTACATGTAGTACAGTCCCTGGAGCTAAACGTCACGTGAAACCCTTCCGGGAAGTCCTTGCCTGATGTGGTCTGGTGGGAAGTCTTTTTTAGCCTCCAATCTTGGCCACCCACGCCAAACACAGGATATCACCCGGTAGTAGAGTACATGCCATTAGACAAACTTTGTTCAGGCGCAACTCGATATGTCGTATATACTACTAAGAGTTTCAGCTATTGTGTGGGATAACGTTGTAAGAGGATAATTCTGTGCAGGAATTCTAGCGTACCAAGTTACCGTACGTTTGTCGTCAAGAGGGCCTGGATACTAGCCCCTCGCCCCCACAACCTGAGAGATATTGCGGCTGTGCCTTCGATGGTATCATGGATTTGGGCCAGTGATCCCACTGGTAGTTAAAATTTTGTGATCTATCCTAAGTAGAATTTATGGGGTCCAACCTAACATCTACGGCTTTGCGGGAAACACCCGACCCCCGCTCTTTCGAATCTCCCATATCACATACACACACCAATGACGCTTTTAAATTTTACTAAGGGCAACTGGACACGTATTAGACACCGACTTGAGTATGTACGTACAAGTAGTAACATCATACCGTCCTCGAGCTCCATCATTTGAATCCGAATTCACGCATCCAGCTCCTTGCCGAAACCTTTAGCCTCCCCGCAAAAATGATGTATGGTATGTAAGGGATATCAGAAATCCTTCAGTGTGCCAGTTCTAGGAGGTATTGTCACAGGATGTCGTTGTCGATGTCTCAAATAAGCATATCGCTGCTTTTAAACATTGGTGAGCAATTATATGTATGGAAAATCGGCCGACTAACTTGGAGCAAAGGCCAGTGTCTCAGCCTGTTTTTGAACAAAGGGTATATGCCGCACTATTATTACGGGTTTCGGTTCTGATTATGGATTTCGATTTTACAGCTAGCTACATTAGCTCTAAGCTTTTATATTAATAGATACGTGGAGTCCATATATCGATAAACTTCATTGTTTTGGGGTCCTAAGGTTTATTGCCATCAAATGGTTGTGCCAAATTTCATGAGGCTTGGTTTACTTTCTCTTGAACTGCCAATTTTAATATTCAGTCAAACTCTAAATAAAACACACATCGATGCATCTATGGCCGACAGAATTAATAGCTGGGCTCTCAACATCGACTCTATTATCCTATCATAATTAAAGCCACTTGTTTATGTGGTTATATTTGAGTTTGTTCTAGTCAAAAACACACTTCATTATTACATTGATATCAGGTATGTAGTCACATATTATCTACTGGGTGAAAGCACGAATGGAATATCTTATATCAAGCATGAACTACATGTGTGTAAATCTTCTTATAGAAGCTTAACTCAATCTTATAAAGAGAGAAATGTACAAATAAGCCAATTTAGGAATAAGGAAATCCACAGTCTTCTCAACCAAAGGCCTAGGTATCACAGCTTCAACCATAATGGTTAATTTACTGTTCAGTTTGTCTCCTGCGTCGCCATTCTACTCGCCAGACTTCCGCCCCTCCACGCTAATTTTGGATCTTTTTCTTCAGTTACAGCCCTCTCGGCATCTACTCTCCCATAACCACCACCACCTGGAGTATTGATGATGATCCTCTCTCCCGCTTTCATTGCAGCGGTGTTCTTTCCTCCCAGATTGATTGTCCGAATTTCCCCAGTCGGAAGTTTTCTAATCCACAGGTTCTGGCCGCATTCCGCGTCCTCGCCCCCAGCCATTCCGTATGGGTGGTACACCCTCCTTTCTGAGAGAATAGAGACTTGAACAGGAGTTCTGAATTCGATGTCACGGACAACACCATCACCACCTGGGTGTGCACCTTTACCACCAGAGCCCTTGCGGATAGAGAACTCCCGCAGAAGTACAGGGTAACGTCTTTCAAAGACTTCAGCATCAGTGATACGGGTGTTTGTCATGTGGGTGTGGACTCCGGAGGTACCATCCCAGTTCGGGCCCTAATCATAATATCAGCATAATACTACATAGATAGAGATGAAGAAACCTACAGCTCCACTGCCACCAGCGATAGTCTCATAGTAGCCGAAGCCCTTTACATGATCACCCCCATCCTGGCTACCGCCATAGCCAAAAGTAAGGTTATTGCAGTCACCTTGACTTGCTGCACAGGCCTGGAAGGCTTTCAGGACGACGTCTGTGATACGTTGGCTCTGTTCAAAAATTAGCATATTCTAATACGTTACAGTATTCTAGTCGTCTCGTACCGTCAACACGTTTCCACCAACAACTGCCGCACCATCACTCGGGCTTAAGAAGCTGTTTTTCGGAATTTTAACATGTATCGGCTTCAAACAACCTTGGTTCAGAGGGATGTCTTCGGAAATCAAACATCTCAAGCAATAAATAATCGCAGAGTATGTCACGGCTTCTGGGGCATTCATATTTCCTAATTGAACCTTGTCAACACCACGTAGTACCGCTACTATAATGGAGAGGATTACAAACCATACATCTCCGGACCTGTCCCCTCAAAGTCGAACTCTGCCTCCCCGTTTTCGGGATCAATCTCAACCTTGAGGCAAATTGGACTTCCATCATCCATGTAATCTTTCGCTCTCAACTCTTTCCCTTCAAACCTCTTATGCACGTTTCTCAACAAATTTCGAACACTTTGTTCAGCATTCTTCTGTATTGAGACCATGTAGAACTGCACTACATCTTCACCATAATCTTCAATAAGAGTGCTGATGAGGTTGATCCCCTTCTGGTTTGCTGCTACCTGTGCTTTAAGATCGTTGATGTTATCTGCCAGACACCTTGTGCCACTGCATCCGGGGTATTGCGCAGGCTCAGTGAGAAGGAGCTCCGTGATACGTTTCTCATCGAAGTGACCCTGAGAGACTAACTTCTCTGTCTTGATGGCAGCACCCTCTTGATAGAGTTCGCGGGAATGAGGAGGCATGGAACCAGGAAGAATCCCGCCGATATCAGCATGGTGAGCGCGGGAGGCAACATAGAAAATGATTTTATCACCGCCAAACGCCGGTGTAATGACCGTGATGTCTATTCAGATGCATAAAGTGTTAGTACAATGCAGTCAAACTAAAGCAACCTCAGATCTCTCACCAGGTAAATGAGTTCCTCCAAACTCCGGGTGGTTCGATACCAAAACATCTCCTCTTTTCAATTTTCCCTTCCAGATTGCCGCCTGTGTCCTCACACAGGTCGACATACTCCCCAAATGAACCGGCAAATGCGGTGCATTCGCAACTAAACCTCCCTCGGAATCAAATAGTGCACAGCTATAGTCCAATCGCTCCTTCACGTTCGTACTGACGCTGGTCTTTTGAAGGGCCCTTCCCATCTGTTCCGCAATCGCCATAAAACGATGCGCAAAAATACTCAGTAAAACTGGGTCCACGTCCTTTGTGTTGGTTTTCTGTACAGAACCATTGGCATCATCGTCGTCACCGATATTGATCACCACGTGTGTTTGAATTACGAGTGCCGTGGCACCAGGAGTGACAACAATGGTCTGCGTTCCATCTGCAAGAATCGCTGGTCCCTTCAGCTTAGAGCCAACATCTAAGTCTCCTAGCTGGTAGATAGGGGTTTCCCGGCGACCGCCCTCAAAGTAGACATTCTTCACACTATGCCGTTTGCTCTCATCAACTGATACAAGCTTGGCCTCCTTCAGTTGTGTATCCACCGTTTTATCCATTCCTCTAAAACTTTTACCAATACCTCGCACTCGGACATCATCAACAATGACATCTCTGTTAGGAAGTGTGAATCCAAACTCTTGTTCATGCTGCTTCACAAACGCATTCCCGAAGTCTGCATTTTGGTCGAATTCCCCGTCCTCGGGCTTAACTATCATCAGCGCTGACTCGGTCCCCCGATATCGCATGTTTAGGTATTCCTCGTGAACGATATCCCCCTCATTAAACCCCTGTTCTTTCAACACATTCGTTGCTTTATTCTTCAACTCCTTGAGACGTTCTAGAAGCCCAGTCTTTTCACTGTCGTTGAAGACGGCAGAACATGGTTCTTGTACTTCGTGCACGACATCCGCGAGTGCCATGCCGTATGCAGAAAGAACGGATGAGTATTTATGGATTAAAATTTGCTTGATACCTAGGCTTGCCGCGATAGCAACTGCATGTTGTCCTCCAGCTCCGCCAAAGGTTGCAAGTCTGTGCTTGGAAGTATCATATCCCTTCGCCTCCGTTAAAGAGCGAATTGGACGGGTCATTGATTCGTTCGCAATTTTGATAAACCCATACGCAACCTCCTCGGCAGTCATTGGTTTATCCCCTTCTTTGACACATATTTCCTTATTTATCTCCTCTGTGAGCTCCTCAAATAGTCTTTTTGACGCATCTTCGTCCAAAGCTTCGTTCTCGTTCTTCCCAAAGATTGCGGGGAAAAACTCGGGCAGTAGTCGGCCCAGGAAGAGGTTCGCATCCGTTACTGTTAGCGGTCCTCCTTTCCTGTAACAGGCTGGCCCTGGATGCGCACCCGCACTCTCTGGCCCAACCACAAATAGCCCATTCTTCCAGAACAGTCTTGACCCCCCACCTGCAGCAACAGTATTGATATCTAACTGAGGACTCTGAATCGTGACTCCTGCAGTGGTGGTTTCGAAAACATGTTCGTACCTTCCCGACCCGTACCTCGATACATCTGTGGAGGTTCCTCCCATATCAAACCCAATGACTGGTACTTTGGTCTCCGGGTCATATGATGTGAGTGCATATCCTACTACACCGCCTGCAGGGCCCGAGAGTATTGCACGGAGACCGGAGAAGGAAGAGACATCGACAAGACCACCATCAGATTGCATAAACTCGCATCTAGCCCCCTTTGACCCTACCTCTTTAGCAACGCTTTCTGAACCAAGCCCTCCGCTAAAGCCTTTAGAAAACCCCTCAATATACCGACGAATCTCGGGAGTCAAGTATGCATCTGCCGTCGCACTAGTAGCGCGGGGGACCAATTTGATCATTGGCATCAATTGCGAGGATAATGATATATGAGTGAACCCTATTTCCTCCGCAATCTTGCCCACAAGTTTTTCGTGGTCCGGGAAGGTGTACGAGTGCATTAGGCATACGGCAATACTGCGGAAGCCTTCATCATAGAGAGTTTTTAGACCCTTTTGGATCTCGGATTCCTTAGGTCGAGTGAGAATCCGCACTGCTTCACCGGAGAGACCACGGACTAGGTCGGGGTCTGAGGAAGGGTCGGTAGTGGCGCGATCTGGGTGCTCGGCGTAGTCTTCTAAAGTTACTCGTTCCGAGACTTCAAGGACACTTTGATAGAGAACTTCAGGTCTGCGGATTGCAAGATCGAAAATCTTAGGACGGGATTGATTTCCTGTTCAAAGAGTAAATAAATATACTAATATACCATATTTTACTCATCCCTCCGAGACTCTTGAACCTGAGAATATGGGGGCTTCCAGTCGGAAAAAATATTTGACTTTGAAGGGCTTACTCACCAATGATGAGACAGTCTTTGAAACCCTTTGTAGTTACAAGCGCGCACTTCTCTCCCTTACGCTCCAAGAGAGCATTTGTAGCCACTGTTGTCCCCATTCTTATTGATTCTACGGATCAACACGGGTCAGCATTGATTTCAATTACTACATTAAACCAAACTCACCAATTTCCGAAGTATCTAACGGTTCACCACGCCTTATAGATTTTCCGGTAAACTTCTCCATAAGCCGTCTGATACCCTCTAAGGGTGCATCATCGTAGTTCGACGGATCGACTGAGAGAAGCTTAATAAGAACATCGTCCTCGAGTTTTCCAGTTCCAGGATTTCCGACGCAGTCTGTGAAGGTTCCGCCGCGCTGAATGGGGAATTATAGATTAGTATGGCACTTAGGTAAGGATGAGGGGCCTACGCACATCAATTGCGATTCTGATTCCTTTTGACATGATCGAAGGCAATTTATGTTGAAGACCAAACTTAAAGGTACCGTTGCAAAAAGAATATCTTCAAGAAGGACTGAACGATATCTTTTTTCTGTGATTTCTTAATATTTAGGAGATTTTAGTGGGTATTTAAACACAAATTCGATCGCACGAGATTAGGACTTAACAGAAACCAAATTACATAAAATCAAACTAAACAAAGAATCTCCTCGAAGGTCTGTAGCTGTAGCTAATCACCCCGAGCAATTGGAGTGTAACTGCGATAGGGTGACACGAACCTGGGGAAGCGGGAGGAGGAGGGGCTCCTCCAAAAGCAAAAACCCCTGCATGACGTCCATCAACGATGCCAAGAAATATGACCCACTTTTGCATCTGGTGGGGCTTATCGATAACACAGAGCCTCACAGGTACCACCATGCAACCATGCAAGAAGACCCGGCCAGCAGGCACGGCAGTTGGCTATAAATGACACAAGCTTCTACTCTAGGCGAAATCTTTGCAATTGTACATAGAGGGACACCCCGTACTCGCGTCTAGGATAAAGAACCAGAACATGCAAATACCTAGTTTGTATGGCAGCTCAGCGCCACTCCATACAAATAATCCCTGCTTTCTCACTTGCATGTTCTGGTTCTTTCTCCCTGACGCGAGTACTAATAGTATATTGTGCCGCGTGTGGTAACAATGATATTATAGGAGATAGGCGTATCTCTATGATAGGCTCGACATCTTGAGAAGATGAGACAAAGTCAGGTTGGTTGAGCAGGATATATGCTGGTCGAGCTAGTTCGAGCTCGATGCACCTGTGACTTAGATATATGAACAGCTGGCCGCACGTCATGACCCAAATATACACATTTGTTTTCTATGAAACTCAATGTCCTGTATGCGGGCCTTATTATACTTTACGGGTACATGTAGCTTTTGGAGTCGACTGCATGCACTTGGATGGCCATAATATCTAGAACTATAGCTAATGATCTTCATAACCTACGATTCGGATTGACATTAAGTGCTCTTTTATAACCCAGAACACTGAGTGGCCTAGCACATGATACATGTATTATGCGATTCCTTATACAATTACACAATATTACTGAAAACATTGGCTGGGGCGATAGGCCGTATTACCAAATTTGCAAACCAATCGAGAAGTTCCAATTCAGGTAATTACATGTATACTGGCAGTCCCCACAGCGGTACTGGTATGTACATGTATGTACCTTGATTCTTTAAAGGGAGTGCGATTCGAGGGGTTGGGATTCACCTTACCCAATCGATATCAGTTCTCTTTAGGATCCGTCCTCTTTAAATATATCCTACGTGATAACTATGTAGGTACATAGGTATGGCGGGGGACACCTTGAGACGGAGGTTCACGACATTGGTTTCTGACGATCAATTTCCCAATCGGGTAATTATTTAATCAATTTACCGATAATAATTCGCCAAAATCAGCCTCTGGGCGCTCTCAAAGGCCGTATCTAGATGTAGACTTTCCTAATCGGGTAATTTACCTGTCCCAAATAGGTAATTATGGGCGCGACATTGGTTGGGTCCCCCACCAAAAACCCAGCCTTTAGAATATTCATAGCACCACCACAACGAAAGATAGAATTAATCTGGCTCTGTCACGTTGTAGAGAAGAAGCAGAACTATCGAATAATAGAGAGAAAAATAAATTAGGGTGTGGTTGGAGAAAGTCATTAGCGGTTGAGGTTGACTCCCGAAACCACTCCGTCTCAAGGTGTCCCCCGCCATACATGTACGTTGTACAACCGACATTCGCTGCAAGATCCGATAACCCTAACCCCCTGCTGTAGCTTTGTAACAACGCGTGATATTGCTGTTTACTACACCATCACCTACTCCCATCAACCATTACAAACGAAACTTGTTTCTTTAGAACCTGCTATCTCTTGTTTCACTTCAGATATTACGCTCACGAAACTAGTGCAGCGTCCAAATCGGATGTGACCCAAGGTTCCAGATCAAAATATGTGCCTAAACCTGGATCGGCTTGGCATCAAAGTTCGTGGACCTACCGATGGAATCAATTACTAATGATAAACCAATCGCACAAACTCCGACAGCATTCTGGCCGGGGAGGTTCTCACATGGCCAGTAGATATATCAATACATCTCGTTTTAATCCCCACTTTGGTTTGCTACGCAATACCGGGGGATCGAAGCAAGCTTCACGTATGAGCTGAACACGAGGCCAACTAATATTTCTACTTGACAGTTCAGCTACATACATACATGTGATCAACTTGTGTCTTTTATGGTTCTCTATTAGCAATCGAGGTCTCTCAAATTAATTATACTTGTCGTCATTGTTAAAATATAGGCTGAGGAGCCCCTCCGAAAATAAGCTCTGTTGCATGTAGTTCTAGCTAGTATAACGCGAGCTGAACTCCTCATCCTCACCCTATATCGATGGACTTCCAGACCCAATAGGCTATTGTTATTAGAAGAATAATCATATAGGGCTTGTCATTGGACGGGATCTTGGGTGCGTCGGGTTAGGCCTGCTCTAGGTAGAATATTACTTAGTCTCAATCATCGGGAGCTCCTTCATGCCTAATGGCAGTTAATAGTTGATTAACTTCCAGAGTCAGATTTCCATAGTCCGCGTGATAAAGTGACCTCATAGCCAACCCCTTGCATTAGGATTTAAGCGATTGTTAGGAAAAAGCACATTAGAGCGTTTTGGCAACGGCACTTTTCCAAATTTCTAGGCCAAAATTTGAGTTCTTGGCTCTGCGCCGCTACAAGCATTTACAGGTTGATCTTCCAGGATCTGCTGCGATTTCACACCAAAGAAGCAACGGAATCACTTCTAGCGGCGCAGAGCCAAGAACTCAAATTTTGGCCTAGAAATTTGGAAAAGTGCCGTTGCCAAAACGCTCTATTATGTATACTTATTATGATGCCTCGAGCCAAGTATTTATAGGAGCGCTTAAAATTACTGAAATGATAATAGTACCATTCTAGCACTGATTTGGTTGGAGAGTAGATTATCCTAAGTCTTTATCCACGTATGCAGTTAAAATTCTAAGTATCTACACAGTGCTCATATCTTCCCATTTATTCAATTGCCGACGTTTTACAATTACCTGAAAATATACTATTCTGGAGACGTGGTTTGTGGTGGGTGGTGGTTCAGCTCGATTTATACATAGTTGTACCACATGTGTTATTTAATGATCCAAACACAAAATCTCACTCGATGACACCCACAAGTCGAGGCCTTAATATGTGTTGAGTTCCTACTAAACCGTTGCTGGTAGTATAGCTGAGACAGGGGAAACTCGGTGCCTCCGAGGCTCTCCCCGGGATAAATTCCGGGCTCGGCCTATATAGAGGGCCTAGGGGTTTATAATGAACCGTAGTTAAGTTGGGAGTCGCGTTGACACTTAAGTGCTAACACTTCGGCAGGTATTTCGGTTACTTCCCATTGGTTTTGTTGATCACTTTAAGTCCTTGGGTTACCGAAAACAGTCGGTTATCTCTCGTATAATAGTTCCGACTTGTCTAAGAGCACTCAGTTCCGAGGTCCAACTGCTATTGTTGTATAGGTATAGAGAGATTAAAAGTGTAAGATGGTACAAGGGCTTTCAGATAGGCAAATGTATGTCAAGACTGCTACTCTAAAGGCCTTTGGTAATCGTCACGGGAAGTGCGATATTTATTCATTCTTATCTTCAATTGATGTTGCATCTATCAGGCAGGTGTTTTCATGACCAGGCGCAGCACATACACACGAATATTGTACATAGAGTACGCAAACCGTTAATGATTTATATAAGTATAACCTACTCCTGCTTCAAATAATGAATGTAGCTATGGTATCTTACGGAGTAAATGGATGTTGGTGTACGATATCGAATCGCATCTTCTGAAGTTCCCGATTTCTCCCTATGCAATGTTTTCTGGACGGAATCCTCTTGCGCAATTATGCTGACGACCCATTCTACTCCCGAATCAACCCCTGCCATCCTTCGATCTCTGTAGCTAGGCTTATATGAAATTCCGCCATCAGCTTTTATGAACTCGTCTGAAGCGCATAGTTCTCCAGCACGGGGTCCGCTCAATAAGGAGTGGGTGTGAGCGATTTGAATTCTCAGTTACGTATGGGGGATGTTCGAAAGGAACCTGACATTAAAGAGGATCTTCCGATAGCCTTGTTGACTCCGATGTCAGCTCCCGTGCTAGCGATACAATTGAAATTACTGAAAGAGCACCTACATACCTAGATAGGTAGTTTCAGAAATAACTGTGTCTAGAAATATCAAGTCCTAGCTAGTCAAAGATAAACGTGTACCCATACTCTAACACCAAGAGAATTTGTTTGTAAATACCGTTTCGCTCTCAATGGATTCCAGCTTCCCAATTGGATATCAACCTTGATTGATTGGTTGTGGTTCTGAGAAGACAGAGTATCTACTTTAGGTACTTACCTATCCTGCCAAGGTCATGAGGCTGCCAATCTTTACCCTAATGCGCTAATACGGGATTTTTCATCGACCCTACCGTAAAATCTAAGAAATTTCGTTGCGCTGCAGCAGGGATCTTTTACACCAAAACTTGCAGATTGGTGTTAAAAGACTGCCTCTGATAGGGTCTATATGCGCATTTATCCCTGTTGCAGCGCAACGAAATTTCTCAGATTTTACGGTATCTGGATCGGCCTGCGCGTATGCACCTGCATGACTGTATCTTTCCCGAAGCTCATGGATACCTGGAGGAATACGGGCCTTGTTATCATTTGCACAAGCACACTGACCAGCAACCTTTACTTCATCAGCCCTTCTCATCATTACTCTTAGAAGTAGTGTCATACCAGTCTAACCTCCAAGAAATCCCCGTGGAAACAGTGCTACGTTTATCTATCGATAACTATCCCCAACCGTTGATAGGAGGGATAGCAAGACCCAATGGAGGCTCCATTCGTCGTCCAAGGAGGGTCTGCTAAGAACATTTGGAAGCACCCCGTCTTGCTGAAGCACGCACCTGGAGGCTTCTCGTATGAAATGTAAGTCGAGGTTCTTACACGTCTCGCGTCTGGAGAGCTTTGGAAAAAGGAGGCTGACAATTCCTTTAGAGATTCTCTGAGTCGTACACGGATAGCAATCCTAGTAGTGGCCGCGTTGATTCCCGTATCGGTACTGCTCTTTCGGCGTCTGATTACGGGGACACCATTCTTTACGGCAAAGACCAAGCGGGACTTTACTGTATATAATAAGAGTGAATTCCTCGAACTTTACGATAAGGATGCAGTACCATCAAAAGCACCGATTGAGCCGCTAGAGGGTTTGTTACTCTCGAGCGTCTTAGAAGGAGTAGTAGGCTGAAAAAATTATAGGCACTCGTCGCACGTGGGCATGGGCACAGCTGTTGCTCTTGGCTGGTCTGGTGTCTGTGAATATTATTGCGCTACTTACAAGGGTCTTTCACCAACAAGATCTTATAGAAGAATGTTAGCCTCCTTCAACACATCTTCGCATGGGAATTAATGGTTAACTTTGGTGTGTAGGCGCTGAATTGGGCTATTGGCTCCTTCTATTGATGCTTCATGCCTTTCGTTTTTATCCAACCCCATATAGACCATCACTATCTCTCTTGGTGACTGTATTCTGTATAGTGCCACCTCTACTTCTCATAGAGCGAGATTTATGGCCAAAGCTATTATTCAATGCGTCCCCAGAAAAATCACGTGATGCTCGCCATGGCTGGGAAGTCTATGCGCGTCTTGGTCTTGCTGTGTCCCTGGAGCTTAGCGCTTTAATGACACCCAGGCTATGGTATCCAGTTGACCCATACTCCAATGACCTTCCATCTCCAGAACAGACAGCATCATTGATCAGTTATATGGGATCGTATTCCTGGATTGGAAATCTCATCAGAATTGCATACAAAAGAGATATTGAGCCAGAAGATCTACCTGAACTCCCAGATTATGACCGGGCACGATTATGGAGCAAGAAAGTGGAAAACAATAAGAAGTCAACTACCTTCAAAACCTTCTTCGCCTGTATGCGTTGGGATATATTGAATATGACTCTTTGTAGTATTTTTCTTGGTTTGATGCAGTTTGTTTGGCCTGTATCCATGAGGGAATTACTTGCGTATGTTGAGGGATCAAAGGAGCCAGTTATCACGCCATGGGTATTTGTATTCGGGCTTTTCTTCGGCCCTCTCCTCACCGGTCTGGTCTGGGAAGCTTATATCTTTAACGCTACAAGGCACGTATCCCTGATCACCCTGATCCTGATTACAATCAAACTTCATCATACTAACAAGAGCATTCCTAGACTCGTAATACGAGTTAAGGCAGCCTTTACGCAGAGTCTACTTGAGAAAACACTAAAGATCAGGTTCACACAAGACTCTGGCAAGGATGAGAAAGATCCAAAGGACCCAAAAGCAGCTGCAGTGAAGAAAACGCCACCCAATCAGTCAAAGGTTGGCATGATTAACAACCTAATGTCAACCGATTTAGATACACTCACAAACGCTCGAGAATTTTTCTTGCTTGTAGGCTCTGTGCCGGTTGAGATTATATTTGCAGTAGTCTTCTTATATGATCTTCTTGGCTGGGCTAGTTTGGTCGGAATTGGCATGATGGTGGGAGCTTTGACAGGATATGTTTGGCAGAGGCCTTTGCTGACGATACCAACAGGTTGCCACGATGATCGTTCCAATTTTAATAGCCAAATCGCTGGCAAAAATCCAGCGAGCCCTTAGGGAATCAACCGATGCAAGGATCAATTTGATGTCTGAGACTCTCACGGCAGTCCGCATCATCAAATTCTTCGGGTTAGAGGGGGCATTCTTGGAGAAAATTCGCGAAAAACGTGAAGCTGAGCTAAGACTAAGTCTTATCAACACTATCTGTAGTCTTGGGCTGCGTACTGTATCAGTATTGCTTCCTATTATCAATATTGTCGTCACCTTTGGAATCTTCACCAAGGTTATGAACAAGCCATTAACTGCAAGTATTGCGTTCACATCAATAAGCTTGTTCGATATACTGCGTGGTCAATTTGGCTGGTTGGCTTTCATCACTCAGCAAGTTGTATATGCGTTCATCTCTTTCGATCGTATCGACAAGTTCCTAAACGGAGAAGAAGAACTAGAGAATTACAAATCTCAGGAATCAGTGGACCCTCAAAAGCCCCCAGCATACAACAATGCCACGCTATCTTGGAGTAAACCTGGCTCCGACGAAGATAATAATTTTCGCCTTTCAGACATGAATGTGGAATGCGTTTACGGCGGTCTTACAGTTGTTGCTGGGCCCGTGGGGTCTGGGAAATCTTCCTTTATACTAGGGTTGATGGGTGAGATGAGGCTACTAGAAGGGAGTATCCATCTTCCACGACAATCCGGGATCTCCTATGTTGCTCAATCCACCTGGCTTCAAAATGCATCCGTTAAAGATAACATCCTCTTCGGAAGTCCTTATGATGAGAGACGATACCAAACCACCATTGAGGCATGTGGACTCTCGACGGACTTAAAAAATCTAGAGGCTGGTGATGAAACCGAGATTGGTGAAAGGGGAACAACACTTTCGGGTGGTCAAAAGGCTCGAGTCTCGCTTGCTAGAGCTGTCTATTCGCCCGCTCAAACGGTTTTCTTAGACGACGTGCTTTCTGCCCTTGACGCGGAGACTTGCAAACTCGTGGTTGAAAAGTGCATCAAGGGTGACATTCTTGCTGGAAGAACAGTTATATTAGTAACCCATCAGTAAGTATCAATTTTGTCACGAGCTGTTTACAGTTATTAACCTGGGTCGGTAGTGTCTCTCTGGTAGCTTCTGCTGCTCAGAAAATCATCGTTCTCTCGGACGGCAAAATAGTCAGCGACTCTCATAATCTTACCAAAAGCACACTCGATTTACTTAGTGGAGCTGGGGAAGATGTAGACGCCGAGATCACTGCGCCTCAGGAAGCTGACCCAGATATCATTGACACGCCCAAACCCGCTGATGCCAAGGTCCCTGGCGGCAAAGAAGCTACCAAGCTTGTCAAGGAAGAAGGACGTGCAAAGGGGCGAGTGCCGAAAATAATGATTTGGAAATATATCAAGAATTTTGGCGGTCCGTTCGTTATCATTTGTATTATTTGTCTGAGTCTTACGAATCAGTTTTTGGGTTTGGCGAATTCGTATTTTGTTGGTTTATGGTCGGATCAGTATACCCAACATCCTGACGATGTCGACGTTAACCTTTGGCTTGTGAGTTATAAAAAGTATCCACCCTATCAGGAAACACCACTGACAATTCGACTAGGGATTATACGCTGGTGTTCTTATGGGAACCGTACTATTCGAAACCTTCACTTACATTGTATGGTTTGCTTTCCGATGGATCGCATCAAGACGTATCCACGAGAAAGTTGTCAAGTCTGTCCTGTATTCTCCAATACGCTTCTTCGATACTACACCTCTTGGGAGAATCATCAACCGGATGTCCAACGATGTTAAATCAGTCGACTCAAGTCTCGGTGCCTACCTCCAGCAAGTATTCCACCAGGCTCTTGAATGTGCATTTCGTCTCGTAGTCATGTCCGGCCTCATCCCGGCGTTCTTTATACCTACTATCGCTGTTTCAGTCGTTGGTATCATCTGTGGTAACCTCTATGTGCGTGCCCAGTTGGGCGTCAAACGAATTGTGTCAGTGCGAGAATCGCCTCTTTTCTCGCACTTTGGAGATACAATCTCCGGTATTGTTACTATCCGCGGATTCGGAGTACAGGATCGTTTTCTCGCTGAGAGTCTAAAGCGCGTAGACGATTTCTCCCAGCCTTGTGAGTCGCTGTACTCTCTAAACCGCTGGATTGGGATCCGTATAAGTTGGTGCACTGGCGCAATTGGATTGGCGGCTGGTGTGATTGCTCTCACAACCAAAGGAAATTCTGCAGGTCTCATTGGATTCAGTTTGTCGAACGTACTCGCATACTCCACCTCCATCCTATACTGTGTTAGGTACTTTACCATGTTCGAGGTGGAACTCAACGGCTTTGAGAGGCTTGAGGAATACATCGAGCTTGAACAAGAGCCCTCCAAAACCATCGAAGGCGAACCGCCAGCTGCCTGGCCAACAGAGGGATCATGCATAGTCAAAGACCTCTGCGTCAAATACTCTAAAGATGGGCCCGATGTCCTTAATAAAGTCAGCTTTGATGTTAAGCCCCGTGAGCGTGTGGGAATCGTTGGAAGAACTGGTGCCGGTAAATCGTCACTTGCACTCTCTCTACTTCGCTTCACAGAGCTCTCAGGCGGCAGCATCAGTATTGGTGGTCTTGATATCCAAAAGGTTAATCTAGAAGCCCTCCGCCGCCGCGTCACCATCATTCCGCAGGACCCTGTGCTGCTCTCGGGCACAATCCGTACAAACCTAGACCCCTTTGGTGAGATTGACGACTCTGAACTTCAGGCCGCACTAGAGGGAAGTGGGCTGGCAGGTGATAAGGTGGATATTCTTGAGAGTGCTGAAGGTACTCGTGCACCCACCCCGGATGGCACAACGACGCCGGATGTCCCCGCAAGACTGAAGACGAAGCGGATCAATCTAAACACCCCCATCACGGCGGGAGGCGATAACCTAAGCCAGGGCCAAAGGCAATTACTGGCCTTTGCTAGGGCACTGGTGAGAAGGAGCAAATTGGTGCTGTTGGACGAGGCCACTAGCTCCACGGACCAGTCCACGGATGAGAGGATACAGCAGACGTTGCGGAGCAGTTTTCCAGATTCGTCGTTGATTGTCATTGCGCATCGGCTGAGGACGGTGGTTAACATGGACCGCATTGTGGTGCTAGATAATCTTGGCAAGGGCGGTGAGGTTGTTGAGTAAGTAATCACTCTTTTACATTTCGCTTTGGTTGCAGGAACTGATTTTTGCCTGGCAGGTTTGATACACCGTTGAATCTCCTCAATAATGAAGGTGGTGTGTTGAGGAGTCTGGCTGAGAAGAGCGGTGAGTTTGAGGAGCTGCTTGAGATTGCAAAGAGTAGTGTTTTAGAAAGGGGTGGGGAGCCATTGTAGTAGGTAGAAGATTTGTACGGTAATGACGATGATGATATGTGAACTGTGATAAATGGTACGGGGTAGAACTTTGTAAGGCTAAGAGAAAAAAAAGTGGTTTTTAATGTTTTGTTTACCCAAGCGCTTCTAACGGATGTGAAAAATGCAGGTTGGCACGGTCCAGTTTGCTATTAATTCGGCTGAATGCTATCCATCTGTTGATGTGCCCAACCAAAACAGAGTGACCACCCATGATGCAGCAGGAATAGTCAAACGTCAACCCGTAAACCACGACCGTGACCAAGGGAAAAGTACTACGCCGAGAAGCTCAAAATTTGCAGCTGTGCCGAAAATTTCGAATTTCTTTCACCCTTCGCGTCCAGCCTGGCGCAAAAACACAAGGGGAAAAAACATCCATACAATCATTAACACCTTGCTCCACGAAAGGCTGCTAACAACCCTTTCTACTAATTAATTAACAACCACAGAATGTCAGATCCCGACTCCATGTCTCTGCCTCTGTCTCCTCAGGCTTCGGTTGCACCACTGCCTGCATCGTCTCGGGCTCTAGATTTACCATTGGCTCCATGCATTCCCTCTTCCCCAGACCCCCACAAACCACCAGCACCAGCGGCAGCGGCAGCAGCACTGCAATGCAAGGGCCCTAAAGCCGCACTCACCATACTCACAGTGCCTACCCATACCCCACAACTAATGACAATAACACTCACAAACCAGACCGAGATCACCCTCGTCCTCAACCCCACCCCGCTCACTCGTCGCCCGCCGCCCGCCCGGCGCCAGCTCGCGGCAGAACTCTTCCCCGAGAAAACACCCGCGGAGAATGTCGAGGAGTTTATGGTCTGGGTGCTTGCTACGTTTTGTAGCGGGGACCGTGAGGTGGGGTGTGAGGGCCTGGCCAGCAGTATTCATGCTAATGGCCAAAACCAGGACCAGGACCAGGACCAGGACCAGGGCCGTGCAGGGCAGAAAAGATCCAGACCCTTGGACTGGGAGAGGGAGAGGGAGAATAAACGGCGGGTGAGTCGTTGGGAGGATGCTTGCCGGGGGCAGGCGGGTGGGTATGGGTATCAACAGCAGCAGCAGCAGCAGCAGGAGCAGTATCGGCGCTACACTGTTGCGGGCCAATATGGATACATGTATGGTGATGGTTACTACGGGTATGACCGCCGTCGGACTAATTGGGGAAACAGATATAACGATGGCCGCCAATATGACCATTACTATGGCGGCGGTGTTAGTCATGATGATGGGTACCGCTATCATCGTCGAATTAGTGATTATGGGGACCGTAACCGCGGCCATGATCACCGCCATGATCACCGCAGTGGGGCTAACCATAAAGATACCCGCCATCAAGCAAACCTTCAGTCAGAAACTATAGACACTAACCACAATACCAATACCACCAACATCCAACCCCAGGAGGCCACTGCCACTACTTTCTTCACCCCCGCCGCCAGAGCCAACACCACCGTCACCCAACCCCAGGAAAACCACACCACCAACCCCACCGCCCCCATCTACCTCATCCCCACCGCCGCCGCCGCCGCCGCCGACACTACCTCCCTCCGCCACATCCCCACCGCCCAAGAAGAAAACCCTACCTCCCGCAACGTACGCACAAAGATCAGCTACCGCCAGCGCAACGCCTACAAGGACCACCAGTACCAGCAGCGCCACCGCAGTAGCAACAGCACCGTACCGGACCTGTATCCGCCCGTGACGACGCGCAGCGGCGCGTATGCGCGTCCGGAGGAGTATGAGGCTTCGAGGGGCAGGGTGAAGGAGGAGGAAGAGGAGTAGGGTATTGTTCCCGCGATATCGACGACGTACCTACTATGTTTGCAGTGTCTATGATGTGCCTGTGATGTGTCTTGATTTCTAATATGTCTATGATATATCGGCGAGTGCGGATGTGGAGTTGGGGGGTGCTAATGTTCTTATGGCCTCGTGTGCTGATGTCTCTGTGTGCTGGTATCCTTATGTCCTGATGCACTAATGTCTCGATGCGCTAACACTAACGTGCTAATACTAATGTTGCTAACGCCGGTATATAATAACACAAAACGGTGTAGAAGTTAGGTGTTGTAGAAAGGGTACATGTATAAGTTTTTTTTGTGGTGGTACATACATGGTGTCTGTACTTTTCTCTTCCTTTTCCTTTTCCTTTTTTTCATTCTCGAATCTCACACTCCATAGCGTAATCGTAATATCATCAGTTAGATGTTAACGAAAAGAATGGATCCATAGAGTAACAGTACGAAAGAAAATAGAAAACCTGGGTGTAATCAGCCACATATTTGAAACTACGCGCCTACACTTTCTATGCCTATCCGAATCTCTCCACACCTCTATCTATCACATCCGCTCTTAGCACTCTAGTAGTTATAGTTGTAGTTATGGTTATGGTTGTTAAGGTTGTTATGGTTGTGGTGCATCACAGTCCATCACTCGTATCATCAATTTGTTACTAACCAGATCCCACCCACTAGCTGGGGGCAAAATAGCGACATGGTTGATCATTGACACGGGCACACCACGAGATTACTTGCACAGGCTTCAATGCACCGTCTACCAGAGCAATTGAGAACTCATGCCATGTCTCATAAAAAGGAGCAAAAAGAAGGGTCGTGGGAAAAAAAACATCATGGATCACTCAGCGGTACCACTTGGCCAAAGGGAGAGAGAGGGGACTAATAGCTAAAAAGGCACAGCAAATAACCAAACCAAACCAAAACCAAAACCAAAACTAACCCCATCCCAAAGTCACAAAAAAAAGTCCTCCCCCAAGTACCCCACACCCCCAATCACACCCTCACCCTCGCCCTCCTCCTCCTCTCCGCGCCCTCCGGCGTCCACAGGCCCAAAAACAGCTCCTCCAGCTCCGCCTCATCGTCCACATCCACATCCACCGCCTCTCCCCTCCCGCCCTCCATCGCCGGCCCCGCCGCCTGCTCCCACGCACTCACCTTCACGACCCGCTCCCGCTCCAGAATGTATTTGCCCACCTTGTAGCGCTGGTCCTCCTTCTCGGCACTGACGTACTTCCACCCGATGTCCTCGCTGCACACGGCGCACGACATGTCCGACACTGTGTGCAGCCCCGTGATGAGCTGGCGCGGGATCGGCGGTGTGAGGGTGATCCCCGCGGCGGGGAGGATGGAGAGGAGGTAGGCGCGGCCGTGGCGGCCGGTGAAGCCTGTTCATTGTTGTGTACTGTTAGCTGCGGTCCGGGTGCGGCGGGGGGGGAGGATGGGGAATGACGGGGATGGGGGCAGGTGGGGGGGGGGGGAGTGCCTTTGGAGATGATGCTACTGGTGGGACACAGGTCGCTGAGGCAGCTGCGGCACTTGATGTACTGCGCGTGGCCGGGGAGGTGGGATTCTGGTGGCGGTGCGGCGTTGGCGCCGGCGCTGGCGGTGGGCTTCTTGCTGCGTGCGGGGTTTAGGGCGCGCGGGAGGAAGGGGAGTGGCGGGAGGAGGTACAGCGGGAAGACGAGCGGGTGCGGGGGCGGGGTGTCGCTGTCACTACCGCTACTAGTGCTAGTGAGGCTCATTGCTGTGTCTGGCACTGGTGAGATCTAGAGGGGTAGATAGAGGGCTTGCTGGGAGTGCCACTCGGTAACTATCGTTGCAGCACAGTAGGTACTCTACCGGTAGAATAGCTAGAGACCAGGTGGACCCGTGCAGAGAGACTCACGCCTCAAGCTTTTTCTTATCGGGTCTGGGGCCCGGTGTGTGTGGTGGCTGCTGGCTGCCGTTTTGTTTTTCCTGTGGTCGACTGCCAGCCGGGTTTCGATTCGGGCCTTGGAATTGATAACCAGCCCAGCCTGGGGGCGGGAAAAAAGAACAGGAAGAAAAAGAAAAACAAAAAGTCTGGGGAAAGCTAGGAGGGGGAACTTCTAGAAGCTGTATCCTTGTCGGTTTGATTGTGAGTGTTTTTAGTATTCCGAGTAGGTATTTTGAGCGAGTATTATTCCATTAATTCCCTCCCAGAGCTAAATATCCATCCAGTAGGTAAAATACAGAAGCTATCATAACCAAACCATAGCCGTAACCAAAAAAACAGTAAAAAGAAATATCATACAACACCCCTCTCCCTATCGTACACTCCCCAATTCCCCCCCCCCCCCACTATATCGCCCCACAACTCAACCTCCCCAACACCCTCTTCACCACGCCCTTCCCTTTGCCCTCGGCATCAACATTCTCCTCCACCCGCAGCCCCGAATACATCTCCGCCTGCGCGCGCTCCGCCTTCTCCCTGTTGTGGTGGTGCCGCACGTGCGGCCGGTGCCGGTGGTGCTTCCCTGTTATCACCGCCGTGTCGAGCTCTTCGTGCGGTGCCGTCTGCGCCTCTTGGTGCGGGAGGGTGGTGTTGCGTTCCCTGTGCGTGGGTTTGTGGTGTTAGGAGGGGGTGTATGCAGGGCAGGGTGGGGATTTCATGCAAGGGAGCAAGGTAGGGATGCGGGGAGGAGGAGGGATGCGGGGGAGGGATGCGGGGGGAGGGATGGGGGAACTTACAACGATAGTGGCTCGGGGAACCCGGTTTCCCGTGTTCCGTGGCTCGTCTTATTGATGTCTGTGCCCGTACCCGTAGCCGGAGCCGGGGCGGTTGTGGTTGAAGTTGTGTGTGGATGTGCGGGCATTGCTTTGTATGCACTTGTATATTATGTCCGTAGAAGTGATATAAAAAAAAAAAAGAGATACGTAGGCAGGAATGGATAGACCGTGAATATCCTCAGGGTTTATTTCGACAATTAATTTAAAGAAAGTTCCCCCCCCGCCTTCCGCTCCCCAATCGCTACTTATACGGTTCGCAAAAGCATGATGATCTCACTCTCGCTGGCTCATGGTAGTAGAGAAACTGCCTTGGTAACGATAGTTCTGACAAGAAAAAGGTCGGAACCCGGTACGTCTGCCTGACGTCACACACGCCGACCTGGGTTTGGGTTTGGGTTTTGGGTTTTGGGTTACACTCTGCTTAGGTAGGACTCTTGGGACAAGAACTTAGAACAAGACAGGGATGCGAGTGTGTGGCTTGCAGGCGGTGCTCACTAGTACTCTGTGGTATGTAGTTGCTAGTACTGTTGGAGGATTGGTACTGCTACTAGTAATAATAACCCACGATAGTGGTTGTGGGTTAATCTCAAAAGTCTCTATTTGTGGTTGCAGGTATCATTTCACTTAATTGGCATGTGAAACCACGGAGTTGAGTTGTCTGCAGGTAGCGATATAAAAGAGCCGCGATATCAGAAACACACACCCGCCCAGACCCGTAACTACCCTTCCTTGGCAAGGAGTAGCGTACGATTGCGCGCAACTGATCGATATCAACCTCCTCATCCTCCTCAGTCAGTCAGTGCAGTGAGGATAAGTATCCAGACAGTAGTGAGTGCACACACGACCAATTGCTCTCTTTGCACTGACAATCTCAAACCCTCACTGCAGCCCGTTTCATCACCAACCGCAGCTGCTGTGAGGCAGGAGTATTAATGGCAGCAATTGAGAGCCACGGCCTTGTACCTACCGTACTCTGCCATACCTACATTCTCAGGTAGAGTTGAGATCAATTTTGTGCAACCTCCACGGCATGTAAAGTACTGGTACCATGTATGTAGCTAGGTAGCTATTATGATAGCTGCAATTACACAGAGCACATACTCTTATATGGCTTATGGCTTATGGCTTATGCTGACTTCCCCTCCAGATTCCTTAGTTCAGACACTGGCGACTCTCTCAATTAATTTATGATATATCATCATGACTATCTATCCGACTATCCCACGACGAGAAAAGGGAAGAAGGAAAAAGCAATCGTTATGATGAAAACGGCCATGCAGCGCATGCCCACGCAAATTATCGCGCCGATTGCACCCTCAGACCTGCTGGAAATCAGATCTGCCTTGTCCACCTAGCTATCTGCCTACACAGAAGGAGGAAGAGGAGGCCGGCATGGCAGGTGACGCTGGATTCGAGTTGTTGTGCCCCCCCTCAAAGACGTGTTCATAGTGGAGTGCTTCCTAATTGCCTCTCTCGCTATCTTTTGTTTCTCTGTTGTAGGAAGTTACATAGTGCTGTAACATCATGAACAGCTAGATGGCTGTCTGCCTCTCTCTCGTGGTGGTGCATAAGCGAGTGACGTAGAGTGTCTTGAGTGCGCCCAATTGAAGTCAGGACTGAACGCTGTTTTTCCTGGGAAACGCAGCACAAAAAGATAGCCCAAAAACGTCAGTGCATCATGTAGGGTGTGATGTTTCGCAGACCCTTCTGGATTTTGTTTCTCCCCGTTTCTCCCCCGCCAAGAGGTTTCCCCAGACCACTGCAACCATCACCAGTGCTACACACACTGTCACACACACAGTTAGCGGACGAGACTGAGTGGGAGGTTTTGAAAGGGTCCTTTTTTCGCAGCCTCACTCACTCGCAACCGTCCAGCCGAGCAACGAGCCAACCAAACATGCAGCATGCCCACCCTCACACATCCACTCACCTTGTTTGGTTCCCTCTCTCTCCCTCCCAGCGTTCCGGATCCACGTGCACACCCCGGTTCAGGAAGCTCGTGGCGGGTTGGGCGGCAAAGATACACAGTTAACGGTTGATCTGTTCGTTTGCGCTGATGTCTGGTTGGTGGATTCTTTTTTATTTTATTTTTTCCTTTTCCGCTGATTTTTGGCTGGGTTCAAGGATTGGCTTATTTGTTCCAGCCCGTTGAAATTGGAATTTTTTTTTTTTTTTTTTTTTAATTTTATTTTTGGGGACGTCTTTATTTCTATGTCTGGTCTCTCTCTGGTCTGTCTCTCCGTCTGCCTGTCGATCAGGATTGGAAAGCACGATTCGATTTGATGACGGGTGGGATGAGGGTGCCATTGTTTCGAGGCACGGATTTGCTGGAATAAATTGTAAATTGCAAAATACTCTAGAGATTGCATATGCAGCAGCAGCATCATGTATCATGTAGGATGCACGAATTCAGGCGACCCAAGCAAGCAAGCTGCTGATGCTGATGCTGATGCTGCTGCTGTATGTAGATGCTTCTCGTTCAGTCTAGCAATCTCTGGCATGGGTGAGGAAGAGAGGGAGGGCCCTGGTAGAGAAATTATCGTTAGTAAACTGGTGTTCGAAACGCCACCACCGGTAGTGGTAATGGGTAGTGGGACACTAGCGAAAGGACCATAAAGTCAAAGCTCACCCTCGCTTCCCGCAGAACTCTTCTTTCCCTTTCCTTCCTTGCATCATCATCGCACTCTGCAACAAACCCTCAACAGTACTTACTTCCTTCCTACTTCAGAACAAATATTATTGTCTGACCCTTTAGATATCTATCTATCTAACCAGAACTATTATCTACTTATCGCTCGGCTTTTGATAAACTATCAAAAGCAAATCTTCACTCTTCGTCCACACAAGAAAAACCTTTTTTAAACAACAGCCCCCGTGACATTAAGGATTATGGCGATGATGAGTAGTAAACCAAGTAATAGTAGTAATAATCAAAGCAGGCCTTCTGCGGCTCCCGCCCCGAGGGCCCGCATTGAGGCCAGCTGTTACGCTACCAGCAAGTCGAGCCCTACCGGCCTTCAAAGTTTCCATTACTGTTCGACCGGCGCGGACGGTATGTTGTTACCATAATTCTAATGTTCAATGAATTCATCCAGTCACGAATTGAATAACTGATTCGATATGTGAATATAGGGGTCCAGTGGCGCTCCTGAGGCCCCCTCGGGAAACCCAAGTCCCCCTTCCAGCCGGCGCAGTACCCGCGCCAGTAACGGGAAGGGGGCATCGAGAACCATCGCAAAGGAGTGTGAGAGACTGCTTTGTAGAGACATGAAACGGATTTTCCTTGGTGGAGGGAACAATTCGAAGAGTGTTTCTGATTCGATGGGCTCGGTTTTCTTCGACAGCAACAATAACAACAAGAACGACAACAATCACAGTCATTACAGCAATGGGGGAAAGAGCGAGTTGCAGTTTATTGAGGTTTGGGACTACATGGGCGGTGCAAGCTTTAGAGGGTTTGTCGTTGACAAGGTTGGGAGAGGGAGGGTCGAGAAGACGTTGTTTTTGTTCTTTGAGAGTGTGGAGGGCACGCAGTTGAAACATGGGTATGTTGTTGTTGACTCTGATCTCAATCGCGATTGTTGAGTTTCGGTTTGCTAATTTCTTTGTTGTAGACTCATCGCGCTTATTGAGCTTGCTACAGAGTGTTTCAATTGTGACCGCCTCGTCATTGCTCTGGACCGAAAAACAGACGGAATTCGTATGGCTACCTTCCCGATCTCAATCATTGATCATTACTAATAACTTGTGTAGATGGCCTCATCCGCGATTTCGGCTGGGTCGGTTTCGAACTTATTACTCTTTCTCACTGGCTTCCCGCGCCTTCTATCGATAACGCCTCAAGAAGAAGCGACAGCTTCTCTTCAAACAGCTCTAGTGGTTCCGGCCGCAGTGGCAGCTTCTCCAGCATTGATTCGTCCTACTCATCGTCATCGGATGATGAAATCACAAGCGACAATTGGATCTTTGTAGGAATGGAGTTGTAAGGGTACCTCAGAAAAAAACAAATAAAAAAACAAAACACAAGGGATTGGGTTTCGATTCTGTTTGAACCTTTATTTTATGGCTCTTTGGTGGTTGTCTTTTTTGTTGAAACTCCTTATTTCACTTTTATTTTCCTTGAGCTCATTATCTCTTTTCCAAGGTTAGGGTGTGGATCATGATGGAATGATTTCATATTTCTTTAGCATTATTTCTATACGATTCGTCGTCGTATAATACTGTGTTGGTACCTGTGGTTTTTTCCTATCTTTCTTCTTTGCATGGCCTTTGTTTTCTGGGTTTCCCCTCTGAACCCCGCCTGATTCTTTGAATTAGCGTGGTACAAGAAAGGGATAGGCCGTCTGGTGCAATAGGTATTTGGTGACTTGTTCATTTTTTTGTTTTTTTCGTTTCTTTTTTTTTTTCCCCTTGCCAAAATACTTTACTTAGGTATCCTGTATGTATGTATGGAATTGAAACCCACTTCAGTTGGCCTTCTTTTGTCAAGTGATCTATGTCGTGATACAGCCTGGTGGGCATTGGCTTTTATTTCGAATGGAATTTTTCCCTTATCATCACTCCGCACGCTCGACAGGCACAGTACTGATACTCTATATTGCGGCTGCAGCGCAGTCACCTCCCGGTACGAGCAGTTGATGCATGGTTACCGTGCCTGCCTGATGCTTCACCCGGAGGGGCCTGCCGGGTGAATGTGTTTTAGCAGCGCAAATGGTTGAGGTTCAAGCATGTCGTCCAACAGAGGGTTGAGGATTGGGATACGCTGCCTGGGGTGAGTACGTGCATATGCTGTCCCATCCATCCATCTTTGCTGCTAGTCTAGAATACTCTCTTGCGTGCCCTGCCTTGTTTGCTGCATGTTTGACCAATAGGGGTGTGGTGATTGGTTTGTGGAGGAGTGGGGAGTGGAGAGGAGGGGAACACGGGGGAAGTTATGCCTGTGTTGAGGCTTCCGGGAAAGAGCGAAAGGGCGGCGTGGGATTATAGAGATGGTTAGAGGTTACATTTGTCTATGTGGTTGGTGTGAGCGGAATACCTGTAGTCATACTGGATCACTCGGGGGAGTACTGGAATGAACTAAAGTGCATGTATGTATTTCTTTTGCCTGAGCTGTGTACCGAAACAAGTGATTTTAATCATTCCCCCAATGATCTCCCTGTCAGTAAAAGACATGTTTTAAATCTACAAATTAACGGCCTTAATGAACATAGCGATTGCTCTGCTTCTTGTATAACCATCATGTATAACCATCATGTTTCAACGCACCCCATCTGCTGACAGCTGTTTGTTTCTCCCCCGTTGTCTTGGGGGGGGGTACACGCGCGCTAGCTAGCATAGCACACACACACACACGAGCCGCACACGTCGGCCCGCTGCTTAGGTACCAAACCCCACGTTACTTCGCGATCAACAACCAATCCACCCCCCTAGGTCGGTGCCATGGACGACGCCGATATAATCTCCGTGAAGCTCTCCGAGCTCCTGCGACACCCCGAGGTAAGCTTCGCTATCAACCCCCCCCCCCCGCGCCGGGCCTAGCTAGCTCAACTAACCCGCTTTCCAGGACCTTGACAAGATAGCTGCCCTGAAGTCAGAGTTCACGAGGAAGAAAACACATGTCGACGCGCAGCTCAAGTCCGGCCTGCAGAACCAGATCGAGGTCACGCAGGTATGGTGCGTCTGGAGCTTTGTTGGTGTCGGGGGTGCTAATGTGTGTGTAGTCTGGCATTCGGGCGATTGTCGATGGGCAGAAGACGCTGCACGCGATTAAGGAGGAGATGATGAAAGTCCGTCCTTTACCCCCTTCTCCGTAGCGACCGTGGGATCACGATTTGGTGGGGGGCTTGGCTGATTGGAATAATTGGCAGATAGATAAACTATGCGCCGAAGCAGAGAATATGATCCATGAGTTTCCTCTAATAAACAAGGTTTGAGACACCCGCTGGCGATGTTTTGGGAGGGCCTTCAGCTGACTGGGGAAGATTTCGAAATTCACCGGAACTTTGTCGCAGTGGAAGAGATTAAATCAAGCCTACAGGGGCTTGATATTAAGCTCAATGAAGTAGGCCGTATGCTGGAAAGCGACTCTGGAGATTGTATATACAGGCGGGTACGGGCCCCAATAAGAGTATATGGGCTAATGACCTCGTGAATATAGCACTGACGAACGAAATGCCTAATATATTACCCGTGCACTTTGCAATCACCCAATTGCAAGATTTTAAGGCAGATGTCATGCACCAAAGCGAACGTACGGACAACGATGTGAAGGGAACGCTTGAGGGCTACTTTGCACCTCTCGAAGATACCGTCGGGCTGTTTGATGAGAGGGTGGGGATCATTGCGATGAGTCTCATTGAGCTAGTTCGGGCTGGGAATAAGAGTTTGGTTGTTCGGCTAGCAAAGATTGTTGATGCCGAGGAACGGTCAGACGAGAAAGTGGTGGCCCTTCAAGAGGCCCAGACATCACATCAAGAGATTGCTTCAAGGTAAGTTGAACTATAGTCCGTTCAACTTTATTACAATTACCTTTCTAATCTCGGCGTTTCAGGTTCAAATCAATACAAAAAGGGCCTAAGGTCGCAAGAGGATACAAGGAGAAATTCCTGGCTTGTATCAATGCTTCCGTCCAAGCAAAATTCGAACAAGCAAAGGAAGAGTTTGAGAATGACCCTGAAGGCCTCGAGGAGTGCTTAAATTGGTATTTTGATGATCTCCGCACCGTTAGGAGTGAATTCACCAAGCTTGTTCCTCCACGCTGGAAGATTTTCGATACCTACCTTAAGATTTATCATGATCTTATGCATGATTTTCTCAAGGAACAGATTGACAAACCTGACCTCGATGGTCAGAGTCTGTTATCCATCATTCGCTGGAATGGTGAATACAACAAGGGCATGAAGACACTCGGTATCCGTAGCATTGATTTGAAACCGCATGTCATTGACGGCCGTGAAGCCGACCTCTTGAAGGAATACACGCAACTCATCGTCATGAAGATGGAGGAATGGATGAACAACATTATCGAAGACGACACTAAAGACTTTGTGCAAAGAACCCATCAACCAAACGAGGAGGACGGGAAATGGCATATGTCGTCTGTACCAACTATGTTCACCATGATCAACCAGCAGCTCAATGTTGCCCTTGACTCTTCAAAAGGAAACGTTGTGTCTGGTGTTGTTGATGAGTGTGTCCGCCTACTCAAATACCGACAAACAAAATGGCAGCAAGTCATTGAGCAAGAGGTCGGCAAGCACATTAAGGCTTCTAGCAGGGAAGACCTTGATGACCTTCCCGACGGTATCCTAGAATACATGATGTCCGTCGCGAATGACCAAATAAGATGTGCTGCCTACACACAGGAAATCTCAGACCGTGTCGCACCACTACTCAGCAAGAAATACGAAGACGAGATTCGACGCTCGTTGGAGGACGCAATGAACGGTTTCGTAGATCTAGCCACATACTGTCTAGCCCAAATCATAGAGATCATCTTCAACGACTTGAGGCCACCAGTCAAGAACCTCTTCACCGCTGTTTGGTATGGAGGGAACGATATGGACACCATGGTGACCACCATGCGCTCCTATATTGTAGATCTTTACCCTGGTCTTGACGACGACCTCTTCCCGGCGTTTATGCACCAACTTTCAGAGAAGACTTGTGTCAACTATCTCTCAGCTGTCACAAGCAACAAGGGTATCAAGTTCCGATCTGTAGAGGCGGCCAACCAGGTTCGGGCAGATGTAGGAGTTGGTTACGGGTTCCTTACGGAGTTTATAGACCGTGATGAGGTCAAAGGAGTGTGGACCGTATTAGAGCATTTCCTGGCTCTCATCTGCGCCGATAAGATGACCCTCGGAGAGAAGTACGATGCGTTCAAGGAGGCGTACTGGGATCTACCCATGAACTGGGTAGAATGCGTAATCAAGAACAGGGACGACAAGACGAAGGAGTTTATGGAGATTATCAAGGCAAGACAGCATTACAGTCCGAGGGGAGCAGACCCTACGATTATGTCTAGGTGTGTATCCAGAACATGATCAGACAAAAGACTATGATGGTAGGACCTGTCCGAAGACATTCATGGATTAGCTTTGCTAACAGAGACTTGCCTGCCTGTGTAGGGTTGTTACTTAAACTTGATACGAGATTTTGGAGGGAATTTTATATGTTCATTTTACGTTTTAGTGGGAGTTTTTTTTTTATTCTTCATTGCAAAAAATACTTGCGTTTCGTTTTTGCAGCGTTTTATAGCGTGCCTTTTATATATATCTGTTGAGTGTTTTCTATAATAATTTCAAAAGGAATATTATGTGCTTCTAGAGATCTCGGATCCAAAGTGACGTACCCGGTTTAAGCTTAACTGCGCCGCAGCCGTTAGTGTAGATCCATCTGTTTTAGGATAAACGCATTGTAGAAAGCTACTCTAGAGGTTGTTGTGGGCTGTGTTGAATTCACAGTCTATCAAGTTAAGCTATTTCCTACCACAGATAATGTTTTTGTTTGTTTCCCCTCCTTTGTGTTATTAGACCTCAGGCCGTACAATTTAATGCCGAAAAGTAGAATCAAAACCATTTGATTCATTTCCTTCGTAGAGTTTTTCCTTCTGCGTTTGCCCCCTTTGATACATCCTTTGTCTCTACGATTTCAGCGGCCCTCTTCATGAAGCCGAAAAGAAAGAAAGAAAAGAACATATAGAAAAGAGTCCGGTTACGGAAAAGAATACTCCGGCATTCGTATTTTTGTCGTATTTTTGTTTTTTGTTTTTTGTAGTTCGTCAATGGGTCATAGTCATAAAAACCTGTTTTGTTTCTTCACCTCGGCCAACCTGCAAAGATTTCACCACGAATACATCAGCCCTTCTCCCCCAAATCATAAGACAAAATAAGCAAACTAAACATCATGGGTGGGTTTCTGAATATAGAGACAGAAGATCTCACCTTGTGCCGCTAAATGTAGAGGTGACGAGTGCCTTCCATCTTGCGCATTGATATCTGCGCCATTCTCCAGCAGCAGTCTCACGGCCGCCTCATGTCCCCTCGAGGCAGCCACGTGTAGGGCCGTCATCCCGCAGTAATCCTTCGAATTGACGTCGGCCCCGTTCTCCAGCAGCATCTTGACAATAGTCCCATCGTGCAGCGTCGACGCTGTATGTAGGGCTGTAGCACCATTAGTCTTGTTATGTCTATTGATGTCGACACTACGCTTTATGAGCAGCTCAGTCGCGGTATTGTTTCCTTTCTTGACGGCCCAGTCGAGGACGGGACGGCCGTTGTTATCTACTGCGGCCATGTCGGCGCCATGGTCGAGAAGGTAGTTAATAACCTTATCGTTGGCGTGCGGGGGCCCCGCACACGCCTGGTGTAGTGCGGTTGTGGAGTATTTCATGTCACGGTCTGAGACACTGGCGCCGCTGTTAAGGAGCGCCTTAACGAGGGATGTGTGGCCCTTCGATGCTGCCCAGTGAAGGGCGAGCCCATGACGGAGGAGAACAAGCTTTGGGCCTTGTGCGAGGACAAACTCGATAGTCTCCTCGCTAGGTTTGCTGGGCGAGGAGTGCACCGGGCGGTGACGACGGCTGCTGTCATTAAGGACTGTAATGCCTTCTCCAGTCTCGAGGAGTAGGCTGATTAGTGGGCGGTTTCCGCCCACGGCGGCGGCGCAGTAGAGCGCGGCAGGAGCATTCTGGGCGGTGATAGAGAGCTTACGGAAGGATGGAGTAAGAAGGGTAGAGAGGCGGCGGGAACTCTGGAGAAGAGCGTTAAGGTCAGGAAGTTCAAGGTACTCTGCTATTCCGTAAAGGAGCTCGTTGGCTAAGCTTTGAAGAGAGGCCATAACCGCTATCCTATTCTTTATTTCTTTTTTCAATAAGTCCTTTATTTATTGAGGCACTGGAAGCACGGGCAGATTCGTAGACGGTTGGTTAATGGTGGGAGGTTGCGGGGTGATTGAAGCTGTTTCGAGCAGGGGAGGTGGGCAGTGCTTATTATGTACTGCCAAGGGCCTGTCATGGATTATCACTCGTTATTCACAGCCTGCCTTGCGCTCCGCCTACCCGCCACGTATTAGTGTAGATCGCGCACCGAATTCCCGTCTACAAACACAAAGAAGTGTTCTTATTTCGTTGCTCTTTGTTGAAGTTTGGTTGCGGTTAGGCATGTGCAGCCATGGAGATGTTACATAACTATATACATGTATACCTGATACATGTACCTGCACACACATAGATACTGTACCGTATTGACTATGGGAATATCCGCGGATAAGGGAGAAGACTCCCGGGACGCGGCACGATAAGAAAAAAAATTAGCTCTTTGATGCAGCTTAAGGGTAAATTAACATTGCTATTCTGGCTCACTGAATAATTGTCGGTTCAGTTGGGACGTTTCATGACTAAACTGACTTCGCGACTGAGCCAGAATATTGAGAAACAATTTTCTTCCTGATGTAATACAAAAGTGTTCCGAGATTCAGGATCCACCGCAGTCAGCCCGATTGAATGAGACGTTAATTACATATATATATAGTGGGTAGCTCAGTGTATCAGGAAATATGTGACAGATCTTTCAGGAAGTACAGGGAAAGGTAATAAGTGATGGGAACGCCCTGAAAGTACAAACACTTAATGTTGGTGGTGTTTTACCAAAACAGGTATCGCTGTGTTCCATCACTTATTACCCACTGATGTACATACATTGACATGGAATTGACTACCTCAGCCGTCAAACATGCAAAAAAAAAAAAAAAAAACCAAGGTGAGGGAAAAGAAAAAAAAAAAAAACTAAAAACGCAGTCCCGACTGGACCGGCTGGTTATTTTTGCCATTCATTGGGTAATAATCCAGGGATTTACCGACATACAAAACAGAAGGCAGTGCCTTACTTTCTGCATTCGATCCATCGGATTAATGTAGTTCCATTTAATACGCAGCGGAGGAGGCTTGGAAACGCATATTTGACTGATACTGGACGCCTTCCCGTAAGCTATAGCGGGCGTTCTATCGCCGGATAGATCAAATTTTGGTGTTCTAACGAATAGAACAGTGTGTCTATGTGTTTCTTATGGGGGGGGGGGGTCTATTTGATTCATGAACTCTATCCGTTTTCTATCCGTTGCAATAGGGAGGACGGACACCTTACTAGCGCGAGAAATGGTCCCAAAAAATGGCCTCGCGATACCCAATTTGTATTAGGCGCTGATTAGATTTTTGGGAATCCATATCAAACACCGTATGCTTACGGGAACCTGGTCTATTCGAAAACCATCCTCTATTGCGATAGAACACGTTCAATAGCTTACGGGAAGGCGTCCACTTAATAATATGATGTATAATACATGTATTAGCGGAGATAAGCCCTGAACCCTATGAAGTTTGTGTATCGATTAATTAATATTCAGGCAGAAGGATTCTTGCCGTCATATAAACGGAGCCTTACTTGGCGCGCACAACTTCACCTGATCCTATCCTAGGAAACAGATGATCCCAATTCCATCATATATATAGATACAAGTGGAGACGGAGGAGAATATTTGGAAAATATGTAATCCAGACGTACATACTCTAGTTTGATGGAGGCTAGCCTTCCTTGTTGTGGTTAAAATCGTTTCAATCTAGGACACCTGTCGGAAACGAATAAATGCATGTTCAAATCAGAAGACCAGAATGGGCTTGAGTGTTACCTTATTGTATCGATTTACAACGTGTTATCGGCCTTGTGTTCCCACCATTGGGAGGGGTGAGGTGGGCTCGGGCCGGCCTGATTACTTCACATACCCTTGATGAATATATATATATATATATATCTTCAAATAAAAAAATCTCCGCTCAAAGAATGAAAACATCGTGGTAGCTTTCATTATAGTCCGTGTTTCCGATAGACCTATCTGGCTTGTGTTCTAGCACTTCACATTTCATTGATCTCCTACTTACCCAGTACATGATGACCGGGCTAAAGAGAGTACTAAACAAGAGAATAGAAGAAAGCAGAGTAACGTAGGTCCAACGTGAATGGCACTTGTGGCCTTAGAGAAAGCTCCAGAAACAAAACGTTTGCTAACCCTCTCACCACTTCCCTCCTGTTTGGGGTTTATCAACGCATAGCTTACGAGTTACAAGTTCTGGATCGAGATTAAACCTCAAGGCAGAAAAACAAAAAGGCTTCTGTCTTAGCTTCTGTCCTACCAACAGAATGCTCCCGTGATAGATGGTCGCAAAAAGCATCACTACTACGTTGGGAGCCACCATTGCTAGCTATAGGTTCCGATTGACTCTCTGTAGAATTTGAGCCAGTGATATTTCGGCCTTGAAGTTGGGAATAGCCAAGGTATGCATTATGTAGATAATGTGACACATTTTTTACACCTACTTCTACCTTAAGACCTTGTGCACCTAAGAATTGGCTGTGTTGGTCACGTTGGGTGTTGTGCACTAACATGGTTATTGCAATTAATTGGGGGTAATGATTAATTGGCGGCCTGAAGATGTATGGCCCATTGATCATATATGAGGGATCTCATTCGATCCACTATCCAGTGGAAACACACTGGGAAATTCCCTGTACCGAGGGGAAGGAGGGAAAAAGAGAGAAGGAAAAAGACGCTCGAGCTCCATTCTATAGGACATTCTTTGCGCTTTAAGTTAATTCTAGCCACACCACGCCAAGCCCACACCACAAAAGCCTATTAAGTTTATGGTTTACTTCGCGGCCCCCAGCGGCATGTGTGGGGATGTGACCGTGTGGGTGGAATATCAACCTTTCTTTCTTATTGATTATTGGATATGGTTGACTCATTGCACAGATGGGCACTTAACTGAGGTTATTAAGTGCATTAGCGCACGACCTGGATGAAGCGTCCTCCATTCTTGTTGCAGTTTCACCACCCATCTATCCCGTGGGCGGATGCTAGGCCTAATTGTCCCAGTCCTCCCAGCTACTCGGGGGGATGTGCACGTGGCTACGTGTAGGTAGGCGCATATGATACGCAGATATTTAGTGCAAAGATGGAGGCGACAAAAACACTGCCCGTAGATCAACTTCATCGGCCATTAATTTAGCGCGGATAGTGATTCGAGAATCCACCATCCCCACCGGTACCGGCCATACCAGCTGCATCTCTTTCTGGAAGGAAATGAAAAGAGGCGGAGTATGGTGAAGTATTTACTACGTATATCGCGTAGATAACACCGGCTATTTCTGCCTGCAAAGTCCTAGGGGACGGCTTATATAGTGAATGGTGAATCATAGACTATCACTCGTGCACACTGTTGCCAATTTGGGGGCCTATGAACATGCCATAATTAGGTTTTAGAATCTTTATAACCCGAGTAGCCAAGTACCGTCTTTGAGAAAAGGCTGTTGGCCTCCCTTTCAGAACGGGGTTTGATGGGTGCCCAGCTAGATCTATGTAGCCGACTGGTTTTAACAACCTTAGCCACCACAGTGGTCAATACATCATTTTCTCCCTTCATGGCATTGATCCAAATTTCTTAATACAGGCATACGTAAAACTACACCTTCTTTAAGCCAAAACTAAGATAAAAGAAAAAAAAAACCCAACCTGCGCGCGGAAACCCCCTGTTCTGCAACGGAATGAAGAGAAAAAGAAAGAATAAAACCCAGTAGTTAAATTAATAAAAAGCTGTTTTGAAGAAAAAAGAATACAGGACATCGTTTACTTTTCCTCTGTCTTGGTCTTTTTATTCTCGCCCTCGCTCTTCTCGCCCTCGCTCTTCTCGCCCTGGTCTTCTGGTGCGGCCTCTTCAGCGAGGTCGTCAAGCTTTCTCTTGCCGCCCTTGCTCTCGCCAACCACAACATCTACCTTCTCCTGCTCCTTCTTTTCGGGCGCAGGCGCAGGCGTAGGAGCAGGCTCTTCAACCTTCACCTTCTTCCTGACCAGCCCGGTCAGATCATTGGCCTTACTCATGGCCTCCTCGATCCTCTTCTTGGCGCCGACCTGGTCCTCGCCGATCAGCTGTCCCAACAGACCTTCCAGCTTCTCTTGGCCGGGTACCGTTTCTGGCGTTCTTAGATCCACGAGTCTCGTCTCAAGCTCCTCAACCATCTCCCGGGCGTCCTTGAGACTCTTCGTGACCACCTTCTTCCCTTTGCCTTTACCACTCCCGTCCGCGCCAAGCTCTGCTTCTTCCTTCGCGATGCGCGCGCGGCAGGATGCGATGGCCTTCTCCATCTGCTCGGCGGCGGCATCACGACCCTTGGCGCGGTCGCTGGGTGAAACGTCCTCTGCGGCGGCGGTAAATTCGAGCGCAAGGGAGAGCTTGAAGTGCGCTTCTGAGATGAGCGTGGATTCTTGCGGGTAGAGAGTGAGCTTGAGGTCCAGGGCGGAGGCAAGATCCTTGGCGGCTTGCGCAAAGGACTCGGATTCGAGCGAGACTTCGCCGAGGATGTCGTAGGTGTCGGCGAGCATGACCTTGAGCGAGTGGGTCTCGTCTTCTGTCAACTCGGCGGCGGGCTCGGATTCAGCAGCAGCATCGGCAGACCCGGGCTCTGTGGTTCCGTTCTCGGCCTTGGTTTCTGGCTCGATCTTGGCCTCAGGGGATAACTGCTTCTCGAATAGCACGCGCGCGTAGTCTAGTATCTCCCACGCGAGCGTAAAGTCGTCATCATCGTCTGCTTTCTCCTTCTCGTCCTTCTCGTCGCCGTCCTCCTCGTCCTCGTCCTCTTCGTCCGTGTCGTCCCAATTCTCGTCACCCGTGAACTGGAATAAGCCGGCCTTCTGGCCCGTCTCCAATGGCTTTGCCTCTACCTTTATCTTTTCCTTCTTTGTAGAGTCCTTCTTCACCTCCTTGGTGCTGGCGCTGTTGTCCTCCTTGACACCGCCGAGGACATCGCTCTTCTTGACTGCGACTTCAAAAAGCGAGCGCCCATAGAGGTAGAGTAGATGCGCGTTTTTAGGGTTGTTCTCGCCGTGGATAGTGGACTGGAGTTCGCAGGCGCTGGCGTAGAGCTCGGCGGATATCGCGTAATCTTTTTGCGAGTAGGCTTTGAGCGCGGCGGCCTTGAGGGTTGCGAGCTTGGACTCGGGGGTACCGGGGGGAGCAGCTGTAGACGACGACATTTTGTGTTGTATGTATTATAGCTATAAAGAAGGGGGCGACTGAGTGAATAAGAGGATGGTGCGAGCTGAGAGCGAGTGAAGATGATTTTGTTTGTTTTGATGGTTGGCTGCAGGAATTAAATGGTTGTTAAGCTGGCCTGGTTTATTGCGTGGGTGTAGGGTTACACATGTGGTTGCGTTGCAGGGGTGATTCTGATCTACAGGAGAGCCGCATGGGTGGGTTTACGCGTTTGGAAATGATCGAGATAGCAATATATTGTACATGTATTAGTTCCTGATAGACTATTAGACTGATGTTAATAAACAAGATCCTGGCCCTAAGCTTCTGTAGCCTCTGGTTCTTCTTGGCTATCATCTACGTCATCTCCTTCTGCCTCATCTTCAGGAATATCCGCTTTCTTTTTCCCACCCTGTTCCTGCTTGAAATACAAATCTGTCCTTCATCAGCTATCACTCGATTATAAACTGGATTATCAGAAGGCACACATACCAGCTAAAAACTGGGGTGTACTAGCCTCTTCGATGCTTTTATCACTCCTCTTCCTCAAGAATCTTGGAAACCTCAGACTGAGCCCTCTCTCCTCACTCACCAATCCCATGGCCGCAGAGTACGTCGGGCTTAATGTGATGTCCGCAAACGCAATCTCCCACACCTCTTTCGGTTCAAACCACACCGCAGGGCTTAGGGAAGTTTCGTAGTACGCCTTTTTGCTCTTCGAGGTGTTTATATTGTTTTCTTCGGATTCATCATCGTTGTAGAATTCTTTCATTTCTGCGTAGTATTTGTCGGTGAAGCCGGACATGCACTTGCATACTGCCTCGAAAGTGCCGGTATCGGGATTGCGGACGGCAAGGAGTATTGGTGACCACCTGTGAATTAACCTGAGTTAGAAAGAAAACAAAGCTTCAATCTCACGGGCTCTACCATTTAGACTTTCTTCCGTTACCGTGCCAGGCAGCTATGGGTACAAGGTCCAGTGTGTCGGCAGAAGAATCGTAGTCCTTCTTTACTTTCAACCAAGACTATGTTTTATTTCAGTTAGCAAATAGCCATCAATACTACTCTCGGTTAATTGGCTGTCTAACCTCTAGCCTTTTGTCTGGCTCATAAGTTGCTAGCAAGGCTTTCCTCCAGCCACCCTTTTCTCTTTCGCTTTTCTCTCCTCCTTCTTTTTCATTTTCTTTGCTTTTACCTTTACCTTTGCCTTTGCCTTTCGAAACTGGCACGCGTTCTTCCTCCATGGATTCTTCCTCTTCTTCGGGTGACAATGTTTGTGACGCTTTATTATCCAAAACTTTCACCATGATCCCCTCACATCTAGACTCTAGTGAAGACCTGAAGAATCCCCGTACTAAATCCACGTCGGCAGATGTTGCGTCTAGGCTCTTGACCCAGATGAACCTTCTGGGTATCTCAATAAACATGCTTTTCATCAATTCCCGCCGTTCTCGAAACGGCTTTGAGAGCAATTCCTACAGCACTGTTAGACTTTTTCGGACTAGGCAAGTAAACGGATTACGTAGATATGGGGCATACGTACCTCCCCATTCAGATACATCAAATCAAACGCAAATAAACACACATGAACGCTGATGCTCCTAAACTCCACATTCTTTTTCTCCCTCCCCGCCAACGTCTGGAAGGGCTGAATGTTCCCCGTTTGCGAATCAATTGCCACGACCTCACCTTCCATGATGAAGGACTCAACGCCATCGCCTCTAATCTTTGGCACAAGCTCTACAAGATCCGGATACTTCGAAGTCATCAGTTCAAGATGCCTACTAAATATCGACACCTTCCCGTCAGAGTCACAGTGAATCTGTGCCCGCTGCCCATCGTACTTAAACTCGCAGCTAAACGCCCTACCCTGGAGCTTCACCATCATATCTTCCAGGTCCCTCGTAATACTACCCAACATTGGCTTCAACGGCACATGGATAGCCATTCCGCACTCAGCTTGCAGTACACCGATACCTCCTCTCAGCAGAGCAGGAACGATGTCATTATAATTTGGTCTCCTAGCAAAGCACTGCTTTAAAATTTCCTCAGCCTTACTGAAAGCCTCTTGCCGCCCTTCCTTATCCTGCGGGATCTCTGAGCATTTCCACCCTGCACCATCGGGTGCAGAGAGCAAAAACGCACGCGAAAGAGCTATTAGCATCGTGGTCTTGACAGCACCGATACGTAAGTGCTGTATCAGAGTGCGTGTGAGATAACGTATCTCTTCTCCCTTAGCATCGACTAGAAGTCGTTCTACATGACGCTGTTTGCTTTCTTGCGAGCCTTTTCCAGAGGTCAACGCAATTTTTGTGATTGTTGCGTAGACATTCTTGATCGCTGGACAGTTTGCGACTACGGGTCAATTGCCGCGTAATCAGATCCATTACGATGGGTAAAGCACTTACTCAGCGGTGTGGGTTTTTTCAACATCAGAACTATTTGCTTCACCTTTGCCTCAAACGCAACATCCCCAGGATCACCATGTTTGTTATACAACTTCTTCAACGCGGCGGGTGTAATACCGCTTGTCTTAGTGAGCGCCTTACTAATGATTGACCCTCCAAGACCCAATTCATTAGTCTCGTACGATGGCCCAATATCATTTGTCGTCAACCAGACCTCCCGACAGTCAGTCGAGTGATATTCCATGATTGTGTAAACTAGGGCACCCCCTTCAAAGTCACCGACCGGGTAAACTTACAGCGTCGAGCAAACTATCAGGATCCAGTCTTATCAGTGTCCTAATGAGGTTCGCCAACGTATCCACAATCCTAATTCTCGACCTTGTTGAGTTGACCAATACAAAGGCTCTGGTTAAAAGCCCATAGGGCGCCTTCCCATTGGGCCACTTTGCAACAAGGCTCCCATAGATATCCGGGTCAAATTGGAGCGGATCCGTGTCGAACGGCATCTCCTCGACCAGAGTATCGCTCTCTGAGGCTGCTGTTTTCTTCGGAGCAGGTGGGACACTGAGGACGGCTTGCTTGCCGGTTCCCACCAGTTGTGGTAGCGATGGCGGTATTTCCCTTGCTTTCTGGCTGTCGCCACCAGTTGCGGATAACTGCGGCTGCTGCTGCTGCTCCACGCCACTTATTTCTGTAGCCTTAGAGGAGCTCAACTTCCGTTTTTTTACCCCGGTTACTGTTGTATTACTTGGGCCAGCGTTACTGCCACGGGTTTCATCTTCTTTAGCCCATTGCTCGGCCAACTTTCGTGCGTATTCCTCGTCTGTTAGGCCTTCTGAAGCTCCATCGACGACTGCCTTTGGCTGTGCGGCGGCTTGTCGTTGTTTGCCAAAAAAGAAGTCAAGGTTTCTGGACTGTTGCGAGGTCACGGGAGAGCTCTTTTTCCTGCGTTTACTTGAGCTGGCCATGTTTTATTGGATTAGGTGGTGTTCGATGGAACCGCGAGTTTTGTGAAAGCTTTGTTGTATGCGGCGACGTCATGACCTGTCCTGCAGGTGCCAAGCAACATCTTGAGTTATCAATAATTAATTATCCCAGACCATCACCAAGATATTTTAGAGTGGACTTGTAACAGTATAAGCACTTAATTTCTTTTGATAATCAACTATTGGGGGCCCAGCAAATTTCAAGTTTTCAATTTTATTTTATTTTTATTATCCAGGCAGAATAACGATGAGATAAGACTCTGGTATACACGAGAGGCCTAGGAGGCTTGAAGTTTCCACCCTCTGAGTGCTTATATCGTTTTCTGTCTGAGTCAGAGGAGCGAAAAGTCACAACGCCAAAAAATAAAACTCAAGTGAATGCCACAGTTAGCCTATGTAAATCCCTCATCATCTTACTCTTTTCAAGCCCCCACCCCCCAACGGCTCAACAGATGAGTTGACTCTTTATTTTCCCTGTGACCTGGCTAGCCAAACCGACGAGTCGTCCATAACTTGAAATACGAAACCGTGGACGATCGAAAGGATATTTGAATTTCGGACTATTGCTCGACTAGTTCGATTTGCGACGGGGAGACAATTGATGGCTTTTCGTTCGACCGACCGAGACAAACTAATCGACCGTACGCTCGTTCGTTCGAACTGGAACCAGATAAATGTAACACCCAAAAGCCTTTTTTTTTGATCCAAACAAACAACCAGAAAGAAAAATGACAACAAAACAGTGACCAATGAACAAATAGAACATGATAATTTCAAGTAGCAATGACCCAGGAGGGAGGAAAAACTTGTGAGGGAGAAAAATTACTACCAAGAAAACAAGAAAGTTGTTCTCAAACTTTTGCAAATTTATATCGCCCTTCCTGCCGCCGCCGCAGTAACAGAAAAGAAATTTTGTTGGGACTCAAGTCTTTGAAAATTTAGGAAAGAAAGTGGAAGAAGAAATATGGGAAGGTGAGAGGGAGTGAGACATTATCCAGTCTTACGAGTAGATACGACGTCGGTCCTCTAATCCGCGATATCCGCATCCGCAGTGTCTAAGTCATCATGGAGAGTATTGTGAAGGGGAGAGTCTGTTTTGTCAGCCACGTGTGACGTGGGCTCGGTTTCCATATCATCCACGATAGGAGACATACCCTTGCGATGGTCACGCTCCTCTCCATTTGCAGGGGCAGGACTCCTATCTCGCTCGTCTTCGTTCCTGCGTGGTTCATCATCCTTTCTGACCATTGGACTTCTGGAACGGTCACGGTCGCCGCCACGTCTGTCACGGCGTGGGGAAGAATCGCGGCCACGGGATACTGAGCGACGACGTGGGGAACCACCACGGCGACCACCACTACGAGGAGCATCACGACCACCATCGAAGCGCCAGCTAGCGGATGGAGGGGTGCGGGCCCACTGTTTGAATAAAGTCAGAAAAAATTGCTTGAATAAGTCGGGGAGTGTCCCTACTTCAATCTTCAACAGATCGTCGCGACCGATGCGACGCCCATGCATTTCGATGTAGGCATCGTCCGCATCACGTCGGCTCTCATATTCAACAAAAGCAAACCTAGCGGGCATTGAAAACTGTCAGCCACGTCGACCAATCGAAAGCCCGGTTTGAATAAATACGGCAAATTGGAAGGCGAACATATGGGACAGCGAGGGGAAGGCAGATACTTACAAGCGAGAAGAAGCAGTCCTCGGAGCCGGAATGTCACAGCGAACAAGTCGACCATACCTGTTGTTTCGGAACGTTGACACCGTTAGACGAGCGAATTCCAAATTTTTGACGCCAACGACGTGGACGATGACGACGGAGTGACGGTAGTAGTAGGAGACGACAACGAAGCAGGAGGGGTATTATGCGTAGTATTCTGCCGCTCGCGAGGGGAAAACCGACGACGACAACGAGTTCGATTCGACGAGGAACGAAGGGCACGAGGGATTACATCGCGTATAGGGTTGACAGGAGGGACGATCGCAAGGGATCAAAGTAGTATCATCAATAGTAATGGTAGGAGAGGAAGGTCTAAGGGACGATCATGGACGAGGGTAAGAGGATGATGATGTTAGGCGGATTTTTCAGTACCTCTCGAATTCGTAGGCAAGATCACGAGCACGGGTGCCAGACGAGAAGCCCGTCACATATAGTGTGGTGCCGCCGCTGCGAGACATGGTTTTTGTTTTTGTTTGGGGGGTTTAAAACAGGTCAAGGTTGGGTGCAAATTGATGAGATGAAAATGGGTGGGGATGAAGTGGAGGGAGGATGAGAAGGAAGTAAATTTGATGAGCTGGAGGAAGGTAGAAAGGGAGGAGAAAAGGGAAGGAAGGAAGACGAAGCGAGCATGGAAGCTGAAAGGCTTTTAGGAAAGGTGGTGGCTGGTTCAAATCGACAACACAGACAATAGCCTTGTATCAACGTGCCAAGACTAAACCGTCCCACGCATGTTACAACAAGCCAATACACGGTTTTAACCCACAAAATCTATTATACAACTCATCAAACATAAAAAGTAACCCCCTTGCATGCCAGAGTGGCAGAAATTTATTCTCTTTGAATCGTATGCATATCGAAGCTGCGTGCAGATTGAATCCCAAAGAAAAGCGCCCAACAAATCATAGAGAATAAAGTAAGTCGCTAAAGTTTAGGGAAGTAAAGAACTTCTGATGTGCCGTATCTTAAATCTCGTCATCAAAATCCTGCATGATGGTTTCTTCTGGTTCATCATCTGCCCAACCACCACCGTAATCAAAGTCCATCGCGTCTGGATCGCCCATAGATAGTAACGAGGAACCGCCGCCTGCCATTTTAGCAAGCCGGTTGGTCCATTGAATATATTCCTTACTCAATCCAAGTTTTCTATCCATCGCTTTTACTTGTTTTGTTAAGCTTATTGTACGGCTGATTTGACTATCCAGGGCCCGAAGATTGCGCAGTTCTGACAAAGGATTATTGTGGAAGTGGACGGTAGTTTGTGACAACTTGTAGTCAGGCTCTGATTGTGAGAGAGAGGCACGGATCTCATCGCGTTCAATCTGGGAGAAGGGAGAGAGGGTTAGCTTTTATTATCTATGAGGAATCATGGGCAAAGAGACCCACCATCCCTAAAACAACACCCTCCGTTTCTTCTTTGCCCCCTGCGTCTCCTCCTCTCCCTACAACCTCAAGGTTCTTCTTGGAAATTTCCTCAATGCTCAAAGTAACATATGTGTCTCGTAATGCGACGATCTGCATTCGTCTAAAGACATCCATACATTGTACTGCTAACCCGGTATTTCCATCTTGTCTGAAGACATCAGATAGTAAAGCAGCTTCTGTGCGAAACATCTCCGTACTTCCAGACTTGAAAGCTTGAGCAAAGGCATCGTAAGGTTTTGTCAACGCCTTGTAGGCCCGTACTGCCGCTGCAGAGGTAACTTTGGGCATAGGTAGTGGCTAACGAACATTAGCTTTGTCGATAGCAAGCCATGACAATGAATTGGAGGAGGAAATGAGAAACCTTTCCGTCGAGTAAGAGTCCTACGAGGATATATTTCTTGTAAGCTTCAACTTGTATTAACGAGCACGCATTACCGGGGCAAGCCACAACCTAAATATTGCGTTAGTTCCATGATTCGCCAACTACTTTGAAGAGGTTCAACTAACATAAGTTAATAAATCAGCGGCTCTCCTCCACTCTTTGAGACCCATATAAATCATCCCACCGTACAGAAAATAGCATAACAAATCCTGGTATGTGACTTCCTTTCTACTGTTGGACATATTTTCGGTTTCCCCAGGTTTGTTTTTGACATATGGGAATTCTACCAGATCGATATCAAGAACAGCAGCGGCATCACGGTAACATTTGGTCATTAGGCAGAGGCGAAGGAAGGAAGTGTGCATGAATGAGAACCGACTAGGATTATAGCGAATAATAGCCTTTTTGATGGGACGTACAGCGATGAGCGGCTAACAATTACGTCAATAAATACTTATATCAAATAACCAAAAATGGGACTTGTTTTAAAGCAAAAGAGCTTGCCTTTTGGCTATCCACAGCATGAGCATAAAAGGCCTCAAACAATCTCCTAAACATATCGGGAGCATTGCGAATTTGTCTGGAATCAAAGTTTTCTAGAAATAAAACGGCATTCTTCCATGTAGCCTCAAGAGCGTTACGTCCCCCGAGATCTAGCCGGGCAATTCTACAGCAACAATTAGTCCATCAATATTCCTGAATGGCCCCAAAGACCCTTAAGCACATACAAAACATAAAGATAGACCAAACTATTGGCGGTAGGGTTCAGGATGGTCAAAAGATCTGTCCCATTGGAATTCGAGGCAAGTGTAGAAGCAGGGGTCTTGTTTAAGGTACTGATAAGAGTAGCTGCCTGCTTATTGAGCTCCTGGTCTGAGAGATTCTGAGATGAAGGGAATGTGAGGAAGACATCAACAAGCTTCTCCATGTTTGAAGATAACTCGGCAACGATTTAGAAAAGAAGTAGAAGTGTTGGCAGTTGATGATGTGCGATGCGGAGGTTCAGTGGTTTGACAAAGGTCCAACGTGGGGCAGCTTGCTTAAGGTTAGTAGATGTTCTCAAGACGTTCTCAGCCTCCGCCAAGAAGCTGCTACAGTTGGTCGACCCCGCGGTCGCAGTGTGACTCAGCTGCCCCTCATGCAGCCCTAACCCATGCACTAGCAGCTGCGGGGCTCCTCCAGCGTCGATCAATGAATTATACAAATAAAATCTGCATCCTCTCTTCAAATTCAACAGACCATCCTCACTCTACAATTGAACACCCCCAAATAATGGCATCCACCAACTCCACTGCGGAGGGCATTGCTCGTACGGCCTCCTCAGCCTCGTACATCCTCAAGGCAGTTGCGGGTTCGGAGCGTAATGCTGCACTGACTGCGGTTTATAAGCACCTTCAGGCTGCAAAGGATGAAATAATCGAAGCCAATAGAAAGGATATGGCGGCAGCAGAGGAGCAAGCAGTTGCCGGAAAACTGAGTAGGAGTATGATTAAAAGATTGGATTTGAGCAAGCCAGGGAAATGGGAGGATATGTTGCAGGGAATTCTGGATGTACGGGATTTGGAGGATCCAGGTGAAGACCAGTCAACCCGGTTTAATAGACTATACTTGGATCCTAACAAACATCCTATTATTAGTTGGAAAGGTTACTTTAGCTACTAAATTGGACAATGGGCTCGACCTTCATAGGGTTACGTCCCCAATTGGTGTGTTACTTGTCATCTTCGAAGCCAGACCGGAAGTCATCGCAAATATCACCGCTTTGGCATTAAAGAGTGGTAACGCAGCTATATTAAAGGGGGGGAAAGAAAGCACGCAGTCTTTCGCTGCCATTGCTCGAGTAGTTTCCTCTGCACTTGGAACCACCTCAATTCCTCCAGGTGCAATCCAATTAGTCGAAACCCGAGAGGATGTAAGTGCCCTTCTTGATCAGGATCAGTACATCGATCTCGTGATCCCCAGAGGTAGCAACGAACTGGTACGGTTCATCCAGAATAACACCAAAATCCCGGTGATGGGACATGCGGACGGCCTCTGTGCTGTTTATATCCACGAAGATGCGGACGAAGAAAAGGCTGTCAAAGTTGTATTGGACTCAAAAACAGATTACCCCGCAGCTTGCAACGCCGTAGAAACACTGCTTGTCCATGAATCGATCTCTAATACTGTACTCCCGAAGATTGCCTCGGCTCTTCTTCAGGTCGGCGTTTCTCTCCGCTGTGACCTGGCCTCAAGAAAAGCTCTAGAATCCCCCGGTCTTCCGACTGCAATGAAGGCTATTATCCAGGATGCCACACCACAGGATTACCATACGGAATTTCTTGATTTGACTATCGCGGTGAAGGTTGTTTCATCTTTGGAGGAAGCCATCGTTCACATTAATACTCATAGCTCAGGACACACTGATGGTATTCTGACCGAGTCAGAGGAGGTTGCGGAAAGGTTCATGAATGTTGTCGATTCCGCTGGAGTATTCTGGAATGCCAGTACAAGATTTGCGGATGGGTTTCGTTATGGGTTTGGGACAGAAGTCGGGATTTCAACAAACAAGATCCATGCTAGAGGACCGGTAGGCCTGGAGGGATTAATGATTTACAAATACAAACTCCGGGGAAATGGCCAAGGCGCCGGAGATTATGGAAGCGGGAAGAAGCAGTATTTACATCAGAAAATTGAATGATGTGGGTAGCTATTAAAGATGGAGTTTTCTTATTCGGGGCTTCTTTTGGGGGTATTCTGTTGGGCGGCGGCGCCGGTTTTATAGAAAAATACGATTTCCTGCTGTATCTGCATCTAGGTACTCTAAAAGTTGATTGTCCTTTTTTATTATCTTCCTTTTTTTTTTAGCTCCTCAATCAAGGCTGAATACTCCAAGGAAAACCTATTCATATTCCTATTTTGGCGTTCACATAGCTCTCCACTAACACTGATGGAACTGCTACATATACTCCGATTGGATGAACTATAAAGCTAGGGCAACATATGCCGTTCGGCGACGGTCTTGACCTCTTGCGCCTGAGGGACGCATGTACTCCCGGTTATAGGTTGGGCGGCGTTGGATGAATAATTCCGAAACTGGTATGTGTACCGTTTGTAGCTATATAAGACTTATAGACTATTCATTCGGGATCAATCATTTGTTGTTTAGAACATACTTTGTCGCGATTGGAGCTTGTAAATACCAGGATCAGTCGGCGTTGCCAATGACCATTACTACACATTTTATCCAAAGAAGCGCCAAGCTTAATCTTGACATAGAGCTTCGGCCCAATCATTTATATTCATATCCACACATTTGTTTGATAAACAAATACAAGTACCAATAATAAAAACTTTATACAGGATTGTACATAGGTACAATATGTACTACTAAGTTTCCCCGCGATCCCAGGCGCCAGAAGATGTTGCGAATGTGTATGACGGCCTGCTTATAAGCGAAATTCGGGAAGTACGAACTATATGTATTGAGATGCATAAGTCATTACTGCTGAGAGATAGGATTCTTGTGATGTATACCAATGACTAGAGACACATAATTATTGACATAAATATGACCAACTAGGCGCCCTGAACGAAGAATATCGACCTTGGCCTCACTAACCTCACTGGCCCCATTTAAACCCTTCTTCCCCCTCCCTCTCCAATTCTCTTCACCGTGATGATGATTTCTGCAATGTGCGATAGAACTTTCTGAGCTGCTGTGTGCATGCGGTGGCCGCGGCGGAAGATTCGGGCTTCTAGGGTACATCTGATTGATGTCTCCCCGCTGTAAAATGCGCGATCCATAATCTCGCTGCTCCCGTGCGATATGCAATCTCTGCGTCTCCCTTTCGCGTGTAAGGCGTAATTTCTGTGCCTCTCGTTCTAAGAAAATACGCAATCTGTGCTCCTCCCGTTCAGCAAAAGCGCGCTCTCTTTTCGCCTCCTCTTCCATCGCAATCTGAAGTCTGTACATCGCCCGTTCTCTGAGTACCAGATCAAGACCATCTGCTGTTATTTCCCCAATACAGTGGCCCAAAGAATCTCGATAAACAGTTTTCTCTACTTCAAGGAATATCAGGGAGGTTCCTTTGAATATTCCATAGACATTGGATAGAAGTTCCACATTATTACGCCCTTCATACCCTGGTGTCGTGCCTAATGGCAAGAACGAACGGGCATCTTTTTCTTTCAGGCCTTTCCAGACAAGGTTGTTGCGGGTGGTTAATGATCTATAAAGGATGCAAAAACCTATACATTAGCTAAAGCCTGGCAAGAGACGTAGGTATGTAAAATGTTAGAAAAAGAAGAAACTTACATAACAAGAAAGCTACCATCGTTTTTCACCTCTAGAACAAGCCAAGGACGAGATTTTTGGTTTTTTCTACGCGAGTATGGATTGGAAGAACCGGTGCGGATCTTTTGTTCTAATGACAAGACCGTGGTGATCTTTCCGGTAAAATAGATTCGGCCGGGTGTTGGTGGACCTGTAAGATCGGGGTGTTCGGGTTGATCAACAAGGTCCTTGTAGCTTCTTACCAAATAAATTGGAGTGTCTATATCTAGTCATTGGATCGATTATCAGGTTAAATTCAGCACTATCATGAACTCTCGACTCTAGAAATACTTACTTTCAGTATACATAGTAGACGATTGGATATGTAATGATTTCTCGGTGAAAAAAAAGCTGTAAATAACAATCGAGGATGACTACGCTGTAAGTTTGACGAATGCAATGAAAGATGGTAAAACTTATAACAAGAGGGACTCTATTGAAGAAGAAGAAGAAGGAGTATTTAGGAACATTCGATATTCTTGAACCCCATTCTACGCATCACTTGCCAGAAGTGAGCTATTGGCATTCATTCAATGACCATAATGGGTGGCTATCTTTGAAGGGCCGGGAGCTGGAAGTACTGATTTCACATTGTTTATAACCAAGCCCTATATATAGCTATAGAATGGATTCGGAGAAAATTCTACCTATACGTCATGTTGCAATTAGGTTTATAATTCGTATAACCATTTCGCCGTTAGAGGAATACATACCAGGTTTCAACGACGATTGAACGTCAACTATCAATTGTATTGTTATCTCAGCCATGGGACTGAAGACTCTGGAATTGCTACCTTTATATATATGTTTGTGATTGGTCAACTCATCATGTTATAATTATGCATTGATGTATAATACCCGTAACAGATGGGTATTTATCTATTGAAGTAAATACGCACGTCTATTCAAGTAAACACATTCGATATAGCTCTAGCTTTATGCAGGTACGAAGTATAATAGAAGATATAATGCACAGCTACAAAAGCCTTAGAAGATCCACAGTGCTAGCTATAGCTATTTGAACTGACAATTGTACAACCCAACCATACGATATATACTAGCTTGATTATGTTCGCCCCCGCGACGTCCATTCCTTGACATAACTTCGCTGCGAACCACTTACACTGTTGCCGTTCGGAATTAAGACGTTGGATTGATTAGAATGTGAGCGTCCCAATATAATCCACCCAACATAACTTCAGGAATCTCCTTCCCAATTTCCAAGAACAATAATGAACGGCCAATGGAGATTCCTTAGGTACATATCAACTGGGAGCTTTAGAGCTTTTCTTCCGAACTCCCCAACTATTGGTGGGGTTGGAAGAAAACTGCACTATCTGACATTACAACAACCCTCCGGTTATTCAGCTTCCGCGAAACATGGACAGATTTGCGGCACTTGTTTTGTGTTACTGATCCTAGGGTTCCAAGACGAATCCGCTGTTCCATAGAGAGACGGACGGAAATTTTGTTGGAGAAAAAAACCGGCCCTCCCTATGATACCTCTAGGAGGTTGAGTCGAGCGATTCAAACCACAGATGTATATGAATGGGCCGTGTTTCGGGGGAAACTGTATTGAATAGGGCAAGGATACATTTAGTAAGTTGGGTGATTGTTGATATTCGGTGGATAGGTCGAAACACATGTATGAAGATAGTATGTATCGAGATTGGCGAGAGGAATTGAATTGCGAGTATCGTCGCTGATTACAGCTGCAGGAAAAGCAACAGAATTATATCTCTGGTGACTGTTCACCCAGAAGCACTCTGCCGCAGAGGAATTGGTGGCCACGCGACAACTCGGCTGCTGCGACAGCGACGGCCCACCTACATTAGTTTTTTTCTTTCACCTACATGTAGCTGTTATTAAATTGGAGGCGAAGACGGAGTACAGAGTATTCACACAAGCTTAAGCATACATGTACGCACTATAGCTGGGTGCGACGTGCTCAGGATTTGGGACCCAATTGTTCTAGTGGACAGCAAACGAAAATCGTAGTAAATTCAACTATGGCGCTCTATGCATGTAGCTTGGCCGCGACCGAGACCGACGGCCAGAAAGAAGGAAGCTCAACGAAAATGGCTTGTTAGATTTAGAGAATGAAGCCGAGTGCTTTGTTAACTTTACTATAGTTACTACAATAGCATGTCATACAGTTGGTGAATTTATAGGTACATAATCAACTACAATAGTATGTATAAGTCGCGAGTGATATCTCATGACCGCCTGCAACCTGCTTTAAGCGCACTAGTATTCTATTTACGCGGAATTCTCGAATTCTTACACGTGCTAGATGCACTGTACCTGCATGTATTTACGCAAGTGACCATGATATGTATCTGGGGTTCATCTCCCGAAACCAAGACCGTATCTAGCTGCGCAGCTGCATGGACTTAAACTGGAGCTGCAGCCTCGAAACAGTTACATGTAACACTACCTGAGAGTTCAACACTAAAACCATAATCAATTGATCAATAGTTCTTTCTGGGATTACGGATGGGAGCTAATACGTGTATGTAGTGAGCACCAGGTACGGCATGAGCGGAAGGATCTCTTGATTCGTAGCCTCGAGCATACATACCTAAGCACGCAGCTTTAAATTTTACTACATATATATGTACTATACTTCCTTAGATTATAACTCATAGGTGATGGCATCACGAACGTTTCCCGGGTGACAGTACCCACCCTAGCTAATTATATGTAGTCTACATTCAATTGTATTTTTTAGGCCCTGCAGGTCGAGCATAATCGATCCCTAAGGGCTTCGCTAAGTATTGGGTGATCAACACATTATCTCTCAAGCGGAACCGGAAATCACTCAGAGACATGTTTTAATTCAGTATGTACTCCATGATCCAGGGGGCCATCCCACGAAATCTTTACTCTAAATCAGACGTATAAAAATGCCCTAGCTGGTAGCCTAGCCGGATGATATCACTAAAATGATAAAACTGTGGTCCTTAATCCTGATGTATGTGCCCGAATCGCGAACACTGTTAGCGAATAGTTGTACAGCGCCATGCCATAAGTCATGGGAAGGCGCGAGGTCACAACGCCTGAACACAAAATCTTTCACCACCACCGATGGCGCCCAGAGACCATGTACCCCGCCAGACAACTAGGAGGAAATGACCAGCCTCCTTGCTGTGGCAAAAAACCGGAGTCTTACAACTCTGGTTGGAGGAGAATAGGGTAGATGTTCTGGAGGACTGGCTTGCCTATTCCATCCCATTGAACATGTTTAGGTACACCTCAAGAAGCTTTACCATCAACAGTACCCCCATTTGGCATATGGTACTAGATCACCTTAAGTATTAAAGCCTCTCGTGGAGGAAGGTCTAATTTATTGTTGGGAACTGTTACCTGATGATTTATTTGGTAGCTAGTTGAGAGCATGCCTAGGAGAATAGAGCTGTTATAAAGGCAAGGGGTTGGTACACAAGATATTAAATGTCAAATTATTTTTATTTAGCTACTATTTAACAACTATACAAAAACCAGCTCTCCAAAGGATCAATTGTGGTTGCTGGGTGGGTAGTCATGGTGGCCCGGGAGGTTGCTACGCCGCGCCTTCCCATGATTTATGGCCTAGAACTATACATGTGAATGAGTATGTAGATAAGTCCACACGGAAAGCCTCTAGAAATTCCTTATTTCATCCCCGGGCGTACAAAAGGTAAATTGAAGAGGATAATAGACCTCAAGTCAGCTAATGCATAAGAATGATGATTGGTATGAGATATAATGTGAACACTCTGAGTTACCAACTCAAATTAAGAGCACCGGAAACAACCTGCTCGCGGTTTACTAAGAAAAACCCAAACGGAAAGAGAAAAAGTGCATGCTACAAACTCCATTTAACTACAAGCCACCGTTTCTACGCTTCTGCCACACCCTCTTCCGACTCGGACCAATCGAGCTCACTACCTTCCTCAACAGCCGTGGCCCTCCTCTGCACCTCTGCAAGACCACTGAGCTCTTCGACATATCCTTTCTCATTTAGAGCTCTCTTTACAAAATCCCACTCATTTTCCCTGTAAGCTTTGATAATGGGCTCCGAGCATGCTGAGCAGCAGTCGTATGCGCGACCCTTGATCATCATATTCGAGAAGTTTGCCAGAAAACCACGAATTGTGTGCGGGATAAGACCCAGGGGATGACTACCACGGTCTTCCTTTGATGTTTCTGGTGCTGGGGCAGCGGCTCTGAAAAGATTATTAGATGAGTATTAAGCAGATCATGTAGTGATATCTAAACATACCCGAGGTCATGCTGAAGAATTGAGACAAGTGTTTCTACCAAGAGAGCACTCGCAATTGGCGCAAGCCCAGGTCTGGTGACAGTACATTGTTGGTCCAAGGTCCTATCTGTCAGACTCTGCAAAATATCGGTCAGTTTTGTTCATTAATATATATTTGGAGGGATGGGGGTTTAGCTACATCTCCTGGAGCTACAACATCATTGCAATAATAACAACCTAATTCTTCTCCAGTCTCCTGTCCTTCCATTTTTTCAACTTTGACCCCATGTCTCATAATAACATAGCTGTCAAACCCAAGAGCGGCGTTCATCACGATCTTTCCCATACTTTTCCCCATAACTGTGGGCAACCACCTACTCTCCCTGGTATCCATCAATAGAAAGATCGCATCATGTTCTTCGAATAGTTGTTTAAGCTTTTCATAATCCTTTTTAACGCCCTCTTCTTGAGAATCGGAAAACGGGTGAGCTGCCATTGGTACGGTCATATCGAACCCTTCTGCATCCACTCCTGGGTATACAGCTTTGAGAGCTTCTGCGGCCTGAGTGGCCTTTTTGGTCTTTCCTCCAACACAGTCCTCAAAGGTGAACAGGGGTTGCCGAACTGGGTTTGAGAAGGAGACAGTGCCCGAATCGACGAAAGTGATTTTATGAACTCCCCAACCAAGCAAAACTCGTGCAACGTACGAACCCAGCGTACCAGCACCCAGTAAAAGACATTTTGTCTTTTTAATATTGTCAAGATTTAAATCTGGTGCGATTCGCCACTTCATGAGTTTAAGGTTGAGATCAACACTAATATCCGCTTGCCTATGGGACGCGATTAGCATGTCTCACATTTAATTGCGCAACATTACTCGCCGAACTGAAACTGAAAATCTTACTTTTTTGAATCCATGGACGCTGATAGGTAGGCAACCTTTTGTCGAATTTTATTATCGTCACCTTTCTCCCAACCTACAACTGGTGGCATCTCGTCTATTGAAATGCGCCCTTAGCAAACCATTATTCCTCTCCATCTAAAAGCGTAACTTACCTAAGCTCATGTTTGCAAGGTCTCCTTCAACGTCGGGCTTTTCAAGTTCTAGGTCCATGATAAAGCTCTTGGGCTCATATCTTTCTCTGTGGACATCTCTATAACAGAGAACTTTAACTTTTTTCCATCCCCACCTTTTGCGAACAAGCATTAATAAGTTTCGTAAAGGCCACCCAGGATACTCGTCATAGACGCACGGATCCACGAATGCAACAAAACGATCCTCCTCATCCACATCTTCTCCAAAAAATCCTCTCTCAAAATCCCCCAGCGCGCCAATCTTCCATGCACCCTCATCCCGCTTTATCAGAAAGAAGCCCCGTTGTCTAGAATCCGCGTTGTATCTCCAGATATTGACTGCGTCTACTAGCGTAGAGGTCTGCTGGGCGTCAAACTTATCGATAGGTCCTTTAACGGACCATTGTGGGGTAGAGACGAATGCGGGAAATGCAAAAAGATGGTGAAATTTATATTTCTTCAAATCCGCATACGAGAGTATTAAGAATGATGCCAATAAAGAGGGCGCCGAATAGATAGATCCGTCATCTATGGCATCCCAAATCTTCATCGGTATAAGCATATCACTTATGTGCGTGTGAATGGGGTTAGTTACCGTGCGTGCGACTTTCTGCAAGAGCTCTGGTCTATTGACTTTCTTAAACTCCTCGATGGTATTGAAGTTCTTAATCATGCCTTCAGCTCTACACGAGTCTTTACCAACCCTGTTACAGGACTATTGTAAGTACAGCATCTTTTTTACCGAGAAAAAGAGAAATTTAAAACTCTTACTCGTCGGCTACCAGAGCATTTCCGTGAATTTGCATCTCGGCTTTGCAAGGCACATATTGACCCAGCACTCTCCGTGGAGAGTCGTCAAGTTTATCATATTCGATCTTGTGGCTGGCAAGAGAGTAATAGAAAGGAGTCTCGATGGACGATATGAAAGTTGAGTATTTCATCCTTGCGCTTCGTCCAGGGGTCTACTTTTGATGTTGCTGATAACGAAGAGCTGTGTAATGCTGGAAACAGATGGTTTAGGTAGAGCAAAATCCTCTGCAGGCACAAGCGAGTTATTTCACAGACCAGCAAGATTACCAGTAAAGTATGGTCTGTGTGTACAAAGAAAGAACTAGATGCAGAGAGCCGGTGAAGAAATGAAGCGGGTTGGCTAGATGTAATAAACAGAGCGGTTGGGTCATGTACCTATTCTATCCTACGTACATATATAGAGTGAGGGGAAGGTATGGGATGAGAAGTGAGGGGAGAATGGGATGGAATAGGTAGAATATGGTAGAGGGAGGTCGAGAAGGCTGTCTGGGAATGATATGATACACTGTGTGACGGAGTGCGGGGAGTCATGCGTGAAAGCATCATAGGGCCAGGATCACCGTGGTGCCTGTTAGGCACAGAGTGCCGCTCTTATCGCGATATCGCTTGTCTACTGTCTACGAATCGCCACCTGAGGAAAGAGATGCCCGGTCAAATCGGTGTCTTTGTCTCGGAGGGCTGATAGTTCCGGTCCAACATGTTAAAAGCAGATGTTATAGTACGCAGGGGAGATTTACTGGGTGCTGGTTTCCGACGCACGTGGCCTAGCTAGGCACGATCCAGTGAAGCGAGTGATCACAGCTTCAGATCAACATTCTTATCCACGGGTGCAATATTCTAGATAAACGCATGTAGGTCAGGGTTCCCTTTGACATTTACCTACATGCCTCTTAGACGTGCTAGAGTAAAGTGCTCGACAACGAAGAAGCTGGGTTGACACTTCCAGGGTCAGCTGGCGATCCAAAGAAGCATAAATACAGCAGCTTCATAACCTACAATACTGTAGATGCTCTACTCCAAAGGCACATGCGCGTGGTAGGTATGCTTGCAAACATCGGTGGATGGCTCCAGTAAACACTCCATTTTATGTAGATCTACTATCAACTAGAATACGGGTACATATGTCTATATATGCAGTTGATTTTTGCCGAATAGTGATATCGGTGATGTCCAAAAATAATGACAATAACTGGAGCCATGTCAAAGATTGGCGCTTCCTGTATGGTGTTTTGCAGAAGCGTTTCAGGCTTCACCTGCAAAAGCCACTGGTCCACCCCAGCGTGGCCGGCACTCGACAACATTCGTCCACGTTTTCCTCTCCACCACCCACAATTACCCCGATACCGCTGATATCATTTCGATGAAGATGCCAAATCCTTCCTGCAATCACTGAAGCCAGAAGAGTACGAGCGCTTTAACTTTCCAAGCTAGAGTAGACCTTTATATTTACTGTAGTCAAAATGTGCAGTCCAATTTCGTAAATCTAGTCTCCCGTTTGTTTGTCTTGTCTACCTTTTAAACATTCGACAAGTAGTGAAGATGAGCCGCAAAACGGCCGAGTTATACTTTTCTTTTTGCCGTTCTAGATTCAGATCAGATCCTCCTCGCAGCTCACGTCATATGCGCGGGTCTCGCGTTGAGTATGTATGGGGTTGGGTCCATTCCAGGAAGTGGTGGAGAAAGGAGGCTAGAATTCCCTGAGTTGCATTGCAGGTGGGCTATGAGTGGTGGGTGGGTGGTGGGTGGACGCTGAGGACCCTGACAGGGATTGCGCATCGATCGCATGGACCTCATCTCTCCTCCAGTTACACCTCCTGTCTTTCTTCCTTACCTTGCGAGAACCATGACCCGCCAACTCCTCTCTTGACAGCGCTGGTGGGGCGCAGAAATATAGAACAAGCTTGACTTCCTTCACACACTCTTTTAAAATTCAACTTTATACATAACACTACTACCAGTCGCTCCTTTATTATTACTCTCAGTTATTACTCGAATTTTGTCTTATTTTTGACATATGTTTGTACAAGAAATGGAGGTGTCGCGAGAATCATTAGTGCAGAATTTGACTGGGCTAAAGTCGCTACTACGATTGAATGCAGATGGGATTGGTGATGATGAGGATTTAGCTACATTGTTGAGCAGGTATTGTTTCCCCCTTTTTTTGTCGCCTGATCGTGCTACCGGAGTAGCCGCTGATTAAGCTATGTGCAAATACAGTACACGGCTAGCCTTGGATAGATTCGAAGGAGACCTTTTGGGGAATCAACATATAATCCGCGAAGACGTGATTACTCCAGATACATTACCACCTTCATCGAGTGCGTCCATTGCCGATGATGATTTGGATAGGGAGGATGGAGTGACTTATTTCAGCCGGCCTACAACCGCGTCCTCAGTGACTTCGCAGCGTTTCTCCTTAGATTCGTTATCGTCAACATGGCAGAGCACACCTAACAGCCTCCTTTTTACATCACCACGGGATTCATTGTCGAGAAAATTTGGGTTTATGGAGAGTGTGAAGGATATACAGGAGTCAGCCGAACAGGAGGAGGAGGAGGAGGAGGCCGGGCAAAACGACGTTGCCTTTCAAAGGTTATCAATGCTCCTTGCTGGTTTACAGGCACAGGCCGAGGCTGCAGTCGGTTCACCCACTGGGCCACTGCGACAATTTGGGGCTTTGAAGCCCCCTGCAGAGATCAAGGAGGAGGAAGAGGATGAAGAATTTGGGAGAGGGGCAACATTATCCAGGACGTCACCATCCGCAAATCCATCTATGGCTACAACTACAAGCAGCGCCATCGGCTTTAACACATCCTGCCCCGGAACCCCGCGTCTCGCTACTTCTTTTCATAGATCCTCATCTTCCGTGCCTTTAGTTTCACTGAGACATTCACGTAAAAATAGTAGGGTCATCATCGACAAAGATGGGGATACATTTGGAATCCCGCTATCTCCTATGATTCCCGTTTCTACAGCATCGAAACCACATACATTTGAATTGCCTCCTACACCTCCACCTACACTCAGAAAACGCCCCATTGGCCTAGATCTTGCCCCGCCGAAATCTGGAATTTCGTCGAGCTTACCTTCGCCTGCTGTTCTCTCGAGACATAACTCGTATTTGGTAACAGATACAGACCTCGAGACTTTACTAAGCGACTTTTTGGAGCAAACCCAGATAAGAAATATAGAGGGAGCATACGATATTATGTTCACACGTATATGGGCGTATCTTTTTGGCAGCGGCATTGTTTGGGCAATCATAGGCTGGCTGTTAGGATGGGGTTGTAGTGAATGCAACTGTTCGGCTGTGTCATGACTGTTCAGCTGTGTCATGATTCAATTCTAGTCCACTTGGATCTCTTTTGTGATGGGTTTGGTATACGGTTTGGGGTTTGCGGCTTTTTGGATTTTTTTTTTCTTTTTCTCTTTGTGATTGATACCAGTTTTGATTTCCCTTTCCGATTCTCTTTCTTGAAGTTAATATATATTTACTCTGCCCATATTCTCCTTTACAGCTACTTCGGATTCTTTTTTTTCTTGCGAGGTTCTCGCCTTAAATACATGTAGACTTAAGCTGTACCCTCAGCGCCTTCATATTTCCTTTACCGCCCTCCTTCGTTGCCTCTCTTGTCCTGTCTTGTCTGACTCGCTCTTTCTGGGAACATATTTTGTGCATTGGGTCATGGCGCTTTTGGTTGGGTTGATTACTTTTCATTTTTATTTTGTAACTTCTTTATTTGGATCGGTTTGTACTGCCTTACACACGTATCGTATATACGGAGGCAGCTACAAATATCTCGTAGCACTGGTGCTGTTTACTTTCTACTCCTTACTTTTTCTTCACTTCGCTTCATCCTTTGAACGATTTATATCAACAGTGTATATTCAATCATTCATCTTCCTGTTACAACCCAGTCATACCTACATGTATATTTCATTTCTGGGAAGGTAGAAGGGGGCTTAGGTCTTATGAGGCTATCAGTAGTCACTAATGATTCTTGCCTTGTAGGAGGGTTTTTTTTTTTTACTTTGTAAGCGGGAGTTTATACTCATGCATGTCTTGTCTCCTTTCCTTTTCCTTCGTTGATTGTTTTTGCTTGTTTTCTTTCTTTTCTTGTACTGTTATTGATCATATCCTATTGTTATTCTTATCCCTTCTTGGCCACAAGAAGCGTTTATCATTGAGTCTTTAGCAACAAGCTTTGCCTTTACGATTTCCGGGTATTCGTGATTGTAGCGTCAAGTAAAATAAATAAAAACCTTATGCACTCGTTTGGTCATGTCAGTGGGATGTATATATTTTAATGGGCCGTGGCACGAAAAATAACGATTAATTCTACCATAACTCAATCACTAGCTTGTTATCAAAATTAAGGACTAATTTAATTTAATTAGTTTGCGCCTAAACAGGTTTTGGTGGGTATCCAATCTTCCAGCTCCGCTTCGCTGTCGCAACGTCAGAACCTAAAACCTAACTGGTGTTTGGATCCAAACTCCATTTTCGAAACTTCCGTTTGGGATCCCGTTATTAAATGGAATTTATTGATGCGAATCGGCTGTTGGAGGCTAACACATGATCTGATTAGATTGGAATACACCCGAGTGATAGCTGGTGACTACCAGTGATTGATTGATTGATAATTTATTCCTGTATACAGGTGACTACCAGTTGGGGGGGGGGGGGGGGAAGTGGATAGTCTAGATACATAGTTAACAGTACGATCTGTATCTACTGTACTCGTATTCGGGAGGGGGCTCAATTCTCCACCTTGTGCTTTAGATGCCACTCATCCTAATTTTGTCCGTTTTCGGCATATTCGTATCACGTGGTATAGTTTAACTTAGCATTCAGAAGATTTTTGAGTTGATCTTCACACGGTCTTTATAAGGTGCGACGTCCAGATCAAGCCACATTAATACTATAGCACCCACTCTAAACAAGAAAACCCGTCCTTCACCGCGCGTCACTTGACAAATACTATTAGTTAACGAAGTTTAGAGATTTATTGATTAACAATTCACTAATTTTATGCAGCTGACGAAGAGGGAGATGGATGAAGAAATTTCCTGGGCTCAGAAAGGACCAGGAATTTACCAAGCTACATGTAGGTCCCCTTAATATAATACCAATAGTGTGTGTATAGTACTGGGACAAAAGTTTTGGAAGATTACATCTTTTACAGCCAAAGTATCCATGTTTAGTGACTCAAACCAACCACTCAGCATTGAACAAAAAGTTCCAACACTTCAAAGGCAATGTAAAATTATCTCAAGACAGAGCTCAGAGAATTCTGGAATTTTAAGTCCATTCTTCAGGCGCATGTGATCTAATTTTCAAAGTCGTGATTTGAGTGTTTCTGATTTTGTATGGTGTTCCCATACAAATTTTGTGTTGCAACGGCAACCAAAAGTTACCAAAACTTCTGTATATACAGCTATGTACATATATGTACTGATCAAACCATGAACCGCCAAAATCAAGTCAACTTGCACAACGAGCCACGATAAGTGCATGAGTACCTCAGACAATAACATAGCTAAGAAGGATTGGCATCTATCAACAGATTTATATCCACTTTGCAAACCCAAAACTGACTAAAAAGTTCAATCCCCCACAACCACCCTACTCCGATATACTGTTTTATCACACCGTCAGGTGAGAAGAGCCTGCCAGCAACATAATACAATCCCGACATATTATATAACTATAACACTTCGTTCGGTGTAGCATAGAAATTAAACCTCCAAATCTTCGGGCATGGTATTGCAATATGGTACGAACTAAGCTTATACCCTGCATTATGAGGCGGTAAATGTGTCAAAAGTAATTTTACCAACGGTAGTAAATTATTTTACCACCGGTGGTGAAAATAATACCAGTAATATACCTTATAATCCTAATTTTTATGATAAAAGCACAGACATTTTGGCCAAAAGGGGCCATATAATGCCAATATATATGAAAATTGTCCACTGGTGGGGAATTTCACCATCGGTGGTAGTATTTCACCACCAGTAGGGAATTTTCATCAGTTTTGGCATTCATGATCGAACATTTACTTATTTAGTATAGCGCAGCATAAAGACCGAAACCCAGTGTTTATGCCGGTGGGAAAGGTACTAATGACGTAGAAGAGCGTGACACAATGACTGAAATTCAGTGTTTATACCACCGGTGGTAAATAATTTACTACCGTTGGTAAAATTACTTTTGACACATTTACCGCTCCATACTGCATACTATCTTATAGATAAAGTCTGTGATTGAGATCGAGTGGAGCTAACTATTCTCAAAAAGTGTTCGCGATTCAGAGCCATAGCACTAATAAATTCTGATTTTGATTTATAAACTTAATCATATATATATGTGCCTTGATATTAATATCGAAGCTCTCTGGGTAAGGGTGGTTGATGCAGTAATTAACGGTAGCGCGACTGGGGTTGTAATCGCGTCTTTTAATAGTCAGGCACTCAAGCTTGTAGATCTGTTTATGAGCTCAATTAGCTATAATCTTAATATATTACTAGCTAGAGTTAAAGGTGCCGCGGTGGTCAGCAGTGGGTCATATGATTAGGGAGATTACTGGTTTGATCCCACAGCGAGAGCAGGTATAAATAAAAGGAATAATATAAGTATAATATGAAAACATACTATTCGGGGGTCCGGACTTAATTTTGCTTTTACTTGTTTATTCAACCCATTTATCCCGGTTTTTTGTGGTAACAACTCTTGTTTATTACGATATATACCCAGAAATGTCCACAGCTTTAGTTAAGTAACTCCTTGTACTAAAATTGCCTTGCAATTAAACGCCTCTGGCTGGAGGGCAGCTATACGATCGCGGAGCTATATTGTGATCGACTACGTATATGCATGTACTTACTATGTAGTTAAGGTCTGTAGATCTAGATCTCTCATACCCGCGAATATCTCTCCTCGCCAATATCCGTACGAATGAAAAGGAGCTCGCGCGAATCAGAATTGCTATTATGTCTACATCTACTCCTTGCTATACGTGATATTGAGGTAGTTTTGCTATAAGAGAATAAGAATTGAGAATTATCCGCACCTTGACGCTTATTATAGTGAGGCATACGCGTACGTAGTTATTGCTACAGTACAACGCTTGAACAGGATAAAACCACCTGACTATGTAGTAGCATTCAATTAATTGTACGACAAAAATAATCCCTAAATGGTGAAGTAATCAATCAATCAATAGTCCCCAAACGGTAGGCTGGATTCGTCGAGTGATTTTCTATGATTAAGGCACAAACTATTTTGGAGGTGTGGTGGATGGGTTTGATGCGAAGATACAAACACTGGAAAGCAGTATTAACTTAAGTAGAAGCAAGAGAAGATGCTTACGACGACCATAAGAGTACTACTACACATCCCAAACCGTGTATTAATCAGGGCGAGTGATAGTTGATGAACGGGATTAACCGAAGTAGTTCTAGACGTTTGGCGCATCTTCGACTTCTATAAACTAGGCTCAAAAGCTCGCGCAGAACCCTACAAGACGCATAGTTAAATTACAAGCCTGAATTCTTTTTTTTATTTTAACTGCTATTCGCCTGGAAATATCTATGCCACTGCGAGGTTACAGATCCGATCTAAAGTGGGCAGGCGAAGGAGCTTAAAAAAAGGCCAATTTCACTTGCTACTCCAGACACCCCCAGAGAAAGAAAAAAAATAATGATCACGAAACCCAAATTCAAACCAGTGCCTTTATCATTCCCTGTCTACCAGACGCAAGGCAAGAAACCACAAATGGCAACAGCAGAAAAGAAAAGAAGAAAAAAAAAATATCGATCCCATGCCATTCATTCCCAGACCGAACACCAAAGAGAAAGAAGTATTGTAGAATAGTTTCTCCTTTTGGATTCCCTGCCGCCTCCACCACCACTTATGGATTCCAGATAATACACTGTGATTTGTTTTGGATTTGTTGAAGCCGTGCCGTGAAAGAGAAAGGAAAAACTTTTTTAATTGTTCGTTTAAACCTTGAAACCTCTGGACCGACGACGACCACGAGCGCGCTCGAACTTCCTGCCCTTTGACTCGACATAACTAAGTACCCCCAAATATCAGTAGCTATTCTACAGCCATATCCCAACTAAGTGAAAAATAGTAGAAGAACATACGGCTTCTTGTGCTTGTGAGGGCCCATTCCAAAGTGCTTAACGGCCTCTCTGGCGTTCTTAGGTCCCCTGATAAGAAGAGTGTTGGATCCAGTAGGCGCCCTCAACGCAAGCTGGTCAAGGGTAAGAGCTTCACCTCCTGCAGCCTCGATCTTGGCACGAGCAGTGGCTGTGAATCGCAGGGCGGCGATGGTGAGTTTAGGAACCTCGAGGAGACGGTTATCGTCGGTGACGGTACCGACAACAACGACGGTCTTGTCGTTGTTGTGGGTAGCATGAGGGTTCGCGCCGTTCTTGATGATGCGAGAAATGGAGACCGGGGGCCTGTTGATCTTTGACATGAACAAGCGGCGAAGGATGGTCTTGTTGAAGGCACTGTCGGTACGGCCTATTGGTAATCACAAGTCAATCCTCCAACTCTTGAGACTATGTCCTGCTGAGAATATAAAAACATACGGGCCAAGAACCTGTACAGCTTCACGAGCAGCTTCAGGTAAACATTGTCGGACTTGGGCGCCTGTTCAGGAAATTGCCATTAGTATTTCCATCCTCACTGGCCGATCGCTTCTACCATCTCCCAACCACTTTCCAAGCCATGACAAAAAACAACGAACCTTGCGGTGGTGCGAGGGCCTCCTGTGATCAAGATCGATACTATAATTTTCCAAAAGACCTGTCAGCGAAACCCAGCCTAATTGTAGCAAATCCTGCGCTCGTGAATTCAACGGGGGGTATCCGGCGTGCTTACCCCATTATGCTGATATTAGTGATGGGCTGCTTGTGTTGTTGTTGACGGGATTAATTCTCGAGATTGGCGGGTGTTTGACAGATGTGGTGTCAAATTTGCGGGTTGCGGTGTGGTTGGGACTGTGGAGGGGTGCGAGTTGTGGGTGCTAGGGTTAGCCCTCTCTTATCAATCTTATCTCCCTTGACCCCAGAATAGGCCACAAGAACTTTCATAACTCTAATTAGCTACAGCAACTGCAACTTTAAGAAAAAACATCACCAAATTCCGCGATGCCGGAATATAAAATAACTTAGCTCCGTTTCAAGTTGGAGATAGAGGCTCGTCCTAGTATGAACCAGCGACTCGTGTTTTAGAGTTGTATTTCCTCTATCTTCCAAAAACGGGTCAAAGGCTCGGTCGCAGTAGGAAATCTCAAGTCTGTTTGGAGGTCGGTTGTGACCTATTATTGCGCTTGTCTCCCTACGGTATCGGGGAGGCCTCGAGGGCTGGGTTTTGATTCAATCATTTTAACGATAGTTACAGTTTTTTTGATTGATAGTAAAGTAACGATACTTCATACTTTTATTTCATTGCATATGACCGCCTAGCTAAACACGTTCTCGTCGACATGCCCTCTAATTCATCGAATATAGCTTAATCTGCTCCACCAATCTTGCCGCTTCTACTGCATAATTCAGCGGGCTGGCACTCACAACCTGATACCTGACCCTCTGTTGACCATCGTATGTGTCCAGCTTAGCCCGACACCTGAAGGAATAGGTTTTGCAGTTAGCTTCTGTGAAGACGTTTGTGAGTGCCCTGTTTTCGTTCATGCCATCCGTATCGCTAAGCTCATGGAGCTCATCTGCGGTTTTTCCCATGATCATCCTGCCGACGTCGTCGAAGCAGCTAAGCCATGCTTGCCCAAAGGCGTCGTTACATGAAATAGTCATGATGTATCTGTTGTAGTCTCGAGTAAGTATCAAGGACGAAAACTTCATGACTTGGGGTAAATTATACCTGTACTGAGGCTTAGGGTGCGTTACATCACACCTCTCACACCTCCACCCACCATCCACTGGCACAACCTTCTTGTTACAAGTCTCACTCAGACAAGCAGGATAAGAGATGTTGTCCTGCTTGATGTACACAATTGTTGCTTTAGTCGTGAAATAATCCGGTTTCTCCCCCATGCCAAAGTTATCTTCTTTAATCTGCGTCAAATTCTTCACATCTTCTTTCCCCCCTCCAGCTGCGCCCATGCCTGATAGTCCCTGATGGCTCTGGAAAATTTCTCCACGACCTTGTCCGTCATACCAGCCTCTGAGTATGTGGGCTTCGTCAATATCGGGGTTGGCTGACATAGTTGAACTGTGCAGCATGCTCAGAGAGCGCCCACCAAAGTCGCTGACTTTGACCCCTTTGAAGGCTACAATTTCATCTTGAGACATTTCCCAACTCTCTGCAACTTTTCCCCACACTGTGCAACGGACGAGATAATTGGTCTTGTCGACAAGGGTTAATTCCCGCTTTGAGTAAGGCTTTTGTGAAACTTTTGAGGTGACTGTGCTAAGATCACCAACTTCTTTAATCACCCCAATAACATCGATCATGGCATCTTTCTGTACACTCTCAAGGTCGGCGAATTGAATGAAGCTAAACCGGACCTGAGGAACGCTATCGTCTACATCAGTGCACTAATAATAGTTAGTATAATTGCTGATATTAAATTGAAATTGGCATTACCCTTTCAACTTCCGTGTCACGTTCGAAAGATAACTCGTAATCGTTGTTAATGTTGGAAAATTGGCGCTTTGCCATACCGACTCGGCATTTAGAGATGTAATACACCTCGCCCTCTTGGAACAGCTCATACAGCGAATCAACCTGGTCGTTAAATCCAGTAGCACGAATCTCTCCACTCTCATCAAGGAGATTGACAGTAAAAAGTCTACCCTCCCCCTTCTGATTTTGCCATGTTTTGATCTCGGATTTCGACGTAACACGAGCCTTGATAGTCCATTTATTTTGGTAGGGCGAAAGAGACTCGATTGGGTAAATACGATCATGTCCAGTGGCTCCCGGGCGTGAACTAAATAGAGCTGTCAGAAGGGTATGATATTGTAGGATATACTAGTTTATACCTTGGTTTTTGAGCGGTGGCTCTTTGAGGAGCTGGTGCTGCTGCCGGTTTGTTTCCATAAAACGCTGTCGCAGAAGCTTGCTGGGGTGGCGCTGCAGAATTGCCTGTGGATGTGGCTGGCCCACGAGTAGCGGGATCTTGCTCTAACGAGACCGGGTTTCCGATTTTTTCTCTCTTTCCATGTTCCTTAAGCACTTCCAGACCAAGCACTATCAAAATTCTAGTTTATATCTTGTCAACTATAGTAACTTCGCAGGATGCGGGGGTTTGAGTGAGTGGCATACTTCTTCTCTTTGACCTGGTTGGCTTGATAAGCGAGTAAACGAACAAAACAGCCCTTTTCAAGCTCTTTAGATAGTACTAGGTGATTCGCCTGGGTAGCAAGCATAGACTGTATAAAGTTCTCTGTGTCCGAGAAGACAATGCGATACCTAAAGTAGCATTAGAGGCAAGTCTTACTACATTCACAAAAAACAGCATTCCGCTTACCGCTCCGGGGCATTTGGCTGAGCAGCAATAGGCTTGATCTGAAGCACTTGGAAGACGGGGTTTGGGACCACCTGATCTGGGGGAAGGTCAGATTCAAACACTCTCTTCAGAGCACCAACGGTGCATGGGTGACCAGGCATTATGCTTTTAAATATGAGGATGGGAAAGTTTCTTTTTTTTCAAAGAGTCCAAAGCCTTAAAGAATGGGGGATGTTAGGATGTTTGCGAGGATGGATGAGGTGGCAAAGGGGGACGCGTAGAGTGTGCTGTGACTGCACGCGTTTCGGTCGTCAATGTTGGACGCGTGCATGTGGATGACTAATCTGAGAGTCGTCACTATTAGAGAAATGAGCTCTCGCTTGAGGATAGGGTTAGGGTTGCTACTGCTCATGAAGTCTGACTCGGGACTAGGGTTAGGGGAGGGTATTATCTGACCAGTATTATAAGTGGATTTTCCGGGAGAACATGTCTCCCTATTTCAAGTTGATCTGAGGTACTCTATTCGAGCGTAGGTACATTAAGTCTTCATATCTTCAATGACAACAGATTTCTAAAGATCTATTTGCATTTGGATCTTGTGGCTTGACCTTCGCTATAGATCTACTTACATATAGGCTTACATGTAGAGTACATGTATGTAACTTATAATTAGAGCAAAGATTTAATCTGCCCTTCACAGATAAGGATTAGGTGTAAAATACCCCCGGGTTTACATGTAATCTACCCTTGTGATTGGGTTCCAGCGGGATTTATTTATTAATATTGCAGTTCTGACGTAGAAGTCAACTACAGCTGCGGTCGTAACTTACTATGCCGGAACTTATTACCCCGAATCCTTGCTATCCCCAATTGCAGAAAGTGAGAACGTTACGGACAATGACTCTATATCTTGAACACTTCAGTACAACAGTTCTATCTGGGGGCTGTTCATCATGATAGGTGGGCTTTAGACAGTAGCAGTTATAAGCGAGGATTCTTTTCTCATTGTAGGTTATAAACCCGGGGGTATTCTACATCCAATTGCAATCCTTATCCGTGAAGGTAGATTAGGGTTCATATAATTAGTTGCTGTATATTTTAGCTTGCCGAACGATTCCTTTTTCTAATACAAAAAAGAATTGTCGCTGTACTTCATGAAATTTTAGAGTTGGATTCCGCGAAATATACATGCATGTACTCTACTCACACATTTCCGGCCAGCAAGATGCTGACTCAATAATGACTAATACATAGCATTCATGATAAACGGTAGGATGTCTGCTTAACATTTACTCTAGGACCCCGCTTAAGAGTTAGAATTAAGCATCAACGAATCAAACAATGTCCGGAATTGCAACTCAAGACTCTGTCCCTCAAGATCTATCTGGAGAGTTGACTCCACCATATAGCAAACACGGTTCCTCTGCCTCACGGATTGGAGACCACTGTGCCAATGATCCTCCACTTGGTTAGTTATTTGAGAATGCCCCTGGGTTGCATATATGATATATAGACCGGTTGCTGATGCCCTCGAAAACGTCAATATAGATCCATCTGTGAAATCCTCGGGAGTAAGTGAAAAGTTATACAACTTCTCATCGCTTAATTTTGACAGTTTGGGTTGCTATACGTAGGAAATCGTGAAGCTTGCTGAGACAGATGTGAGCTAGCTCCTGATTCAACCTGCAGCTATGAATCTATGTTAAACTTCAATAATCGATATATAGATTTATATCTCAAAGCCTTCTGATCTCGAAAGTCAAGGAACATGCCTTCTTCTACTCCTTACCAACGGTGTAGGAGTAAACTCAGTTGCCAATCAGCTTCAAGCAGACCATTTTGCAAGAGAAGGATACTTCGTAACCATGCCAGATTTGTTAGTTTTTAATACCCGCTTTAAACCATTTCAAGACGCATAGCTAAATCATCGATAACAGATTTGAAGGTACCCTATATTTAAGCTACGTTCAATTTCAAGCATTGCTGAACGCTTAGGTGATCCCGCACCAAACGCCAGCACCGTAACCTCACACGTCGAGTCTCAAGAACTCCTTGAACAAATCAAATTCAAAGCTGCAGAAGGGATAAAGGGCTTTATGATTGGTCTGTGTAACCATCAATATTACTAAACTAAATCATAGCTAATATAGATGCAGATATGTGGCTTGCTCGGCATACCCCAGAGAAGACAATGCCAATCATCGAAAAAGTCCTAGCTGCTATCAAAGAGGAATATGGAGACAAAAACTATACTGTTTCTTTAGGGACATATGTCGTAGGATACTGTTTTGGTGGCAAATACGCTTTGAGATTAGCGGCAACAGACTTGATCATTGCGGGGGCTGTTGCGCATGGTTTGTTGACGTCTTTACTTTTTTGCACTGAGTGGTGACTTATAAGGTTTCCGTAATAGGAACTTTGGTGAGTAAAGAAGATATCATAAACATCAGGAAGCCGGTCTCATTTGCATGCGTTGGTAAGCACCCCAAATATGTTGTTCCGGTATACTTCTTTCTAAAAAAAAAAAGGAACACAGAAAATGACAATTTCTTTCCGGATGATCTCCGCGAGGAAGGGCAAAAATTCCTCCAAGAAAACAACATCGAACATGAAATGCGTGTATATGAGGGTGTTCCACATGGTAATTACTTCATCACTCCCCTATCGAATCTATGATATTAAGTGCTATTCAGGGTTTGGAGTTTACGGGAGCTACTCCGAGGAACATATTAAAGCTGCTCAGAAACAAGTGTTTCGACAGTTTCTTGATTTCATGAGCAAACATTAAGTACTTGTCCGGAGGTCAATTGATATTATCTAATTGATCATGATACACGGCTGGGTCCCTTGATATATAGCTTTATTAATTTGGAAATCTACGGTTGCTATTAACTCACGGTTAGAGACAGATCATAATTTTTTATCATCAAATACACTCTGCTCATTACACCTATCTGTATGTAGTTCTTGGACAGACGTGCACGCCGGACATCTAGCCTGAAAGAAGAAAACACTAAAATATGGCCTTTTATAAACCTCCCAAGTGAGACACATCTGCAACCAATCAAACCTAGCACTATAGTTTCGAGATCAATCTATGATGATCCGTTTTAACTATTGAAGGTATTAATTAATACTTAGAACATGGAGAATATAAAATTTATGCAAAAAAGCGCTCTCCAGATATATTATACGTACACATACAGTAGGGTTACATGCAATTAATAAATTAAACAAAAAAAAGGAAGAAAGAATACGTACACATACATGTACCTGTATGTATACAGCTTATATTTGTGTGCTCCCCTCCGTCTACGTACATACATGTAGTAAATGTATGCGTACTGTAGTCAAAACCTAGGCTACCGTGTGACGTAGGTAAATGTTAAAAATGGTCTTCGGATTTGAATGATTATTAGAATTAGAACTTGATAGATATGACGCATTATTATCAAATAAAGTAAGGCGTCTAAATTGCCCCGCTACGCACACGGCTTGGCAATATAGCCCCACGCTGCTTATTGAGCCGCGATCTTAAATCAATCGTCAAAACGTTCAGACTGTTTCATCCTTTCTAACCTCAATCACCCACTTATCTCAAAAGTCTCAAGAATCTAATACATATTCCATCATGAGCTGTATTCACGTCTCTGAAGCTCGTAAGTTATTCACCCAGAAAACCTTCGGAGCAGAGCTCTGCTCAAGAGGTAGCCAGGTTTGCAAGCTCCCAGAGCTACCCAGAGTGTCCACCGCGAAGATTGTACCCAGTGTTTTGATGGAATTGTAAGTTCTAATCCTACATTTAACTGTATATTCCAACTAAAAATCACTTCCACAGGATGACCTAGAAGGGCTGAACGTTTGCCTCTCTTGTTTTAATGGCGGATGCGCAGGAGACAGGAATCACGCATTGCTTCACAGCAGACTCACACAACATCCATTGGTTTTGAACATTAGAAGGACTAAAAAACCAAAACCCGAGGTAATTTTACACCTTATTTAAAAAAAAAAAAAAATGAACTCGAAGCTAACCAGTCTGAGCAGCGTGATGAACCGCCAAAGAAAGTTTCAAAGCTTGCTATTGAGGCTGAGATGGAAAGTGACAAGTATGATACTCATACTGCCGTCATTTGTTATGAATGCGGTGGGAATGAAGTGGATAGGGCGACTGGTAATGTAGGTTCAAAGCTATCCTTCGCACTGGTGGCTATTCTGATTTACTTGGGACCATAGCTACCTGAAGTCATCGATGGAGTCATGTCTGCAATGACGTTCGCAACGCAAACCGAAGTTCAGGCATGGGAGCAAGAAATCACAGCCTGCGAGCACACTCTCTGCTTAGCACAAGATACAGCCAAGGAGCTTGAAGCCATGAGTATGATTTAGCACTGTAGGTACAAAGATACTTCTAAAACTGACTGCGTTTCTGGAAACAGGTCTTGCACATTGCTCATCATGCGATCTGAAAGAAAATCTTTGGCTCTGTCTTCAATGTGGAAGCCTTAACTGTGGACGCGCACAATTCGGCGGTGTCGGCGGAAACTCTCATGGCCTTGCTCATTTCGAGTCCACCAAGCATCCGGTAGCTGTTAAGTTGGGCTCTATCACCCCTGAAGGGACCGCAGATGTTTATTGCTACTCCTGTAATGATGAGAGAACGGATCCGGAGCTTGGTCCGCATCTAAAACATTGGGGAATCAATATCGCTGAACGACAGAAGACCGAAAAATCGCTTACTGAGATGCAAATCGAACAAAACTTGAAATGGGAGTTTTCTATGACAACAGAAGACGGAAAAGAGCTGAAACCACTATTTGGGAAAGGTCTTACTGGATTGAAGAATCTGGGAAACTCATGCTATCTGGCGAGTATCTTGCAGTGTCTTTTTGCACTGCCAGCTTTTCAAAAGAGGTGAGACTCTTGTATCAACTTATGCCTCTAAGCAATGATTTTTAATATTAGAATAGGTACTACGATGTCATTACCTCGAAAGGTATGCCCGATAATATAAATCCAGCGGAAGATTTAGAAACACAGCTTCGGAAGGTTGCAGATGGGCTTTTGTCTGGGAGGTATTCGAACTCGGACTCAGATGTAGTAGCCAGTGAATACTCGACAGAGCTCCCACATCAGAAGGGACTTGCGCCTGCAATGCTCAAGGCACTTATCGGAAGAGGTCATGAGGAATTCTCTACAATGCGACAACAAGATGCTTTTGAACTTCTTTTGCATCTCTTCAAACTCATTACACGTTCCGCTCACCCTGCGGAATTGAAAGATCCTGTTTCAGATTTCAAATTTGTGCTTGAGCAACGGTTACAATGCATTTCTTGTAGGAAGGTCCGGTATAGAACTGATGTTCAAGATAATATCTCGGTCCCTGTGCCAGCGAGGAGGACTGGTAAAGTGACTTCGAGTGACGGGAAGGAAACCAAGGATATTTTCGAGCCGATCACAATCAAGGAATGTCTCGACATCTTCACTTCTAAAGAAGTAGTTGAGTTTACTTGTCCCAACTGTGGAAAGGGCAACGCTACTAAGTACGTACAGAAACAAGACTTATGACTGCAAGGTACTGACATTTCTAGACGTATTGCCTTTAAGACTTTTCCTGAGGTGCTAGCAGTCAATTGCAGACGCTTTGAGCTTGTTAACTGGGTTCCAACTAAACTTGATGTTCCTGTTGTTGTCGGAGATGAGCCCTTCCTATTAGATTCTTACATCTCTAAAGGCCCGACCCCCAATGAAGAGATTCTTCCCGAAGATGCGGAACCCTCAGCTGCTGGATTCGCGGCCAACGAAGCTGCTATGGCTGACCTCGAGGCCATGGGATTTCCTCGTGCACGATGTGAGAAGGCCCTTTACAAAACGGGCAATACCGACTCAGAATCGGCCATGAACTGGCTCTTTCAACATATGGAAGATCCGGACATAGATGAACCTCTAGTCATAGACCAGCCAAAAGAAGGTGGGGCCGAGCCCAGCGCGGAGCAAATTGAAATGCTGGGAGCAATGGGATTCACTGCGAATCAGGCTAGGAAGGCGCTCAAAGAGACTGGCGGAAACATGGAAAGAGCTGTTGAATGGGTATTTTCTCATCCCGATGATTTGGGTGACGTTGATGAAGTTATGGCGGGAACAAGCCCTGATCCCAAAGAGAAAGAGGAGCCTGGAAGGGCTGAAACCCCAGCTGAATTTCAATTGCATAGCATTGTCTGTCATAAAGGGAGTAGTATTCATGCAGGACATTACGTAGCGTTTGTAAGAAAGGAACTTGAAGGCGAGGGAGACGCGTGGGTCCTGTTCAATGATGAGAAGGTGGTGAGGGCTGTAGATGTTGAAGAGATGAAAAGGTTTGCATATGTCTACTTCTTCAAAAGGAATTAGAGACATCAGAGGAACTAGGCATTCAATTTTATCGTTAAACTCTAGTAATGCATTCCCTAGGGAGCTGGCTGAGCCTAAAATAGACCGCAGCATGGGTACATACATGTAGAGTGGATCGAAAATCTGATAAGGAAACGGTTGATGAACATATCTCTACATCAGATACCACATGAGCTGTAATCTGATGGAGCGCACGACGTCCACTCAAAGTTATCGTAACTCAATCCATCAGATAATTCCTTGCAGTAGACCGGTAGACACACAGCTCGCTAGTTCAATTTGAACCAGCGATCGTACGGTTCTCACATCACGCGATAAATTTAAGCATATTTCTGTTTCGTCGTATGATTATGACAGTAGATCTGCAGTCAAGGTTCACCTCAATTAATGACCATGAAAATCGGAGTTAAATGGGTATGGTTGCTTTAAATAAACGATACACTAAAATTTAGCCCACCGTTTTCTCGAACTTTTTAAACACTAACCTCTCTGCTAGCCTTCGCCTTATCCCGCACCCACACCCATATATTTTGGCAAGAAAAGGAAGATGAAAAGATGACTATTTAGCAACTGCAAACAGTAGTGACAGTTGGAATTTGAGTCCAAAAGTAATGAAAGAAAAAAGAAAAACGCCGGGCCTCAAACGAAAACAAAACTATATTCAAGAAGGAAGAACCGAACTACGCAGACACAAAGGGAGAGGTTTTTTCCAATGCAGGAACTATGCGGCCGTCGGCGCAGAAGTCTCCTTGCCCAAAGATCTCATCACATCTGGTCCGAGTGTAGGTGCCGGCCTTTTTGTCTTGCTCTGGTAATCCTTGATTGCGGATTTGATCGCATCTTCAGCGAGCATGGAGCAGTGAACTATCAATAACCATCACATCAGTTTCCCCGCCGCACAAAACTTCTCGGCGGCATGATAATTAAACTTACGTTTGACTGGAGGCAAGCAAAGCTCTTTTGCAATCTCGGTATTCTTAATACGTCCAGCATCTTCAAGAGTCATACCACGGACGAGCTCGGTGAGGTAGCTGCTGGAAGCAATGGCGGAGCCGCAACCGAAAGTCTTAAACTTTACATCGGATATCGTGTTTGTCGCAGAGTCGACACGGATTTGAAGCTTCATCACATCGCCACCTAGAAGAGTATTAATAATCAAACTAGACCAAGGTGAGTATATGTTATGGGGATAAAATCGGCCGAGGAAATGCACACAGATCCGAAAAGATCATGTAGAAACAATAGAGGACACAGAGGAATAAGGGCGATAGCTTACAAGCTGGTGCACCAACAAGGCCGGTACCAACATCGAGGTCTTTCTTGTTCATTGAGCCGACATTTCGGGGGTTATTGTAGTGATCAAGCAGTGAAGAAAAAATCAATGTCAGCGGTTTTGTCCATCCATCCATATATCAAAAAAAATGTACAAAATCTCGTACAGAGTCTTATGGAATGCTAGGAAGAACATATCTTTTTCATGATAATTTCTCCTCGAGATCACCGGAGCAGAAACTCTTGCCGCACTACGGGCCAATGGGGCGGTTGTCCTTAAGGTAGAGCCCGAGATGATACGGGCAGAGAGAGTAATGGGTGCAATCTTCTTGAACATGATTGAATGATTGAGCGTTATTGATTGATTAGGATTTGGTTTGGATCGTGGATGTTTGCCCGGAAATGACAGAGCACGAGGAAGGAAGAAAGTTTGAGGAGGAAGATGCAACTTTTATGCACAGGATGGGGAAGTGGAGGTGGCGACCGGGATGACGGCAGAGAGGTTGAAGGACCCCGTGCTTTCTCTATCCACCGTACGCACACACAAACAAATCTTGATAAGCCGGAGAAGTCGAGAAGCCCAGCTAAGTGCAAAACAGAAACTTTACGTAACTCTCAGGGAAATAAGTCCTTTTAGTTGTCGAGGCGCCACAAACCAGCCACACCAAATCGTTTAGCCACACAATCCTTGTTTAGATCCTATTCCCTTGAATTGTCCAATCCAAATCCGTTTTTCACTGTCTCTCGTTCTGCCCGTTTATTTCTGTCCCAGGCTTTTCCTGTTTTGGTCTACTTTTCAGGGACTTGCTCTGCGAGAATACTCTACGTATATAACAATCTATCTCATTATAAACGCTCCTTTATATATTCTCCCTCTTTTCCTGCTGCTGCTGCACTGCGAAAAAAGCGAAAGCCGAAGCTGAATTATTTAGGGATTTCCCGGGAACACTGCTGCACCACGCACGACACCTTCTGCACGCTGCTTCGTTAATACTACCGTGCCCTTGCTACCAGAATCGGTACTATTGAATGGACCCTAACTCTAACGCGGCTCTTTCCACTTTCCTTTTTCCTCTGAAATCCCCCTCCCCCATCAACACCTGCTCCTACTGCCAATTCCCTCCCCACATCTAGAACACCGCAGTCTTCCATCTCCCATTAATCTTGGTATCATCTCTATCGCGATAGAAGGGAATTCCCTCACCATGTCGGCCCCCAAAGATGCTAGCCCCTCCTCCTCCGGCTTGCCAAAGCTCCCTGCTGTCCCAACGTCGGAAGTAAGTTCTTTTATTTCCCTCCTTCATGCTCGCACTTTAAATTTCAAAAATTGATCCCCAATTCTTTCTTTCATCCCTTTATAGCCTCCTGTTGTCAATTCCGGTTCATCTTCAATGACCACTCCCGGTCTCATCCCACCACCGAAAGAGACATGGGTAGCACTGCGATCATATGTTGGCCAGCCAGTTACGGCGTCATTCATTGCTGGAGGAGTTGCTGGCGCTGTCAGTAGGACTGTTGTCAGTCCTTTGGAGAGGTTGAAGATCCTCTTCCAAGTACAAGGACCCGGAAATCAATCCTATCAGGGCGTGGGTCCGGCATTGATGAAAATGTGGAGAGAAGAAGGATGGAGGGGATTCATGAGGTGGGTCGAATTCTTATCGCTTAACAACCTGGACTTTGGGATTTCGGAGGCTGAAGTTCTGAGCTTGAGCCGGGATGACAGGAAATAAAGAGCTTCACTTTTTAGGGGTTTATGCTAACTTTAAGACAGAGGTAATGGAACCAATTGTATCCGAATCGTACCATACTCTGCCGTGCAGTTTTCCAGCTATGGTATTTATAAAAAGGTATGATGCTGATGAAATACCACCTAATACTGAAATCTGCTTCTAATCTCTTATTTGCAGTTACTACTTCCAGAGGGTTCAAACGATCTTGGGACTTTTCGTCGACTCACTGCTGGTGCAATGGCTGGCATCACCTCCGTCGGTACGTCTCACCCAATAACCTCACTCTTTGTCTATTTCTAAATTCTACGTAATCAGTCGCCACATACCCACTAGACATCGTGCGGACACGTCTCTCAATTCAGTCTGCTTCCTTTGCAAGCCTAGGGAGACCTGACACAAAGCTACCCGGAATGTTTGCAACCATGAAGTTAATGTACCGCGCCGAGGGTGGTATGGTTTCACTCTACAGAGGCCTTGGGCCAACACTTGCTGGGGTTGCCCCATATGTCGGGATTAATTTTGCGACTTATGAGGCTATGCGGAAGTTCATGACCCCCGAGGGCGAGCAGAATCCCTCTGCTTTAGGGAAATTGGCTGCCGGGGCCATTTCGGGAGCTGTTGCGCAGAGCGTCACATATCCTTTTGAGTAAGCAAACCCTGGTTTTTTGCATACTTTGGCAACGACATCCTAATAAGCTTTGCAGTGTGCTCCGTCGGCGATTCCAGGTTAACACAATGTCCGGTATTGGATATCAGTACAAGGGGCTGTGGGATGCCATTACAATCATTGTTAAAGCCGAAGGTCCTAAAGGATTATATAAAGGGCTGTTGCCTAATCTATTGAAGGTTGCACCCAGCATTGGTAGTAGCTTCTTGAGTTTTGAGATTGCCAGAGACCTCTTGCTTGGCTTTGGTGGCACCTTATAATCATCTAACCATTGTGATGGTGTTTATTTTTTCCTAACTTTTTTTCCATATACTTTTTTCGACGGGAGTGAGAACATAAAAGGCTTGGCGAATATTTTTCCTTCGATTTGGGTTTTGGTCGGTTTTCAGTGTGCTGGTAAAGGTAGAGGATGTGGAATATTTCATTTCTTATATTTATTGTTGTCTAGCTCGTATTTGGTTTAATTGGTTGGATTAACTGTTGATTGCGTTTTTTTCTGGTCATTGTCAGTATCAGTTTCGTTTTGGTTTGTATTAGATGGTCAAAGTGGAAGAAGGATCCATTCGCGCAGGAGGAATGGTCAACTGGATGAGTTAGGTGGTGGTAAAAGCGTGTTGTTGCAATTATGTTGTAGCTTATATCTGATACTATAACTCTGAGATAACTTCATGATGTCCTAGGTGAAATTCAGCAGTAATTGCAAGGTCCCATCCATTTTTATTATGTCAAAGTTTAACCGACCCTCCCCGACTAGAAATATGGCCGATCCCCGGTGTGTACTACATGTATTAGTGCAGGAGCTTAACACCGCCGGGTTTCTAAATATCAACGACTAGGTTTGTCTCCAGGCTCAAGGCTAATCAAGTTGTTATTGATAAGTTATAGGAGGAAATGATACTGTATGTATGAATTTGAAGCAACGATGGAAAAGAACAGAAATCAGCTATCCCAAAAATTTCTTGCGAGGTTTGGGGTTGAAAAAAGTTTTCTGTTGTCCTCAGCGAGAGTCGAACTCGCGACCTTCGGATGTCCAAATCTGATGAATTGGTCATATTTTTAGTATGAGACCGACGCTTTAACCAACTAAGCCATGAAGACATGTTAGTTGCTGCAGCTAATACAATTATCAATCATCAAATAGTTCTTAATATTATCCTTCCCCGCTCCTCAATGCGACCTGGTTCGGCCGAAATCAGCCGAAGCTAGATTTTTGCGTTGATTAAGCTTCATAGGTGCTGACATCCCCCAAACTCCAAGATGGCTTGACTTTCCCGGTACCCTACCTATCCTAAATAAGTGTCTGTTAGATCTTTGGTGACATCAAAGTTCGTGAAGGATTAGTAGCATGACGTCGGGACACTTCCGCCAAGCCACTATCACTCAAGGGTCCAGTTTTGAGCCTCAACACCTCAAATCCACAACACGTTACCTCAGGGCACTTTATCCAGCAAGCAGGGCCATATCGACCTTAACATGGCCGCAGAAGATCCAGCACTCTCAAAGCCCCAGGCGGAAGCCAGTCGCAAATCCCTCCTCTCTGCATCTGCAGAGGGTGCGAAGTTCTTGATACTTTTACAGCTCTCCTCTCGCCTTTTGACCTTCGTCGTCAACCAGGTTCTGCTCCGTTTCCTTTCTCCAGAGCTTCTAGGGATCAGTGTGCAGCTCGAGCTACTCATGATCAGTGTTTTATACTTTTCTCGAGAGTCTTTACGAACTGCGTTGCAACGACATGGAGCTGAGACTACGTCAGAGAAGAAGAGCGGGAAGGATACAAAGGTTGGTGGCTTACTAGAAGAGGGATCACCGGCTGCGCAATCACAGACGCTGGTCAACCTTTCTTTGCTTACCATACCAATGGGAATTATGTTTGCGGGGGCGTTGGCCCTATTCTACTCGCGGGGTTCTGCTTCAACGGAGACGGCGCAGCAGCCGTTCTTTAGCGAGTCGATCGCTATATACGTTTTAGCAACATTGGTAGAGCTCCTTTCAGAGCCATGCTTTGCACTCGCACAGCAAAAGCTACTATATAAACTCCGCGCTGGAGCCGAGTCTTCAGCTGCTTTTACTAGATGTTTGTTGACCTGTGGATTGACCGTCTACGCAGCCCGTGTTGCAAAGGTTGAAGGCGGGCTTGGTCCTCTACCTTTTGCATTGGGACAGCTTGGATACGCAGTTGTACTATTGGGTGCCTATTGGCATCGTGTGTTACAGCTCTCTGCTACCGAAGGTTTTAGTATGGGATTGAAAAGGATTGAGTCCTCGTGAGTAGTCAGAGCTATCTTCATGATTTCTCACTCGGTATAATTTGTGCTAAGATTTGTTAGCCCCGATGTCAATTACCACCTATCTCTCTTCCACGCGCCCCTTTCTCGCCTCGCAACATCAATGTGGCTCCAATCTGCGTTGAAACACATCTTAACCCACTTTGATACTGTCCTCCTCTCCGCCCTTTCCTCGGCACACTCACAGGGTACCTACGCCCTGGCATCCAACTATGGATCTCTCATCGCCCGCATGCTCTTCCAGCCGATAGAAGAGGCCTCTCGTAACCTCTTTGCGAAGCTTCTTTCTACATCTTCCCCTGATGGAAAGCCTTCAGCAGAAAGCGTAACATCTGGAGCCAATATCCTAGCCATTATCATGAAGCTGTACTCTCTACTCTCATTATTCTTCTTTTCTCTCGGCCCTCCCTTCGCACCTCTCGCACTCAAGCTCATTGCTGGCTCTCGATGGTCAGACGGCGACGCAGGTGGAGTTCTAGCAAGCTATTGTTACTACATCCCCTTGTTGGCTATAAATGGTGTTACTGAAGCTTTCGTGCAGTCTGTTGCAACCGAGACAGAATTAGCGAAACAGAGTGGATGGATGTTTGGTTTCTCATTCATGTTCGCTGGTATCGGATGGCTGTTTTTATCCGCCCTGGGATGGGGAGCTAAAGGGCTTGTTGCGGCGAATGCAGCAAATATGTCTCTGAGGATTGTATGGAGTCTGGTGTTCATTGGTGGATATTTTGGCAGAAATGAGGGCGAGAAAAGGGGTGAGAAGTGGAGTCTCGCTAGAGTTCTGCCAAGTGGAGTGTTAGTGGCTGCTTCGGTCGGCATTGGTGCTGTATCCAGGGGCGTGGTAGCGAGCGAGGGCGGACTGATCAAAGAGATTGGGATGGGTGGTGCTTTAGGCGTGTGCCTAGCTGCTGTTTGTTTTGTGACGGAGAGAGCATTTTTTGATAAGTGTATCAAAATGTTCAAGTCAACCCGTGCCAAGTAGAGTGTGCCTTCAAGTCATAGACTTTTGTTTTCTTAGTGTTATTTATCCATGGTTTATATATAATCCATCATACTTTAGGCATTGTAAGCCAAATATTTTCCGCGACTATATAATAGCTTCAAGCCGCGCTGTGCCTTTACTGTTACAAGTGCTGCAGGATGTGCAAGTCCTCTGGGATTTCCAGATGTACTTGGATCGTGATAAGAGCGTCGATGAGCTCGCCCAAGCCGAAATATGAGAGCTATCAGTTCAGCCCATCATAGTTGCAAAGACTTGGTTGGTCTAACAACATGGGCTTATTCATGCCCATCCAGCATCATGCAACCTTGGCCCCCTGACCCTACTATTAAAGACTCGAGAACACAATTGTAAAACCTAAAAGATCCTTGGTTACTTGTTAAAATGCTCCCTCATGCCATTGTTTTTAAGATGGACTAAATGCAGTTTGTAGCCAGGGAAAGATGGCTCTGGCTGGACTCGGGCTGTCCAACAGTGGCCTGAGCCATGATCCGACTTTAGCCTATCGGCGCCTTGGAATGAGACGCGCCGCAATATAAATGTAAACCGACTTTTTTTTCCTCCTCCTAGGGTTTTTGAGGAGCAGCGCTACCAGAAAGTATCGGGGGTGTTTGGAGACAGGGTGAACTATAGTTTCCCGCAGAAAGAGTAGTTACACTGCCACACCCCCAGACTACATCCAAGACAGTCTGAAATTAATGGTGTTCCAGTATAATTCCGTTAAAGTCACCAACGACATTGAACGTTCGAGATCAAACTGGCGCTAGGTTGTGGGGGAGTATTATGTAGATCATGGACTCATGGTTAGTAAGAACAGAAGTCTAGTGAGGGTGGTGGTGGTGGCGAGACGCAGTTCTTCTCCCACTGAGGAACTACCATTTGTGCTCAGCTGTATCATCTCCTCCATCCGTGAATGGCGGATTCAGTGAATTGGCCGTAACATCCAACATTGCTTGTCGATAAAGTTGGGCTATCCACGAACGGCCTGAACATAGGTTACGAGCACAGTACAAGCTTATCCGTGGACAGCCCAGCCCGCGCCCACCAACAGACCACACACATCCCCTCCTCCCGGGACCATCAACCTACCCGACCTAAACCAGCCCCCCCCCCCCCCCTCTCTCTCTAAGCCGTACCCACATATCACACTTTATCCGCTCCAAAAAGCACACACCGGCAAAGCCCACGCACCGAAAGCCTCGATCACAGTCAATCACTCGACCCTCGAGGAGCTAGAAACACATGAATATTCCGATTTATTGAATCTAAAAAACTCTATTTCAAGACTCGGGCCCGGTCCGTCCGTGCCATACCCAACCACCAGAGGAGGATTGGGATGAGGCGGGGAGGGGGGGGCGGGGAAAAGGAAAAGGTAAACGGAAATTAAAGATGGAAAGAAAAAGAGAAAAAAAACTCCTCCTAGCACCCCGACAAGTGGTATCCCAAACCCAAACCAAAAAAATAACAAGATAAAACGCCGTACGTAAAAGAGGAGAGAATAGGGAATAATAAGGAGGATGAGAGGGGGCGAAAGAAAGACATAGAAGAAAAATGCCACTAATTGGTGGAAATCGAGGGGGTAAGAACTATATACCAAGCCGAACAGGAACGCAAACAAAACTCCACATAAAAAGAACTGGAATAAATGATATGGGGAAAGGGGGAGGGGGGAATTACTGATAGCCGGTCAGTCAAAGAGGGTTTCTACACCCCCACCGACAAACAATCATCCAGCAGCCCTCTGAGCTGCTTCCTATCATCCACGGCAGCGCCTTCCCACCCCTCTACATCCACCTGGCCTACATACTGCTCCTCCGCATCGACCTCATAGTCCCTCTCATACCACCCACCGGCCATGATCTTCTTCATGCTCAGCGGCAGCTGCGCCAGCAGATTATGGCCCAGCGCCAGCGACAGCCGCACATCATGCATACCCAGCAGACTGCGCTCCGTCGGCGCAGTCCACTTGCGCTTGGGCGCGAGCTTGCGGTACTTGTCTGTCTGGACGTAGTTTGGCCCGTTTGAGCGCACGCGCGAAATGATGGTTGAGAGAATCTCTTTGACAAAGGTCTCGGCGGCAACGTTCATGAAGTTTGCGGCGTCGGCGGTGCAGCCGCCGTGGACGCCCTCTTCGTAGCAGATGGGGTTCATGCGCTGGCGGATTATTTCGATGTCGGGGAACTCACCGGATTCGGAGGAGAGTGGCATGGTGTAGCGTTGCTTGATCTCTGAGTCCCAATCTGTGGCTGTCAGCATCCAGATGGGAGAGCGGGCGGAGGGAAAGAAAGAAGGAGGGGGGAAACTTTACTTGTCTTTGTGAGTCCGGCGCTCATTGGCGGGAGCGCCTCCGGGATCTTGACCTGCTTCGCCAGATGGTACTCTTGCAGCATACTCCCAAGCATATCCTCAACATCACCCAACTAGCACCCATCCCATCAGCACCCCCGTACCACAAACACCACCCCCCGCCCAGGAAGGACAATACTCACCGCCGAAGGCACCTCCTTAATCCTCCTCCTTTCCCTGGCCGAGATGGCCATCACCTCCTTCTTCAGCCGCTTCTCGTTGACATCGCCCGCCGGCATCTTTGCAATCGCACTCGGCTTATCACTCGCCGACACCCACGCCGCTACATCTGTCGGCGGCAGATCGCGCATCGAGTTCCCATACATGGCTACCAAGAGCATGTTGTGCATCCTGATGCTATTCCCCTTTACGAATGGGCTGATCGCGCGCGAGAGCTCCTCCTGGTTTAAACGGCCTAGAAAACCCACCAATTCCAACCCAATCAGCATACCTCCTCCTCATCAAGCTGATAGGGGGGAGATAAGGGGTGAGGGGTAAGGGAGGTATCAATAATAATAATAATAATAATAATACGGACCAGTAAGATACCCGCTGAGCGCCTCCTTATAGATAGCCCACGCCTCCTTCCCCATCGCGCGCTTGAGCGCATCATACATTGGCTCAAGATCGATTCTAGGCACCACCGGAGGGCCCGGCGGCGGCGGCGGGGGTGGGGGAGGTGCTGCCTTTGACGCCGACTGTTTGCCCGGGTGTTTTGTGCTGGCCGAGCTGGATGTCGGGCGGCTGGTCGGTGTCTGGGCATCCATATCGACCATTTTTGATGATTTGTGGAGGGTGCGGGGGGTGCGGATGGGGGGTCACGATGCGGGTGTGGGTTGTGGATGCGATAGATTTATGTTGGTGCTGTCGGGAGAGGTGAGTGAGTGCTCGTGAGCTACGGGGGAAAGGTGAGGTTGAGATAAGCTTCGCGGTTACCCGGCAAGGGGGCCTGCACTATCCTCAGACGGGCAAGGTTGGGGACGAAAACGGAGCTCTGATTCCTGCTACATCATTCTTACAGCTGCAGAGGTGAATACTCACAGTTACATCACAGTGGGGCAACTCACCAATTCCATCACCAATTCCATCACCAATTCATCTCTTTCTTTCTTCACCAACTACCAGGAGTGCTGATCTACAACATGGAACGTGGTGCCCCCATTCACTCAGACACATGCAATATGCCACACTCCCCATGTTCCCTTAATAACTGCCACTGATAAGAAGTAACTTCTCGTATATGCTCAATTCCTTTAGAGAAAAAATCTTTCGATACATATGTATTTGCCCCCCTTTTCCATCATACAAAGCTAATGCTAATAACAATAACCATAAGAACAATTTTATAAATTACATCACTGCACTTGATAATACTTACACCCCTTAACCTAAATCTCCAGCATCTCCTCCTCCAGAACACCATATAGCCTCTCAACTATCTGGATCACTTCATACACCCCCTCTGAGATCCTTCCCGTGACAAGGACTATACATAATCAGCCTCACAATCTCCAAGATCAAATCAAAAAGGAACAAAACTCACCATACGCATAAATCAGCGCAAAATCCTCATCACTCTCCCCCTCCGTACCCCTCACCTGCTGCCTATATGCATACAGCTTCGCCAACAACCTATCCCTCGCGCGATCCGTATTCGGCAGTCTCTCCGGCAGTGGGAAGCCCAGCCTGATAGAACTCGCTAGGACATAAAACAGATGGCTGATCCTCGCGCACAGGTCCACGCGCTCCTTCATTGTAAACTCTAAGATATCCGCCTCGCGCCTGTTCGCTTTCGGGTCCTTCATGATCATAACGCTCATACCATGGAATGCATCCAGAATTGCCTGGTTCGCAGCCAGGATCTTCTGGTACTCTGCCGCGGGGAACGGTCCCTTCAGACGCAGCTCGTGGGGCGCGGCAGCGACCAATGTTCCGAGGCGCAGGAGCGCTTTCTGGAGCGCGTGCTCTTCGTGGATGTTCATGTACTTCTTATCGCTCTCGCCCTCGATGAGGGAGTTGAGGGGGTCGCGGCGCCAGATCAGCGCCATACGTAGCCAGAGGACACTCAGGCCGCGGCGCAGCTGCTGGCGGGCACTAATGGGCCAGACAGCGACATTGACAAAGACACCCCAGATGACGCCGACGGTGACGGCAACGAAGCGGTGGAGTACTATCTCCGTGATGACCGGGTCGACACCGCCCTCGTCGTCGTCGTCGTCTGCGTCTGCCATGGAGAGGGAGTAGGCGTACAGAACACTAAGGTTGTAGGTGAGCAGGATGAAGCGCCCGAAGGTTGCCTGCTTCCATGTAAGAATAATCCAGAAGCACGGGATTGAGACCAGCCAGCCAAAGATGCTGAGCGTATACGGGTTCGAGCCAAATGTCTCCCAGGCGACGAGCGCAAAGATGGCGCCAAAGATGGTGCCAAGAACACGAAGGTTGCCAGAGTTGTTGGTCTGCCCAAGCGTCATGGACATGACGATCATGTACGAGACAAGTCCCCACTCGCCGCGCCAGTGGGAGTAGATAGGACGGGTATACGGTATGAAGGCGGGGAGCGCATACACGGCGGCGCCAACGCCGACCTTGATACTAAATTTGATCTCATCGCGGCGGAGCACACTCATAGCTTTCCAGAGCTTATACGTAAACGGTACCTCCGCCTCTGGGGCCACATTCGGGATTGTATTCCTCGCCTTCAACTTTGAAGCCCCGAGCTCCTCCACATCATTCCGCTGCTTCCTCGCACCGGCCGGCTTCTTCCAGAACTTGAGCCACTCCCACGTCCTGCCGCCCTCCCTCTGCAGATGCTCCAACTCTTCCAGCAGACTCAAAAACCGGCCCATCTCCTCAGCAAAGTACAGCAGACAGCTACTGAAATACCCGCAGCTGGCCGCAATCTCCTCCACGTCGGCCGCCTCGTCCATCGGCCGCTCCTTGGTCACGGCCTCGCTCTTGTACAGCGTGTTGAGCGCCTCGATGCGCGCCTCCGAGTACAGCTCCACGGCCTTCTTGAGCGACTCGCTGAACGCGGGGTTGACCTTGATGGTGTGCGACGCGATCGGGTGCGAGGACGAGAACGGCAGCTCCTCGAGCATCAGGTTGAGCGTGTACGCAAGCGACTTCATCGGCGGGCCCAGGTGGAATATAAACGTATCGAAGATTGTCAGCGGCGCCGTCGGGTCTTGCTGCGTATCGATGCTCGTTGCGTCCGACGCTGGCCACTCAAGCGGCTCCGGCACGGCAAGATACGAGTCGTGGTCTGGCGGCGTGAACAGTTGTGGCCCTTCGCCCGTGACGCGCTGCTGGTTCCCGGGCGCGGGCGTGCCTGCGCTGGCGGTGGCGGCGAGCTTTTGCGCCTGTGAGAGGAGGCCGAATTGCGTGGAGGCGGCGCTGCGGAGACCCCCGATGTGTTGTGCGAGGCGCTGCATGCACTCGACGATCTTCTTTTCGAGGACGTATTCGCGCTCGGTGCCGCGGACGTAGTGCTCGTATTTGGCTTCGCGGAGGTTCTTCATGAGGGGGACGAAGACGGTGCGGAGACTGGTGGAGGCCTTGACGAATTGCGGCTCGAGAAGCTCTTCTTCGGTGCCGCTGAGGAAGGAGCGAGTGATGATTGTTAGCTGTGTGACTGATGTTAGTAACAGTAGACCACCGCCGAGTCATTCAGTGGGGGAACTTGCCATGTCCGAGAAGGAGTCGGTCGACTTGATCATCAGCTGCCGCAGCTCTGTGACGGCGCTGGTGGCCCAGAGTGTCAGTGCCAGAAATAAAGATATCGAGATAGCCATAACCACAATCGTAGAGACCTGGTAGATCTTTCCGAGCGTGAAACCGCCGCGTTGGACATTTCCTAGTGGTTAAGTTAGTTGAGGCAGGTTGTGTGTATGTGTGTGCAACTAACCTTCTTTCGTCAGGATGGTGATGATCGCAATCGAGGCCAGGGAGCAGGCAACACTGACGGTGGGACTGGCCATGGCCTGCTTGGTGTACCCGATCAGGCCGAGACCGCCGGCGCAGAAGATAAGGAGGACGAGCGCGTGGCCTGTCCAGGAGCCTGTCAGCCATAATTCATGAAGCCGTGGTAGGGTCAATGATAGAAATGCATACCAAGCTCAATCATATCCAGCTGCGCAAACAGATTCGAAAGCCCCATACTGTTATCACCATCCCACCCCATCAGTTACTGCGAACAAACCAGAGTAGAGGAATAGAGTAGAGTAGCACAATACCTCCCCACAGAAACAACAGTGCTATACGCAAACGCACACAGAGCGTAGAGTGTCGCCTCGAACATGCCTACCGCGCCCAACCCCCGTGTATGTCAGCTTCAATTCATGCGGTAGCACTCGCGGGACGGACGGACGGACGGACGGGTACCTACCGCCTATAGACCGTGCTGTTGGGTTGCAATCATGCGGCGTTAGTACTCTCTACTCTATGTAGTAATGTAGTAATATGTATGTAGTGGCAATTTATGAATCGGGTCAGTGTGGTGTGGAGAAGTATGTAGCTACCGGGATGAAAGTAAACTATCGCAGTGTGTTAGCGTCTGTAGGAACGGGGGGGGAAATGGAATTGTGATCATTGATCACCGATGTGAGAGGACTAACCTGCGCATGTTGCAACCTGTGGACCGTGGAAACCAAACCGTTAGCCCATTGCCTACTGCCTACTACTACACTCCCGCTCATTCTACAGAAGTGGACTTACCATGTGCTTTCCATCATATTTCCCCAACATTGCCGCAATCGGGCTCACGAACCTACACCGTCCACATTCAGCGCTCCAACTCACCCTAACCCACCACCACCCAGTGGCCCAGTGACCCAGGCAGGATAGAGAAAGAAAAAACTAACGTAGCCAAGCTGCCCAAGAAATACCCAAACGAGCACTTGAGCACCATGTGCCCCTTCTGGCTCCCGAAAAACTCGACCATGCCGTCGAGCAGGCTCATTACCGCACCACTCCCCCATCCTCTTCCCCCTCTTCCGCCTTGCGCGCCGCCGCCCCGCACGCCGCCGAGGAGCGGCGTGGTGTCGTCGGCGGAGGTGGTGGAGTTGCTGTTTCTGTATGTGGTTTAGTTTTAGTTTTTTTTGTTTTTGTTTAGCCAAGGGGGTCTAGTGGGTGGGTGGGGAGGAAGGAGGAACGGACGTGCGGCCAAGCGTGTAGTTGCGCGGTAGCTGTGTCGACGTCCGGTGGATGCGCACGCCGGTAGAGGGTATGATGACGGATGCTTTCCGCGCCTGTTTACATTATTGTAGTGGCTTTAATTAGTATTGGGCTTGAAGACTGGGTGAGGGCGCCCGCGGGGGGGGGGGGGGGGTAGAGGGTAGCAGCAGCCCGCAGAGAGGGCAGAGACGCGACATACGAGGGCTTTGGGGCGGACGTGTTTTTTGCCGGTGGGCTTTTGGGGTGCCGGTGATGCCATTTTGCAGGCTGGCTGGCTGGCGGGCGGGCGGGCGGTGTAGATACTGGCTAAGTACTGTCTAGATCTGGCTGGAGACGGAGAGAGTTTTTTTATATATATCTACAGTACGCAACTGGGAGAGGGTGAATGAATATACAATGTAATGTGAGGCGCGTGCTGGTTCCGTTGCCAAGAGGAGGGTGGGTGAATGAAGGCAGAGAGAGGCAGGGAGAAGGCCCTGGTCGGTCGGTCTGCAGTTGCGTGAAGATCTCCGGGGAAAGAGTGAGAGACAGAGCCAGTCGGGTTGGCTGGGCTGGCTGGCTGGCTGGCTGGAATCGGCGGGGTGCAGCTCGGCGCGGGGTTTTTTTGTATTGGCCTGGCCCATCATGGGTGTGTGGTGTGTGGTGTCGCTATTTAAATTCACGGAATAACTACAGTACAGTATGTATCTACGGAGAAGAGGCTACTATTCTTCTATTGTTGTTCCTACTAATTGGCTCTCCACACTTGCTATTGGACACAGCAGGTCTCTGTTTATGCTGTGTCGCTGAGAGATTTTAAACAAAGACCACACAAAAGCTTCTGCCCTCTCTTGCGCGCTGTGACTGGCTGGCTGGTGCGGGAGGGGCGCACACACGGGCACATCATGTATGTAGGGTATGAATATATCGCTCGGAGGAGCCTAGGAGGTGTCTTGGGTTGATGGATGGTGGCTACCTTTCTTGAGTCTCGCTTGGCGCGGGTTAAGGCTACTGGCTCCGTGTTGGGCATTCTACTTATTGCGGGGCCCCAATAAGTGAACATCATCTGCTTGAGCTTCAGGTAATGCCGACGCTCTATCGTGTCTAGGTCTTGTCCTCTTATCTACGACTATACATGTAGCTACATGTGGTACTTACTGGACCCCCTTTCCTAGCTGTCAACCAGGCCAGATTACTTCACGATCTCGTTCTATTTGTTGGATGTTTGGCATTTCGACATCTATTACCACATACTACCATGCCGATACTTATCCGGTCTGTGACTATATAGAGCCACATGTATAGTTAGGCTCTTTGTCGAGATAAGAATCAAGCCACTCAACACTGTTCCCAAGAATGCGAACCGAGTGATGGGCCGTGAAGATGCACGGCTGGGGCTACACTCATGCAGTTCCATGATATATCTACAAACAAGGGCAAACCAGAAACAACACAAAACGAGAAGCAAGAGAATAAAAAAAAAAGTTGTCTACAGATCATACTCCTCCACCTCTCTCACCACCAGGTTCTTCTCTGCCAGGAACTCCTTCACCTGCTTTACCGTGTACTCCCGTCTATGGAACTGCAAGAGGAGAAAAAGGTCAGCCCCACCATCACCCATAACCAGAACTCGATATAACACTCACCATTCCAGCCCCCAACGCAGCGTCCGTCGTCGTCTTCTCAAACACCTCCTGAAAGTGGCTCGGATTGCCTGCCCCACTGCTCGCAATAACCGGGATCTTGATAGTGCTCTTCACCATCTCGATGAGCTCCAGATCGAAGCCCGAGTTGGTGCCGTCCTTATCAATGCAATTGAGCAGGATCTCTCCCGCCCCCATGGCCTCCACGGCAAGGACCAGCTGCTGCACATCCATATCACGCCCCTCGCGCCCACCCTTGATGGTGCACTGATACCAGCAGTACTCCTCGCCGTTCGGCCCCCTCTTTTCCGTCTTGATCGTGTTCCGCGGTGTGGCTTCAGGAGACGCAACATACACCCTCCTGGGGTCCACCGACACCACGACAGCCTGGCACCCGTACGCCCCCGAGATACTCTCGATCGCCGTATCTCCCCTCAGCTCCTTCCCACGCTTGTAGTACTCCTCCGCCGCGATGACCGCATCGCTCCCAATCGACACCTTGTCCGCGCCGCTCTGGAAATACATCGTCGCCACCTGCAGCGCACTGACCTTCGTCCCGTCCGTATCCACGGCGTCCCTGATGCCGCCGCCGATGGTCAGCGGCACAAACACAACCTCGCTCGTGCGCCGCAGCACCTCCAGCATCGGCAGGTCCGCCAACGGACAGTCGCGGAAGCTCGTGATGTTCAGGAACGTCACCTCGTCGGCCCCCTCGTCGTAGTACCGCTTCGCCAGCTCTACCGGCTTGCCCAGATTCCGCACATCGCCGCCCGCCGCGGCCTTCTCGCGCACGTCGTACTGGTCGCCCTTCGTCACCACCAGGTCACCCTGGTCGTTCGCGCGCACATCCAAACACGCAATAACCCTCCTCGTCAGCCCCGTCACCGCCCGCGCCTCCTCCTCCACCACCCCGGCGCCACCTTCACCCCCTCCAAAAACGCCTTCAGCACCCTCAACCCCGCCACCCCGCTCTTCTCCGGATGGAACTGCGTCGCAAAAACATTCCCCCTCCCCACCGCGCCCACAAACTCCTCCTCCCCATACCTCCCCACCGCCACGTCCCACCCAGACCCCTGCACGGCGCCAAGCGGCACCGCGTACGAGTGCACATAGTAGTACTTTGAGTGCGGCCTCAGCCCGCACAGGCCGTCGCCATACACGGCCCGCGCCCGCGCCCCCGCCCGCGCCCCCGCCGCGGGCGTCGCGCTGTTCCACCCAATGTGCGGGACGGCCTTGTCGCGCGACTCGAAGCGCCGCAGGCTCCCGGGGATTACGCCGAGCCCGGGGGTGCCGGGGGACTCGGCGGAGGAGGCGAAGAGCGCTTGCAGGCCGACGCAGATGCCCATGAAGGGCTTGCCAGAGGCGATGAAGGCCTTGAGGGGCTCGGTGAAGCCGGCGGCGGTTAGGGTGCTCATGCAGTGCCCGAAATGGCCGACGCCGGGGAAGATGACGCGCTATGGGGTGTTAGTGGGTGGGGAGAAGGGGGGAGAAGAGGGGGGTGGGGGTACTTCGGCGGTGAGGAGGTCGGTGGGGGTGCGGACCCAGTGGATCTCGAAGCCGAGGTGCTCGATTGCGTTGACGAGGGAGCGGATGTTGCCTCTGTGGTGGGTGGGTGTTAGTAGGCTGCTTCGAGGGGGGATTGGGGGGGGATTGGGGGATTGGGGGGCTCACGCAACAGTGTCCAGGAGGTGGACGGTGGGTTTTGGTTTCGAGGAGGCCATTGGCGGTGTAGTCAATGGTCAATTGGTAGGTTTTTTAAAGTAGAGAGGTAGGGTGGTAGGGTGGTAGGGTGGTAGGGTGGTAGAGAGCGAGTGGATTGAGTTGAGGCCTGGGAGTGAATTGAACTGACTGACTGACTGACTGGCTATATACCCAGGGCAGGAAAGTGAAAGGAAAGAGTCATCCATCCCAATCCCCATCTCAATCCCATGGCGGGGCAGAAGCGTTGCCCCACTTTTGCCAAGACCTGGAAAAAAAGAACTTTACCTAGATGGTATCATCCAATCTTTTTTAGTAAGAGCGTTGTGAGGTATTACTACTACGGATGGGGTTGTGTGCAGGGAGGTAGGAGTAAGTAGGTAGGACCGTAGAGTAGGTAATGATGTTTATTTCCTTTTTTATTTATTTGGACGTAGTGGTGATACCTACACAGATCTATCATAATGGAGTATATCGAATGGGTGTTTACGTGGTAGTTTACTTTTGGTTGTTAGGTCCTTCTGGTAGTAAAAAAAAAAAAGTCATTGACAGTGCGAGTGATAATTTGAGAACCACGGCCTGAACGAATCACCCATGATGCATCTCCATCTCACACATAGCGATTCCGCCAACCACAATAAAAACCAAAGCTAGCCCTACCTTTTTTACTTCATAGATCTCATTTTTTTTCTCATTTACTTCAAGGGCAAGGGGTATCACACACGCATACAAAGAGTTTTCGCCGTCCCCTAATTATAGAGGGCCTCATCCAGATATACCATTCCGTCCCTCGGCTGATCCCTAAACGTCAGTGCGCCCCCCCTCTCCAGGTCCACAGAAGCACTCACCGGCGAATACTGCCTCAGCACCACGCCCCCCTCCTCCAGCACGGCCGCCGTCTGCTTATCCATACTGTACCCCTTACTGTACACCACCTCCACCACGCCGACCTGCACAATCTTGATACTACACGTCAAGCACGGGCACGTATCGCAATACAGCACGGCCCCATGGCCAATGCGCTCCCTCCCCGCCTCCAGCAGCGCGTTCTCCTCGGCGTGGATGCACAGACAGGCGTCGAGGCCGACGCCGCCCTCGGCAGCGCTGTTGCACCGCCCGCACCCGCCCTCGCTGCAGTTCTTGAGGTGCCGCGGCGTGCCGTTGTACCCCGTGCTGATGACGCGGTGGCCGCGCACGAGAACGCAGCCCACACGTCGCTTCATGCAGTTTGAGCGCCGCGCGGCGAGGGAGGCGAGGCGCATGAAGTAGGCGTCCCAGGAGGGGCGCAGGCGCTCCGGGTTCGTGAGGTCGAGGGCGTGTAGCGCGGTGTGGAGGGTGGAGAGCGAGCTGCCGGGGTTGAGGAGGGAGAGGGTTGCGTGTGCGGTGATGGAGGAGAGGCCGTGGGGGGAGTAGAGGTACGTGTCGGAGGCGGCGGCGAACTCGTCGAGTGGAATGGGGGGGAGGCCTTGGGTTGCGTTGCTGGAGAGGGGTTAGTGAGGGGGAGGGAGCGGGGGCGGGAGGGTTACCGGGCGTTGTAGCGGTGCCAGCGGGTCATGAGGGGCGCGGAGACGCTAACGAGCATGAAGAAGGGGCGCACGCGGAGGATGTCGAGGATGTGGTCGTCCCAGATGTCGGTGGTGACGAAGGGCTCGCGCCAGCGCTTGGTGACGAAGTCGAGGAGGGCATTGGCGGTGGGGAAGACGTGCTCGGGGAGAGTGGGGAGCGTGGAGGTGGAGCGTACGGCGGGAGAGGGGTTGGGGAGGGTAGGAGGGACGATCTTGAGAGCTGTAAAGGCGTGGTTGCGGATGAGGTGGTGGGCAATCTCGTGTTTGCCAGCACAAATGCCTGGGGGTTGTTAGTGGGGGGGTCCTATAGGAGAGGTGATGTTTTTAGTGGATTAGAGAGAGTAGGTAGATAGAGAGAGGTAGATAGAGAGAGCAGGTAGAGAGAGTAGGTAGAGATGCTGATGCTGATGCTGATGCTGATGCTGATGCTGATATTTGTAGATGTCGATATATTTAGATAGTGGATGCTGATAGTGATAAGGATGGTAGATAGCACTGATAGCGATAGCGAGAGAGATACTTACTGCCGCAGAGACCAATCAGCATCTTGAATACGTTTTCTGGGGTTTGTTTATCGTTTGTTTATCGGTGTTTATTTGCCCACCCACTGGCCTATAGCAGGAGTGGTATTTCGTTTGCAAAGGATACCTGGTTGGTGTGGAGTAGCGGGTAGTGGTTAGTGGTGGTTATGTAGTGAGCGAGTGTGGGGTTTGGTGATGGTTGTAACTTGTGGTGGTGGGGCGGAAGTACATGTACTTACTCGAGAGATGGCCAGTCCTGTACCTACATGAAGTGTATGTAGGTCTATGTAGGTATTTCGAACTTCACCACCACTGCTCACATACATTTACATACCGTCTACATCTACATCTACACCTACGTCTACTATACCTAGAGTACATACTCTAAAAGTACATCATACTCCAACACATCTGCCAGGTCCCGTCGAGCGATTCCCGGATGCGTATCCCACCTCATCTCGCTCTCCCACCCTCATCCTCATCTCACAATCTCACATGCTTCCCACACCTGCCTCTGGATCATCAGCATTCCACCCGTCCACCAATCCACAGCCCACTCTGCGCATCCAACCCGTCCATTCGGCATGCTGTCTGCCTCCGGGGAAGAAATCGATACCGGGCGTAGTGCAGCGTAGTCAGATCCCATGCATCGGCGAGTGCCCAATCGTGCATTGTCTGTAGATAACTGCCAGAGCCTGCCATACGGTACGCGGTCTGGCACCTACCCCGTGCGCGGGTTCGGTACTCTCTGCTGGGTGTACCTGCTGTCTGTACGCCGAGTTAGCTGTCTCTCATCCTATCCGCATCCGTCCACTGTAGCCGATTATTAGAGGGCTGCATGGGTTAGGGTTTGTATGCAAATTATTATTACCATCATATTACTACGTGTATTCTTATTGGGCAACTCATCCAGAGTAGATACTCTTTACCAGTAAGATTAGGTAGGTAGGGCTCCAGTTAATATGGGAACGGGCAATAATATCGGTAGAGTGCCTGGATACTTTAGATAAACAAGATCCATCCCGGTGGTTGCACATAGAGAGTGTGTAAGGGTCGATAGGGAGATTAGATTGGTAGCCGTGGAATTTATACCATGAATTAGCTAGCAGTACTACTCTACCACCGTGTACTCTACGGGACTCTACAGCTGGACAGTTCAAAGTTTGTTGATACTCTACCTATCATACCCGGAGGCAAAATGTCTTGATAATGCGTACATATACGCTCAGCTTCCTAAACGAAACACGGAAAGACCTTTCAGCCTGGTCAAGTTGTCGGTACTTCCCTATGATAGGTTGAATGTACATGTATGTAGGTAGGGCCCTTTTTTATTTTTTTTGCAAGTGGCACTGTGGCAGGCAGGTTGCATACCCTACATGTGCCTACTGTGGAGAATTCTGCCGGCCAGCTTCCTTCGGTCTAGGTATCGCCGGTAGAGTGCATATAATTCGAGTGGGGGAAGGGTGTTCCCCTTCGAATCCCTTCCCTTCCCTTAACCCACAATAATGCTTGGCTGCAGTGCGGTCTGTTCACGACCTCTACTTTTTTTTACATGGGGCTCGTTTTGCAGTGGGAGCTTGACAGTTGCGAGGGTTCTATCCCTCTTGCAAGGTGGGTGGTACTTGCACCGAAAAGGAGGCCCTGAGGCGCGGAGTGTAGGTGTAGATGTAGCACTGTAGCAGTAGCACTGTAGCGCCCAGAGTAGAGCAGTCGAAGACGTATGTATGGGATCCCAACGCTTCTTCATGCATGGAGCACACATAAAGACATACATACGCACATCCTCATGTACCTCTCGACACAAGCTCCTTTTTCTCCTATATCCACATCCGTCAAACACAACAAACCAACCATTTTCTCTCGCCTACTGCTGCTGCTGCTGCTACTAGCGAACTTCCCGAAGTGAGGGAGTCCCCCCCAGCCCAGCCCAGCCCAACCAACACATCACCAGAGTCCTCTCTTTCTTTTCCCCAACTCTCCCTTCTCATCCACTCACCTTCTTACATCTTCACCATCCTATCATCTTTCTTCATCACTTCTTCTCACGACACACTACCTCACAATTTGTTCTTTCCTCCATTCTTCCCCTCCCTCCCTCTCGCTCCCTCGCTGGCCTTGGGGAGTAGTTGTTCGCTGCTACGGTGCTTCTTCTGCTAGTCTCCCCTTTTTGTCTGGTTATCTCTAGCCCACCAAACCACGACAACAACAACCTCCTCCCAACCCCCCTTTTATGAACACTTAAGCCAGGTGTTCGATCAAACCCCCCTCCCCCAATTTCTCCTCCTCACTTCTGAACAACGGTGTTTATCCCCCACTGTTGATAAACACTATCGTGTATCTTCCCACCCCCCCCTCATTACCCAGCCGTTGAATTTGATTCACCGCCATGGCCTCCTCACGGAAACCACCCCCGGCGAACCTTTCCAGCCCGCTCAACCGCCGTTCCATGCCTCCTCCCGTAGCATCCTCCTCCGCCGGCTCAGCTCGAGGCTCTTCACGCTCCCCGACTCCCACCGGCGCGGCTGCTCCTGCTGCCACTGCGGCCCGTCGCAATACTATCCGTGATGGCGCTCCCTTGGCGCACCGGAATAGCATTTCCTCGCCCCTGAGCGCTCGGTCGGCCGCAAAGAGGTCCACCGAGGTGCAGAGCGAGGCCGACTTGGAGAATGCGGCAATGTTGGAGGATTTGAGAAGTAGGCTTGCCCAGAGCGAGAGTGCGGCGGAGGCCGCCGCTGAGGAGTATGCGAAGCAGGTAAAGGCGCTGCAGAGCAGGTTGGAGGATGCGCTTGCCGAGCAGATCAAGATGGAGGAGGCGGCGCATCAGAAGGATGAGATAATTGAGGGTATTGAGCTCCAGGTTAAGGAGTTGACGAGGGCAAAGAGAGACCAGGAGAATATCTACGAGGCAGAGGTAAATTGCTCTTTTTTCTCACTATTATCTTGGGTGGCGTGACTAATGATTTGGACAGAGAACTGCCGCGCAACAGGAGAAAGAGGAAATGATTGAAAGGGAAGAGGAGCTGAATACCATAATTCAGCGCCTCAAGGACCAACTTGCTCAGCGCGAAAAGTCGCCTGAGCCAGAGGTTGTGGAGAGCCGTAAAACTTGTTTGTTTCACCCGTCTAAAGCTTCATGAATGTTACTAATAATATACGTAGCCACTGAGCCTTCTATTGATGAATCTCAAGGATTTGCGCCTTCAAATAACATGGCTGCACCTAACCGTAGCAACAACCTTGTTCTCCAGAAGGATAAACTCATTGAGTCTCTTCGTCTCGAGCTCGCTGAAGCTCAGATCAGGTTGGCTGAGGCAGACCACCAAGGTGGCACTAAGCTTCAACAGCTTGAGCAGCAGCTTTTGGAAACTCGCATGTCTAACGCCCGTTTGATGGAGGACAACGAAAGCTTCCAGCTTCTCCTTTCTTCTGCTGCTCTCAATGGTGACTTCCCCAGGGGTGATTACATTACCAATGCCTTCTCTGAGGTTGAGCCTGAGCCAGAGTCGCCCCACATTATCAAGAAGGTCCAGGGTTCGCCAAGGAATTCAATTTCCCTTGCTTCGAACCTTGCCGAGGAGCTCGAGGAGGCTGCTCAGACTCTCGAGACTGAGAAGTGCCGCAAGCTAGAGAGCGAGGTCAAGTCGTTGAAGGACCAGAACAAGGCGCAGTCGTTGTACATCAACAACATCATCGAGCGCATTCTGCAACACAAGGATTCCGAGGCCATTCTGGACAAGACTGCTCCTCTTGGAGACTCTGCTGTGAAGACTGAGAAGGCGCTTCCCGCACCTCCTAAGGAATCTGGTATGCTCTCAAGGACTTCGTCTCTTTCAAGTCGCAAAACTTCCCCATCCATGAAGTCCCCTGCCCTTCCATCAATGGCGACAGGCCATCCCTCTCAAGATCACAATCAATGCGCTCTACACCTCGCTACACACACAAGCGCTCTCACTCTGATGCTGTTTACTCCGGTGCCAGCGTTGTTAACAATCTTTACCGTGGAGAGGGAATGATTACTCCCCGCTCGCAGACTTTCTACGGTCCCGATCAATTCAACAACGGCAACCGTACCCAGCGTCCTCGCGACTCTGACCTCAGCCTTGACTCTACTACTTCCGAGAGTGGGGACAGTGTTTCAGGAACCTCCATTCCTTTGCCATGGGAGCGCCGCAGCCTGCCATCTCCCCCGCACCACGGTACCACTATGGGACCAATTGCTGGAAACAAGCTTCGCCCATTGAGATTAGTGCAAGAGAATGTTAGCAACGGGCTCGTTTCGCCTACATCGGGCAGTGGCCGCAAGATCAGTGGAGACTACAAGGAGGGTGTTGAGGATGAGAAGAGCAGGAGACAGAGCAAGAGAACCAGCTGGTATGTTATTAGACTCTCGGCAAGAATTTGGAACGAATGCTAATTTATGAAAACAGGATTCCTTGGTTGAACCGAAACAAAGATGATGACTTGCACACGATCTCCAACCCCGAAAACGTTCTTTTCGAGAGAAGAGACGTTGAATAAGGGATATGACAAGCAGCGAAAATGTTTAAAAAAAAACGCGGGAGTTTATTTTTCTTTCTTCGGCTTGGGTAGGGCTGGCATTCGGCAATTGGCATGATAAAAATGAACGTTTCCGCGTGCTCTTTGTTTTTTGTTTTTTTTTGATGATATGAGTAGATGATGGGTTTGATCATGACGGTTTCTTCTTTTTTTCTATTCTAGTTATTAGTTGACTTTTTATAACTCTTCTTCTTCCCACCTCCCCTCCTCCTCTTTATTTCGCCCATACTGCTATGTTCGGGTATGGTCTTTTTGTGGGGGGGGCGGCGTGGTCCTTTTTACTTATTTTGTATACAGTCGTTTTCTTGCGTTGCTGCGGCGGAGGCGCTTTATTTCACGGTTGGGGGGGGGGGGGGGGTGGGACTCTTTGGTTTGTTTGGTTGGCTTGTTAGTTTGATTTGGTAGACGATTGATACCTAACTCCGCTACTACTAGTACTAGTACTTGCTTCTCATACCCAAACACCTCTTTTTCTCTCTTTCTCACTCTCTGTCTTCTCTGTCTGTTTAGCTTCGCGTTGTGGATCTGCGGTGGTGGCAGATCCTGTAATTCTTTATATGTATGTGTGTGTGGTGGTGTGTGGGGTAACTCCGCTCTGTTCTTCTTCTTCTTTTTTTTATATCCTCCCTTTGAGAGTAATCTTTTTGTATGCATGATGGTTATGATTGTTATGACGAAATGGTACGCTGGTGGCTGTGGATAGCTGTGTTTTTTATTTTTACATATGAGTCCTTTGTGCTGTGCTGTGGTGTGAAGTGATACGGGCGGTGTGATGTGATGTGATGTGATGTGTGCTAGTATCGTGATGAGTGTTGTTGTTGTATGCTATGTGTATTTAGTATCGTGAGGGGGGCTTGAGGAGGCGTGTGGAGGTTAAGAATGAGAAGGAGTGGAGGAGTGAGGAGTAGGGAGTAATAAAAACCTGTTGAAAGCTTGCAATTGCTATCGCTGTTATATCCAATTCGTAAAGTGCAATGATACCTATGAGCAGTTCTTTGTGCATGCTAGTAGTAAAGACGCTTTGGTCAACTCCTCCAATTGAAAGGCGAATCTCCTGCGCTTAAAAAACATCATCTCCTCCACACACGTGCCTCGCGGCCTGTTCTAAGGTCGGGTGTCGCTGGTTGCTGTGGATGCAAACCCAGTACTGGTTGCATTTACTATTTCTTTAGCTTGCTTCTAGCGGTAGTCTTTCTCCACGAAAGAGACATGGGGTGTCTAAGTTAATTATTTGACAGTGCACTTTAGGGGGGGGCGGAGATATCGTCTGAACCAGTGCAGTCAGGCGGGTGCACGGGAACGGCGGGGAGCGCGGGAGGAAGGAAGGAAGGAAGGAGGGTCGAGTGATAGTTTATGACCACGCCTAACAGTGGCTTCTATTTTTTTTTTCCCACTAGTCCTACTTTAGTACTTTACTTCAGAGTCTAGGTGCCGTTCTTATCCGCTTCCAGAAACGCATTCTAAACAGCCGAATTGGTGGACTAGGCTCATTACATTTTTTTTTTTTTGGCATCGTGATTGTACTGATGTGCATGGGGGTTTGGGATCGATGGGAGGGTACGTTTGTGAGGCTCTAGCCATCGGTGGATGTGGATGATGGGTGATGGGTGGCAGTGTAGGTTTGCTATGAGGATGATGCTGTTAATTCGGACCTGTGCCGTTCGAGGCAGTAAGTCACGGTGTCGAACAGTAGAGGGCCCACTGTCAGGAGGGATGGTGTCTTCTCTGGACTCCTATAAGATAGCTTGGATTAGCTATAGACATCGATCTCAATTGAAAAACCCTAAGACTCGTCTCACGTTCTACTTTCAAGAGATCATTCTCAAGTTGGGTGTTGACTAGATAGAGAGACTAAGGGTGGAGAGTGGAAGACGGGACGTTGTGTCCCTGGACCGGTTGATTGGGCCGAATAGCGCGAGTGATGGATTGTGATGCAGTCACGAGTTATCACCAGGCTCAGTCATCGAGGCTCACTCACTACCTAGACTCACTCCCCCACCTACTCTCAGAAACGCCACGAACGATGCGTATTATGAGCATCTGACAATAGCTATAGATTACGGGGGCGATTCTAACGATACTAATACAGCTCTAATAATACATGATGAAACCCCTTTTAGTTTTTTTTTAACCCCCCATATGCCTCTATATTGCATCTGCTATGGCTATGCCACTCTACTTTCTCTCCTTTGTCTTCTTCTTCTTCGCCTCCTCATCCTCACTCGCATCCTCACTGATAACCTCCTCCTCTTCCTCCTCATGGTCTTCATCCTTCAGCTCCTTCTCCTTCTCATCCTCCTCATCATCTTCCTCCTCCTCGTCAACCTCCTCCTCCACCGCCGCCGGCTCCTCTTCTGCAGTAGTGGTAGAGTCGCTGTAGGCGGGACGGTCCATAGTGACCTTCTTGCTGGCGAGGTACGTTTCGAGCTGCGGGAGGATGGAGATGAAGGCGTTGAGCTGCTCGACGGTGAGGGATATGCCCTAATAATGCGTCACGCACCCAAGTTAGCAACTATCAAAAAAAAAAAAAAAAAAAAGATAATAGCCCTTGAGGAGAAGTAGGAGGTAGGAGGCGGACCTTTTTGCCAGGCAGCATCTTGCCGTCCTTCTCGTAGTGCTCACGAATTGAGACGAGCTGGTTCCCCCTAAACTCGGAGACTCCGACTCGGCGATTCTGGCCGCCAATCTACACATACACACACAAAATTCATTAGAAACCTTGCTCCCAGTGCAATTCAATTGTATGACAGCTGGCAGCAGTGGGAGTGATAGTGGTGTGTGTAACAGTAACCCGCTACACCACAACACCAAGGCGGAGCAAGAGAAGGAAGGAGCCACAAACCCCCCAAAACGGATTCCCCTCGTCATCCTTCATCATCTTTCCTTTCTCCACAGTTGCAGCAGCAGCAGCAGCTGGCTTTTGGCGCTTTGCAGCAGGTGCATCCACGTCGGCGGGAGCGGACTTTGTAGCAGCGGCACGTCTCTTGGGAGGCATTATTACGAAGCTGTGCGCGGTGGTGGAGAGGATGGTGGTGGTGGTGGTGGTTGTGGTGGTGGGGGAGGAGGGAGGGTGTTATGTAGCCTGGGGAGGACGCGCTTTACAAGGAGCGCTAGCATGGTGAGGGAGACGCGTTAGGCCGGGGGAGGGAGGGAGGGCTGGGGCTGAGGTGTTTTACTATGCTGGGTACTGCTGGTACCTGCTTGCGTTACTTGGGGAGTCTACTCTTGACATCATGGGAACTTTGAGAAGTGCGTGCTAGTGCGTACTGTGGGTGGTAGTAGAGTGGTTGTTGTGGCTGGAGAGCCGCAATGCGCCTCACACGAACCCCTCCACACCTCTCTCTGTGTTGCTGGGCAGAGACTTCACCGCAGTCCAGAGTGAGTGGGTGAATGATCGAGAGTGCAGGACGGACTTCAACCTCCACCCACAGAAGGAGTGCATTTTGTGTAGAAACCAGCAATCCCAAGATACCATCTCTCTCTCTCTCCCTCTCTTTGTGCACAAAATTAATTAAAAAAACGCTGCATAACCCCCACATTGTGCCCCGCGTCAACACACTCACACACTACACACTCACTTCACACAAACCCATACAAACCTCATCTATCAAATCAATCAACAAATCAAACCACAAACCACAAATTCTCACATTCCTGATATAACGGCTACAAAAAGAAAAAGAAGAAGAAAAAGGAACGTCGCAGAATGGCCGACGATAGCGGACCCCCCGCCACAAACATGGAGGACCCGCTCGTGCTGGCACTCACCAGCAGCTCCACGACCAGGCGCTGTGCGGAGCTGGGCAGCCTCAACGACCGAATACAGAAGAATGGTATATAGCACAATCTACCTCTCTACCTATATCTACCCTCTACCTATATCTCTACCTCTACAGCAACCCAGCCCAGCCCAATCCAATCCAGTCCAGCCCGGTCTTATTATATCCAAATATATATATAAAAAGAAAAAATAAAAAATAAAGGAAAAGACCCCAATTCTAACATACAATACCACCACAGACCTCCCCGCCGACCGCCTCCCCCTCGTCTTCCGCCTCCTCTTCCACACCCACCCCTACTACCTCGACCGGCCCTCCCGCGCCGCCGTCCGCCGCTGCCTGCAGAGCCTCCAGTCCTCGCCCACGCTCGCCGCCCCCTCCACAAAGGCCCTCATCACGGCCATCCGCAACGAGTCCGCCAAGCCCGGCATCGCCGCATCAAACGCCTTTGTCCTCCTCGAATGGGCGGCCGACATCCTCGCTGCCATCGCGAAGAGCACTGAGGCATTCAACACACACAAGGACGCCGTCATCGAGGCGCAGGTGGCCCTGCTCGATATCTGTCTGGGTAATGCTCACGCAAAGACGTCGCTGAAGAAGGGCGCGCTGGCGGCTACCCGCCGCGGCCTCCGCGCCGCGTTCGCGCCCGCAAACGAAAATTATGGCGGTGTGATAACGGCCGTGGTGGGCAAGCTGACGGCGAAGGGTCGGGCCCCACGCAGAAGAACGCGCTGCTCCTCGGCGTCGTGGCCGGCGTGTGTGCGCGCTCCGAGAAGTGCAAGGCGGTGCTGGAAGGGCTGAAGAAGGACGTGTACGCGTTCTTTGTCCGCGAGATTGTGGGCTCACGCACGCCTGTGCCGGCACACGTGGCTGGCGGGCTGCACGATTTCTTCGCAGCGTTTGTGACGGCGGGGAGTTTTCGGGCGAGGTTGTGCCGGCGGTTGAGCGGGCGCTTCTGCGGGCGCCGGAGGTTGTGCTGGACGGGGTGCTGGTGGGGGTGTTGGAGAGCTTGCCGGGGGAGATTGATCTTGCGGTGCCGATTGCGGGGGGTTTGATGAAGCAGTTTCTGGCGTGTGTGAAGAGCAGCAATGCGAATATCCGGAGCGGGGCGGTGGCGGCGTTTCGGGCGGGATGGGGCATGCGGAGAGGCCGGATGAGGGCGCGGTTGTACGGATTGCGGAGGAGCTGGTGGCGCCGCTGAGGGGGGAAAGGTGACGGTGGCGGATCAGAGGGTTGTGTATGCGGCGATGGTCGAGGCGCTGCCGTGGTCGAAGGCGCTGGCGAGGAAGGTGTCGGCGGGGCTGGTGGACATGGCGGTGAAGGAGACGAATGAGGCGGTGGTGGCGAGTCTAACGGCGGCGATCTTTAGCCATCTGGCGAAGGAGCTGCAGGCGGGGATTGTGCCGGAGAAGAGCGTGGGCGAGGCGGTGGCGAAGGGTTTGGCGGACAAGAGACCGGCGTTTCGGCGCATCTGGGTGGCGCGGTTGGGGGATCTTGTGTGGGCGCTTGGAGGAGGAGGAGGGAAAGGAGGAGAAGAAGGGGAGAAGGGGGAGGAGGGGGAGGAGGAGGAGGAGGAGGAGGAGGAAAAGAAGGAAAAGAAGGAGAAGAAGGAGAAGAAGGAGAAGAAGGAGAAGAAGAACCCGCAGACACAACACAGGCGTTTGTGGCGTCCGTTCTGCCAAAGATGATTGACGCGTGGGCCGAGGTAGCCGCCAACCCGCTGCCAGCCGCGCAGAACGGGCTCGTGACCGCGGGCTACGTCTACACAGCAATTGCCCTGTCGCGGCTAAGCAAGTGGACCAGCCCGGCCATCCAGGCGCTGCTCAAGCCCAAGGAGATCATTTCCCAGTCGCTGTCTGTGGCGCCAAAGGCATCGTTCCTGCTCAACCACAAGGTCTACACAAAGCTGCACCTGCCCGACGACCTGCGCTGGACCATCCGCGCCCTCGCCGCCACGGCACCGCACATTGTGTACGACGAGTGCCACGCCGAGCAGTGGGCGCTGGCCTTCCTCTACACCGTGAGCGCTGCCGCCATCCCGCCGCCCATCAAGAAGGAGGCGCTCTCGGCGCTCACCGCAGCCCACCACGCATCCCCGCGCACCATCGGCCGCACGATCCTCAACGGCGTCTGGCAGTGGCTGCGCCACCTCGAGGAGAACAAATCCGACTCGCCCTCCGCGGCCGCAAAGACAGCCGGCACCCACCTGCACACCGCCATCGCAGCCATCGTGTGTCCGCCGTCGGACACGGTGCCCGAGGAGACGGTCAAGGGCCTGCTGGTCAACCTGGCCGTCGTCGCGCACCACACGCTCATGCCCGGCGTCGACTGGATCCGCCTGTGCCAGCGCGCCCAGCTCGACCCGGGACTGCTGGCCGTCGAGAAGGCCGGCCAGCTGGTCGGCGAGATTAGGATGTACACGGGTCTCTCTGGGCGCAGCTCGCACATCCGCGATGCGGCGCTGAGGGCGTCTGCAACGCTCGCGTTCGTGGCACCCGAGGCGATAACGCCGCTGGTTGTGAAGCTCATCACGGACGACCTGAACCCCGCACAGCTGCGCGGCATCGGCGAGCTCGAGGCCGCAATCTGGAAGCACCACGCCGGGGGAGGGGCGGAGGCGCCGTATGTGGATGTTCTGGCGGGGCGTGCGGGGCCCGCGGCGGTCACGAAGGGGAAGGACACGGATACGCTCAAGTGGGAGGCGGAGCTGCGCGCGCAGCTGGCGCAGAAGAAGGGGTCGGAGCGGAAGCTGACGGCGGACGAGAAGGCGCGGGTTGCGGAGCAGCTGGAGAAGGAGCGCGGCGTGCGGAAGAGGGTTGAGGATGTGAATCTGAGGCTGACGAGGGGCATTGGTGTGATTAAGGCGCTGGCGCAGGGCCCGCCGACGGCGGTCGAGATGTGGATGGGGCAGAGTGTGCGCGCGCTGCTGAAGGCGCTTGAGGCGGGTGCGGGCTTGGTGGTGGGCGATGCGGGCGTGCAGGCGTTTTTGGCGTGTGCGGAGCATGTGGCGGCGAGGTTGGGGGTGCTGAGGATGTTTGTGGGGATTGATACGCTGAGGGCGCTGGGGATTCGGGAGTTGGCGCCGGAGCTGCAGGAGGAGCCGTTGGGAGGTTTGTTTCTCTCTCTTTGAATATTTCTGGTGGAGTGATCATTGACACTTTGGGGGTTTGGTTATAGCACTCACTACACGTATTTTGTACCGGCTACGGTTCATGGCGGAGCAGCGGCCATTTGATACGACTTCACTGGTCTACCTATTACCTTTTGTGAGTCTGATTCTAGAGAAGGGCAGCGTCGGAGTCAGCTCCGCCGAAGACACAGACGAGCAAGTGGTCCTGGCCATCGAGTTCCTCTCCTTCCACACCGAGACCTGTACGTCCCCCCATCTCCTCCCCAAAGAACCCCCCCCCCCCCCCCCGAGTGATATCCATGATTCTAACGCTCCACAGGCTCCGACCCCCTCCTCCCCCGCGCCGACACGCTCACCCTCCTCATCACCTCCATGCAAAAATACCCCGCCCACCACACCCTCATCAAAGACGTGCTACTAGACCTAACCCGCTGCATCGCGCCCACCATCACACCACACGAAACACAGACCCTCCTCGCCGGCACCATCACCCCGCAGACCAACGTCCGCACCGCAGCCCTCCAGGCAATCGAGTCCGACATCGATCTCACCGACCTCGACTTCTCGCAGGAGCTCTGGCTCGCCGCCCACGACGAGGCCGCCGAGAACGCCGAGCTCGCAAAAACCATCTGGGACGACAATGTCCTCGAGGTGCATTCCGGCGCCGCGCAGACGATGCTCCCGTTCCTCGAGAGCCCCGAGCGACAGCTGCGTGCTGCCGCGGCCCGCGCGCTGAGGGAGTGTGTCAGGCTGTATCCGGAGTGTTTTGGCGACACGCTGGAGAGGCTCAAGACGCTGTATTTGGTGAAGGCGCAGCCGATCCTGCCGAGCTATGATGAGTTTGGGCTGCTGCGGAAGACGGACAACCGCGACCCGTGGGAGAGCCGGAGCGGGATTGCGCTGGCGTTTAAGGAGCTTGCGGCGGTGTTTGATGATGGAGCGTTGGTGGAGTTCTCGACGTGGCTGATTGGCGAGGGGGCGCTGGGGGACCGGCATGGCGGGGTGCGCGAGGAGATGGTTGATGCGGCGACGGCGATCGTTGCTGCGCAGGGGGCGGCGAGGCATGTGGAGGAGCTGATGGGCGTGTTTGAGCGCAGTCTGGCGGCGCCGGATGATGGGAGTGAGTTGAGGGATCGGATTAATGAGGCGGTGATTATTCTTTATGGCGCGCTGGGGAGGCATTTGGGGAGTGGTGATGCGCGGATCCCGGGCGTGGTGGATAGGCTGCTGGAGACGCTGAGTACGCCGTCTGAGACAGTGCAGTATGCCGTGGCCGAGTGTCTACCCCCGCTGATCAAGGCGTCGCGAGAGAAGACGTCGGAGTATGTGCAGCGGTTGTTGGATCAGTTGTTTTCGGCGAAGCAGTATGCGGCGAGGCGTGGGGCGGCGTATGGGCTGGCGGGCGTGATCAAGGGGAGGGGCATATCGGCGCTGAAGGACTTTAGGATCATGAGTACGCTAAAGTCGGCGGTGGAGAACAAGAAGGATGCGAATATGCGCCAGGGCGCGCTCTTTGCGTTTGAGCTGCTGTCGCTGATCCTCGGCCGACTGTTTGAGCCATACGTCATCCAGCTACTGCCACTACTACTCCAGGGCTTCGGCGACAGCGTGATTGACGTGCGCGAGGCCTGCTCGGACGCGGCGAAGGTGTGTTTCTCGAGTCTCAGCTCCTACGGGGTCAAGGTGATCCTGCCGGACCTGCTCGACGGGCTGGACGAGAGCGCGTGGCGGAGCAAGAAGGGGGCGTGTGAGACGCTGGGAGCAATGGCGTATCTGGCGCCGCACCAGCTCGCCATCAGTCTGCCGGACATTATCCCGCCGCTGACGACGGTGCTGAATGATTCGCACAAGGAGGTGCGGCTGGCGGCGAACCGCTCGCTGAAGAAGTTTGGAGAGGTCATCAGTAATCCGGAGGTGAAGGATGTGGTGGAGGTGCTGTTGCGCGCGCTGAGTGATCCGACAAAGTATACGGAGGAGGCGCTGGACGTTCTGATGAAGGTGTCGTTTGTGCATTATTTGGATGCGCCGTCGTTGGCTTTGGTACGGTTCTTCTGGGGTTTTTATATTGAAGTGTGAATGCTGACCTTTTTGATATTGCAGATTGCCCGCATTCTCGAGCGCGGCCTCGGCGACCGCTCCGCAACCAAGAGAAAGGCCTCGCAGATCATTGGCTCCCTGGCACATCTGACAGACCGCAAAGACATCATGGTTCACATCCCGATCCTCGTGTCGGGGCTCAAGCTCGCCATCGTAGACCCCGTCCCCGCCACGCGCGCCACGGCCTCCAAGGCACTGGGCTCACTCGTCGAGAAGCTCGGCGAGGAGTCGCTGCCCGACATCATACCCGGGCTCATGGCCACGCTCAAGTCCGACACGGGAGCCGGCGACCGTCTGGGATCCGCGCAGGCGCTGTCCGAAGTGCTGTCGGGTCTTGGAACACAGAGGCTCGAGGAGACGCTGCCGACGATCCTGCAGAACGCAAACAGCGCGAAGCCCGCCGTCAGGGAGGGCTTCATGTCGCTGTTTATCTTCTTGCCGGCGTGCTTTGGGAACTCGTTTAGTGCGTACCTGAACAAGATTATCCCGCCGATCCTGTCGGGGCTGGCGGACGATGTGGAGAGCATCCGCGAGACGTCGCTGAGGGCGGGTAGACTGCTGGTGAAGAACTTTTCGACACGCGCGATTGACCTGCTGCTGCCAGAGCTGGAGAGAGGGCTGGCGGATAATAACCATAGGATTCGACTGTCGTCCGTGGAGCTCGTGGGTGACCTTCTGTTCAACCTCACGGGCATCAGCGGCAAGGCCGAGCAGGACGACGACCTGGAGGCGACGGGCGAGGTCGGCAACTCGCTGCTGGAGGTTCTGGGCCAGGAGCGGCGAGACAAGGTGCTGTCGGCGCTGTACATCTGCCGCTGCGACACGTCGGGCCAGGTTCGTCTTGCGGCCGTCGGCGTGTGGAAGGCGCTCGTGGCCAGCCCGCGCACGCTCAAGGAGCTGGTGCCCACGCTCACGCAGCTCATCATCCGCCGCCTGGCCAGCTCCAATCCGGAGCAGAAGCTGATTGCCGGACAGGCGCTCGGCGAGCTGATCAGGAAGGCGGGCGACGGGGTGCTGGCCACGCTGCTGCCGACGCTGGAGGAGGGACTGCGCACGGCGACAGACACGGATGCGAAGCAGGGCATCTGCATTGCGCTCAAGGAGGTCGTCATGTCGACGTCGCCCGAGGCGCTCGAGGACTACGAGGCGACGCTTGTGTCTGTGGTGAGGACCGCGCTGGTGGACGGCGATATCGATGTGCGTGAGGCGGCCGCGGAGGCGTTTGATGCGCTGCAGAAGGACATTGGGAAGCGCGCGGTGGACCAGGTGCTGCCGTATCTGCTGAACCTGCTGCGGTCCGACGAGGAGGCGGAGCATGCGCTGGCCGCGCTGCTGACGCTGCTGACGGAGCAGACGAGATCGAATATCATCCTGCCCGCGCTGATCCCGACGCTGATTGCGCCGCCGATCACGCACTTCAATGCCCGCGCCCTGGCATCGCTCGCGCAGGTGTCGGGCAACGCGCTCAACAGGCGTCTGCCGACCATCATGAACTCGCTCATTGACGGCATCGTATCCTGCAAGGACCCCGAGCTGCAGACGGAGCTCAAGGCGGCGTTCGACACCGTGATCCTCTCGGCCGACGAGTACGATGGCTTAAACACCGTGATGAGCGAGATGCTCAAGCTCGTCAAGCACGAGGACCACCACAAGCGCGCCGCCGCCTACGCCCACTTTGCAAAGTTCTTCAGCACCACCGACGTCGACTACTCGCGCTACACGCAGGACTGCATCCGCGTGCTGCTCATCTCGTTCGACGACTCTGACAAGACCGTCGTCCAGAACGCTTGGGCGGCGCTCAACGAGCTGACAAAGAAGCTCAAGAAGGAGGAGATGGAGACGCTCGTCATCTCGACCCGCCAGGTGCTGCAGCAGGTCGGTGTCCCAGGGCACGACCTCCCAGGCTTCGCGCTGCCAAAGGGTATCAACGCCATCCTCCCAATCTTCCTGCAGGGCCTCATGTACGGCTCTCCCGAGCAGCGCACGCAGTCCGCACTCGCGATATCGGACATCATCGACCGCGCCAGCGGCGAGTCGCTGCGGCCCTTCGTCACCCAGATCACCGGCCCGCTCATCCGTGTTGTGTCTGAGCGCAGCGTGGAGGTCAAGGCGGCCATCCTGCTGACGCTGAACGCGCTGCTAGTTAAGATCCCAACGTACTTGAAGCCGTTCCTGCCGCAGCTGCAGCGCACGTTTGCAAAGTCTTTGGCAGACACGGGGAGCGATGTGTTGCGGACGAGGGCGGCGAAGGCGCTGGGTACGCTCATTACGCTGACGCCGAGGATCGATCCGTTGATTTCGGAGCTGGTGGCGGGGGCGCGCACGGCGGACCGGGGCGTGAGGGATGCGATGCTGAAGGCGCTGTTTGAGGTTGTGGGAAAGGCGGGGGGGAATATGGGAGAGGCGTCGAGGGCGGCTATATTGGCGCTTGTAGAGGAGGAAGGGGATGAGGATGATGGTATGTGCTTTTTTACTTTTTTTCTGCGTTTTTGATCATTTCCACTTGCGGGGGCTGACTGTGAATCATTGGCAGACCAAATGGCGATTGCCGGCGCGAAGCTGCTCGGCGTGCTAGTGAAGCATCTGGGCGCGGAGGATGCGGCGAGAGTGATCAGGTATGTCGCACCCAAACCCCAACCCCGGGAAACGGGAAATGATTTATATTGATGCATTTTTTCTAACATCTTCCTTTCTCTCTTTTTCTTCTTCTATGTAGGAGCCGAGCTTTGAACCCATCATTTACCAAGGCCTCCGTCCTCGGCCTCAACGCCGTGCTGCTCGAGTCGCCCGAAACGCTGCTTGAGGGCACCTTCTCTGACGACACGCCCGCGCTCATCAGCCAGGGCATCTCGCACCGCACTGTACGTCCCCCTCCCCCTCACTCCCTCATATCCCACCTTCCCCCCCCTTCCTTCCCCCCTTCCTTCCCCCCTTCCTTCCCCTCCACCCATCTATATACTAACGCTGTTCCCGACAGCCCTTCGTATCCGACAACTGCGTCCTCGCAGCCGGAAAGTACCTCCTCTCCGAACACACCTCCAAGAGCTACGAGACCGTCAAGACGCTCCTCGAAGCGCTCACCCAAGCCATCAAAGCGCCCCCCAGCGGGTCCATCGACAGCAAGCGTCTCGCCCTCGTAGTACTACGCACCGTCAGCCGTACCCACTTTGACGTTAGTCCCCCCCACTCCCCTCTTATTCTCCACGATTCTAACATAAGATATAGTTGGTACGCCCGCACCTCCCCCTCCTCGCACCCACCATCTTCAGCTGCGTGCGCGACATGATCATCCCCGTGAAGCTGTCGGCCGAGCAGGCGTTCATCGCGCTGTTCCAGGTCGTCGCGCAGGGCGACGCCGTGTTCGACAAGTACATTGCGGGCGTCGAGGGGCCGCAGAAGCGCAGCATGGGCGACTATTTCAAGCGTGTGGCGGTGAAGCTGGCGGCCGCGGAGAAGGAGAGGAACGAGGCGGGCGGGGCGGGGCTGGGGCTGAATAGCGATGAGGAGGAGGACGTGCGCGAGATTATGTGTGTGGGTAAGGTGGAGGTGGGGGGTGTGTGGGAGGGGGAGTAGTTAGGGTGGTGGGTTAGATTAGAGGCGGGGATTTGGGGGGGGGCCGGGGGCGATTTTTGTTAGGTGCTCGACTATTTACTACTACTGCTTCTTCTACTACTAAAATTACTGTTACTGGATGTGGGTATTTACTCTTCCTTCTTTCTTTCTTTATGTTTTGGGGTGAAGGGGGCCGGGGGGGGGCCGGGGTATGGAAAAGCTTTTTGTTTTTTTGTGTTTGCTGCTTTTGGTTTTTTTTTTTCTTTCTTCTTTTTCTTATAGTTTAGTGCGCTCTCTTCTCTGTCAATGATTTTTTAGATAGGATAGATGAAAGGTACTATCTGCTCTAATCTGTTCTAGTATACTCCCATTCCTTCCTGCTTCTTTGAGACCCATGAGATATTGACGACTAAACATTGGTGCTTACTACTAACTACTAACTACTAATACAATTTCGTCTATCAAAACTAACAACTAACGGCGCCGTCTATGATCTATCAAAACCAACGAAACAAAAACAACAGAAACAATTGGGCCACAAACTCCACCATCAAGGCTTCTCAGCAGAACCCTCCGCCTCCTTATCTTCCAAATCTCTCCCACCAGAGCCCTCCGCCTCCAAATCCTTCTTCACCGCAAACACCTCCCCAACACTCCTCTGCCCCCGCGCCTTCACCCCCACCGCATACCGCCCCTCCGGCAGTCTCCTCCCCGCCTTGACACTATCCAGCGCCCTATCCCCCCCCCCCCGCACCCGTTAGCACACAATCCTCCTCCCCCTCCTCCAGACACACAAAGGATAGAAAGCAAACTCACCAAGCCACCCCAACAAACCTGACATTCCCCCTCCTCCTCGCCACCTCCTTCTGCAACTTCCCGGCGGCGAGCAACCCGCCGGCACCGGCGCCGCCGCCGATAATGACGTGGGTTGTGGACCGCTGGGCGATTGACGGCGCGATGCGGGCGCCGTGGCGCGCGAGCAGGTGCTTCAAGGCGTGGTCGGAGATGTGCGGGGTTGTGGCGCCGGAGATGTGGATTGTGAGCGGGTGGAAGAACTGTTTTGGCGGCGGCGGGGGGGCGGTGGTGGTGGGGGTGGGGGTGGTGGTGTCTTCTGCTTTTGGGGTTTTGGTTTTGGTTTTGGTTTTGGGAGAGATGGTGGTGGTAGCGGGAGTGGTAGTGGTAGAGCTGGTATCTATTACCGCTTTTTCTTCCTCTTCCTCTTTGGGGGGTTTGGGAGACTGGGTGGTTGTAGTAGTGGCAGTATCTCTAGTAATATCTCTAGCAGTGGTAGGGCTCGTAGCTGGTGCTTTTTCTTCTGCTTTGGAGGTTTTTAGAGATCCAGTAGCAGTGGCAGGGCTACCAGTAGCAGTAGCAGTATCCTTGATAGTATCTTTGGCAGTAGCAGTATCTCCAGTGGCAGCAGTATCTCTACTAATAGCAGTAGGTGTAGTATCTTTACTACTGGCAGTAGCAGTAGTGATATCCTTAGTAGTAGCGGTATCTCTACTAACAGTAGTCTTTGTAGTATCTTTACTACTAGTAGTAGTAGTATCTCTAGCAGTAACAGTAGCATCTCTACTATTCACCACCGTCTCTAACACCATCTTCTGTTTCCCAGTACCAGCAGCCTTCGCACTCGCCAAATACCTCCACAGCTTCGCCTGCCCGCCGGCGCCGCTGCCCCCGCCAGCACCACCTTGGCCAAACTGGGCCTGCAGCTTCGCCGCCCGGTACCGCTGGTACGCGGCGGGCTTGGACACGCCGTCGCCGACCTGGTGGCCCGTGGACGTCGAGTTGTAGACATCTATTTTCCTCGGAGCTGTACTGGACGATGACGACTTAGCAGACTTCTTTGTTGGTGCCATGGTCGTTTTGGGTTTTTGGGTTTTTTTTGTTTTTGTTTTTTGATTTGAGGGTTCGTTCACTGGACGGACGGAGACGGACTCGGTCACTTCTTTGGCTAGTTCACACAAAGAACGTGAAAATGTGAGTGTCGTGTTTCAAGGAATGTAATGTAATGTAATGTAATGAATGTATTGTATGTACACTACACAAGTTTCTACTCTACGCGCGCGCTCGCGCGCCGGAACGGATCCACGTAGTGTACGCCATTCGAGTCACGATCCGGCGCCCGTGTGCACGTGCAAGAAAGGAAAGGCAGGGCAGGGAGAGCAGAGCAGAGCAGAGCAGAGCAGGGAGGGTAACATGCAGGTTGTGTGTGTGCAGCAGCAATGCAATGCCCATGCCTGCTTGCTTGCTTGCTTGCTTGCTTGCTTGCTTGCTTGCTTGCTTGCTTGCTTGCTTGCTCTCATGCAAACAATACTACATACTGAGTGAGTGAGAGCGTATGTATGTCTGATTGAGCCATGTAGGGCTGCATCTGTGCATACCCAGGGTTAGGTTTGTGTCAACTGTGCACTGACTTCAGTTACTGACATCACGATCTTGTATCTCTGTCTGTCTGTGTCTGTGTCTGTGTCTGTCTCGACCCTCACTCTCTCGCCTCATGTCTCTACCCATTGTTGTAATTAGCAGCTACGTCTTAATGGGCTCGGCATGTCATATTTCTAAGCTTCACATGCGTTGATTGGGGCCAATTTCAAGGATAGCATTTCCCCCCCGACACCCTCCCATCCATCCATCCATCCATCCCTCCTGGCGCCACAGCAGTAGATTGAGCATCGTATCTGTAATTACGCCTACCTGCCTGCCTTCCTGCCTGTCTGTCTGCCGGGCACATACCGACGGTACCTTCCGGCGAGGACGAGGGAAGGGAAGGGGGTTACGGTATGGTATGGTATGGTATGGTATGGTAAGGTATGGTATGGTAGTTCCGGCGGTGGGTGGTAGTGGTGGTCGTAACACCATTTGATCGGATAACATGAGGAGGACGAAGGGGGGTGGGGGGGGCTATCATTGTTATTACAGGACCCTCCCTTCCCCAGCTTCATAACATCTGATCTCTTTTTTTACCCTCTGGTTTCTCGCTGGTTCCCTCGGGGACCGGTGGTCAAATGCCGATCAGGCCCTACCTACGAGAGATACCCTACGGCAGATCCTCCGCTAGGACCAGTGGCAGGAGGGGAAGGTGAGTTACCTAGGTACTCTATGTATGAGTATGAGCTCTCTCTCCATTACCTAAACATCACAGGGAAGTACCTTCCACGCCTAGGGGTCGATCTACTCTACTCAGTCAACGGACTAGGCCAGTACAAGCAGAGAGAGTAAGATCTAGGGAGAGCAGTATGTAAGTAAGTAACCTAAACATAAACACAAAAGAAAGCAGGAAAAAAACAAAAGAAAAGAAACAAAATGAAACGTGTAACCCCTCCTCCTCCTCCTCCTCCTCCTCCTCCTCTCCCCCCCCCCCCCCCTCTCCTCCGCCGCCGGCCGGTGGTGGTGGTGCCCCCGTAGCACAATCCATATTTACTCCGAGCACAGAAAGTTAACACGGACCTGCTTTTGGCCCTGTAACGCAGAAAGCATATCCCAAGAGCCGAGAGCCAGCTTCTTTTTTTTTTTTTTTTCCTTTGCTCATATCATGTGCACTATGTGATCGTGTGTGATGAAATGTGTGTGATGACAGGTAAGATACTGATTGGCTCTAGAATCACCAACTATGTAATGGCCAGCCAGCCACAATGAACTCAAGTGACAGTGACCGTTACGATTGTGATCAGCAATCTAATATATAATTTCCTTTCTTTATACGTGTGTGCGTATACGTACGGACCGGAGGGTTACTCCGATAGCTAAAAGTACTGTTAGTTAGTTACCCACGATAATACAATACCGCTCACTGCTCATTTTGCCTTCTCTCGCCCCTATCCCTATCCCTATCCCTATCTTCACGAGCGAGCGAGCAGAAAGGCAAATTACAAGCCACCTAGCTATGTACTAGCTATGGTAGCCAGCTTCCTGTTTGATTTTGATAGGGAAAGACAGCAAGATTAAGGTCCGGTGTGCATGAGGGATCGATTAGTAACAAACGACATCGTATTATTACCTGACCGCTTCTAGACTGGAGCTGGAAATAATTAGTTACGCACGTCGGCTCTACACTAGCTCAATGTAGCCAAATGTGCCCCTCTCTGCTCTACTACTACTCACTCTAGCTAGCTAGCTCAGCAGCAGCTTACTGCTTCATCTATCAAACTTCATCTCATACCCAATCAAACCAACTAACCTCCACTTTCACTTTCACTTTTCGCCTTTCACTGTCTTACATTTGACAGTCCTTCAATCACGAGAAACTGTCACACTTTCCTAGCTAGATAGTTAATTAGCCCACAAGGTCCGGCCTGGCCAGTAATTCTAATTCTATCCTATCTTCTCCATGACCGACGTACCGAACCCGCCGTGGTGTCTGAAGAATCGAAACATCCAGAACTTAGTAACTTTCCGCCCAGCGTCCCCTCCAAACCATCTAGGTCCATCCCAGCTGGCTACACCGCCAGCCCCCTTCTCAAACCATACGCCACTCCGACGATCCATCATCTCCTTCTCCATCTCCCTCCTCTATCTCTCTCCCTAGATATCATACGTTTAATATCAAAACGACAAAAATGACAAAAAAAAGAACATCGGAAGTTTCAACTCCTTCACAATCTCCGGCCGGTCAAGCCCCATGACCATGATATCGATCATGATCATAATCATAATCATAATCATTAATATCATGATACATTCCGTTCCGTCTCTCCGTGACAAATACAAACCTTTCCCCCTAGCTACGTAGCCTAGCTAGTTAGCCTAGCTAGCTCCTGAAAATCAAAAAAAAATTCATCAATTATGATTATGATTATGATTATACGCTTAATTGTCGTAGGTATATTTCTGCCGTCAACGTACGTGCGCCGCGCGGGGACGGATATCTAGCACGTCTATCTGTAGATTCGCGGCTATTACCTGCCCTAGCTAGGATTCGAAGGCCGGCCGACGAGTGATATTATGGGATGCTGGCCGCCGCCGACGGGTAGAGTACGGACGTTCACTCAGGCTCAGGGTAATTTGTGTATGTATGTAGGTAGTCTAGGTTTTTGCACATGGTGTATGTATCAGATCTACGTATGTGGTTTCGAGGGCTGCATAAGCATAGCATTAGCATAGCATATAGCACATCGTATAACGCCCCCCCCCCCCCCGCCAGCCAGCATCCAGCCAGCCAGCCGTCGGTCTGGGGAAAAGGCTAGGCAGACAGACAAGACATACAGAAGGAGAGAGAAAGAAAGAACACTTCATGAGTGACAGTGGCACAGAGGCTAAACCTTCCTTCCCTCCGGGGCCAGGGGGACGGATCAATTCTTCATTCACCGAAGGGACCAAAAACCAAAACCGGCCAAAACGCCAATATAGAGTTATTATCTATGATATAGTCATTATCATCCATCATTGACACCAGCTGCCTGCTAGCTAGTTTTAATTCGAATTCCTAAGTAATGATCCATGATCGTCACAAATCCTGAAACCAGCACTTGTCATAGGACGGGAATACAGTAGAATGAAATAGCTGCAGCACATCTAGCTCCGGGTGCAGTCCTGATAGTTAGCTGCTGCACGTCTCGTCGAATCTGCGTGACTGATCATGATTGAAAAAAATTAACCTCAGATCGGCCCTTTCGCCCCTTCTCTTCTCCCTAGCCAGCCAGCTAGGCAGACAGCGAGTCGGACAACCACGGCTCCCCATACTTCTCCAGGCGTTACATTGTTCCGAGATGAGATATTGCCCATGGGGGTAGTTTTTTCTTACGATCGATCACACGATATCACTCGATGTGCATCCATCCATTCCATCCACCACCACCTCACCTCATGCTCGCTCACTCACTCACTCAAAAGAGGACCGAGTTACGTATGTCCCCCAGGTAAGGGAAGGAGAAGAAGAAAAAAAAGCCTCTTGTCGTCACAATCACGTGCGCCGTATCATACACGTCAGGAATTTCGGGAAGAATATGCCCTTTTTAACCAGGAGCTAGCCAGCGATCCGAGTCAGTGTGGTGTTTCGGATCAGTGAGAGGGGAGAAGAGAGGAAGGGAACGGTGAGCTTCCGACTGGTTGGGAGAATTGCTGGGTGTGATGGAGGGGTAAAAAAATTACGAGGGAGTGTGAAAGTACAGTAGATAGAGAGAGATGGAGAGTGATAGTGATAGTGAAAAAGAGAGAGTATGTACGGCATTTCCTAGTTTGGTAGAGTTGAGAGTTGAAATGCATACGTATGGGGCATGCAGAATAGGCTACGCTGTCTACAAGGTGTACTCTATGTACCTGCTACAGCTACAGCTACGGCTACAGCTACACTACAAGTCTACTACTGTATGTGCTCAGTTTTTCTGGGGAAACAACTCTATAGCTAAAGCAGATACATAGATCTATCTCTCTCTTGATCAAACATCATGCACTGCACCAGTTTGTGTGTGTGTGCTCTTTCTTCACACCACAACTACAACCACAACCACGACCAACCCGCCCGCAAGAACCAAGCAGACGGTGAAACTTACGCATGTATGTAGAGACGAGACGGAGCTAAAAGAAAACTTGCAGTTTATGGTTTGCCTCGCTGCGATGCTAGATTTCCTGCGTTGCATGGAGCACCAGCGAGCGAGGTCCGGTCCGTAGGGCTGACCTGCTCCCCTCCACTGCTCCTTCCACCCCCAATGCAGGCTGGATTAGAGTAACTAGAAGCTACATAGACCTGGATAGCAGGCTGAAGCTGCTGCTCCTGCTGCTGGGGAAGGACCTGCTATCGAATCACCAAGCTACGAACCTCTAGATCTCAAGGGGGCCGGGTGGGCGGGGAGGGGGGGATGTTTGACATCCGCACTTTGTGCAGTTTCCACCCAAATTTTATTTTTTTCTTGCCCCCCTC